ACATTAAAAGTCCAGCTCAGAGGCCCCCTGGCCCAGATACCAGACCCCATCTCCCCATGACATAGCAGTAGTTGTGCGTGTGTGTCTGTGTGTGTGATTTATGTGTCTTGTCCAGACTCAGTGGGAGATGTAAGTACCGACCCCCCACCCTCCCTCCCTCCCTCCCTCCCTCCCTGCCCCTCTCCGCCCAACAAAGCTCTCTAAAAAAAAATGTGTGTGAGAGGTTTTGGGGGAGGTTCCCCTGAGAGGCAAATAGAATTAAGGAGCCGACTCGAGTCAGTGAAACTATGCTATAGCTCCTCAGCTGACAGCACCAGCACACACCCAAACCAGGGAAGGAGTCTTTCCCCTCACACACACACACACACACAAACACAAACCTGTGTGTGTTTTTCTTTCTCATACCTGCTCTTGTCAACGTCACACTGCTGTATAAACTGAGAAAACACTTGATTTGGATCATTAATCTGACCACATTTCCAGACTAAACATCCAGGGAAGATATATTTTAATATACTGAGTTATTATGCCTCTAATCACACATGCTGACACAAGCACTGAATAAATCAAACACACACTGCACACAGTAACACAGCCAGAACTTCCTCTGGCTTTAATCGAACACATTTATTCTGGTCAGTCTTCCTGCAGCCAGGAATCCACCAGGACATCTCATGTTGCATATCAACACTTCCATTTGTGCAGCGTGAGGCTTAAGTAGGTTAGAGGCAGGCATGCACACTCCACTTTCGTCTCCATGCCCTGAGGGCAGTAAACGATTCTGTCAGAGAGGCTGCTGCTCGTTATCGACGTGCTCGCAGGCTGGAAGTTGCGGGCGCTGCAGCGGCTCCTGCACATAGTAATGCTGCCTGTGGATGCGCCACACGGCAGCCATGGATGATGGAGTGCATTATGGATCGGCTATAATACCATGCATAGAAACATAGACAAACCCATGGACCTCTGCAGTGAAGTGGAAGTGTATCGATTCAAATATGGCGCAGCACAAGGATTTACAAGAGCTGCATGATTTTAGACCCCAGACCACAGGGAGGATATGATGGTCATAATGCAGCGCAGATATTAACAAGACTCTGAAGCTGTATTCAGTAACAGCACTTCTACTGAATAACACATGGGTGCAGTCTCAGTGATGTCAGCCGTTTATGTCTGAAGATGATCTTCTGCGGTGTGTCAGAAACGCTGACTTAACCCAACTTTTGTTGATCTACCAAGAGGCAAAGAGGCGGCGCACAGGCGGGCCTCTAAACCCGAACTCCAAATCTTCCCTGTTTCTTTTTTTATGTGTTTTTGAGATGTACTCTAACAATATCAGAATAATAACAAGTTGACCTGGTCATCCCTCATGCTCAGAAACTCCCGTCTGACAGCAGCTGAGGTGTTTTTATTCGGTGGTATTATGTTCCTCTGTGCCATCTTGGTGCTTCATCTGTTAAGTCCTTTGGTCAACCATACTAGGGCTGTCCCGATACGATATTGATATCGGATATTGTTCCTAAATCAGCCAAAAAGCAAATATCAGATTATATTGGCCTGCATCTATTATCTTTGATATCAGTACTCTCATACAGGCAGTCCATTCCAGACTCCACTCCGGCACCTCTAGCTAGCAGCGCATGTAGAGCCCATGTGATCACAACAACAGAGTGTACTAACGCTGCGTTACAGTTGTACTCCGAAGTTCCGAGCTCAGAATCGGAAATTAATCTGGATCTGAAAGTCAGACAATCCTCGCCAACCCCGACTTGATGACAACGTCACAATCCAGGATGACAGTGTAGTGTATCAACAATAAAGATTAACAATAAAAGCTCTAGTAATGTTTTATTTTTTGGCACTTCTAACAACAACGAACAACCGCTAACAACAACTGCAACAGGCAATGACAGCTGACAATTGTAAATGACAGCTAACAACTGCTAACAGTAGGCGTCCATCTTGGTTTTCCGACTTGTTAACTGGAACGTAGTCAACTCGGGTGTAACATCATTCCCAGCTCCGACATCCGATTTCCAAGGTAACAGAAATGCAGCAAAAGGTACAAACAAAGTATGTTGGCTGTGTGGCAGTATTTTTCGTTAAAGTCCGAAAAAGACGTTGCAGCTGAGTGCAAAACTTGCCACTTGCACAAGTTTGTGCCAATATTGGATTAATATCGATATTGGCCGATACTGAAGGCTACAATATCGGTATCGTATTGGAAGTAAAAAAGTTGTATGGGGACACCCCTAGACCATACAAATGAACGTGACTTGACTTGACCAGCCTCTGGGACAGGCATCGCCAAACTATTCCACAAAGGGCTGGTGTGGCTGCAGGTTTTTCTTCCAACCAATCAAAAGCAGGCAGTATGACCAATCAGCTGTCTGAAGACTGAGATCAGCTGATGAAATGAATCAATTCTGGTGTGCTGCTGCGTGGTTGGAAGAAAAACCTGCAGCCACACTGGCCCTTTGTGGAATAGTTTGGAGATGCCTGCTCTAGGACTTGGTGAAGGAGTCAGGATCACTGAAATCTCAAATATTGATCTTTGAAGGACCATGACTGAAACATTTCATGCCGATTGATCACATTCCGCAGGAAAGTTGCAAAACCGTCCATCCTATGCATGTCAGATGTTGTTTGTTGAAAATTGCGTGGCAGTAAATTCAACGGCTGTTGCAACATCCGAGGATTGCATAAACCGACAAAGCAACAGATCAGCATTTTCACCCCAAACCTCCGGCGGCAGCAGCAGCAGTGTGTCTAAACATGCAAATCTGTGCTGTGACTAATGCAGCTTCACCACACCTCGCTCAGAGCTCCTTTACTGCACATGCATGTTGTCTTTCAGGTAGAAATAACAGGGATGTTACGGGACAGTCTGTCCACATGCTTGAATCCTCGGTACGGTAGCTGTCTGGGGGGGCTGGGCTGCAGATTTGTGGATGCTGTTAGACCAGAATAACAACAGCCAGATTAATGACCTCTGCTCCTCTGCACGGCTCTGACTCTGTGTTGTATTTCTTCAGTATTTGTGGTCGGATTGTGTGTGTGCACTGTACAATGCTGCAGGGTTTGCTATAAAAGCGAGCCCCATCTTACACTTTGACATTTACACAGGGGAGTGCTGTCTGTGGTGTGGACGGGGGTTCGGTTGGTTTATGGAGCACACACAGCAGGTTTGCATGATCCATATGTTGCACCTGAGACGTCTGAACCCCCCCCAGATGAGCATGTGACAGTGAACTCCATTATCTCCCGCTAACCTCCTCATCTAACACACATGCTTCCCATCACAGTTCCAGGCGTTGCCCGGCATTCCAGAAAAATCATCTATCATGGAGCGAGGACGACCAGATGGACCAGAGATAAGACAGACCGAGGAAACACACCAGGACTTCCATGTTCCTGCGCAGGATGTGGAGCGATAACACTAATACAAAAGGTGTATTTGTTAGAAATATGAACTATGTAATTCTCATGGAAACCAGTAAGATCCCACAGCAGGCTGTCACACAGGAGGTTGGAATGTTTCTGGATAAGCTAACAGCTCAGCTCTCTAACTGTTTTAGATTCACTTCAGTATGTAAAGAGATATAGATATGATTATTCTCTCCATCTGTCCTGTACTGTAAACCTGATTTGTCGCTCGTTCCCAGAACATGCTGAGAGTTTCTGAGTGTGTTTGTCTTTGGTGTTTTATACTGAAACATATAATGTACTTCTTTACACACATCTATTCTCTATCGGCTCCCGTGGGCACGGTGCTACCGTCACTGGATCCAGTGGGAATCACGGTACCGGACCTTCACATTGTCAGCAGACATTTAAAGAAACAATTTTCGTGTAGTTGTGGCGCTGGGGCCGGTAGTAGTGAGCGAGACTGAGGCAGAATTCAGCGACAGTCCCGGCAAGGAGGATGCGAGCAGTCCGTGTGGTTTACATCGCAGCGTCAGGGTCTTGAGCGCCAATACGACTCCAGGCCTTCACAAAGTGACCTATCACAATTGGATCTTGAGAGTGATGAGGAGTGGTGTCCAAGGAGGGAGGACCTTGATGGTAAAGTAGTTTGAAGTGAAATGAAAAAGACGATCAGAGTTCTGCTTGAAAGTCTCTCCTACGTAAAAACGTGTTTTTCTCAGGTTTCTTTTCCCAGCTTGGCAAAGATGATACGACCACGCTGCATTGAGCAGGCAATAACTTAACACAGGAGTGGGTTAGAGACTCACTTTTTTTCTTGTGAAAGAGGAGAATCACCCCTTTCTTTTGGGATATTAAACTTATTTCTAGTCCAAGCACAAGATATTCTGTGAGTCCTGAAAGATGCAGATTTTCTATTGCGGTCAATGGTGGCACTGGGTCAAAATTGCATAAATAACTTTGGCACTGAATGAGTTAATAGGCTGTGGACTGAAAATTATTAATTATTGAATATGTTCATGCAGAATAAAGCATCAATATAATGATTAAAAAGGGTTAGATAGATGTGCTTATGGGTATGTATGAACAAGTAAAAGAGGAACAGATGTGTGTGTCTATATTTATAATGATAACTAATTTAATTTACATAGAGCTACAGATCATTTCTGCTCTCGAAGAAAAGATTATAACCTAGATGTTTTGGTCATATATACTTTGTCCATGAATAGAAATAGGAAACAGAGAGAGAGAGAGAGAGAGAGAGAGAGAGAGAGAGAGAGAGAGATCTTGCAACAAGTGTCTGCTGTATCCGGGATGTTGGGTTGATGTTTGACTCCCTAAACCTGAAGGTCAACCTGTGTTTGAACCTCTATGTGAGATACCACTATTGCATCCTGCTATAACCGAGCCATAAAAAGTTATGACTTGTGAACCCACACACACATTTCTCACTGAGTGTGCACAGCGGAGCAGCTTATCCCATGACAAAGCTGGAGGCCACGGCTGGAATGTAAACACGGACTCACCTTTAATAACCCTGAAAGTATAAATCGGCCGAAGTCTGAGGGGCTAAAGTGATGCTGAAGCACTTTCTCAGCTCCCTCTGGGCGTCGAGGGCTTTTTACAGGGTGTACATCATGAGAGGAGGACGTGAGGAGGAGGAAGAGGAGTCGAAGAGGGAGTCTGTGGGGCCGTCAGTGGAGGCGGACCAGGACAAGATCAATGGGAGTGACAGGGAGTGCAGGAGGCAGCAGGAGATTCAAAGTCGGCCAATAAATAACATCCTAGAGAGACAGAAACGGCCTCCTCCTCAGCAGCCGCTGCCCCGCTCCTCCTCCACCACCCCAGTCCCCCTGGCCCCACCGACAGGGCCCCCTTGATTACTGGCCTCTGAGGGGGGGATGGAGGCCCCGACCGCACAATACAGCTCTCATACGGGGTCCTCACTCACCCCTCGCCTCCATTTGTTGGACATTCATCTTTCAGCATGTGTGTGAGTTTGTTTAGGGGGTGGGGGCTCAGTGGAAAGATGGAGGGGGTAGGGATACATGTGTGTGAGTAAGTGAGTGTGTGTGGCATGGGGGTCCTCCATGTTTTTTACATCTTCTCCCCTCTCTAAGACACCCCTCCCCCTAAACACCATACCATATTTTATCTCCACACCACTAACCTCTGTGTAGTGGTTTCACTGGGTGAGCTGGGTGGTTTAAACATTAGCCGCTTTGGCTTTTTGGCTCCAAAGAAGAAGAAGAAGAAAAAGATCTGGTCTGCCCCTAAGTCTGTCTGTCTGTCTGCGTGTGTCTGTCCTGCAGCAACACTGTAAGCTGCTTTAACTTAATGACACAGCCTGTACAAATAACCCTGACGTGACTTTTCGCAGCGTCTGCACAAGTTAACGTTTTCATGTCACCGAGGTTATCTCTGGCATGCCTGCGGTTTCACCTTTTGATGAGAGCGGCTTTCTCAAAAGAAGGGAATAACAGAGTTTATCAGCGGGGTTCAGTTCGTCCACCGCCACCGTAGTCTGGACTGCGATATCTCAACAACTACAGACTGGACTGCTGCGACATTTTGAGCAAACATTCGCGGCCTCCTGAGGGTGTTTGTGACGCCCTTGGTGATCCTCTTTACTTTTGATAACAACATTTTTCATGAAAAAATGAAATAATCTGAAGAAAATCTCACGAGGATTTTGGAGATTATTGGTGATCTTGTAAGTTTTCATACTTTGGTTGATGATACATTTCCTGTGCAGCCAATCACTTTAAAGTCTTCTGGACATTTTAAAACAGCAGAGGCCGACGAGAGAGCTGCATAATTCATAACAGACACAAAATAAAAGATAAACCCAAAGCAATTATGAAGAAAAATTTTAAAAAATGAGCAGCACAGAAGTCAGAGAATATGAAAATAGAAAAACCAGACTGCACAATCAAGACAAAGGGACTCTAACACAGAAGACAAAAGGACTTTAAACCTGACTGAGGAGTTTGGGGGCCTTTCCAGGAGGTGCAGGTGCTCATCAGCACCTGTTAGCATCAGTCAGTATGTTTACATGACACTCAAGAAAACCGAATTATTGCCTTACTCCGATTAAGACCGGGCAACTGAAGTGCATGTGAACACCTCAGTCCGACTATAATCAGAGTTTGAGAACGCCGATTAAGACACCGAGATAATGCGATTGGAATTCGATTTTCTCTACCATGTAACCAGCGTAGTCGGAGTATGATTGGACAATGCACGTGTGTGTGCGCCACGCCTCCGTAACCCTGGAACAAAAACACCAGAGAAGAGGAGTAGCGTTCGTCTCATCTGCAGAAAGAGTAGCGCGAACATCATGTACGACAAAAACAACGCTGTATGATGCTCCATCTTCTAGCAGCAGTTGTAGACACTTCTGACGTCTGACACCGACCTGCTGTTGTTGTTGACGGTTGTACGAGTCAGAAACAGCGCCGCTGAAATGACCAATATCGCCCTCTAGTTTTGGGGAGGAGGATATGTTCACGTCAATTATTCGATTTTCGCAGCTGCATGTAAACGAGGACAAGGAGAGAAGTCCGATTCGATGAAAAAAAACGAGCTTAGAATAAACTGTGCATGTTAACACACTGAGTCTCACAAAACAAAATCATGGTTCAGTAACACAGTAACACAGCCTGTAATCTAATTACTGTTTTGCAGTTGTAATCCCTTAATTTACTCATTACTTGAAAAAGTAATCAGATTACAGTAACGTGTTACCTCTAACGCGTTACAGCCCATCAGTGGTTAGCATCCAAACTTAAAATGAGTAACAGGCTTAAGATGATGATCAGTTTGTTACATAATTCACCAACCTGCTTCAACTGATGGTGTTCATGAGTTAGGGGTCTTATTATGGAAACGGAGCAGACGCTTCACAAAGAAAACCTGCATTCATAATGTTTAATTTACACTTTGATACGGCACCCTGAATCTAAATGTGTGTGTTTGATTTTGTTGCTGAGCTATAAGACCCAAAAAACCTGCAGAAATACAGAAACTGTTTCGTCACCAACACAAACTGAGAGTTTTTCACCGGGTACTAAAGGTGCAGCTTGTAGAAATGGACAGATTCATCAATATCTCGCTGTTAATCAGGTAAAAAAAAACTCCTAACAGTAGCTTTAAAATCACTTTTTAAAACTTTTCTAGACAAAATGATCAAAAGCGTTTGCATCATCTACTTTAGATGTTTTACTTGCTTTGAATTGAGGTTTTCCAATATGGTGTTTAGTCACAAATGTTCCCAGGATCTCAGGGTTGTTGTTTACGGTCTAAAAAAAGCTCTTTCTTGTAAAGCACATGAACACCGGGTCAGTCTCATTAAAATAAATCCTGTGTTGTTGAGTCTTTTGAACAACGCTTTTGAGTCCAGGAAACACAGGATCTTGTGGTTTGGGTGCGTGACCCACATAGTGTCTGAAATTAAGGGGATCTTGGCAAGTGCTGGACCATCCTTGTTTAACAGGCTGACAACAAAGGAGCTCTAAGTGCGACCCTAAATTTTATGAAGTGTCTCTTTAAGGTGTTGAAAACAAAGGAGAGTATGACTCATTCTTCGCAGCGTTAGTGGCAGCGAGCCAAACTCAGGCCAATCTAACTCGATATCAGGCTGTTCGAAAAAAGGACAGTTTTAGACTCCGACACGTCCTGAGAGCTAAAGAGGAGGTTAGGATTCATGCTCTGACCAGAACCTTTGGTCACAATGGACAACTGGATCTGGTACCTGGAACAAGAGTGCACTTCAGGTTTTCTTCCCTCGCCTCAGTGAGGAGAATCTAAATATTTGACAAGCATGGGTCCACAGGGGACGCACAGAAGCAGAAGTCTGGGTCTGGGAGAGGGGGGTTTCTGCAGAGCAGGGCCACATGTTAGCCAAGGTTATCACCAGGACTCAGAGGGAAGACCAGAGAGACCCTCTTTGTGGTTCACAGCCACTCGCTTACACGACTGTCAAAGAAGGAGGCCTGTGCGTGGAAGATGAGAGCAGCCAGAGCGAGAGAGCGAGAGAGAGAGAGAGAGAGAGAGAGAGAGAGAGAAGGCAGTCTGATACTGTAGGTCTCTCTTCAAAGAGCTGGATGAAATCTCCAGTCACGCCACTCCTCCTCTCTGGTGGTTTTGTTCCGGGGTTACGGGGGCGTGGCACACATGCATTGTCCAATCATTCTCCGACTATGCTGGTTACATGGCAGAGAAAATCGAATTCCAATCACATTATCTGGATGTCTTAATTGGCGTTGTCAAACTCTGATTATAGTCGGACTGAGGTTCAGTTGTCCGGTCTTGAACGGAATAAGGCGATAATTCTGTTTTCTCGAGTGTCATGTAAACGCACTGACTGTGTGTTGGCTTTGGTCCCCCCCCCCCAAACACCTCCCTTCTCCCAACCCACACACCACCATCATCATCACCATCATCATCATCATCATCTCCCCCTGTGCAATTCAGAGAAATCACGCAGCAGACCTGTGACTCATCGTTTAGAGTAATGGGCCTGTCCTGTGTTCGCCTCGGAGGAGGAGCCTGGAGGAGCACAGACTAAACCAGCAAGGATGTCTCACTACAAGAGGAAGGACATCTTGGAAGACATCTCACCTTTATACACGTTCACATGAGTCAGAAATTATCTGCACTCTACTTGTCCTGCAGTTGCATTTCAGCAGACATGACTTTAGGTAGGACGAAACAACTCAAGAACCCCACCCTGTCGATCCACCAGACCTGTACATGAAGCCAGACATACGAGTAAAAAGATAACACAGAAATATTAGAGTTACACAAAAGATGCTTATACAAATCTGCCAGACAGCATCAGATTATCTGATAGTATTTCTGATCTTCTCCAATTTGAGCTGACACCTGACTTCCCTTCTCCAGTGACCATAAATCAGTGGGAGAGCCTCCTCTGTTAAAACAAAATCAGTCTCCTGGCTAGAAGAAAACAGCATGGGAGCTTTCAGCATTCAAACCTGCTGAGAGGAGTGTTTACTGGAGCCAAATCAAACTGTGCAATAAACACTGAAGGCTTCACCGTCTCACCAAATATCTTTCAGAGATGTTTTGCCAAACTGTAAAGAGATTTGGGCATATCTAAAACATCTGCAGCAGCAGGATAAACGCAGCCTGCATGACTCGGCTTTACAAAATCTTAGACTGTAATCACAGCGAGTCTTCAGGATTCATTTGGAGTTATTGCTCAGTTTGAACACTTTTGGTTCAGCTGCTCACGTTAATTTGGAAATATGGCCTGTAACAGATATCTGAGTGAGTTTGTCTTTAACTGACCTGCATGGACAAAATCCTCAAGAGTCTACCAGGCATGGTCCAGTTAGTTAGTTTCCATCATAATGTTCATACTGGATAAAGTGGGCTCCATGTTAGCCCTCATCAGTCGTCGGTATTTAAATGGATATTCTGGCGTAAAATTAATTTAGGGTCAAACACACCGTAACACAGAGTTAGACCCCCCCTCCAGAGATGAATGTTGCCAACCGCTTGGTTCTCTAGTTAAACCAACTTTAGCAACGACCGCATGATAGCAATACACAGCAGTCTACATCTCCACATGCAAAACCAAAACACCACTCTATAGCCACAAATAATGCTCAGAACAGCACCTAACTTTAGCAAGGACACTGGCCAGTCCATTACGGACTGCAGCGGGGTGACACAATTCAAGGAAGAACATTTATGATCATTTCTTTATCATTTACTTTAAGTAATGATCACCGTATTAATCATTTTGTACTGCAGATGCCGTAGTTCTTCTGCCTTAACGTCTCGGTCTGATTGTATTTCCATGAAGACATGCTCAAATGGGCGGATTGAAACTATCGCCTTCCATGACGTCATGAACGATGATAACTCCTCCCCTCCAGGTTGGTGACCCTGCCCAAGATGTTAGTTCTGCCTCCAAACATTCCCACTAAAACATTATTTTTCTCCCTTCCAAACACTGGTTCAAAATGGCAGGGGTACGAGCAGGCCCGGCAGTTAAAGTAACCTGCTCAACAGTAACAACAGTTACTCTGTTGTTGACTGCATGAATCAGCACATAAGTCTGTTTACATAGACTCCAAAAGATAACTACACTTGCAGTATCGCGCATTCACCAAAAATAGCTACAAGTAACGAGAAGACGGTGGAGATGTAGCCGTTAGCAGGAGCTAACGTTACCTAGCTACATGTATGTCACTGTGTACCAACACATGAAAACAAAGTAGACACAAAAATATAGAGACACATAATACTTGTAACTAACCGATCAGAAACGTCCTGCTGCAGACACAGAGTTAGAGCCGCTCCTTCTGGGTCAGACTCTGGATCAAACTGGTACTGCTAGCACTAGCATTAGCACTCTATGTAAACATTAGCGGATCTCACCGTCGCGCTAAGTCACGCCCCTTCTTCCGGAGAGACAGGGGGCGTGGCATGCGCTGAAGGAGGCGCGGACATGCGTATTTACTTTTATTTCTTTGTTTTTTATTCCACTACCACTCACAGAAAGTGCAATATTACTCACCATGCTGCTATTTTACCCTTAGTTTTTACTGTTTTTTTTTATTTTTTTCTGTTTATAAAATTAAACATCATCATGCTGTGAAATGGAAGCCAAGCAAGAGAGAAATCACTGCTGTGCAATGAAAAATAAAGAAAGTCTAAGTCTACTAGAGAGAGTTTTCAGGCTGAAGTCCAGGAAAAAAAACTGTCTTATGAGACGACAAACTTCAAATTGACATTTCTGGGATTTTTGAGAGCTATGTGAAGCTGCTGAAAAGGAGTATACTATGGGACCTTTGAGTTAACTGAACATTGTCCCATTCTGGATCCCAGTCAGAGCCGATCCAAGCCATAAGCGAACAAAGAGCTAAGTGCCTGCTCAGGGCCCCGCGGCCTATAGGAGGCCCCCAAGAGCAATCACAATATATATATATATATATATATATATATTTTTTTTTTTTTTTTTTTTTTTTGCATGTATGAGTGATGCTTTCTGTATGATCAAATATATGTTATTGTAAAAATAAAGTAAAAACATTTTAGTGCTACTGCTGATGTAGGCCTATGACTCTTACTGCCGATATGTCAAAGCTCCACTACCGTTATGTAGAAAGATAGATGATAGACAGATAGATACTTTATTAATCCCAGAGGGAAATTTAAAAAACCAGAGGCAGCACCGGTGAAACACAGTACACATTCTACGAATACAAATACTGTAACAATATTTACACTAAACAAAGAATAAATAAAAAAAGTCCATAAACATGACCATAAGGCAGTAGTGCGGCGTTACGAAGGCATAGTAAACAGTGCAAATGGATGTACTTCCTGCTGTGCAATGTTCACTGAGCATCCAAAGCGCTGGTAGTTGTGAGGCAAAACAATGTCACTAAAAAGGAGAAGATAAAGAGATGTTTGCATGTCAGGGAATGTTAATCAGAGATTTGTGAAGGTGTGTGAATGATCAACAATTAATATTATTGGCAGAAATAGAGGGCCCAAAAATATAATTTCGCTCAGGACCCCTTTAAGGCTTGGGTCCCAGTACTGGGTCTACCGTGTACAGGTCACCAAACTATCAAACAGAGTAAACTGCATGCATAACCCTGGCTCTTCAGTATAGCTGGACATTAAATTCACCCTGATGAATAAGAAGTTAGTTTCAATAAAGGATGAGAGAAATGAGTAGATTCAAATCTGAGCACAAACATCCTCCCAGCGTGACTGAAGGATGCTCAAAGTCACCTCTGCAGCCTCTGAGCGGCAGATTAAATGTGTGTTTGTTGACGCCGAATGACTGTTTATACCCCGTGATTTCTTTATGTACAGAGAGACTGAACTCAGGCGTGACTGCAGAGCTCTACGTGTGATGTGTGTGTTACATATGCTATTGTTCCACCAAGCTCTCTGGTTCGCGCTAAAGGGGGGCACAGTGGGTTTCCATGGCAACCTTTCAGTATAGATGGCCTGTTTCTTTCCCAATAGCGGTGATCATGAGCATCATTGGAGGAGCGTCATTAGCAGGGAGCACCCCGGGGCTGTGTGATCAGCAGCCGGCCGGGACATTAGAGAGCGTGCAGAGGATGATGGAGTCAGGGTTTGGCCTTCATCGTCCGCCTGAAGACACAGACCTCCACCGGTGGTCTCTTTGTACCTGAGTGCATGTTTTTCATCAGCAGTCGCCTTCAGCAGGGCTCGTTTCTAAAGCAACAACAGAGACCTCTCTCAACAAATCAACATGGTGGATGAAGAAGGAACAAGATTATGATTTTACATTAATGAATTTGACTGAAATGATTGACTTTGAAAGGGTTGCTACATGCCAAGTTCCCTCATGATGTGAGCATGAAAAAAGGTCTCAAAACACTTTTCATGTTTTGGAGGTTTCAGCAGTGTAGTATTATTCCAAAAATCCCTCGCTGTGATTTCTGCCACTCATCGCTGTTGGCGTGGATTCATGTGCGACATAAAACTGACTCATTCTTTCATGTCTGGGTCTGTGGTTGACGTCCAGAGTTTGAGTTTGGTTCTCGCAGCTGTAAAAGCTCCAATCATGACAACTGAGACTCCATCTCTCATCAAAAACAGTTTTCTATTAATCCTCTGTTTAAATTAGTTTATATTGATGAGGATATCATAACCTTTTTATTCATGATGACTTAGAAAGAGGCTTTTGTGTCGTAGAAGAAGCCCCTTTGATGAGAAACCATCCAGAAAAGTGACATGGGGGCGACACTATCAAGCACTGAAGCTGCAGTACTGGATTAAAGGGATATTCCGACGTAAAATTAATTTGGGGTCAAACACACCGTCTTTTTAACTTTGACTCATTTCTTTAGCAAAGAGACTAAACACAACTCACCCACTCTCTTCCAGCAGCTGCTTGTTTGTAGTGAGATCTTGGGAAATACAATCAGACCGAGACGCTAAGACAGAAGAACTACAGCGTCTGCAGTGCAAAATGATCAATATGATGATCATTAATTCCAGGAAATAATAAAGAAATGATCATAAATGCTCTTCCTTGAGCTGCGTCACCCCGCTGTATTCCATAATGGACCGCTCTGAGGTCTCCGTACAAATAAGCGGCTGCTGGAAGAGAGTAGGTGAGTTGTGTTTAGTCTCTATGCTAAAGAAATGAGTCAAAGTTAAAAAGATGTTTGGTGTCTAGTACTATGTCTGTGACCCTATATGTCCTGTTGATGAAGTTAGGTGCTGTTCTGAGCATTATTTGTGGCTATAGAGTGGCGTTTTGGTTTTGCACGTGGCGATGTAGACCGCTGTATATTGCTATCGTGCGGTCGTTACTAAAGTTGGTATAACTAGAGAAGCAAGCGGTCAGCAGCATTCATCTCTCGAGGGGGTGTCTAACTTGGTGTTATGGTGTGTTTGACCATAACTAAATTTTATGCCGGAATATCCCTTTAAACACAGAAGACTCTGTAGTAGAAATCACTGCACTGACTCAGGAAACCAAATATTAACATGGGAGTCAATTTCAGAAGGACTGCAGTGGAGTGCAAAACATTTTGGAAATCATGGACAGGTAGGGATGCCCTGGAGATACTGACTTTTTAAATGTTAGACGACATAAAACAGCAATAAAAATGCCAAAACACATATTACAACTGCATGGCTCTGAAGTAGAAGGGTCCAGGTGCTAAACTAGCTGGTCTAATGTCCAAACTTGCAGCTCAATGACATCCAAAAAAATCTAAGAATTAAGAGAGAGATGGGTCTGAATGAAAAGTCGTGCCCTCTGCATTAACCTTCTGCCGATCTGTATCTGTACAAATGTTGTTCCAGAGCTCTTCCTCTTTCCTCTCCGTGTTGATCCCCCCTCTGTTGTCGTGTCAACACACACACACAATGATTGAATCATCCTGTCGCTCTCCGCACGGCTCCTCTGCTCTGTGACATGCTTAGAGGAGGCTGGTGGAGGAAAACACACATGAGAGTGAAAAATCAGCCCTCACACATTTGACACCGCTCAGAGGCTTTAAAGACCCTCCTGAGGTAAACACTCACATGGTGGGAAGGCTGCTGCTGGTGTTAGAGCTGAAGGGAGATGAAACCGGCTCTGACAGCCACAGCTTCCCTCCTAATGTGAAAACGGAGATATCAAAATAAAAAGTGCCGCCATGGGGGCTTCTAACACTCTTCCAGCTTTAAACGTCTCACTCTCGGCTCCTGGATCACAAAACTGTTTTTCTCTTTTTGTGCCTTTGGTTGGAAATCAAAGTGGAAACGCTGCATGAATGCATGTTTATACTTGTGCGCACTTACGCTCACTCACCTGCTGTAAAGTGACATTTGAATAAAAGGTGGCTGCAGGGAGGAGAGGATAGTGTTCCACGAGCGCTCACATTTCCTCTTTATCTGCACTGCTTTCCATCAAACACACACACACACACACTTGCAAAGGAGGAGGCGTGATGTATGAATTAAAGTGCGTGATTCATCCACTTTCCTTAACTGCAGCGTGACAGCTCCTGTGCTCTGTAGTCTGCCAGCTGTTCCTCCTGCAGGTTTCATAAAAGCACAGGACTATTTTATCTCCCTTCATTTCTCACCTTAATGTCAAGCAGTAAAAAAAAAACCCTCCATTCACAGCTTCTGTTTACAGAAGATGTTTTTTTCCTCCTTGTATGAAAAGAGCGAATGAGCTCCAGCAGGATGGAGTGATATGTGGGTAAAAGGGACCAGCCCTGCCCATCTGTTCATCTCTCGGCCCGCTCTTCCACCTCACCTCCCCTGTCTCTCTGGTTTAGAGCTGAATGTGGACGGCCACCGAGTGCCAGCAGAGAGAGGAGACGCAGAGTGAGCACCGAGGAGCAGATGGGAGATTTCAATGAGCTGGAAAATCCAGAGGAGTGGAGGGCCTTCTTTTTCTGAGAGGAGGGAGCATGATGCTGGTTCAACAGTGCCCCCCTGTGGACGAGTACAGGACTGCAGCACCTTTATTATTATTGTGAGATGTATCAAACAAAGCTTTTACTCACCTGACATCTAAACCTCAGCAGCTATCTCAGGCTTTAGAAAAAAACATACCGCAATAATCAGCTGTCATTGTTTTTACAGCTCATAAGGAGGCACAAATATTCACTTCAGTCTGTGTTACGTCCCAAAAAAATCTCCACTGGAGCTTTAAAGGGCTATTTCAATTTTACACCGGAATATCCCTTTAAGTGATTTTTAGAAACACTTTGTTTACCTTGAATCTGAGTTTGCTAAGGGACTAAGTACAAAGTAATATTTGTGATTGGAGCTTTAGCCTCTGTTCATGGAAAAAAGGGATGAGACTAGATAATTTATTCACTTCCTTCTACATCCTTCCTTGCTATAATTCGTCTCTACATGTGCGTCACTCCTCAGCTTTTTTTCATAACTGCAGGACAATATAGTCATTTGGATGATACGACTGGTCCACTCTGTAATTCGCTCCATTTTCTACTGGATTTCGATCGTCACTTACAGCTTGTGCAAATGCAGCACTGCTCGGTGTTATTTCCTTAATGTTCCTTGATATTTTTAAAGGAAATTAAACGAGGAGCGTCCTTTAATTTCATTGAGTGGTCCATTTGCAGAAATCAGCAGCCATCTGGGCCAAGCAGACAGTGCTGAGAGGAGCTTTCTTTTTCTTCTTCTTAATGCTCGCCGCAGACGAAATGCAGAATCAACAGCAGAGACCTGTTTGAAGCATTTTCACTTTTGTTCGGTGTTTGTCTCAGCTGAAAACTACTTCTCCGAGGACTTAGTAATAAATATATTTGTCTATTTAAAGAGTTTAAACTTGATTTTTTTAAGTCCTAACCCTCACGGTGAATTTAAACACGAACTTAGTCTCATGGTTTTTTTAGTAACGCACCGATATTGTATTAATGAAATGAAAAAAGTGAGTTTGTGTATAAAAACAAAACACTTTATTACAATTAGGCTGAAAAAACCCAATGAAAACACGACTACTTTACAAGTACAAATGTTTTTCATTGATATTTACAGTTTTTTTTTCCTTGACATCAATAAAAAAAGACAATTTATGAGAAAACACAAAATACTAAAGTACATGTTTACAGTGTGTTTGCTGCTGCAATAAAAAACAAATGACTAAAGGAACGTGCATTAATCTCCATCCAGTATCTATAGACAACAAGGGGAACAGACATAAAAGGGACTAATTATGGATACACTTATTCTAACAAACAGCTGCATTTTCCCAACGCAGGATTACCCATGAGCCTCAGCCGCAGACGCCAGGTGAGTCACTGTGAGGGCGAGGGGGTTTTGTGCCTGATTGATGTGACGGAGGAAACTTCTCTGTTCTGGTTATTTGAGGAAACATTTTGTAAAAGTATGAGAGAAGTATAAATGTGGATGATTATGGATCCCTCCAGATTTACAGGGAGTGCTGCGAGTGATTCAGAAAAATGGTTTAGATACAAGCACAGAGATGGTCGTGTGTCTGGAGCACACGGTTTAAACCACATCAGAGATGGTGAGGGGGGTGTGAGGCAGACGTTTGGTGAGGTTAACCGCGCCACAGTTTCATTAGCTGCCCCCACCGCTGGGCTTGGCCGGCGTTTTGGCTCTGATGCCGCCCTGGCGAGCTTGACCCTTGGTGGTCTGCTGGGCCTGAGCGGGCTGTTGGGCCGGGGACTCTGCGGCGGAGGTGACGGCGGGCTGCTGGGCGGGGCTGTGTGCAGGGGGAGTCTGGATCTGTGGTGACGTGGCGGCGGTGACCACCTGCTGCTGGATGATCTTCTGCTGGACCACCTGGACCGTCGCAGTGCCGGCGGGAATCATCTGCACCTGAGCTGGAGCGGATGTGGCCGCCTGGGTCAGAGTGACGGTCTGAGGCTGGCCCTGGATCTAAGAGAAACACAGGGTCAGAAACACAGAGTCAGAAACACAGAGTCAGAGTTTTTTCTCCTTTAATAAAGTCAAATTTAAGACCCGGACAAAAAGCCTTAAAAGTACAATCTTCAAATTTAGCACCTGAAGCAAATTTTCAGTAACCGTTTAAATCGAGGACCTTTTGAGACTCTTAAAGATCTGTTGGTTCTCTAATTTTAAATCCTGTCGATGTGAAGATACAACAAAGACTTCACCATCAGCAGAAACCGACAAAAACCCTCACCTGCTGAGGAGATGACACGATTTGTTGGATATTCGCCACGGTCGGCTGCTGCTGCTGCACAATTTGCGGGAGCTTAGCCACCTGATAAGAGGCAAACAATCTCAAATCAACACAAGGAGCCAATTTTAACGTGTAAATATTGATTCTCTGGAGCGTCACTGATGGTGCACCTGGATTTGTTGGGCTCCGGTGGGTTTCTGAGTCTGGGTGATGGACGTGGTGAAGAACTGGGTCTTGATTCCTGGTTGGAGTTGGGTGGTGGTCGCGTAGGTCACCTTCTGCTGCTGCTGGGCCGGCTGGGCTGCCTGTACAGTCACCTGCTGAGTGCCGATCTAAGGGAAGTAACAGAACTATCAATAATGGTACAAAAATAACAAATATAATGATCCTCAGTGTATAAAAACTTACTAAGCAGTCCTCACAAACGTCTGCTTTAATAACTTTAAAGTCCAGGGTGAGTTTTACCTTCTGCTGAACCGTGGCTTGTCCTCCCTGCGGCTGGCCAGCTTTCTGCTGAGCTGCAGCCTGGACTGCTGCCGCCTGCTGCTGTTTCTTCATCTGCAGCAGCTGCTGGACCTGCATCTGTGGGAAGGACGGCGTCAGGACAGGCCCACCTGACGAGAGAGAAAGAAGAGCAACATATGAAAACTTGAAAACTGTGATCTGACGCAGATTCATTTACCTCCATAACAGAAATCTTCATTTAAGAGTGGGTTACAGACTGAGCAGAGGAGCTCAGGAGGACAGAGATCCATCATCCAGTCTCCCAGAACCCTCACCTGTTTTCTGGGCCTGTCCGATCGCCACACTGATGCCTGCCACGGTCACAGGCAGTGTCGTGACTCCTGCTGATGAGACCACAGCCGGCACAGAGACCACGGGGGGCTTGGTGAGGGTCACCTGGGCCGTCTGTCCTGCCTGGGCCTGAATCTGGCCCTGAGTGGGGACTCGAGTCTGTGAAGGGACAAAACATGGTGTTTAATAAGCTAGAGTGAATATTTATTCTTTCATTCAGTTTTTTATCTTTCATAGTTTATAAAGAAACTTCTTCTTCTACATGATGGACTGATTGTCTTCTTCCCGGTCTTACCAGTCTGGCCACAGTGCCGGTCAGCACAGCTCCAGGTCTGGGTGCTGCCACAGCTGCCAGTTGGGGGTTTGTTTGTGCGGCCTGTGCAGGCTGAACCTGAGCCGCCTGCTGGGCTCCTGCAGTCTGTTGACCCTGAGCTGCTGCCGCCACCGCTGCAGCGACCTGCTGTTGCTGCTGCTGCAGCTGCAGCTTATGCTTGTGCATCTTTAAAAGCTCCTGCAGACACATGGACAAAAAGATGAGTGATCCATACGAACACATGTTTAAGAGGTCGGTCTGTTGGACTTCAATCTCTATCAAAGAAGCGTGGAAACATTATGATTTTTTCAGCTGAGGCTTCTCGCCAAAGTTGAACTGTATTGAAGCCAGAAGGACCTTGAAAAAGTTATTCATACTTTTATCACATCTCTTTTAGATTATTGTAATTCCCTGTATGTCGGCATTGGCAGGTCAGAGCTCATTCAGAATGCTGCAGCTCGTCTCCTAACTGGGACTAAGAAAAAGGAGGACATAACTCCGCTGCTTTCCTCTCCTCACTGTCAGGTACAGGATCGATTTTAAGATTCTTTTATTAAGTCTCTGAAAGGGCCGGCCCCGGAATATCTGTCTGATACTCTCCAGAGCCCTGAGGTCAGCTGATCAGGCGGTTTTAGACGTTCCTCCATCCTTTTTAAAATCTAGAGGAGATCGAGGATTGTCTGTTGTGGCTCTCACCTTGACAGTGTGTACTGCTAACAGCCTTTCCATTTTTAAACACTTCTGAAGACGCACCTGTTTACTTTAGCTTTTTGGGAAAGTATAGCTACTTTTATCGAGTCTTTTATTTATTTGCCATGTTTATTTTTATTATTGTTTTATGTTTTATGCTTTAATAGTTTTTATTTTTGCTGTTTTAAACGTGTTATATAAGTAAAGCTGACATTGACATGACTGTAATGAGGTCGAAGTTTGATCTGCTCTCCTCATGTACGCTCTGATAGTCGTGTTCCTGCTCCATATGCTTTTATAATGACACCCTTTAGAGTGATCATCTCAGAGATGAGCAGATGTTCTCCTCTGTCACGGTCTGTGTAGATGTTACTTTGAGCAGCAGTGGGTGGGTGTACCTGGGGTTTGCCCACCGCTTTGATCTGTGGAGAGGCAGCCTGCTGTTGCTGCTGCTGTTGGTGCTGCTGCAGCTGCTGCTGTCGGATCATCTGCAGCTGAGCCGCGGTCAGAGGCTTCCCTTGTTGCAGCTGCATACCTGTGGCTGGAGAGGAGAGCGGATAACTCAGTGGTCAGAATCTCGATGAATCTTTTATACGAGAAACACGAGAGAGATCTCAGCTCAGTACCTGGTGTGACCTGAGTGACCAGTGGGCGGGTCTGTGACTGTCCCGGACTCAGAGTGGTAGAGACCACTGCAGATGCCGTCACTGGGGTAACAGCTCTTACTCCTTGACCTGTAGCTATGGCAACCACCTCCGCGGGGGCAGCGGCGGCCGTGACAGCCCTCTGCTGTGCGTGGACCACCTGGGCTCCGGCCGCACCAGCAGGCTGGACAAACAACAATAACACAATGAGAAAGGATCCGACGCTAATAACTAATCAGTCTACAGAGCGCAGAGGGTGTGCTCTGTACTCCGTCCAAAGGCTATTTGCATCATGAATTCCTGTCAGTCAGTAGGTGGCTGAGTTCAGCCAAAGCAGCCGTAATAATGAGCATGACTCACAGACAGGGTGCCTGGTATGACTGGAGATGCCAGGCGTTTGTTGGCCTGGAAGGGACTTGGAGGAACTCCAGCTACTGTGTTCACAATCACATTCCCCCCTACAGTGGCTGGAGCCAACAAAGAGAAATGAATTAAACACTGGAATACCAACAGATCTGTAATGTGAGCCATATGTGTGTCGACGTACCGGCCTGGATGGTTGTGCCCACAGTCGCATTTTTAATGGCTCCAGCCTGGGAAACAAGATAAGTGTGAGTAAGAGTCTTGGCGCGGTGAAAAGACTTCTCCTGAATGTCAACAGAGGACGCTTTGATTCTCACCAGAACTGCTGCATTAGGAACAGCAGTGGCTCCAGCCACCGCGGCAGCCTGAGGGACCTGAGCTTGAGCCTGAGCGGCAGCAGGAGCCTGAGCCTGGCCGGGTGCAGCCTGAGCCTGGGGAGCTCCGGCCTGCTGCTGTGCCAACTGCTGAGCCTTTTGCTGCTCTGCGAGGGCCTGAAAACACACAAACACACACAAACACACACACAGTTGACAAATCAAACACAAATGCAGTTGAGATGACAAAACAAGCGCTTCCTTTGTCCTCATCGCTCTGCGTGACAAAAGTAAGAGCGCTGAGTTAAATACGGTCATCGTCCACAATCACCTTTTTCTCCTTGGCGATCCTCTCGGCACGTTGAGAGGCCACCTGAATGGGGGGGAGGGGCTTGTCGTAGCTGATCCCGCTGAATAAACGAACAACAGTAGTCTCAGTTTGACGCTCTTTGTTTAGTTGTGTAGGTTTGAAAGTCAATGATGAAGAAACAAACGTACCTTTCTGCCAACACTGAGGCGTGTTTGGGGTTTTTCTGAAACGGATTCATTCCGAGCCTGTAAAAATATCACCGATTCAAATGTTGAGTTTTTCTTATTTTTTGAAGGATTTTCATGTTCGTCCTGATTTGGCGTCGATGAGGGGAAACAAGATTGTTTTCTCTTACAGCGGTTTGATGGGTGGACTCCTCTTGCTGGCGATGATCTTCATGAGTTCGAAGCGGCTGTTGTACAGCTGGATGTGAGTGGCGTTGTCGTCCTGCGTGTAGATCTGACACGTTCTTAGAGGACGGCTGTTCTTGGACTGAGAGCGGACACACAAACATGGAAACAAAAGTGAGCGACTGAATCCTGGAGAAGAGGCAGATTTAACACCGACAGAGACCAGGACAGCCTACCTTGTATATGCTCTTGGTTTTCTTCTTGGGGTTCGCCTCATAAACCAGCTGAGAAACAGAAAAACAGACACAGAGTTTAGACACATGAGCAGAGAGAGTTTGGGGTTGTAGAGAGGGCTGACCGAGTCTTACCTTGCCCTCCTCTCTGGGGATGATGACATTTTCGTAGCGGTTGCGACACTGTTTGGGCGAGCGGTAGATGCGGCTGCAGGAGTTCACCACGTCGCTCACCAGATCCCAGTTCGGAGTGTGAGCGGGAGACACGATCGTCAGGTTCAGAGGCAACTCCAGCAACTGCTTCACAGCCTGTCAGACACACAGAGATGATGTTTCTGACGTCTTTCTAACCTCTGACAATGAGAACCATCATAAAGTATCAAGTAGATGGATCCAGTACCTGAAGCAAGGCCCAGTCCTCACTGATGAGCCACTCTGGGTTGTCCTGACCGGCCTCCATGGCAGGTTTAACCAGCGAGGGGAGGGGCTTGGCAAAGGGCGCCTGCTGCTTGAGGGAGAAGTTCTTTTTCTGGTCTTTGCCTTCGCGGCGGACTTTGAGCATGCTGGCCTTTTCGAACAGAGAGCGTGGAGGAATCACCGTCTCCCCGTGACCCTTCTTCTTCTTCCTGGCTGCTGCTGAACAAACAAACTCCAGTGAGGACAGAGGAAACAAACTAACCTGCAAAAACAGCTGATGCATTTGAACCTACATATGTGAAGGGCTTCTTCACGAGTTATATAAACTTCCTCTCACCTGAGGGGTCCATTTTGAGCCGTTTGTGCTCCTTGCGGATGTAAATAGGAGGCAGTTTGGACTCTGGCATTGGGGTGGTGTCGTACATCAGCATCATCACAGAGTCGATGTAGATGTCGTTGTCATCCTGCGGGGGTGTTGGTGGGGTCCAAACCTGTTTGGAAAACAAAAAACAGATGAGACTTCGTGGTAGGGCTGGGCGATAAACTGAAAATTTACCGATACTGAAATTTACGACAACAACCGACGTCATTTTGCGAATACATATCGGTATATTCTAAGTAGACAAAGTTAATGTGGGAGGGGGTGAGCAGCTTGTGAAGTAGTTATCATCCATTTATCGTTATCGAGGTGAACTGATCAATATATTGTGATATTGATTTGCGGCCATATCGCCCAGCCCTACTTTATGGCACTTAAAAATACAGATGTGGCCAAAATCGGCAGAATCAAACGTTGAAAAGGAGAGTTTAAATTTCACCCAAGATCAGGATTTAAGGTTAGAATAACTCGAAGGGATTAACTAGAAAATATTCACTTGAAACAGAAGATTGATTTTGTGTTTCTAGTGAAAACGCTAAAATTTAAATATGATATTGATCCGATTGGTAAAAAGGATCTACTGTCCAATACACGCCTGTGATTTCTTGTTCATTTACTGTGTCGTTAGTTTAAAGGCAATTAGAAGTAAAAGAATAAATGTCTGGGGAAATAAAGGTTTGTTTTTCTAATTCATGTTTTTTTTCTGTATTTAATCAAACCCTGTGATGAACCCCGTCTCTCTTACCGGCATGATTTCTGTGTGGCCGTCCTCTGCATCAAACACGTACTCCTGTAAAAACCCAGAGGAGAGGATCATGTCAACAACAACAACAACGAAGCACAAAGCACTTCTTCCTGATGAGCAGAGATCAAAGCGGACGCCCACCATGTTGTAGGCATCCTCTCTGGTGTAGGTGAACAGATCTTCATCTCCCTGCATGATCAGCCGCTCCTCCTCCTCTTCCTTCAGCTTCTGAAGCTGCTTCAGCTCCCAGCCTCTCTTTGAGCTCTCCAACTGCTCCTGAGGGGGAAAAACAACATGGAACGGCTTCAGAGAGAGCGATGAAGTCAAACTCAGTGATAGGAGAAATGAAGTGATGTACAAATACAACATTACAATAAAGGTGTGACGTATTTTTCACATTTTCTCAATAAAAACTTCAGTTAAAGTTTCATTTACCTTCAGAGCAGTTTCATCATCACTGACATGCAGGTACTCCAGGTAATTCAGAGCATACCGCTCAATAGGTGTGAGCTGTTCAAGCAAAAATAAAAGGTTCACTTTATTTCAGGGCTGCTCTTACATTTCTGACACTTCTAACTTCTAACTTTTCTTCATCTACCTGCTCCATGACAGCGTTCAGCTCCTCTATATGAGCCGGCTCCTCTTTACTTTGGTTCTCTGACTCCTTCTCTTCATCTGTTGTCTCCTTGCCCTCTAACTCCTCGTCCACACGCCGCTGCTCCTCCTCCTCTGGAGAAGCATCCAGGTTGATGCTGTGCAGAGCCTGAATGTACGGTCTCGCCACTCTGGGAGAGATGGCCTCTGAGGCGGACGGCTCCTGATGAAGAACCACAAACTCCTCCACCTTCTCCCCAGAGCCTGCCTCCACCTCAAACAGATCCTGGATGGTCCGCTGAAAGCACACAATGACAGGTCAGTTCATAGTTTGAATGAATACAGTTTTCGATCATCTTGGAAAATCCAGGCAGACCACAGAATCTTAGTCTTACTTGAGTGAGGAAGGCCAGGGAGTAGTCGGTTCCCTGGGCCGCCACCTCCCTGATCAGGTCCTTGGTCCCGTTCTTCAGCAGCTTCTCTTCTATGGAGTTCCCACTCTCCAGCCTACAAGAGATGGACACCAACAAACAACATGTCAAGATTACTCCAGAGATTAAACCAACAACAGAGACTCTAAAACAGTTCTGAGAGCAGCACCTATAAATGTGGATATCCTTGGAGCGCCCGATTTTGTCACACCACTCTTGCGTTCGGGCGTCCATGCTGGGATTGAGGTCTGTGTCGTAGAAGATGATGGTGTCGGCGTCGAACACGGTCCCGACAGCGGAGCAGCAGCGGTTTGTCAGGATGCTGCAGAACACCTTCCTGTTCCTGTTAAACCTCTTAATGCTCTCCTGCAGAAACAAACAAACAAAAACTGAGACTAAGAATAAAGTTGGACACGAGTTTTTACCCTGACTTATTTCTCATATTTCCTTAACTCAGCAGTTTATAGTAAACAACACTAAACTTTTATTCCTGTAGATCAGGAGTACGCGACTCCATCTGTATTCAAATACACATGCTTCCTCACACATAGTCCTCTAACCCTGACTCCATTACTCTATAGATAATGTTGATAAAGCCGCTTCACTGTTGTCAGAAATCTCACCTGTCGTTCATCAGGGGTGAAGCTTTCGTCGACCCTCACGTACGTCAGCTGCCTGTGATCGAGGAAAGCCTCCAGGATGTCCAACATCTTCACCATCTGAGTGAAGATGAGGACCCGGCGGCTCTCCGACCTCAGCTTCTGCAGCAGAATGGCGAGGGCCTCCAGTTTCCCTGTGAAACAAAAATAAAGAAATATAGATCTCTCAGATGTTTGAGTTTTTCTGTGTTTTTGCAGTTGAGATGTAAAATAAATAAGAACAAACCTGAATCCATCTGCATCAGCTGCAGGTCAGGAAAATGGAGGAGACTCCTGGAAGTGAAACGGTGGATATCAGCAGTGAAGGGAGCAGATGTCTCCTTTAGTCGACGCTGAAAGGACTTCTGATTGAGGCTGTAGGGGACCGGGGGATTGGCGGCATACAGCTGAGGAGGCGGGGCTACAGCTGGAGGCACCACACAAACAAGCCTGCAGGAGGAGACGTGAATTCACTGGTCAGGATATAAAATATTCAACCTTCCCATCAGATGGGACTGATGCTAATTTTTGTGTTGCACTAGAAATACCGAACTAAACCGAGACATTTCTAACTTTACAGCAGCAGGTAAGCGACTCCAATCTGAGGATTTTTAAGGTTTTTCATGATGCGGTGACCTCCATCTACAGTGCAGAGAAAGGAGCTCTTTCAAACGGAGTTGAAGTACCTCTTGATAAGACTGTTGGCGGTCTTCAGGCGGTCCTCCACCGAGAGCAGAGTGGATTGCAGTGCAGAGGTGGTGGCCACGCAGGTTCTCTGGGCCCTGAGGCAGCTCTCTCTGCCCACCCACCTCCAGCCTCCTGCAGTCAGGGCGGAGTGACCCGGCTCGGAGCTCAGAGAGCACGCCTGCAGCAGGTCTGACCCGTACAGCACTCTGCGGCTGCAGCGGCGCTCGTTGGCTTCAAACAGGCGGGCCAAACGCTCCTTCATCCGCTGAGTCTTCTCCTCTGTAGACTCCTGAAGATGATCCAGAGTAACGATCGATTAGAAAAGTCATATTGATCATTAAAACGAGAGAATCCTGTATCTAAAACATGACTTCTATTAAACCCACCTGAGAACCAGCGTTGGTGGCTGCCGTGTGTTTGTTGGCGGCTGCTGTGGCGTTTGTGGTCACGCCAAGAGCTACAAAACAAAAATATACGCCATTAATGTAAACATCTGTATGAGAGTTTTTGGTATTTCCAGTTTTAAAGTGATTTACAAAAGGAAGGGGAAACTGTGGGGAGATGGCGGCGTAATTATGTTTGATGTCGGTGAAACAAACACAGAAAATATTCACAATTGACAACAGATGTGTCAGTCAAAAACCCACAGAATGAGATTTTTGTCAGGAGACACTAAATGAGCATATCGAGGACATGATAGGCTGAGTCCCCCACAGAAATACACAGAAATAAATAATAGTTATTGTAAAAAAATCACCATGCTGGGCTGTTGATAGAGCAGAATGAGGCGCTCCAGGTGTTGCTGAGGCGTTCGAAGCAGGAACAGCTTGTGGCATCGCTTGCATCACCATCGATCCCTGAGGCCTGATGATCTGCTGCCCAGGAGCCGACACGATCTGCAGTATGTTTCCTAAATACACAAAAAACACATCAAGCAGCAAATCAAAGTCAAACCCTCTTAATATCCAACACGAGCTATGACGTGAGAGGGGAGGAAAAGCAGGAAAAACATGATGAAACTTCTTTGTCGTCTGTTTTGTGGGAGGAATCTCTACCTGCCAAACTACTGAGCTTTCACGTGCAGCAATTATTCATGTTGATGTTTTTGTGTTTCTCGATGACATTAGGGTCGAGTTGATGCAATGGGAGTGGTTGCAGAAAGAAATCAACAAAAACTCTGAAGAAAATGTTTCTAAATTGTGTCCCAGAGGGGAACACGACCGCGGCGATTCAGAGAGCAGACACGGATGTTGTGCCCGTCCAAAAAATAAATCTTTTTCAGATGTACTAAAGCAAATGTTTTTAACTTGGACTGAAGACATTATGGACCATGAGGACTTTTTGTCAGCGTTTTTTAATTACCAACAGCTGTTGAAGGAAAACATGATTCCCTGAGAACTTGCAGACATCTATTCAATGATGTAAACGTTTAAAACGTATAATACGATGATCATCAGAGAGTAATTGACGGCATGCAAACAGAATACTGAAGAAAGAGAATGAGTTAGGTTGAGAGTGTGACGATGGGATGTCCATTACCGAGTGTACCTTGGAGCTGCAAAGGCTGTCCGGTGGTGAGCTGGCGGAGCTGGCTGGGGGACAGAGTGAACTTGTTCCCCTGAAACTGCAGAGTGACAGGAGTCTCTGGCTGCGAGATACGACTCTGCGTGCCTGCCATGTTGGCCAGCTGGGCGATCTTCACCACGTCTCCACCTTCAACGAGTGGGAAAAGGAAAACACTTTATCGCAGACTGCTTAAAGAAACCTGCAAACAGTTCTGAGGTCATGAAAAAAAAAAAAATCATCTCTGCATCAGTTAGTTAAAGGGTGAAAAGACACAAAACATGCAGAACCAAGGTGGATTAATCAGAGAACGAGCACACAGCCGCCCTCCACAACAGAACCAGAGCAGCTGCTACTTTAATGAATCCTGAAGGGGAAAGAAAACGGCTAGAGAGGCGATCCTCGGGTCAGACAGCGCGCCGCTAAAACATCATCAAAACAAAACTCTTCTCCCGGCCAATCAGAGGTCACCAGGAGGAACACCTAGGAATCAGTGTCGAACAAGAAAACCCTGAGAAAACTCTTTTCGTCAATTATCTTTGCTTGTTTTTACTATTTGATTTCAGAAGTCCAGAAGTTATATCGAGTACCTTCGACTTTCAAGTAGAGCTGGGCAATATGGCCTCAAATCAATATGACGATATATTGATCAGTTCACCTCAATAACGATAAATGGGCGATAACTACTCCACAAGGTGCTCACCACCTCTAGGCCTGCAGCTATCGAATATTTTAGTTATCTCAGACTCACATTAAGTGAGACTCTGAGAAATAGATGACGATAGATGACGACCCCCCCGTCTGTGTCTGTTTAAAAAGAGTAATAATGATACCTGCTTTCATGTCAGAGCTTCTAAACTCCAGAAAAAGTCCCTAGATTTGTAGCTCGTCGCTTTTTGAAAATAATTCGCCAGGGGGGTCTGAAAAGTTGCTAGGTTGGCAACACTGCATGAAAAGCCACAGTCATCATTAATTTTTTCACTCCGCAAAACCTAAACCGTGCTTACTCCTCCTTCTACCATAGTGACGGAAGTGCATTGTGTCACCTTCAAAAGGATCTGTGCGAAACAGTGACGATTTGAGCTTATAAACGAGAACTCGGGCAGAGAAAATTCCTCGATCATTATTTGTAATCGAGGTACTTGAGGAATCATTTCAGCCCTGAGTCCCCCTCCCACATTAACTTCATCTACTTCAGCCACGTCACGTCTCTGATGTAGGACAGCGTCTTGAAGGGACATGAGACCACAGCCTACCTACACACATCCAAAACCAACTTTGATTTATTTATTTTTTTGACACCGAATATACTGATATGTTGTAAATTTCAATATCGGTGAATTTTCGGTTTATCGCCCAGCCCTACTTTAGTGTATCTGTTTTTGACAGAGTGTGTCTCACTGATAAGGCCGTCTGTTCCATCATAACACTTACAGTTGTATTAACACTGGACTGTGAGAATTCATTGCGGTGAAAAGTAGAAATTTTTCATACTCAGTAATTGCATTTTCTGAAGACCATGATATTTCAAGTGTTTCTTTAAAAATTCAGATTCAAGTGTCGTCAAAATTTTCAGTCCCGACAGCAGAAAATATTCTCCAAATGTTTCCTCCTTTCTGAGTCTTGAAACTTAGTCTGCTGTTGCTAAAAGTTTTCCTCGATACACAAACAGGCAAAAAGGGTCGGCAAATGGTGGGACCACTTCCACATGCTTCGCAGTGATGCACAACATCAGAGTAAACTCAAAACACTGGCAAAGGAAAAAAAAAAAGGACAACCAGAGCTTTGGGATTTCTTCCTGCCGCTGGGCTGATGCAAGAGATAAAAGAATATTAGTAAACGGGGAGAAAAAAATGATTAAAAAGACGGGAAGGAGAACATAATCCAGTTAAACGGTGGAGTGTTGTGTGCTGTAACACAAGTGAGTCATTCACAGTGTTCATGCAGGTTTGGAGAAGGAAACTGAAGAATACTGAGGCTGTAGAGATGCTGCTGATATGGCTACAGATCTAATATTAAAGGACTGTCACTTTTGTTTTCTCCAATAAAAACAGCTGCTACAGTTTTTACTGCATCATCAGTGCCGTTAACACACATCTTTAGGTTTACATTGAAGCCAGTTCCCTGAGGGGGAGAAAAGACTGAACGCATATCAGCAGTGCCCTAAGTGAAGGCCTCAGAGTAGAGCAGCCCATACTAATGTGCCAGATGTTGGAGGGTAATGCTGAGAAGGGGAGGGAAGGGAGGGGAGGGAGCAAGGGTAGGGTAGGGGAGGGAAGGAGGGGAGGGAAGGAGGGGAGGCCACTTACTAGGCAACCGTGCCTGGGCCTGGGATGTAAGGACCAACCTCTGGGACAGCAAGCTTGGCTGGATGGCATGGCTGGGGGCTAAAGCTGGCCTGGGGACCTGTGCTAATCCAGGCTGGCTAATGGGAGCTAATGATCCCATAACTGAGCCAGTTAAGGTCTGGCCCAAGGCCACTGACGTAGCCCCCGACACATGCTGTCCAATGCCAGCGTTCCCAGAGGAGGCTACAGTGGAGGCGGCGGCGGCAGTGCTGCTGCTGCTGCTGCTGACAGGAGGGGTAGTCTGGGCTCTCTGAGAGGCTGTTCCAACCGCTGTGAAGTAAAAGGTAACGGGGTATGGGACTACATGTTAGGGGTCACCCAATATGAAGTCAAATGAGCAGAACGATTCAACATTTCCTCGTATTTACTTAGCAGTGGTGGGCCAACAATGTGAACTGGATTAGAGATGTCATGCTTAAACACACAACAATTAATTAATGCCGAGGAGTTAACGGATGAAAATATAGATTTTAAACAACAGTGAATGACAGGAGTTCAAGAGCGGCTGTGTATGATGAACATTAATCCCTCCTGAGGATGGATTCAGTGGCAACTAAACTTTATCCAAACGTGTGATTTTCTTTCTTTTTAATCTTAAAGTTTTGACTCTTGCGGCTAAAACCCACAGGATCTGGAACAACAGGCGGATCAAATACGCAAGCATTATAATCAATGTGTGGGATTCCACACAACCCATCCGCCGTCCAGTTCCACTGCGGATCAGCTCCAGCTGTCAGATCAGATACGCAAGGCTTCTTTTTTTGGCGGACGCCGCAGCACAACACATCAATTCAGTGCAGGGCGACACAAGCAGCAGCGGAAGTTGTTTGCAGCTACAGATTAAAATATCCGGTTAATTTTCCAAATAAAATAAAGTCAACACGTTAAACTGTTCTTAGCTTGATAATAGGAGAGGCCAGGGTTGTGGGATGTGGGTGTTTATATACACCGCCGTCTATATACACTGATCGGTGGACCTCATTCAATGTCTCAAAGTGAAACACGCAAGATCTCATGAGATCTCGGCCAGTCGCGCGAGAAATATTGGTAATATCGTGAGCGCTCTTCCTCTGCTTGTGGCAGCGGATCAGATCAGTTCCAGATCCTGTGGAATTCCGGGGTTAGATGACATCCTTCAGTGCAAAACAACCACTTAATAAGTTTTATTTTTCTATCAACAGGCATGAGATCACTGCAATCGACCAACCACAGCACATAAGGAAGTTAAAATCACTCACTTCACTCAGGTCTAAATGACCCTGAACTGCATTAGAGTTACGCAGCACTGCTTTGAATCGTCCACACAGTAAACTAGTATGAGTGTATTTTACAGATAGGTGAACCTCTTAGTGTATATCTCTATGTTCGGTTCATGTTGGAAAGTCTTACCGTGAGAAGCAGCCGTAGTCGTTGTCGTGGTAACAGGGGACTTGCCTCTGCTCTGGCCTGATTGGCTGGTGGTTGAAGCAGAGGTGTTCGTGGCTGGAGAGCTCGTTGGGGGACGCTGGCCTGCTGTGCTTGTGATGACAGCCAGGCGACCTTCTGGCTTCGTCCCGTACTGAACCGGCTGGAACAATCTGGAAAAAAAGAGTGAGATGGTTTCAGGGCAGTCAGAAAACACTCAAAGTTCTCCACATCAACCAGGAAATAAGAGACTTGATCACTGACCTCATGGGCTTTATTGGGCATGGTTTGGATCGTGGTGCTGGATCTGGACTCGTGTAGATCTCCTCGATGAGGTGCTGACTGATCTTAAGTTTCGGTACGACTTCTTCAGTCTGATACCGAGTCAGTCTGTTCTCATTATTGATCAGATCAAATATGGACAGGTTCACGATCTGGAGGGACAGACGACAAAAGATGATGAGGAGGATGAAGGTAGAATCGTTCATGAATCTGTGAGAATCTCCACATTTTCACCGAGCGTTACCTCGCTCGAGTCGTTCTGCAGAGCCTTCAGCACCAGTGACGGGACGTTGTATTGTAGAGCGGAGCCACAGAACGAGCTCTTGTTCTCTCTCGGGGCCACCAGCTCAGGGTGGTTACACACTCGCTGTAACTGCATCAAGACCTGGAGCACGCTGACGAAATGACCCGTTTTTAACGCTTCCTGAGCTCTGCGAGAGAAAACCAAGACAGAAGACGTGATTATGACTTCACAATTAAACATGTAAAGATTACAAGGCTGTGACACTTATCTCTCATGTTTTTGCTGATTAGAATAACTAGTTAAGAGCTTTTATGAGCTGAAATAAAAGACGGAAATTCTCACTGAAACTTTTTTTGGGTTTGATCGAAGAGAAAAGAAAATTGATTGGATAAAAAACAAAACAAAAAAACTAACTACAAAAGATGACACACACTATTAACACCGCCATCTTTTTGTCGCCTGACACACTACTCAGCACCAGGGATATCACAAATACACGCTGAGGTGTAGATGTCTCACCCTGGTTGTGTGAGGATGTCTTCATAAAGGCTCTTCTGTCTGCTGGAGAGACGACACTTCAGGATGTGCTCGTACTTCTTCGGCAGCTGTTTCTCCACGTCCCTTTTGGAGCGTCTCAGGATGAAAGGCTGGATCATCTACGAGTGCGAACAGGATTTCATATTCAGCGTGTATTTTAAGGCAGATGATTTGTGTCTCTGTTTTAAGTTTACTGGAGCTACACCCACCCTGTGCAGGCGGATGACCAGCTTGTGGCAGTAGTCCTGGTTCTGGTCTGTTCCTGCCTTCACTGGGAAGTCAGAGTAGGGCCTGGTGATACCTGGCAGGAGGAAGTGGATCATGGTCCACAGCTCCTTCAGAGTGTTTTGTAGAGGAGTGTTGATGAGGAGAATCCTCTGCTCGCTGTAAAATAAAAACAAACAATGTCATTCAGTCAACTGAGCAGAGATACAAGCAGAATATGAAATTCACTGAGTGCGTCTTTGTTTTATTAAACAGATGAAAAATTAATTGAACTCACCTCTTGAGAGCAAAGACCGTCGCCCAGTGTTTCTCAGTCATGTTCTTGATGAGCTGCACCTCATCCAGGACCAGGTGCCTCCACCTCCTCCTCAGGAAGTGGCTCTGGTCTTTCATCAGCAGTTTGTAGGACGTCACACACACATGGAAGCTGTTGGCTTCTCCCCACCACTGCGTAATTGATCAGATAGTACAGATGTCATCATTTCGAGCTGTTTATAAGAAAAAAAAGATGCCTTCACTCTCTCGTAAAACCTACCATTCTCTTAGATCTGCGCTCTCTTTTGTTTCCGAGATAAAGGAGGATCTTCAGACCGGGACACCAGCGCTTGAACTCAACCTCCCAGTTTAGCAGCTTGCATGTCCTGACGACGATAAGGTGAGGTCCCCAGATTCCTGTTGACAACAGAGAACAGCTTAATGACATTTAACTAAAAACTAAACTGAATCAATACAAAAACCCCTCTGAGAAACTGTGGATCAGCTGTAAGACAGAGGCGTACCTTCTTGGCCTGCTAAGTGGGCCATATAAGCAACAGTCTGCACAGTCTTGCCGAGGCCGGTCTCATCTGCCAGGATACCGTTGAGGTGTTTCTTGTAAAGATTTACCATCCAGTCCACGCCGATTTGCTGATACTCTCGCAGAGCCCCATGAAGAAGAATAGGAGCTGGACTGCGTGTCTGTAGAGATGTAAGATTAGTGAAAGACAGTAAAGAAAGAAAGAAAGAGAGGATATGTTTGTAGATGAGGGTGCATCTTACTGAAGAAGTGGTCCTGAAGCTCCCCTTGGGCAGGATGAGCTCTGTAGAGGCTGCGACTTCAGCGATGTCTCTGGCGGGTTTCCTATCAGAGTCAGATGAGGAGGCTTTGTCTGCACCGCGGTACTGATCCACGCTGAGCAGGGAGTCAATCATCACCGCCTCAGGAGGACTGCCTGCAGGACACTCCACCTCTGAAAAAGAGAAAATGTCAACCACTTTAGAGTCGGACTATTCACAACCGTTCGCTGCAGCGGGAAGACTGTGTGATTGAAACAGGCACCTCCAGACTCCTCCATGTCGTCCTCGTCACTGTGTGGACTGGGCTGAGGCCACTCAAAGCTGTCAGCGTAGGCGCCGGCGTACTGCTTCACCAAAGCATCCAGGGGCATCTCAGCTAAAGTAAAACAAAACCATGATTAAGCCCTGAAGGCACAGAGAGGGAAGATTAAATGCTGCAAAACAATCTTTAAAAATAAACAAACAAACAAACAATCAGGTTTAATCCTTCAGCTTGTAGAAGTTCAGTGGATAAGTACCTTCTTTGGCGAGGTTAACCAACTCTGCTTTATGGTCTGTTTCCCCCTCCATGACCTCCTGCTCCTCGATGGTACTCTCCTCATCCAGAACTAAAAGTAAACAAGAAATGATGATTGTGTGACAGGAAGGTCGCTGAGGAGACTTTTTAACCATCTGAGCTGTTAAAACATCTTTTCTTTTCAACTGTCTGACACCCACCATCCTCATCGAGCAAGGCGGCGCTTAGTTTCCTCTTTTTGGTCGAAGTCCCCGCCTCCTGCAAAATTCAAAATGTAAATCAACATTTGAACGAGATGGAAACAGGTGAATTTACATTGTTGGGCTGAGTGTCGGTGTGACCTCTACCTCTTTATCAGCCTTCAGAGCTGCAGACTGACCAGATGCTGAAACACAAAAGGGTTAAATTATAAACTCTGGTAAGGTTACCTGAGTTCAACTGATGTTTCTAAACAACAAGAACATATCTAGGTTAGTTTTTGGAAATGCTTTAGTGGACTCACCTTTGGCTGAGGCTTTTTGTAAGCTAAGTGCTTTGAGCCTCTTCTCATAAATGTCAAACTGCAGTTTGATTTCAACAACCTGACAAAACAGAAAAAAACAGTTTCAATCAACAATGTTTTATTATAAAATCTCATCAAGACAAAGAAAAATGTGTAATCTAACAAACCTGCTCGATGTTTGACCAGAAGAACTCCACCTCTCGGGCGATTGTGCTGGCGATGTGACGAAGATGGATTTCCCTTTCTCTCTTGGACCTCTCTTCACTTTTCTTCTGCTCTTGGTGATAACGGGCACACGTACGAACAAGCTGGAGAGGAATAAAAGACAAAGTTAAACTCAGTCGTGACTCCCTGTTTGAATTATTGAAGGATTTCTCTTAGCTCTACTCTACCTTCTTGGCTGCCGCCTCTTTCCACCTCCTCTCTTGGGCAAAGTCAGCGGCCATCCACTGCATCTCCTCCAGGAGGTAGTCCCAGTGGGACTTGGGTCGCGAGGCTTCCACGAGTTTTGGGAGTCTGCTCGCCGACCACTGACCCTCTTTCCTTAGCTCAGAGATGCGCTGGTGCACTTGACTCTCCTGGGAAACAGAAACAGACCAAGGCATCAGAATTTATACAAAAAAAAAAAGTTTTTGTTTTTGACGACATTTTAATACACTGGATACAGCTAAATCAATGTGAATGGATCTTTTTGCACTCCGAGGCTCAGTTTCCACCTCTTTGAGAAAAGTGACGGCTTGTGAAATGGTCTGATTATGTCAGTTTGAACCTTGTATTAGCACATGCATGTGTGAGCATCAGCCCTGTCTCCCAATAACCCAGCAGTAGTCTTGTAAAAAGAGCAGGATCTCGCTGATTGAACTCACCAGTTTGGCCTGCTCTACTTGCTTGTCCTGAGAACCCTCCTGCGAAGACTGCATGGTCGCATTTTGACCAAAGCCGCTCATTTTCACCGTGGATATGCCGTTGGTGCCAGTCAGTTTAGACTGGGTGCTTGGGTTGATGTTGGCACCATGAGGGCGGGGTGGATTTGCAGTATGGGGGGTCTGGACAGGATTAGGAGCAGAAAGGGGAGCAGGAGATATGGATGTCATGGACACCGAGTTGGTCATGATCCTCTGGACTGGTGGGTTTGACTCTGTACCAGGGCGAGCGAGTGCCACCGTCTAAAGAGGAGAGAGGGGAAAAAAGTTGATTTTCAGAGGTTAGTCTTACTGCCGGTGAATACTCATGAAGATTGAACTAATATATATTCAAGAGGACTGACCGCCTGTCCGGTCTGGAGAATGGCCTGGGACTGTTGCTGCTGGGGCTGCAGCTGGAGATGAAGACCTGGCTGCATCTGCTGTTGCAGTTGGGCCTGGAGCTGAGTGTGTGGGTTCACTGCGGCCAGGACAGGCCCACCTGCCTGTACCTTCACCTGTGCCAGCTGACCACCAGGCTGGGCGGTGTTTTCCACCAACTGAGCCTGCTGGGAGAGTGTCATAGACAGACCAGGCATAGGGAGGGCTCCTTGGGGCAGCCTGCCGGGCAGCTGAGGAGGAGGTGTGTGAAGACTTGCTGCGTTCTGAACTGGAGGTCCTTTAGATGGGTCGTACTGTTGCTGGTTCTGTTTCTGTCCTGCAATCTGGACTGCTTGAGGAGTTGGCGGCATCCCGCCTGTACACACAGTAGCCAAATTATGGGACAAACAACGGGGTGGTATAGAGAGTAACACAGAGAAAGAAGGTAAGACCAATATTGTCGCCTGACTTGCAGTGCTTTTTAAATGTGCTCTTCATGTAATCTCGTTTTTAAGTGTGTGGAAGCCTTCTTGGTACAGAATTGAGAGACGACTAGATGTTTAATCTTAGCGCTTCGAAGAAGATTAATGGTTATTATTAAATTTTAAGCATCAGCTGTTAGAGCTCCTCAGGTCCTTTTGCCTTAATGAACAAGATGTACTTTATGAATTGACAGTTTTGTACTACTTCTTGATGATCAGAGCGGAAACTAATGAAAGTCATACAGCAAAATGGTTACAGAAGAAATGAAATCAATGTGAAGATCTACATGTCTCTCAAATAAAATACTACTTTGATTAATGCAAAACCAAAACATTGCATTTCAAATGTTGAGAGAATGTGGCTAAAACATCAAAAATTATACGTGCATTAAGAGAGATTTTGAGAGAAGAAGAAGAAGGAGAGGAATAGAGAAATGTTAAGAAGGAAAATGAAATCAAAACGAACTGCAGAAAACAAGGAGACAGGGAGAATAAAGGGAAAATCAAATCATAGAGCAGACACACTCACAAAAACACCATGTTTGGCATGCATGAAGCGATGTCACTCTAGCAGAGACCAAGGCATCTGGATGCCTCACATAGCGACAAAGCACAGAGGTGAGCAAAAGGACACACATGGGGTCTTGCGGACAGCAGGCCTGAGCAGAGCTGTGCACACTAAAGCAGCGCCTGCCTTACCTCCCTGCACGTCACACCAACTCGCCTAGACGCCACCAACACCTGGCCCTGACTCACCCACACCACCGCAATCGCAAAAACCTGCGCCGTGAACGCAACTCCTCCACATGATCCCCCTCCTACTTAGACTGAGGGAAAGAAGCCAAGTCAGAACAAAATGCCATGAGATAACATGGAAGGACATCAACTGAACGTGGACATGAGATGAAGAAAAGACACTCGCAGAGATGTAAACATATGAGTTTAAGAATGACGTCGAATCCTTGTTGGTGATACAAGGACGGACAACCGTAGAGAGGGGAAGACTTGAGAAGGAATGACGATGGGAAACCAAAAGGAAGAATGAGACGTGGACTCATAAAATGGGAAAACAAGAAAAACCCATCGGAAAGTGAATTTTTTTGAAAAAGGGGTTTCCACTTTCTGTGATCCACCTCCACATCAGATGACAATCCATCCGCACGGACTGGAAGGTCGGTCCAAATAAAGATGACGTACAGGAACAAACTTCAGAAAAGAAGAGATGGATAACGACGGTGGACAATAGTAAAAACAAAAAAGGGAAATCATAAGACATGGCATCTTCCCATTGAGTGGCTACTCTTCTTCAGACTTGGATTTCCTTCTTCCCCTTTTATCGTGACAGAGAGAGAAAGAGAGAGCTGCTACTGGTACAGCTAAGCCTGAACTTCCTGTGGACTGCTGAGAAATCCAGCAGACGGATGAAGATCTGTTTGTTGACGCTGCTTGAAGTTTGTTTGTAGAAGATGAAGTTGTGATTCGCTTTTTAAAATCTCCTTTGTTTGAGGAAGGGAATACGTCCAGCAGCATCGAACAGAACAAAGAGCTGCCTGGTAGTAGCACTCCTACCTTGCGCAGTTGGCATAAGCTGCTGGAGTGGAACGCCAGGTGATCCTAAAGGAGCTACACCAGGATGCTGGAAAATCAGCCCATGGCGACCAACGTCAATCCGGGGCCTCTTAGCCTGATCTGGGATTTAAAACACACAATACCCTCATAACGCAAAACAAAAGCACTCGGCACAGAGCAATGACCTTCTGCAGACCTTACAGGTCCCCTCTCCTTCCTCGGAAAAGACTTCAACACAGAGCGCTAGTACAGGATGCCAAATATCTAAAAGCAGAAGCAATTAGAGGGGGGAAAAGAAAACAAACAGAAAACAAAGCAAACGGGGAGGAAACAAAGCAACATAAGAAAGACAGGAGTCTACCATTCTTGCCCTACCTGCTTGCACCATTGCCTGCTGCCTCTTAAAGGCATCCAAATCTCCAGGGTTAGTAATGGTGCCAGCAGCAGCCCCTTGGTGCCCCTGCAAAAATAACGTCTAGGAATTAAAACTTCCTTTTATCAAAGTTCAGGAAACAAACTCGAGATTATTTCTAGAAATAAAAATTTTAAAACCAGTGTTGCAGCTATCACCTGGAACTGCTGCTGGACAGAGAAAGCTGCTGAAACATTAGCAGGAAGCTGTGTTGCTATGGCAACTGGCGTCACTGCCTGGCCATCCTTTCCAGTAACAACCTTTACCTGAAAAACACAGAGATATGAAAGAGGGGGGAATAAAATCAATGTGCTGTTCTTTGAATGTTTAAAACTCTGTCAGACGATGTCGTACCTCATCATTAATGACTTCAGACTGCTCCTCTTCCTCATCTTCATCTTCAACGTCCAAATCATTCTGTCTCAGATACGTATACAGAGGAACACAGGGCTTCTTTTTGAAGGCAAGATAGTCCATCATGTTCCCTTGGAGGTGCTGCAGAAAGAAAAGCTCGATCAGGTATTCTTTGAACACCTCCTTCAGGCTCTCCATCTTCTTTGTGTGGTGCTCCAGGCACTGCTTCCTTAGCTGGGCAATTTCTGGAGTAGAAGGGGCGATTTCTTCCAACTTTTTAGGAGCCTGCTTCTTCACGGTGCCCACAGCCATGCTGTTGGGTCCGAGGGGGTTGTTGGGGAGGCCTTGGGTTGGACTAGTGAGGGATGGGCTCGAGGGTGGAATTGAGGAGGGGATACTGAAACCTGCTGTGGCTGTGGTTCCCACTCCAGCAACCACGCCTTGTGTTGTTTTCTCAAAGATCATGGGGCGTGCCAGCTGTCCTTGAATGATGCTGCTGATTTGTGGAGGTAGGTTAGAGGTGGTGATGTGACCAGGACTGCTCAGAGTAGGGAGAGCAGCACCGGTGGCCACAGGACTTTGAGGTCCAAGATGGTGGATGGTGCCTCCAGTCTGTGAGTGAGGCTGGGAGAGCCGGCGTTCCCTCACAGAGCCTGGTGCTCCTGGAGAAGTCAGTTGTACCTGACCAGGTGTGGCTGGGGCGATCTGGGCCAGTCCTGTCCCCTCCTGGTAAACAAAGTGGCCACTCCCAGACGGACTTCCTAAACTGATCTGTCTCACTAACATACCAGCTTCAACAAACCGTGTTGGACTTTGTCCGCACACACCCAGCGCTGTGGCAGGTGCTCCTGGCCGTGTCAAACCTTGCACAGGGACTGGGCTGTGCTGGGTGGGACTCTGGGGCTGCATGGGCTGTGGCACAGGTGAGGTAACCTGAATGTAGGAGGATGGAGCATGCTCGAACCTCCACTGAGGTGTAGTATGCTGAAACCCGGGGGATGCAGGGTTCTGGATGGGCAGTGGGGTCAGAGTGATCTGTTGGTTACCAGTCACCATCTGTCCCACATTTTGTAAAGTGATGTTCATGTTCTGGCCGGTGACCGGGCTGCGGCTCATGATTATCTGATAATTGGGTGACTGAGGGGCTGAAGGGCTGGCAGCAGAGGAGAAGGTGGTCACAGGAGATTGTGGATGGTTGACTGTAGCTTGCTGCTGTGTGACTGCCATGGTGGGCTGCTGCTGCTGCTGCTGCGTCTCCTCTGCCTCAGAGCCGCTGACAGACTTAGATCTCTGGAGCTGTCGTTGCATATTCTGTGATCCACTTCCATGGTGCATTGCGTGACACTATAACTATGTCTAAACACAACGATCTGTTGAAAGGGTCAAACAAAGCACAACGATATGTAATTATTGGTGGGTTATAACGCTTCGTTTATAAGCATACAAAGTAAAATACTGCATGTTGATCTTTCTTTTTTGTTTTTTAGGGAGAGAGGTTTGAAAAAAAAAACAGCAATTAAATAATAATTACTGAACTCCAGTGAACATTTGATGAAATTCATGTCTTGCCATTAATGTTTTTGATTTCTGTCCAGCAATCTGAAATTGTTCAAACAGAAAAATATCCTAAGGTAGCTACTGTGGTTAAAATGAATAAACAGATTCATTATTTATGCGCATTTAGACCTAAAATACATTGGTATCTTCACTACTCAAAGATGCTTTACAAAAAAAAAAAAAAACACAATTTAAAATATAGAACATTTTACATAATAAGACCAACAGTGTACAAGGTTAAAAAAGGCACAATATGAAAAGACAATAATAGAACAGTTCACAGGTTAAAAGCCTTTTTTTTTTAAAAGAATCAACTGAATAAAAAAGATTTGGATTTATGCAGAAGGCTTCAGAAAATAATGATATTGCTGTCAAAACTAAACTGCAATACTCTACTAATGGAAAGTTAAAATAAAAGATGAGACAGGGACTGTTTTAGATTTGGGTGCTGAGAAAAATGTGTTTTCAACTAGAAAAGGTAATGATGGTGCCGACCTTGTGAGGGCTGAAGCTGATAAAATGCCACTGATGTATATGTGCCATCAATCGCACACTTATTGTTGTATCTCTAATGCAAATAAATCTGGAATCTATGAGGTGTTGTAAAAGTGTAATCTATGGTGGAGGTTTTTCACTGGGTTGTACCTGAATTCCCAGGTACTTGTGTTAGGGCAGGTGGATGTAGGACTGGGCGATTATATGAAATCGCCCAGTCCTAGGTGGATGTATATCACACAGGTGAAGATATCTCAACATCTGGGGTAGCTTCTGGAACACTAGCTGTCCCATCACATTGAAATATTTTCATTAAAACACAGAAGTTACAGATATAGGATGTATGAATAAACTGCTGTTATAAGCCTACAAATTGTACCTGTCATGTTTTATTGAGAGGTTTCCCAAACGCAGCATACCTGACACTCTTCACATTAGTGCATATTAAAGGTACAGATAAATTTAAGTGTGTTGAAAAGGACTAAATTGATCTGGTTTCAGGTCTGAGTGTGAAAGATCAAACCTGAGCTTCAGACAAAGGTGAGGGAAAACAGCTGATACATGCGATCAATATCATTAATATTCACACTGATTTATAACAACGAGAAACACTAGATCATTATGGACAAAATGTGTGCGTCCTATTAGGTTTTTAGGAGTCAGTACAAACCACTAAGATCATTATTTTATTAAAGTTAACGTGATTTTTCTTTGTTATTTTATTCCGTTCAGGTTGATTCCACTGCGGGGCGAAACATTAACAAACACTGACAGACTAACAACAACTCACAGAGAGAATATAAGGCGTTAAGGCTCTATATTAACAATAAATAAGATAAATTAAACAGGTTTTCTGTTACAGCTGTGAGTATAATGATTTTTAAAAAACCTTATATTACCGGGAGCGTGCTACATAATGCTAACGATGCTAGCTCACCGTCGCTAACAGGCCAGCTGCTCATAAAAAAACACATTTTTCCACCTCATAGGAGATACTTACAGGGAATGGAGCTTCTGTCGTAATGTAACAAATCCTAAGTCATATTTACATTAACTCAAACGGACTACCAGATGTTTTCCCGCTGATAAATAAAATATCGATATTGCTAACGGCTATTCAATGTTTTGGAGCTAATTTCATTCAGCAACATGGCGACCGCGGCGACCTCTTCTCTCACCCGGATGGAGTACCGTATCCAGGAAGTGGTAATACCGCAGCGCGATTCCGGCAGAAAATCATATTGTCTGCCCAGATTATCCTTTTTTTTGTTTTTGATATTTAGTAACCTGTTTTAGGCAAACTAGAAGAATAAAAGCAGTCGTCTAAATGTGAATTACGAAAGTATATTTTTCCTAAAGTCACAAACTAATGAATGCAAACTTTAAAGCTACAGTAAAGAGTTTTTTACTAGCGGTGAAAAAAACTTACATCAACATTAATACACTATTTGGGGCCAATAAAGTGTAGCAGCGGCACAGTCAGCACTGGTGGTGTGGCGCGTAATGTGCCAGCGCTGCCATTTTGGCTGACATAACAACACTAAGCACATTGGAATGAATGAAATTAAGTTGACGTTAGGTTTTAAAAAACAACTATCTATTAGCTGACTACACTAAACCTGGTCTTAAACCTGTGGCCAGCCATATACCTGTACAGAACAATTTTTTCAGAGTAACCCCCAATTTCCACCATATCTGGAATGGCTATGAAAAGGCCATAACGTCCAATCAAAGCTGATCGTAACCATTTAAGTTAATGTGTCATTTTCACTTGCGAGTTCTTGCGATTCCTGCTGTCCATAATCAGCCACAAAATTCGCCTTACAAATGGATCCGGTAGAAATTGGCGTACGGCGAAAATCGCAGCCGTTTCATATGCGGTTGAAATCTTGGGTAAGATTAGGTACACCACTTTTTCCTCTAGGGGGCAGCAGAATTGACATGAACTAAAAGTTACTCTCTAGAGCTTTAACAAATTTGATTGGCTCATTGTTTAAACAATAAATATTTATTTTCATCAGTGTGTAACAACTCATTTGAACAGTTTTTACAGGCATTCACAAAACATCAGTAGAAAAAAAGGCAAATCGTAATTCTCTCAAAGTTTCGCTCACACTCCAAAACGTATGCAAAATTTCTATGTGCAAATCTAATGAAAGAGTGAACTATCAGGCAGAAATCATGTGCAAATTCATTTAAAAACTAAAACTATCTCTTGCCATGACACCACACTGCTACAACATTACAAACAATCTGTTGATGAACACAAAACAGTTGAGAAACATGAGCAACTTGACTTGCAGGTAAAGCATGTTCTGACCGAGTCCACTCAGACTGTGGACTCTGACGGATCAGCTTCACTGAAACTAAGATCACATCCAAATGTCAAAGTCTATTAATTAACAGTTATGGTGTAAGACAGTGTATCTCTACTTGGTAACTTCAACTTTTATTACCTTTAAATCCACTAATTCGTTCAGATAAACAGTTTTAAAAAGCAGGCACAGCCGTACCATTACCTCTATACAGTTGCAGTATTTGGTCACCTTATCCAAAACATTGTGTCTCCTGTTGGCTCATGAACTTTAACCCAACACATATCACATGATATCACATGTGCTTCACAACAAAATTATTCTTATTTCAAGTAAAACCCATAAAATATCAGCAATTTTTAACCTGATTATCCTATCTGCAAACACAAACACTCTATGCTACAGTCTGTAAAAACACAAGTAATGAAAACAAACAACCTAAATCAGGTATTCAGACAATCTAAACACTATCTACATTTCCAAAAATGTCCTCCAGTCTTTTCTGTGCATTTATGTAAAAATTAGAGACTGGCTGGGGTGATCAGAGCAGACGCTCTTCTGGTCATTTTCCTTAAGACGGTTCAAAGTGCTTGTGTGTATTAACAGTTTAGGAGAGTCCATCAACATCGAGGAGAGATGGATGAGGAAAGAGGATGCAGTTGTTTTGGACGCAGTCACGGATGCTGTTAAGACTGCAGAGCAGAAAGGCGTCGCTCAATACACTGCTTACCTGGGAACAACAGAGGGAGGGAGAGTTTCAGGATTGAAAAGATGACTCAGGAAATGCATGAATGTGTGATGTTTGGTTTCTCTGCTTACATTTATCAACACTGTCGATGTCTTTCTGCTCTGTAATGATTCGAGACAGACCCTCCATCAGCAAGAGGGCTTTGTGGTAGCGCTGGACTGACGCAGCTCCATAGTGGAACATCTCATCCAAGGCAGCAGACTGTACCTGAATCCATAAAAGCACATTAAAGTTGTAGTGCACATCTATTAAAATAATGATGCATGCTGGGTAGATGACTCAGAGCATCTCCTGCTGGGTTGTGAACTCACCATGTGCACAGTGTGGCTGTAGATGAGTTTCTCTGCTGTGAGTCCATTAAAGCGCTCCATCAGCTTCTGTTTGTCGAGCAGGAAGGTCTGCAGTCGATGGTTGAGGGAGCGACAGTATGTGACACAGCTCTTGTATAATTCATTCAGCTTCCTGATCACTGCAAAGAGGCATCCGAGTATTAAAAAGACAATAACACACAGATCCACATTTAGACTTGAGCAGCAGAGATCCCTGAAGGGTTAAATGTCTCGTTATACCCGAGAGACTCAAATCAGAACAATTTCAGCAGTTTTTTAGAACTGAGGGTCAGGATTCTCACCTTGTTTGACTGTTGCAGAGGGAAGGAGTTGTCCCTGTTTGATATTGTCTTTAGCCGCGTGCAGCGCCGCTGACAGAAACTCTTCAGCCTTCATGTAGAGCACTAACTGCTCTGCATAGCTGCAGAACACATAAAAACAGTGGAGTCAGTATTATGATAGTTTGATAATCTTATACTTTAGTACTTTGTGTTTGTTCTAGATCAGTTTAACCTTTCATGCCTCTCACCTCCACTCTTTGCTCAGAAGGCTGATCTGGTCCGTCACCAAGCTCTGCTCCAAAAAGGAAACATCAGGACTGCTGATGGTGTCCGAGCCCAGTTCCTTAGAAGCCGCCAACTCCATGACGCAGTGGACGAAAGCCAAAATGAAGCGTAGTTCACTCAGAGTGTCCGTATGAGGCTGCTGTGAAGAGACAGAACCTGGACTCAGAATTCGTCTGTTTTCTCTTCGCTGTGTCTGTAATGTCATGATCGTGTTTGTTTGTACCTCCATCAGCGTGTCTTCAGGGAGCTCAGGAGGATTGAAGACCAGGCTGCTGTGTGGAGTCGCATCCATGGCTTCACTCTCGCTGTTTCTGTGGCTTCCTCCTCCCTGAAGAAGACGACTGTTGAGCAGCCAGGCTGAGTTCATGTAAGTGGGGGAGCCTGAATTGAAGACAACAGAAACATGGCAAATCAGCGTGAGAAACTGATGACCTGTGTAGGTTTGTATTTATCAGCACCACTATCTCTTTTATTACTCTGATGTGCCGTTGTCTTTTTTTCCATTTCTAGGATCTTTTATCATCCTTTAATATTTGTCTTCTATTTTATATTTGGTGTGAATCATGATTTTTTTTCCCTCTTCTGCTGTTAAATTCCATTTATTCTTCATTCACATCTCTCCATCAAGGTCGTTTGTAAACATGAGGTTTCTAAAGTCTTATAAACTTACCTGAAAACATTTTCAAAGCTGAAGTATCAGGGGGAGTGTTTCCTTTAGAGGGAGAGCCCATGGTGAAGACAGCAGGAGGTGGGCTGTCGGTGAACTGAAATCCTCTGGGGTAACCAGCAGGTGGTGCTGTGAGAGTAAATAAGAAGAGGTCAAGTCAGCTGAGGAGTGCTTTAATATAGTTCCTCTGTTTCAAACAGGTGAAAAACGCTCTAATATGAGACACAAAGACACAGTCTTGGTATAAATCATGATCTAACTTTTACACCTCAGCCTCGTTTACCTGTTATATCCATGCTTTTCTCACTGTTGAGGCTCTCGTCACTTCCCTCTCCGAAAAGGTGAGCTCCGAAGGCCGCCTTCAGCAGCATGTCAGACAACCTGCCTGTGCTCAGCGACCTGGACATTTAATACAGACACCCGCACCGACAGGAGCAGTTAATCATTCATGTCTGCATGCTGGCTGCAGATGGCAGGTTAATGCATTAATCAAACAGTCTTGATTAGACGTTGATCTCTGACGTTTAATTCCACCTTCATGAAATGAAACCAGAAGAAAACGGTGCTGTTCTCACCTTTTAAACGGGCCCTTTTTATTGGCTGACTTCCTGCTGAAGTTGTTCTGGGAGGAAGGAGAAGAGGCGAGGGACTGAAGGTCGGGGACTGTCCGTGTTCGGTTTGGCATCCTCGACTGAACCAGAAATAACAGAGAAATTAAAAAACTGAATTTAACGGCTCACATGTAAACAGCTGAGTGTAGTTCTTCAGTCTGTAAAGGTAAAGGTAAATGTTCTGTGGACTGACCTGCTTGTCAGGGGAGATAGTGAGCAGCCCGGTTCTGGTGCTGACTGGAAGGTTCTGCTCTGAGGTCTTTGGGGTCATTCCCACTGAAGAACAGAGAAGGATCATGTAGTTCGACTCACTTAGAGATGATTGCACTGAAACAGGTAAGCTCAGGTGTGTTCTCGAAGTGATGTTTGAGTTCAGTAAACGTGTCAGACAGAGAGGAAAGTAATCATAACGCTTCATGCACTAAACGAGACATATTTCAGTCGGTGAACGGTCCAGGAGAACTGCGCTGAAAAATCAAGATCTGCTTCCAAAATTTGCAAAAGTTGAGGACTCTGCCTACCAGGAGGGGAGGACTGCTGTGGTCTGGCACCTCCGGATGCCAGTCTCGGGGAGCTGACAGATCGTGGACCTAGAGCGCCGCAGCCTCCACACTGTGGTGAGCTTTCGCTGCTGCTGCTGTCGGCACAGCAGAGTGTGACCCTGAATGACATGAGGCAGAGTCAGACGTGCAGAAAAAGGAAAAAGACAAAACATTGAGGTGACGTGGGTGAGGAGAGGAGACAGCAGAGGAGCCGCTCTGACCTGGTGGAGCCATGCAGACCAGGAGGGTGCAGGTTCTGCGCGATACGCTGGTAGTTTTGGATCTGAGTCGGGACAGGAATGGGAACTGCTTGGCTCCAGTTTGGGCCGATAAATTCAACAGGCTTACTGCACGGATGAAACAGAGAGCAGAAGGAGTTAGAGACCTGAGAGGGACTTTAAAACAAACTCTGTAAAAGCACAGCTGCTCATGTTGAACCTTCATGTCGGTACATGCTGTTCGGTTTATGCAACACTCAAGTTAATCATTTATTTTGGAGAATTTTCTCAACTACAAACCAAAAGTGGGACTAGTCTGTGATTACCTGACAGATTTGGGGGGAGAGTGTAGCCGGGGTGAGGGCGGAGGTGTCTTTCCAGCAAATCCAGGACTTCTCTCTACCAGCTGTGAGCTCCTAAAAGAGACATTTATCAGCTCTGTCTGCTCATTTTAAAGGTTTTCATCACTCATGTAACAGTCGGTGAAAAGAAACTAAAGAAAAAAGCTCATTATTCATGATTATGGAGGAACCTTATTTCATGATTGCAACATGTTACACTGAAATCCTATTCTTAGGATCTCCACCCGTGCAGAGACGACTCACCCGCTATATATGAGGCAACTCTCAACAGGTGACCCGACTTCAAGATCACACGTGTACTCGTCTAAAAATAAAGTGAAATGGGAACAGTCAGATGTATCCTGACCGTGAGGAGTAAAATAATCTGGATGGTATAGAGAAATATTGATGGAGTGAGGTTAAGATGTCTTACTGGGAAACTGTGCAGGAACCATGACGTAGTCCTCTGTGGAGGACGAGGTGTTCCTGCTGTGCTGATTGGCTGGTTCTCTTATGAGGAAGACCGGGGGGTCCTGCGGAGGGGAGTACTGAGCTTTGGGCTGCAGGCGGTGCATCTCCCCGTGGGAATGCTGCAACAAAGGAGCGGTTTAAGAGTCACAAGAAGTGTGCAAGAGAAAGTGGATTTTCTTTCTGTAGAATGAATCGATACGCACTTGAGGGGAAGCCAGATGTGAAGTGGTGGAGCTGCTGGAGGAGCTTCCTGAACCTGAACTTGGATAGGAGATCAGGGGAACAGGAGAGCCTGTGCAGGAAAAAACACCCCCCCCTGAGTGAAAACCTCGACTTTTACTGAAAAAAAGCTACAACCTCAAAGAATCATGACAACCATCTAAAACCCACAATTTAACAGATTTAAAATGAGCACAGATCTTTCATAAGACAAACTTTTGCTGTTTTATCATTTCACAAGTTGTCTCTACACTATTTTCATTTAAATACAGGGTTTTTAAACAGTGTCCAAAACAAGATCAAGGTAAAGTGCCTACATTTCTTGGTGGATGAGCTGGTCTCCAAGAACGGATGGTGGAAAAACTCATCTGCAAATGCAAACGGATTTACAGGTGAGGAGAAAGCTTTTAAAAAGTATTAAAGTTGAGGGATTTTCAATGGGAGTTTGTGAAGGTTTACCAAAGTTGATCCTTTGTTTGTGGTTTCTCTGCAGCAGGCCCAACAGCAGGTGTCTGAGGCTGCTAGAAGTCTCCTTTGGGATGCTGAGGAAATACAACAGAAATCTTATATTTAGAAACTATATAGAAATAAAACTTGGGACAGAAGCAAATTCTAGATTTATACAGTGTGTTGACATTAAAGTGTCTCCTCCTTCCCTGTTCGTATTTTCTTGCTGAAGGATGTGATTTCTTTTTCACAAACAACATTTATGGTCGATTGCGTAAATTCAAAGTGAGCTGTGAATTTTTAATCCAATTTATGACTACAGTACAAAACCTCAGGGCATCATGACATTCATAGCCAGTACAGACTCTGTGTGTAGATGTGTGTGTGTGTTTACGTCTGTGCAGAGCTATTTAGGTCATGTGGAAAATGATAGCAGTGCGGGCCGCTGGCTGGCAGCTCAGAGCAGGTTATATATAGAATGACAAGAAAACAACCGACCATGCCTGCTCACACAAAAACAGGGGGCCTGTGTTATCATCTGGCTTTATCGCCGCAAAGATTAGCATGACCACGAGTCAACGCAGGCCGGCTAACTACAGCATGAAAACAACAGTGCTATCTGGGTCCAAGACGTGACGGATCCAGGATTCAAAACGACTTTAAATAGCAAAGATGGAGTGTCTTCTCGAGAAAGTTACAGGTGTGCGGATCATTGACTTCTCATGGCGTCTGTGTAACAGGAAACCTTCAGTGTGCACGCCAAACATCGAGTGGGCACAGTGTAAATGAACCTTCAGTTAATCATCAGTCAGTCAGTCAGTCAGTGTGCAGAGGAGACAGATCTTCATGTGCTGTTTGCTTTTTTTATAATCCTTCCTGTTATTCTCCTGAGTGTGTCGGCTGTTTGTGTTCAGTACACGGAGCGTACATGTGCGCAGGTTACCTCAGGGGGGCGCTCACCTTGGAAGGAGGGTGCTGTTGCTTTCATAAAAGAAGCGGAGCTCCTGGGGTGTGCTGGCCTGTACGAATACACACAAGAACACACACACACACACACACACACACACACACACACACACACACACACACACACACACACACACACACACACACACACACACACACACACATAAGGAATAATGTTAGGGTTGTAGATGAAGCAAAAATAACTCACATTTTTAATTTTCATGATCAATTAATTATTGTTCAGCAAAGTAGACATGTTTGTATTTACCTTTTCGAACAACTACTAATCCACCCATCCATCCATCCATCCATCCATCCACCCATCCATCCACCCATCCATCCAACTTTGAACCATCATCCATCCATCCTCATTCCACCCATCCAACCATCAATCATCTATATATCCATCAATAAATCATCCATCCATCCAACTATCATTTATCTGTTCTCAATCCTTTTATTCATCCACCTATCATCCATCCATCCATCAATTCACACATCTGTCCAATTTTGAACCATTATCCATCACCCATTTATTATCCATCCATCTATCATCATTCCATCCATCATTCATCCATTCAACCACAGATTCATCTATCATCTGTCCGTTCTTTTATTCATCAATCCATCGATCATCTGTTCATCTATCATTCATCCATCCATCATTCATCTATGTATCCATCAGTCTATCTTCCATTTATCCTCCATCCATCATCTATCCTTAATCCTTTTATTCATCCACCTATCATCCGTCCATCTATCCATGTATCTATAGTTTTATTCTCTATCCCAGGCTTTTATTTTGAAATGTTTTCTTTCCTTTTATTTTGTCATACTTGATTTTTTTCTAAAAAATTTAATGAACCCAAAATACATTATTTTTTAAAGAGTAAATGATTCATTCAGAGTTTTTAAACAGGAGATAGTGAAAGGTCTACCGACACATTAGACGATACGCTGACAAATTTAAGTGCCAGTTTACACTGAGTACATTCAGTCCAAAGATAACTAACAGGTGGGAGTTTGATGATCCCAGGAAACGACACGTGGAAGCCGCGGAGACTCCAGGTAAGCCAGCTATGTAAACATCAACAACATCATCATCGTCATCATCATCGGCGGCGGCGGCTAACCTCATGTGGACTCTTGGACTCATCTCAACTCAGTGACCAGCCTGACAAAAATAGAAACTCTCCTCCCTCCTCTCTTCACTGGGAAAACGCTTTCAAGGAAACCGTAACAGAAAAAGCCTCAACGGGGTCAAAAGGTCAAATAACACAATGTTTTTGTCTTTTATAACCGCCGTTAAAACAGAGAGGGGAGCGGGTTTGAGGCCAAAAACAAAGAGACACGACGTCAGCAGGTGTTTCTGCAGAAATCACACCTGAGAAAATGTGCAAATAACAGTTCAGGTTTCCAGTGAGCGGACACGTGAACAGAAGAAAGTAATACCCCGGGTTGTGAAACAATATTTACTGTGGGCTCAGCGGCGGGGCTGTCAGCCATTTCTACATGCCCACCGTCTGTAAACAAGACTCTTTACAAACAAGGAGACAGGCTGTTCCGGCATTTTCCATCCGCAGTGGAAAGTAGGCAGAGTCCGGCGGCGGTGGTAGGCATTTGATGGACGCTTTTGGGATCACTTTGTCTGGCTGTGCTGCGACAGGCATCATGTTCACTTTGAGTATTTGTGGTTATGTAAGAAGGCTTGGTGAGAATTGGCTGGTTCAAAATCTAAAATCTACTTTCCAAACCACCTGAAGAGAGATTACACAGCTTTTGTGTGTGTGTGTGTGAGTGAGTGTGTGAGTGTGTGAGTGTGTGCTTCTGAGTACCACTCACGTGAAAGGGAGCTTTTCCAGTCAGGCACTGGTACACGATAGTACCTATGCTCCACAGGTCAGCCTTAGCATCATAGGTCTGGGACATGATGACCTCGGGAGCCTGTGACCGAACAAACACAGAGCTCAGAAACAGGCTGACATGTTGGCTCAGGAAACCACAGGAAGGGAGGGAGAGAAACAGACATGAAGGCTCACCATGTACATGGGAGAGCCGCAGAGTGTGGCCGCCATGGTGTTCGTCTGGAGGTGACGTGCAAATCCAAAGTCAGCTGGAGAGGGAGAAACACACAGTGAGGGCCAAATAAAGAAGAGTCTGTGCATTGAAAATAAAAATGACCCATAAATATGACTCCAGTGAGTTGAAGTCATTACCGATCTTGATGCAGGTGTTGGTGGGACTGGACCTGCGCCCCTCAGGGTGGCAGAGCAGGATGTTCTGGGGTTTGAGGTCCCTGTGGAGGATGCCTTTGCTCTGCAGGATCTTCATGGCCTGAGCGATCTGCTGCAGGAACGTGCGGATGGTGTCCTCACTTAAAGTGCCTTTAGCTGAGGGTCAAAGGGATGAAAAGATCCAATTAGCTTGATTGTTAATTAGGTAGTAGTGCAAGAAACTAATATACAGGGGTCAACGAAAAAAACTCCATGCAGATTCAGGTTAAGAAGCAGATCTGGTGAAAAGGTAAGCAGGTCAATCTTCAAGAATTCTGGTTTCTGTCTGTGATTAAATCCCCTGAAACCAGTTAATTTATCTTCATTGAATCTCTATAAACAAAAACCTGCTCCTCTCACGTGAGAAGGTGTCTGTTGATCCCAGAGGCTTTATCACTATCAGCTGACAGCTTTTAGGGCTGACTTTATTAAGACTTTCAAAAGCTGAATCCTCCTCAGACACAGATGTGACCTTAAACTGATTCACTTAGTTTTTACTCTTAAGTGATGTCAGGTAATCACGCACAAGTCTGATCATCTCAGTGTCACTGCTGTCATACTTCGTGGAAGAAAATGTTGTTTACGACCTGGCTTCATTTAGAAATTATTGACAAAGCTGTCTGACATGCTAGCACCCCCGCCCCTCCAACCCCCATCCCAACCTTGCAGTACACCCAGTATTTATAGCTTCAGTGTTTTTCCACAGGAGGACAGGGGATAAGTGAGTGACAGATGGGCGAGGTCATGTGGGTGCTTTGTGAACCTTGCCAAGTGTGACTGCGAGCTGCGCTGCAAGAAAGCTGCAATGAGCCTCCTTGGCAGGGGCACAGGATGGGCCAGAGACGCTGCCTGCCGGCATGTTGGCAGAATTAGAGCGACGTTCCACATCGGAGTTTAAATAGACACTTAGACACCGATGGAGTAAATTTAGACCCAGAAGAATCACCTGCGAGGCCTCTTCTGCTTCATCAACTCAATGTTTTTGTCTTTTATTGTTAATTCAGAGTCAAACGAGAACATGTTACTGCCTGGCTAAGATTACTACACATTAACTCTATTATGATTATCCATGTCCTCTTTTTTTTATCTCATCATAATGTCAATCAAGTTCAGCAGTTTTGAATATTCAACATGATGCTTTTTTATGAAATACAAAATCAAACAGGACCAACAGTGATGAGACTGACGGTTTTTATGGTTATTATTAATGCTCCAAACTGGTTCAACAGGGTAAGTCTCAGCTGAAGAAACAGACCTGCTTTGATTCTTCCACAGAATATATTCTGATACAGCACACCATCAGTTAGTAGTCAGTTAAAAGTTAGTAGAATATAACTTTTTAATCCTGCAACACAATTTAGCATGTAGAAGACAAGATAAGTGAAGACAGCTTTGTCCACAGGGGGCGCCAAAGTGACACGAACAAAAAATTCCCCACAAGAACTTTAGTCGTGTTTTAAATTTTAGCGTTTCATCAAATATATTAATCGGCATTATATATTAGCAATCGATAAACTGATATTGGCCGACCACTGTCATACACATATATTAGTATTATATTAGTATGACTATATTATCTTATTTTATATTATATTTTGGTTTGACTGTCTTAAAATTAGCACATCTACATGGTGAATTTGCCTCTCTATGGGGGCTGAGGTGACGTACTGTGGCTACTTATATGATATTATGTTATATTATTCTATACTATATAATATTATAACATATTATACTATAACATTATATTATATTGTATCATAGTATATTATATATTATATTATATGATATTATACTGTATTATATTATACTATGTCATAGTATTATATCTTAAACAGATCTACATAATAAATTTACCTCTATAATGAGGGCTGAGCTGACCTACTGTTTGTAATACACTATTAACCACTTACTATTACCTTGTATAACCCCACATCAAAAACATGGAGAACTGTCCCTTTAACTATATAAATGGGTTCGAGTTCTTCAAAGTATTAATGATTGCAAACACTCTGTCCTGTTTGATCTGCCATAATGCTATAATTCCTTCAAACACTAATTTGTCTTAGCCAATACAACCCTCTTATTCACCAAACTGACCCTCCAGTACAGAAGTAAGCTGCTCCAGTCTCATTTCCATTTAAAGCTCCTGTGGGGGACTGATGGTTTGTGTTGATTTTGGCGCCCCCTGTGGAAAAAGTAGTACATCTTATCTCCATATTGTCCTTTACTTGTGCAGAGTTCAGTTTTTCTGAGGTTTAACACGTCGCTTGATATGAATCTTTACTTTAAAAAAGCAGTTTAGATAACCGCTTCGTCTGACAGCAGTTTCCAGATTTGGAAATATCTCTGAGGAAACACTTCGCCTTGTTCCTGATCGTCTCGTTTGCTACTGAAGCTCACACAGAGGCACCAGTATCAATTTCAGTCTGTTTCATAACCAGCTAAAAACCGCTCACATGGGCTTTAATAAACAAGCTGTCAGTTTGGTTAACAGCAGTTATGTGGAGAGCTGGAAATATCCTTTTATTGTTGAAAACAGAGAGACATGAGAAACAATCACATCTGCAGGAGGGTAAAAACTTACAGTGAAGATACTCTGCTAAGTCGCCGCCATTGCAATACTATAAAAAAGACAAGAGAGAGACATGTTAAATAGATGCTGTAAGGTTACATCGCTGCTAAATGGATCTGTACTTTACTACATACCTCCATGACGAGATACACACATCCTCCAATTTCCTGTCAAAGAAAGCACATTACATCCATATTACCATTTCTTTTTTAAACAGATCACGTTTATTTCGAGTGAAAACATGTCGATAACTGCGACTTCTACCATCAACCCCTTTGGGCTTCAGCAGCTGCTCCAAAAGTTACACAACAAGCGTCACCTGCTCTTTTCTTAGACTGAGTTCAGTCTCTTTTGGCCCGTCACCAGAGGCGCTTCTAGAAAATTTGAATGGCTAGCTCTGGGGTCTGAAACTTTACCCTGTTATGACCCCTGTACAGCTATGGCCCCGCTGGACCATCCAAGATCATCCCTCTCCGTTTGACATCACTGATATCAAAAAGGCCACTGAGCTTAGGTGGGCTTAAGGGTGGGAAATTCAGCATGTCACACAGTCCCATCTGATTTGAAATGAATTAAATAAGTGCGGGGGCGAGTTCCCTCATGTTTTTATTTTGCATAATACAGTTGAGCAACAGGGTCTGTTAATGCCACATGTGGGGCTGAATTAATGACACCCTTTGGCTGTTATGATGAAGAATATATCACTATTACAGATCGTGAGAGTACCATTTCCGCGGATAAACACATGACAGTGTTTAAAGGCTGCTACAGTTTGACCCGGAGTGTATCATTTCAGTTCATTAGCCTCGCAAGCTGCTGTGTGTCTGTAGAGACTGTGTGTCTATTAAGCCATTGTTGAACCTGCTGCTCCCTGCCATCTGTTAGACATACAGTGAGAGATCAGCTCACCCCTCCCCGTCTGGATATCTGGCAGGTGTTGGTAAGGTGAGAACAGGAAGGCACCCACACAATCACGCATACTGACATACAAGCAAATGGTTGATGTCCTCTGCTATGTGTGACCCGCATATGAGTTTAAATCGACTATTTGCATACAGTAAACTCCCTAAAATCTAACTTTGATTCAGACAAAGGTTTTCCAGGGAGTTAAAGCAATGTTCAAACATGATTATACAGTTTAAAATGAGGTTTAAAGACATGATTTTTAAGAGGTACAGGGATGAGGAAGGTGTTGGGTAGCATTAAGTGTTATGAGGTTATTGTTGTTTTATTTAGTTTTGTTGTTTTTAATGTGTGTAGCTGTATTAAGTGGATGTAGATTTAGTTTTTTAATACAAAGTCATGAACGTACTTTATTTATCTATAAGTATCAGGTACATCTAAACATGTTGCAAGGAAGCTTAGTGTGGGTACTTCTTATTTAAAGGGAAGAGGTAGGAGTTCATAAGTTATTCTATTTCTATGTTTTACGTTTAATATGTTAATGTTTTGACTTACTTTTCTTGGTTTATTTTATATATTTTTGGTTTGCATTTGCGAAATAAACTTCAATCAATCGATCAAAAGAACCAGAACATGTCTGAGTCTGGCCTACCGCCTAATTTTTACAATATTTACATAAAAACAAGAATTTTCACTGCGGTCACTGAGTTCTTGAGCTCTGTAAAAGAACTACAACATCCGGCCTCTCTATTACATGGACCAATGAGGCCTGATGTTGCAACAATATGTAAACATCTGCAACATGTGCAGAAAAGCCTACAACACTGAGTGACAATATTTGACTAATATGAGGAGAAATAAGGCCATATTTACCTGATAATCGAGCAGTCTGACAATGTTTTCATGTTTAAGTTCCTGGAGAAGGAGGAGAAAACATCTTGGTTAAATCTAAACACACAAAATCTCATTAAAATGTACACCAACAATAAAAGTGAACATCTTACCTTTAATATTTTGATTTCTTTGCCAAGCAGAGACTGTGATTTGGCCAAGTTTTTCTTGTTGATGCACTTCACAGCAACTTCCCAGTCACGTTTCTACAAATGAAGTGTTAAAAAGCAAAATATAAATAGACAACAATAACTAATTAGGCTGTAATAATAATAATAATACTCAGGTGTAAAGTTACCTCTTTATGTCGGCCTCTGAACACAACAGCAAAGGCACCGTGACCAATCAGGTCTTTCCTGTTGAACTCAAACTTCCCAACAGACTCCATGGAAAAGACAAGAATAAACTCATAAAAGTGTCCGAACAGGTTCAAGACGTGGACTCTCCCACTGGTGAAACAGATGTACAATCCCACGACACCTTCCTCGTGCCGGTAAATCCCATTTCATTGGTTAAAAACACCGTCTCCGCTCGTTAAAAGCTCCATGGACGCTGGAAAAACGCGACGACAACGTGACAAAGTTGTGTCAATAACACCAACAACACTTGGAGCAACGTGGACAGAAATAAGTTTACAAACTAAATATTAACGACAACCTGAGCTTAGACGAGGTTAGAACTGACGACTTTAACTTTCCTGGAACCGTCAAAGAGTGAAAAAGCGCTTGTGTGTTTCTTGTATCTGTTTATATCCAGACTCTGAGCTCTCATATTATTGTCTTCCTCACCTTTCTACCCTCTGATATTCATATCTGACGGCGAGCATGCGCAGACGGAGTGGCAGCTGTTTGACGGTGAGGCCTTCAGGGACACCTCGTAAACCTGCAACTCAATGCCTAAATTTGGCTACGAGTCATTTCAAATGCTGAATCACGATGTGGCCATTTACTAAAAATAATGTTATAGTGGTTGAGGTTTCTGTGTTATGAGTTTTAAAAGGTAACGCATTCGTTTAGCTGTACTAAAAGCCATCCTTGTATCGTGTTTAGGATGTTACTGGTGTTTCGGACGAGCACCGAAATGAAAAAAAAAAGCTTAAAAAATTAAAAAAGTTACCTACAAAGTTCAGCGAAATTGATCCGTATAACACAAACTGTCTCTTTCTTTGTAACTGGATATTTATATCAGTATAGCATTACAATACAGCCAAGAGGCCTCACTTTAAATCCTCAAAATGTGTTTAAGCGGATTGTTGATACTCCTTACTAAAATCAAAAAACGAAGATGCCATAGCTATGGACCTACATTTTATGGTGATATAAGAATATGTATTACCCTATGACAGTTGCCCTGAGTGCAGTTTGTTATAGGGGAGAGTGGGGTAAGTTGAGCCACCCTCCCTGTTGCTTGGAAATGGTAAAAGAAATTGATCATGTGACCAAATATTTAGTTGATGGGCATCAATTCATGGAGTCTGTGAAGGTTAGAAGCACATGGGTGAAGGGGTTAGACATTTATTTCTAAAAAAAAATAAATTTTTCACTCTGTAAAGTGAATTTAGTCTGTCATAAGTTTGATTAGAATTGTGTTCAGACCAAAAAAGATCATTTTAAATTTGTTTTATACATCAATTGTGGTATCTATGACATGCTAACATGCTATATTATCAAGACAGTTCTGTTTACACTCATTCGGCTGGTTTACAGGGAACATCTTGAAATATCTACAGATACACTAGTTAGAGACAAAACTATGATTGACTTGATGTAGTGATCCGAAATATGAAAAATGGCTCATCTTACCCCACTCTCCCCTAATAATGATAGTAGTGTGCCTAACATTTCAACAAACCAAAACAAACTGTCTTAGTTTCTAAGTTACTACTATAAATCATAGACTGTATATAAGATTATATATACATCTTATATATTATATATATCTTATCTTATCTATATCTATATCTATATATATATATATATCTTATATATCTTATATACAGTCTATGGTATAAATCCAAACACAGTAGTTATTTCTATAAAAAGAGGATGAGCCATATTTCTTGTCATAAAAATTTTATAATAAAGATAACTGAAAGCACAAACAATAGTACCATAAGACAACAACCATTAAAGGCCATAAAAGCATAGAAAACATTTTTAAAAATCTTTTAAAACTGACATCAAAAGTGAGCGCAGAGTGAAGTACAGTAAATCCTGTTTTATGAAACCTAATGTAAGTACAGTGTATGTCGTTTAAAAACATGTCATTCCCCTTCGTTCTCACAGTATGTTCAGAAAAAATCCTCCTCATCAAGTCTCTCTCCGCTTCATATTTCCATGTACAAAAAAAAATGTATGAAAAGGTAAAGTAAATAAGCGACACGAAAACAGCTAAAGACGTCACAAAATCCTCTTTGAAACACACGGATGATTCAATTTCGCCTTCGAAAAGCGACTCAACAAACTGCAGCTTTCATAGAAGTGAGGTACTGCAAATACACCAGCCGCTTCATTTCAAAAAGAGAAAAAAACACACAAACAGAATCGAACACGACAATACACTGACTGTGGAGCTGTGGCATTTAGCAGAGAACATGATACATAACTCAGAATCACAAAATAAATAAATACATTATATCAGAATTACATAAGGTCAAAGACACCGCTACTCTACTCATTATTGTTAAATTGAAATGGTGTTGTGCTGTCCCAAAGGCTGGATTAAAGCTGGAAGAAACTGTGATTGTAGGAAAAGTCTGGTCAGGTAAAATAAGTAATCAGTTCTTTCTGGTTATTATAATAACTCTGCGAAACAGCTGGTGAGTTTTGTTTTAAGGCAGAAATCCAACACTACACTTCAGGAGGAAAATCCTGGGTCTCATCTAGAAGTTATGCGTTTCAGCCACACTTTAAAAACCAACTCAGGTTTGTGATTTCGAGCAAATATGTGGCACAGCTATGTTGAAAAAAACACATGCCGAATCATTTCACTGTGATGAAAAGAAAAAGCTTGTTAGCTATAAAAGGGATCGATAAAGATGCTTATTATGATGCAACAACAACAGCATGTGATTGGCTCAGTGCTGGATTTGGAAACAGAGAGACCAGCTTAGCCAGCTGTTTTATGGTTTAAAGCCAGAACATGGCTGTGATTGTCATTTTACTATCCCAGAGATCGCTCTGTTTTCCATTAAAATAAGCCAGAAGAATAGCTTGGTTTGACGTTTTACTATAATAATTAATAAAAACAGAGATTAGTCTTTGTTAGCTCTCAGCCTGGGGTTGACTTAAGTCTTTTTTAATCGTACTTAACCTTTGATCGCGGTGTTACAGTTATTATCCTTCAGATTTTACAGCAAGTACAGTAGTTGGCCTCCAGAGAACTCGTCTACCTCTTTAACAGTTAATAGCCTTTAAGTGATAGGATAGCCGCTCAGGCATATAACCATAAAACAGAACTATTGCTGTTCTTCCTGTCTCAAACCTCTATGCCTAAGCTAACAAGCTCCTGGCAGGAACTTTTAGTAGCTTGGAAATAGTCTCAAATTTTTCATGGCTGTCTGTAACAAAGCAAAACAAGCATCTTTTCTCAGGAGTGAAACTATTCTGCTAAATGAAATTCTTGTCGGTTTGTAAATCAACTTGAATGTGAGAAAGAGGACCATGCTTGGATTTCCCTAACCACCCTGCTCTTGTTTTTGGGAACTAAGCGTGTTTCATGAGAAAACATAAGGCACAGTCTTCAGAGTCTGTTTGTCTTTATCGGTGTAGCAATAATTCAGCCACACACAACCTTTGGTATCACTTTCATGAGAGCAGATGAGAGTCCAAATCATTACATAACATGGTGGACGAATATTCTGGCCAGTGTTTGTCATCCAACACGACTGAACTTTAGTTTGCTCTCCTGCCGCAGACGGAGGTGAGCGTCCGTCTGTTTTTCTACACGGCAGAGAGGTCGATACGATTGGCTGAGTTGGTGCTTTTGTCCCATGTGTTCATCTTCGTCGGAGTTACGCCCTCCTTGTTTCCATTCATCTACAGATAGAGAGAGAGAGCGGTTAGGGTTCAGAGGGTTCGACTCATTTTTATGTTTTAGAGAATCTTTAACAACATCGCTCACAATGTCGGAGTTGAACGGCTTCACATTGATGTTTCTGATGGAGCTGCTGGTGAGAGACCACACCTTGGTCTTGTGTTTGAAAGCAGCTCGGACCTGCAGAGAGACGCAAAAGCACAACAACAACAAACTCTGTTAATCATCGGGTGAAATGAAAACGTAGGAAAAAGAGTGAGATTGTTTCTGTTGTGTTTCTACAGTGATGCTTCATTATCTTATTTAAGTGTTGATGAACAAACAACTGGTCAAAAACGAATGTCTGTCTCTGTGATGACCATCTGATAAGCGTCTATTTTCCTGGTTACCTGGGTGACAAGTCCCGCCTCATCCAGTTTATGATTGGCTGGCTGAAGTAGCATCGCCTCTATCTTGTACAGAACAAACTAGCAGCTGGAGCAGATAATGATAAACTTAACAAACGGCCTGAGGACCCTTAACAGACAATGGGTGAAGCTGTTTTCACTTTTTGAATTAAATTATGGGAAAAATGGAACTTTTTCAGGACATTCTGACTTTTTTGAACGCTCCCGTATTTCTTACAAAGATATAATAATAATAATGATAATAATAAATTTTATTTATGATGCGCTTTTACAAGTGCTCAGAGACACTTTACAAAAACACAATTAAAATACAGAACAATGTGGAGTAATACACCATCAATGTAAAAGGTTAAAAAAGACATAACATGAAAAGATATAGATAATACATTAAAGATAAAGATAAATATTTCAGATAAATATAAAATTATTCACTAACCTCAGAGTTGAGAAGACAGTGAAACAAGAAGACAAAGAACCCCTGAAAAAAAAGAAGAAAAATATTGCTTGTAGACTTTAACAAATATTGAATTTAAAGAGAGAGAAAAATAAGTTCTTGTAGTAAAAAAAAAAAACCTCACTTGTAAAGAGTTGAAAACAGCAAAAATATAGAGGAACGGTAACGAGTGTTTGTTGAGTGCGAGTACGCCAAAGATCCAGGAAATGCCGAGTATGGGCAGGAGCACGGCCACTGCCTTTGCAGTCAGCCTTGAAACAAAACAGAAGAAATGCATGTTTATAAAACGTTTGATTGAGAGCATGAGGTCGGTCATAGAAATTAAAAAACTCACTTGACAGCGTTGGCGTCACCGTGAACTTTGTAACTTTCTGCACTGATTCGAGATATAATCCTGGTCACGGATATCAGGATGCCAATGTTCACCTAGAAATCAGAGAAACAGAGTTTACAGTGACTTTGTTTCTTTGTCCTGGGAAAAGAAAGTAATGTTTTGGCTCAAGATTGGTAACTGTAAAAAGTGACAAATGCTAATGGATGCAAATTCCTCACCACGATGACAAACAGCGCTGGTGCCACAAAGGCCCAGATGGCTCCGTTCTTCAGTGACAGCCAGCAGCTGAGAAAGCAAGAAAAGGGTCAGGAGTGAAGAAAGAAATCACACCGGGGTCCCTTCCAAGTGAAAAGTGCAATAACATAAATATGAAATGACAGGTGTTATTACTGTGAGGCTAAAAGCTTTCAGTGGCTGGTTCCAGTTTTTTCCACAGGTGATGTAATTCTCAAGCAATGCCACCGAGCTTTAAAGGAATAAAAACCAATTACATCTTATCCCTGTGAGTTTGTTTTTTTCACGTCAAACTTACTTGTCAATCTCTCCGTAGCTGTCCAGGGCTGATGTCACGGACACCACACATATTACCAGAGGAGAGCCTGATAATAGGAGCAGAAAGAAACGTGTGGATTAATGTGCTGTGAGGTCCTGCGGTAAAAACGACCCCTTTGTCACTCTGCTCCTCATTTACCCTCAAGTATTCATGTCACATTCAAGAACCTATGAAGCTGTATTCAGCGGTTTGAGCCGATACCGTCATATTAAACACTTATGTATGTATACATGGCAGCGCACCAGGTCAAGTTGTGGCACTGCGACATTAAATAAAGGAATTAAAGCCTTTGACACACAAACCAAAGAAGCACTCGGCGATTGTTTTGACACCCGGCCCACATAAATGTCACTGCCTCAAACTGAAGTTACACTTGGAGGAGGAATCATCCAAACAACCCGAAAGACGAGGAGGGCTTTGAGAAACGCCGCGGCAGCAGCAGACGTGCAGCTCCTGACAGATTTGGGACAAAGAGTGAGCAAAAGAAAACAGATCTGCCAAAAAGTGACAGAGCCTTTATTTTCCTCAACAGCAGAGGGTAATACCTCCATTTTACTCCAGTAAAAGGTTTTATTTTGGATATAATCATTTAATAAGAGGATTTAGACGGTATAAAGAAGCAGTAAATACAAACTTAAACCAAACTAATGTCATTAAAAGAGAGTAACATCACTCCATCAGCTCTTGTTATTAGTTACTGCTTATTTTTTAGTCAACTAAACCACAGAAATAATAGTAAAACAACATGAAACTACTTAGATTGAACCTTAAACCGACGGCTATTTAAAGTTTTATGTATTAGTTTCTTATTTAATGTATTTACAGTATTTTACCCTGTAGATGGCGCCACTTTTAAGCAGCTTTCAAGCCAAAAATCAAGATATAACATCCTCAGCTTTGACTTACTCCATGCACAGATTGGCACCACCATGTTAAACTCCTCCCACAGTAACTCGTGTCTTTGCAAAAATCAGCGGTGGTTCAATCATCTGCTGCGCTGCTAATTGCTCGTTTCCCTGAAAATTACTTCAGTAAAAGCTTTTATTTTGTGTATTATCATTTAATAAGAGGATTTGTTGTGACTACTCATATTTTTCTTGTAAAAACAGCTGCATTAAACCATCCATACTAAAAAAGACTTGTATATGTTTACATTTTTGGCCACAGACGGTATAAAGAAGCAGTAAATACAAACTTAAACCAAACTAATGTCAAAAAAAGTAAGTTATATCACTCCATCAGCTCCTGTTTTTAGTTACTGCTTATTTTTCAGTCAACTAAACAACTAAAATAAAAGTTAAACAACATGAAACTACTTACATTGAACCTTAAACCGACGCCTATTTAAAGTTTAATGTATACGATTCTTATTTAATGTATTGTTACAATATTTTACCCTGTAGATGGCGCCACTTTTAGCAGCTTTTAGGCCAAAATCCCGACATAACATCCCCAGCCTTGACTTACTTCATTACTTCATGCATCACTATGTTAAACTCCTCCTACAGTTAACTCGTGTCTTTGCATACTTAAAAAATCAGCGGTGGTTCAATCATCTGCTGCGCTGCTAATTGCTCGTTTCCCTGAAAATGACTCTCTTTATACGGCTGCCTTGATTCGTTGCCATGAAGTCTGGCGCGCTGCTCGACGAGGAAATGACAGCAGTAATCAGCAGCCTCAATCACAGCTAATAGCAGCAGCCATTAATTACTGGTATAAAAAAGTAATTTATATTTTATGTACAGCAGATATACCTCTGGCTGTCACACAAAGTCTCCCACACATCATTTGCAGGTGGCCCCACCAAATGAAAAATTACTCCAACCAGGAGAAGGGAAGTAATAAAAAAAAAAGAGGGAATCGTTTTTCCTCTAATGAGTTCAGCATGTGAAGGAGAGACTTTGCATTCCTCTGCAGCAGGAGACAGTATACGCAAATATGTCCCAGATTTATTCTCTTCTCTGGCGATCAAACTCTGGGTCACTGAGATCACGGGGGGAGGTAATTGTGTTCCTGGAAAGTAACTGAAAGCAGATTCACTCAACAGGTTCACAGGGATTTTCTTTTCATAACATCAAGACGAGTCAAACGTCATTTTCTGTAAAAGCCGAGTACGAGGTGGAAGCAGGACGCCGAGTGAAACTGGGGACGATGAAACAAGACGTGACGATACGACAAAAAATTAATGAACGAGGTATTTCTCCGAGCGCTTACCCCAGCCGATACCGTAGTAGTAGAAGTGTTTGCTGCCCTCAGAGCCGAACACTTTGACCACCATGCTGTAGAGGTGAAGACCCTCGACCAACATCCAGGCGAAGGCGCTCAGGAAGAAGAAGTGAAGCAGGACGGCCATGATCTTACACGGCAGCTGAAATACAAGATCCAGACGTTAGAAATAATAAAAGCTGCATAATTGAAAAGACATTAACTGATAGATACTTTCTTTTTCTCTCTTCCCTGAATATTTAACAACTAAAGCATCAGTTTCAACATCCTTATCACTGTTACAAAGAGCTGTTGGATCACGGTTGTTTTTCTTTCTCCATCTCCCCTCTCCTCCCTCTCTAAATCTAACACAGTCTCAGCAGAGTCTAACAAGAGTCCGGATCTGATCCAGGTTTCTGATCTTATAAGACGGGACTGAGTCTTCATGTTGGGTCTTTGCAAATAGAGTCTGGAGATTATTATCCCAATAATCCTCTGTCTTTTTTATGACAAATAACATCTTTATCACCAGGATAATGCCTCATGTCTCTGTTGAAAGTATTGTTGTGATCACCGAGCTGTGTACCCACCGTGCCGGGGTCAAAGCGGGCGCTGATGAGCAGTAAAATCTCCGCTACCAGGATGGCGAAGGACAGGTTGGCATGGATGTGGTAGCGCTGATTTCTGATGGTACTCACTGACCTGCAGAGGAGAAGAAGAAGAAGAAGAAGAGGAGAACTTTACTGATCCCTGAAGGGAAATTCAAGAGCATATAAAACATAAAAGTTTAATGTTTTGAACTCACGGGTAGAGTAAAGGTTAACCACATCATGCAAACAAAATATTCATGCATTTATGTCGAATATAGATCATGAAAAACTGAAAAACTCACGACAAAACTGCAAAAGTGACCAGAGTGATGGCGAGACAGACAATGGAGATGGAGCAGCCGACGTAACCGATGGCTGACAGTGCCACCCTGTGGCCGGTGGTGAGCTGAGGACACGATGAGGACAATGTTGTCAGCTTCTATGTGATAAAACAGCATCTATATTTTACTGTCTAGACTGCTGACTGATTAATTACTCCACCTGATTAAATTGGTTTCAGTTATACTGGTAATACTGGAAACCTCAGACTATTATAGAGCAGTTTCAACATTTCCTAACAGCTGTTTTTTTTCTCTCTATAAGGAGTTCCTGAAGAAGTGAAGCTCGCTGTGTTTCTTATTTTTAGTTGTTTATTTATCTGCATACATCTATAGTGTTCAGTCTTATGTATTGATGCGTGGGAGTCGAGGCTATTTCCAGGGTTGGGTTTTGATTCTCCATTAACTGTCCTCACATGTGCCTTGTCATTACGAGGGACTCTCAGACGACGCTGGATGTTCCCTCGCAGCTGAGCGATGAGGCTGCCCACTAATTAGAGGCTGCCTGAGGGAAAGTATAGCATCAAATAGACTTCTGCTCTTTAAATACAGCGCTGGTCCATTTCGCTGCAATATGAAGTCCTCTTTCTATTTATATCAGGCCGTAGAAGATGCTGACCACACTCTGGTGGCTCTTACAAACAGCTGCACTCTGGGGAGCAAAAAGACCTCTTGGAAAATGCTCTACCTGCAGATCGACAGACGGTGCAGGAGAGAGGAGAAAAAACGATGTTATTGTTATTCCAGATGTTTTTTTTACTTCATACTAATTTGTGTTTCTTGAGGCGGTGTGGTCTTGGAGGAATGGGCCAATGACCCGTGCAGCGACCCAGAAGAACCACACTTAATCATGGTTGTCCAAAGTACTTCTGAACAAAACCACAAGTTAAACCGACAATGTGACTGGTCTGCTCACAGCTGACCCAACGGAGGGACAATTAAATGTCCAAAAGGCTCCGGTGGGGGTTCTGATGAGGGTTTACAGTGTGGTAAACCGCCGTTTCCTGTCCTGCGATGATTTGTAAAATTCACTCGGTTATGACAAACATGTTTAAATGGAGGAGAGCAGTTTTTACAGCTCTTGTGAGGAGTTTTCAGATGGTTATGCAACCGACTAAAATTAAGATTGATGTCGTTTTATGATCTACAAAAACAAACAAGACCATCAGCGTGATGAAGCTGACACAGTGCATGATACACTGAATTACTGGAAACAGAGAGAGACGTCCACGGTCATGAGGTTTTCCCCGCTGAGTGAGGTAGGGCGCACCCTGGACAGGTCTCAAATCTATCACAGGGCCGACACATTGGGACACACTCACACCTACGGGTGATCTGAAGACACTAATCAACCTCACGACAAGTCCTGTGAGTGTGAGTGTGGGAGAACATGCAAACTCTTCCAGCAGGTCGAGGCATTAAAGTGACTACGAGGTATTAGCAGGATTCCTGGAGTTTAATCAAATCCATTTTAAATCCTTTTAGCACTTCATCTACATATTTTAAGACTTAAAATCCACTCTGAGCGGTAAATTATTACATTTCTGTGACAGCTTAACAGACGCCGACTCACTCAAACCAAGGATGTAAAAATTCTAACTTTTAGTTCATAAACTTTTTTGACAAATTCACATTGAGGAAGTAAACTGACGCTTCATCAGAGGGAGTTTCAGTCTGTCCATTTATGCTCGCCAGACGTATGAAAATGTACATGTCTGTTTCAAACTATGATTCCGTCACTGCCCACATACTTCCATGCCCAAGGGTGTGGAATTGGGTAGGGACGCTAGGGACATGTCACTACCAATAATCAGCTGCCACAGTGTCGTCCCTATCAATACAACTACTGTCTGTAGTGTTTAAGCAATAATTATGGCACACAAAGGGTTAACAATTGGTCTCTGCTAGAAGCCCCGCCTCTAACCTAAATATCGCTCTTTGATTGGCTGCCGGTTTCTCGCTTACGTACAAAAATGGTGACTGTGGAGGAGTTAGTGATAACGTATATTTCGCACAGGAGACAGAAACAGAGGCAGTGTTTTTTTCGCATACCGGGTATTGACAGCAGCAACACTGCCCCCACTGTTTCCGGTGGTACTGCTCTGTCTGGCCTGTATCTGTAAACTTCAAGGATACGTGCAGAAATACGGAAGAAAAGAGTTCGAAGCATCGTCTGAGAGCTCCGTCTGTATCCTGATCTGTATGTAATGTTGAGCATAAATGAGCCTTAAGCCCCTCCCCCATGCATAGAGGCTATAGTCCAGGGCTCACCAACGCGTGGCTACTTGGAAAGGGTTAATGACTCGTACATAAATTTGAAAACTTGATTGGTCACTCAGCCACCTTATATCTAATCAAATTCACAGGTGTCCCTCCCCCTTCTTACGCAAAGTGATTATTTGCCAATCAGTTGTCAATCGTACGTTGCGCTGCTGTCAAACTTGACATGTCAGTGGCGATGTGAGATGAGCAGCAGTCATGGATGTGGGAGGAGCTAAAACGAATAAGATGCAAAAAACCATTCCCACGAAGAACGGAAAACAGAGTTTTGTTTTATGAATGTCAACAACAAGTGTGTGTCGGACTATAGTATTGTCGTCCTCACAGCAGTTGCAGGTTCGATACTTGCCCTAAACCCTCTGCTGCATGTCCTCCACCACTCCTCTTACTCCCCACATTTCTGTCTCTCTTTGTCTGGCTTATTCAACAAATGTAGTTTGTAAATTTTGCTAAATTGATTTAATGACATTTATTACTTTTCAAGACACTCCTTATCAACAATGCCAATGGTCTTATTTGCTGTTTAGGGTCATACAGGGTCCTCACTGTTGATAACAGTCTGTTTCATCACCAGCTAAAAACTCCTCACTGTAGCTGCTACAGGATGTAGAAATATGAATGTTTCTCAATATCAGCCTCCAAAAATACACCCTCAAACACGAGATGCTGTAAATGTTGCGTTTCACTGATAAGGTAAGTAACTTTCAGTGACCTTAATCCCTCTTTTGTTCACTCAGTTTCACTCTCTGCCAAAGAAATATCTGTTTTTGTTTCTGTTTGCCAATAAGTTGCTACTTTTGCGAGTCTGACATTTCGTGGAGGTCACGTGTCCCTGGAAACAGGCGCCCGCTCGGATCCATTGTTAATCTGAAAATAATAAATATGAGCAGCCTAAAGGGCGTACCTTTAAGGGCACCACTTGCATGAGAATGGCGAAGTTGGTGAGGTGGTTGCACAAACACACAGAGTACGACATGTTTCCATCCGAGCGTACACATCCTTCGTTGGACCACACGCCCTCCTTTGAACTGGGAAAAGAAGCAAATAAAGTTTCGCTATTAGAAAAATATGAGCAAAGATACACAAAATAATAATAATAAGAGATTCTATCAGGAATTAAAAAGGTTAAACAAATATTCAGAGAGCGGTCCGCTGGCATGAATCACTCAGTACAGTTTGTGGTGGGAGGCGCAGAGAAATGTCTGTGCTGAGTGTTGCAGGGCAATCTGACAGGGCAATCCAATAACTCACTTTTTTCTTGAGCTAAAGGGCAAAGAGGAGTGAGGAGAGGAAAGCCTTTGAATCCACTGGAACACACTCCCTTTTACAATGAGTTACGCTTTCCAAACAGGGTTCTGGCTGTATTCATCAGATCACCATCAATTTTTACAGCGGGCTGTTGCTCAAGACAAACCAAACTGAAACAGCGACTCATGTGCCGCTGGATGTTTTTGATTTAAACCAGAAAAGGGAAATACACCTTCTCAAATTGTTGCTCATTTCTTATGATTGAAAGTCTGAAAGAATACACACAGAGAGTCAAAAAATGAAGATGAAATCTCCTCCGGCGGAAAAACCGGGAAACGCTGCATCTAAATCACAAACTCTGACCCACCTGTAGTCCAAGAAGGCGCAGTAGAGGAAGACTTTATTGCTCTGATTTAGGACTTGCTCCTGCTGGTCTTTTGTCTGAAAAAGAGAGAAGTCGAATTGAGATCTTGAAAAGCGTCAGACAAGTATGCGGTGTAGGAAAACATTTGGGTTGCAGCGCCTCATTACATTACAAGGTTTGTTTTGATTGGAAAACCCGCTTTGATCAAGAAAACAGGGAATAATTCTGACACAAATTAGCCTCTCTGATTTCCTTCCATGCATATGCTTAACAGACAAATCCAATCTTCCTGTAATCAGGCTAAAAATACCAGATACTCTGCAGGTCAGAGAAGAAAATCACTCTGAATCGCTGCTTAAATGTCAAGTTAGGAAGAAATCAGCTGAAAGAGAGTGACATCAGTCTTCAAGACACTCAGCAAAGGTGATTATTAGCCTGATTCAAAACCCCAACTGTGTTCAATAATCTTATTTGATGTTAACTCACTTTTTCCGTGTCGTTCCTTAATATGAGATTTGCGGTCCTCTGAGACAGTGAGCTAATGGCTACAGAGCAAAAAAATGCAATAATTGGGGCTTGGCCTGGGTTTCAGGTCAAACCACTACCCTCCTCACTCTCATGTGAGGAAAACAACACTTTGCACACCTCTTCTAAATCCCCCAAACCTCGACTCTCAGACAGTGAAAGTGTATGATTAGATGGAGTGCGTCTGCAGCGTTTCCGTCTGGAAAAATGGAGAGTGAAACTGACAGTCAGGCTGTCTGTTTCCTGGCCCGAACCCTCGCTGGGTCGTATTACAAAGCATACGTTGACTTCATTGTGTAACCAAATCCCTGCTCTCATTCTGTCTGTTTTGCACATGCAGATCTTTAGTCATTATGTATTGTGAGCCCGGAGATGAATACAATGGATTAATATTCATGGGATGCGTTTGAGAGTCCAAGAGGCATGAGAGCGATGTAAATGCGACCCGTCATCACTAGCTTTAAGGAGCTGCACAAAACCCTGTGCATGAATTTACTGCTCCCCTGTGGCCTCTAATAACTCGCATTTCTGGTTGAGTGTAAATGAAACCACATGCAAGAGAGACGGGGTGTAATTGGCACACTGTAAGCTTGCTTTACAGTATCTTTAACTGTGCTGTTTCTGCGCAATAAAGGAAGACTAATTATCCACATCGGGCCAAAATGTAAACCCTGCCATCTAGGAAACAATCCATCTTTATCATAGAGACACAAAGATATACATCAACTAACAGACCATCACATCTATGGGGAGAGCTGTCTGGCCATGCTTCCTCTATAGTAACTGTCTGTTTATGCTACATGCAGCGTTGGCTCTGCGCTTCATATCAGAGAAGTCGGAGAGTCACCGCCGAGTGTTAAAATGCACTCAGAGATCTGGCCGAGCTTCGAGAGCGCACCGTTGTTCCCTCGGTGCCCCGAGGCCTCAGCCACCAGCCAAGACTGGAGCCGGGTCTCCAAGTCTTTATTAACAACAGAAGGCCAGCAAACACCGGCTTGGATCTCACAGCGGCGCTCATAAGGAGAACAGACGGGGAGAGGAAGAGGAGAGCGAAAGCGAGTGACAGCAGAGTGATGCAGAGTGGCAGGCCGATAAAAGAGAGGAGTCAGACGCAGACAGACTGAGATATCTGACAAAGTCGAGGTGTTTCACAGACAGTTACAGGACCTGGAGCTTCTCCTTTACAGGAATGAGATTCAGAATTGTTGAAAATCTTCAACTCCACAGAAATCAGAGGTCAGGAGAGTTTAGATCTCTCAGTGACATTAAAACAAGAGTGAAATAACATTAAAAACTAGATCTGGAGTGGTCCAAACGCCCACGTACAGAAGCCTTAGAGGTCATTGGTTCATTTCCTTTGCTTAATGTCTTACCCATAGACTGTATATAAGATATCTTATATACAGATCTTATATACAGTCTATAGTCTTACCTCAGTCTCTGCCCCTCTCCTTTCCTGTCCCTCCTCAGCTGTTCTCCACAATAAATGAAAAAATGTCCCGAAAAATGAGACTAAAACTAATTTAATTACATCATTACTTTACTGTTCGAGATCCAAAATCATCTCCGATAGTCAAATTTTCTGTCCTGCAAGTTTACTTGAACATCACCAAGTATTAGGCCTGCAGGAAATAAGAAAATCAAGCATTTATTAATGACACTGTGAAACATAACCGAGAATATAGAGTAAAGTTAACGTATGTTGAGTGTAAATGCTCATATGTGCAGCACTCAGTCTGCAGAAAAGATGCGATATTATATTAAAGCTCTAGTGAGGAACTTTCTGTTTATATTAAGGCTAAAAAACTAGAAAAATCTCTGTAAATGTAGTGGGATATGGGGACGGGGGTTTGAGAACTGATTCCAGATAAGAAACCGATTCTGAGAAGCTTGATCCAGATTTGCCTGAATGCTCAATGGTTTCCGATTTGGTGCCTTTCACACAGATCGACAAATCAATGACACGAAGGTTTGGAGTTTGTGTGATATCCAGGAGCTTTTCTATCCTACAGCATGTTTACAAAGACTGTTAAAATCCAGCCCATGAAATAGGAAGGTAGTCTGTGATGATGTATGTGCAAATTTAATTAAATAGTGTAATTTCTGTAGTTAACTGACCAGGTAGAGTCTGCCCTCTTTGTTATGGAACGTCAACAAAAGTTTCCTGATCTCAGCAGAGCGTCAGAGGAAATAAAGCTTCTAAAAAAATGTGTTTGAGGTACAGAAAACCAGTATATAGACCCACTTTTTCTACAAAGAGAATCTACAGGAAGTGATAAAAAAACTGCACTAATAAGCAAAATCGATAATAAGACACACAACCACACCAATCAAGTGTAACTGACAAACAGCACAAGACAGAAAGACAACTGTTCACAGTGTGTTTCTTTACTGTCAAATACTTGTGTCAAACCTCATCGGGAAACAGACGAGTGATGAAAATAAACACTCCCATGCATCACAGAAGTTGTAGATGACACACAGAACACAGTAATTTGTAAATATCTGAGCATTTCTGTCCTCTGTGGTGTTTCTCAAACCTCCAATGACTGGAAAAGCCTCGCTGTGGTTGAGCTAGCTCCAGAAAAATCTCTGCAGCATGTGTCTCTGCATATCCCAAAACATCAAGAGACTCAGAGCCAATTTAAATCCAAGTTTCTGACAGCTGGATCTCAAGGAAGGCACAAATTGTATTAAGATGGAGAGAACTTCATACTAAGATGGAAATACGGCCGAAAACAGGAGGAAATGACAGCTGCGGGGTAGACGATCAGGTTTATTGATAAAGATACGACTGGCAGCAAACCCGACGCTGCTCGGCGGGAAACTGTTGTTTGCAAAGTTTGTATTCGACCTTTGCCACACTGCTGATGTCTTTGACATGGATGGTAAGGAGGACTCACAAGAAAGTTGAACCGCTCAAAATAAAAATAAATATTCAGCAATGTTGATTAACGTGGACACTCTTCAATTTTCCTGTCTCCAGTCGGTCTCCGGTGGGTTGAGTGAATCCACAATGGTAAAAACAAGGGGGTTGTTCTGAGACAGGCTGTTACCTGTGAAACGAAGGTGCTCTGAAAAAAAACCCATTAGCACTTGGTACGTTCCTCCTGATGAAATTAACCATAGAATGTAAATTGACGCGGGAAAAAATCACGTCGACCAATCAGAATTTTGGTCAACTCGGCACGTATCGACGGATAAGTTGACCACCATCTGGATCCAGATCATAAAACCATTAGCAGGAAGACTCCAGTTTTAAGTCTTTGTTGTGGTTTTAAAGGGATATTCCGATGTAAAATAAAGATAGGGTCAAACACCAAGTTAGACACCCCGTCAAGAGATGAATGTTGCCGATCGCTAGCTTCTCTAGTTATACCAACTTTAGTAACGACCGCAGGATAGCAACACAGAGAATCACACGCCAAAAATGGGTGACAACGCAGCTCAAGGAAGAACATTTATGATCATTTCTGCATCATTTCCTTGAAGTAATAATCATCATATTAATCATTTTGCACTGCAGACGCTGTCGTTCTTCTGCCTAAGCGACTGAATTTCCAATGAAGAAATGATCATAAATGTTCTTCCTTGAGCTGCGTCACCCTGCTGCAGTCTCACCCGGAGGTCTCCGTACAAACAAGCGGCTGCTGGAAGAGAGTAGGTGAGTTGTGTTTAGTCTCTTTGCTAAAGAAATTAGTCAAAGTTAAAAAGATGTTTGGTGTCTAGTACTATGTCTGTGACCCTATATGTCCTGTTGATGAAGTTAGGTGCTGTTCTGAGCATTATTTGTGGCTATAGAGTGGCGTTTTGGTTGAGGTTTGTTTATGGCTCCTCAGACCGCTGTGTATTTCTATCCTGCGGTCGTTACTAAAGTTGGTATAACTAGAGAAGCAAGCGGTCGGCAACATTCATCTCTGGAGGAGGTGTCTAACTCGGTGTTACGGTGTGTTTGACCCTAAATTAATTTTACCCATGAATATCCCTTTAAGATACTGAGTGTGGACTGTATGTTGCATATGTTGAGACCCAACTCGGAGCTCAAAAAGCTTTTATTTGTGCAACACATTAGTTTCATTGAACTGCTCAATGGCAAACGCCCCTTAAACACACAAAGATAGCGACTGCCATTAATTCCAGCTACTGTATGTGAACTGAACGAATGAGGAAGTAGGTAGATGGGAAAAAAACTGCAGTTTCTGATCCATTCATGAGCTTTTTCCAGAGCTTTGGAGTGCAGGGTGTAGGAGAAAAAGCCAATGACTAGACCTTGAATAAATATGAAGTATCACTTCTGCACACACCCACTCATTTCCAGCATCCAGCGCTGGTACAACAATATACTGTATGCAGCCACAAGAGCAATGAAGCAGAGAAGTCTAAATACAGGCTCCGGCTGCGCTAAATTTAAAAAAAGCAGCAATAAAATGTCCCAACAGTGTGAGTAGATATGTGAGCTATCCTCTCTTTGTTTCTAAAACAACCCAAAAATGTGATTGCACTGAGAGCCAGGGTGTGATTTGGATGACGCTAGTTTGTACATTTGGTATAGAAATCAATCATCGCAGATGCAGCTGCCAGCACAGCCCATCACAGCCCACTGGAAGTCATCAGCCTCACTTTAAACAAAACTGTATTTAGAGCAGCCATTATTTTCTGTTCCTACAGTAGGTGAAAGTGTTGACATATTGGGTCAAGAGAAAAGCTCGCCAGGGACTGACAATGGCTGAATTGTTCTGCGTGACAACAGAGAGGCCACGCATGTGTGTCTGAAAAGCTACACAAATGCAGTTAAATTTAGCCGTGGAAGGAAAGGCTTTATAGCAGTTCGTCTGAGAAGGTCAAACTAAGATATAGGGTTACAAAGCTGAGTCCAGCAGGCAGAAAAGACCCAAATCTGACCGACAGATGAGGAGAAAAGGCGCCAATTAGACCACCTTAAGTTAAAGAGATTAAAACATCAGCCGTGATTCAACCTGCAGCCCTGATAGAGTTCAAGTCTTTGTGTTTTTATGACGAGGTCAGACTTCAGCATGTGGACTAACAATCCGAATCCATGCAGGAAAACACAACTGGCCTTGAGTGAGATCATTCTGTCAGGGGAGATGTAATAAGACGTGCAGCTGTGGTCTCAGCTCAGCCTGAGAGGTAGACACAGAGAACGAACATGGAGACGTGCTGAGAGGCATGCAGAGTGTGAAGAAAACCACGCTCGACTGAACAACACAGAAACGGCAGATTTGTTTTCGATAAGGTGATCGTCGGACAGCAAAACCAGACCGTGTCAGTTTGAAAAAATGTGTCACCTTGTTTTGTTTTTTCCTTCCCTGACTGATCACACATGGTCGAGAGCATGGATCCATGTGTCCGGTTCCCAAAGGCTTTGACATGAGGCCACTGTTAAGTTTCTGGCCTGTTTCTGTGGGAACAACATGTTTACGTTCACATGTCAGCGGCTGAGTTTTTAAGTGTTTGCAGAGACGTTACAATGTGGGAAATATGAGGTATCAAATAAGGATAAATAAAAGACACTTTTGCACATTCACACAACTGCACTGCCATCCTGGAAATGCCTGGAAATTACCCAGAAAGGATGCATGCAGCGACGCAAACTTGATATAACACAAGTTTCGTACTCTCTTGGCATGAATTTGACTCTTTTCTTTATTTCAGTCAGGTCATATCTTTGATTAACTTGTCTCTGACTCGCCATAACACTCTGTAAATTCACGTTTTTTGGCTGTTTGACTGATGCTCATTGTCTCCCACTGCTTTCACAACTGTTGGCTGAAACAGCATCTTAACTCCACTTCAGTTGTCCTACTTTTGAGCAACACTCATCCGTCTTTCCCCTTGGTATTGTAGCTGGGTAAACGTCTGGCCTCGATCAAATATTGGCGTTTAATAACTGAACCCTGATTACAAGATGATCCCTCTTTTTCAGAAGCATCAGGAGGAAAAAAACTGTTTTATACTCGAGTCAAGGATTAACCTCATGTGACTCAATCTGAGGTGAGACGATTGCTTCTCCAGTGCCGGACTCGCGCTGCGGTGTTGGTGAGGTCGGAGTGTTGATAGAAAGAAACGCGCTAAAGCGGGAGGAGCCTCGAAAAGAGACTCAAAGCTCTTCTGACACGAGAGGGAGAGCAACAGCCAGACCTCCATCTGTGATTGATCAGCGTGTTGGCTCATACAGCTCGTGTTTGTATGTAGATGGGTGTGGGTGGCTGGGAGAGATTTAGGAGAAACTTTGCCCACAAGATTGAAGCTGGGCGTGTGCTGGGAGTTATAAAAAGACCGGAGAAAAAAACACAGCGGTTCTTATTGTGGCTGAAAGGACTGATAGCAGCGCTGGCATACATGATTACAAGATAAAGAGCGTGGGCATGGGAGAGTGTTAAATGTTTTGTTTATTGTCAAAGTCGCTGAACAATTAATCACTATTTTCCACACTCAGAGGAAGCTCCGACAAGTCTAGACGTCTTTGTGAACGAGCCGGGCAGTTTTTCCTTCAATCGCCGTCATTTCTTACTCCAGTCAACCTTTTTTCATGTCCAGATCATCTCACAGATTTAAGTCTGGAGGCTCGGTTAGAATTTGAACTTGTGTGAAAGTCATTTGAGGTGATTTGACAAATAATATCCTTAAAATTTTCTTACATTTTTCCAAATTTAAATCCAAACTTTTAAACCTTTTATCCCAAATTACACTGGTGTCCATGGAAAAATTTTAAATCCTACAAAATCACTTTTTTGCTCCATGATTCCATTAAAGATTCTTCAACATGAACTTATTTTTTACAAACTGAGATTGAAGCGAACAGACGGAAAGTTCAGCTCTGAACCGGGCGACAGAGAAACCTTTACTCTCTGAGAAATATCATATTATCTTTTATCCAGAGGTCCAGACGGGCAAATTTTGGTTTGGTTTGATCAAAAGGAACGAAAAGCTCTGACCTTGATAAATTTGTTTAAGCCAAAAAAAAAAAAGGATCAGCAATTATATCTCAGAATGAGCGGAGTATCAGATCCACATTCAAGACTTTCTTTTGAAGATTTGTTGTTGTTTTAAGATTTAGATTTACTTTTTAAATCTTTATTTTCATCAGAACAAAGTCATGATCAAAGTCGTTGATTTCGCCGACAATCAGGAGCATAAAGCTGTTTTAAAGGGGATACAACAATCCTGATACTTATAATAATGTTATAATTATTATAATAATGCACCAAAACATTAAGTAGACTTTAACGAGATTCTCCCGTCCTTCATTTAGGTGCAGGCAGCTAACTGTTCACGTAGAACCAAAACTACGACTTTAACATTACTTTATGACTCGAACACAACTTCATTTTTGTAACAATATGACTTTGTTCTTTTATTCTTGTGAAAAAATGACTTTAAAAAGTTAAATTCCTGAAAAAAGCATTTCTACATCTTTAAAAAGTTCTCTCAAATGTGTCCCTAATCCTCCGTCGTTCTGTTTGGGGTTCATATTTGGTGCAAAACTTTCATTGTTTCAGTTTGAACAGAGTCAGAACAGCTCTCTTGTCTGTAAGCTAAAATTTGGTAAACGCTCGTTTGAAAGTCTGGTAAATAAAGACTTGAAAAGGACAGCTAGTTGTCAAATCAATCCAATTTAAGCTGTTTTATTGTCGATTAATGTGCTGGACGTGTTCAGGAGCTTCCACGGTGCAAGACAGTGAACGTAGACGATAGTGATGTTAGTTGTTCTTGAATTGGAGAAAATAAACTTGAAAGTGCATTACATGAGGAACAAACTTGTTTTCAGTTAATCATTTGTGTTTAAAAATCCCAATAAAAGTTCATGAAGGACAGATATACACAAATGCCACCCTGTTCCGTTCTTCGCTTTGGGCTTTTCGACGTTCTCGCCAAACTAATACGCCACTTTATAAGCCAGTAAAGTCCAACCCTGCTTGTCAAAATCATTTTTTTTGAACGGTGTCATTTTGATCCTGTAATTCGACTTCCCTGAAGCGATCAGTCTTTCCATTCACTCACCTCATACCACCGGAGTGATGCTCTGACAGAGAGGAGGTGTCAGCTGCTTCATGTATGTATTAATGTTTAACTACGGACCCCCGATGCCTCCCACCCCTCACTTTTTCTTCCCTTCTTTCCCCCTCAGACTCTCTCAAACTGAAGCTGAGTCAGACAGCTGTAATAACTCACTGATGGAGCCAGGGTCCGGTCAACACCACAGCCTCATGGCGTGAGAAAGCATGCGGGCCTCCTGCAGCCTTGATAACACCTTGCTTGGGTATCAAACCTGCCCTAACGTGTGACGGTGGAATCTCGGCTTGGGAATGGCGTGACCTGAGCGGGCTGTTTCAGTGTACTCAGGGGGGTTATTAATCAAGACTACAGGGTCACTCTGACACCGACCGCATGGCTTTGGCCTTCGGCGAGCGGAACCTGCCATGACACGAGGTTCTTCACAATTTTCATCAATTCACGGTACAATGCACTTTATCAGAACAGGTGTCAGATAGCGGTAATAGATGACGACGTCTGGACCCGAGCCACGACAGAAGGTGACTGTCTGTAAGGGACACAGGATGTATTGTAACCATGACAGCGGGAGAAGACAGATGAGGAGGCTGACACATTTCTTCCTCGGACACACTCACGCCCCCCGCCAGCTTTTAATGAAGTCACTCAGCGCCCGTCTACTTTCTGAGAGCCCGGTTGCAAATCACTTCCTCTGGTCACACTGAGCTGGTGCCAATAGAGGACATCTTTGAGGTTGAATTTGTGCAGACAGTAACAGGCAGCGTAAACAATGATGGGAAAAGTCTACTAGCTGCCTATCCTGTCTCCGAGCGAAGGGGGTGATAAGTATGCACCAGCCGCCCGAGCTGTTAAAAACTCCAAAAATAGTCACTTTTTGACGAAATCCAACATAAAGTCTGCAAAGTACCCCGGCTACAGCAAAACAACCTTCTTCTGGATGTGATCACAGCCAAAAATGCAGCGTGCCAAATTACTATGCCGCTCCTAAATATAAATCAGGGTCCAGCTATGCGCCTTGAGTCAACTTGAAATGTGCTGGCATGGTGCATACCATCAGTATGTGTAATAATAAGAAAACAGCCTATTAGTAATAATGAGCGCAGGGAGAAGAATGTCGAAAAAAAACGTCTTATCCTTACATCAGAGGTGAAGGCGATCAAACTAAAATAGAAACACCAGCACTTCACAAACCACAGAACAGCTGAGCATCTCCAGCACTCCCAGAACAAAGTGGATTATAACCCTCTTCATCTGTGTCTGTTAAAACAAACATTGTCATAAGATTCCAGCCAGATTATTACAGCGTAAACATTCATTTCAGCGGAGCAAATGAAGACAAACAGAGAAATATCGCCATGGTTTCATGACAGAGGATGGATTTAATTTGTGCTTTTCAAAGAGACAAAACGACTCCGTAAATCACTGAGATAATTCCTCTGCATTAGTGGGGGTTAACTCAACTTGGTTAAGTAACTGCCTCATTAGTGCTTTTCTATCATCGCCAAACAGAAAACTGATCTGAATGGTATTAAAAAAGCCCCCAAAAAATCCTGTCATTGTCCAAAAATTAAAGCAAAAACCTTCATGGCAGGAAAGTCCTCGGCTACATGAGTGACTTTACAAGGAAGCGGGCTAATGTGAGACACATTTTTCACTTAATTTTCATTTGGAGATTCAATTGCATTTCCCATGGAAAACTGGCACGGCCTCTTCCATAAAGCCGCAAAGAAAAATATGTTGTTCATAAAAGAAAGTTATTGTTCCTTCACAAAGCGCCCTGAGCCTGCAGTTCAAACGCCCATAATCAGTTCGCTCTCTGGAAGCCACATGCCCCTCCAGAAAACTTCAGGCAGGCTAATGAAAAGCAAAACAGCCGCTGCTCTTTGTGCTGGTGAGTGCCCAGCTGCTCAGGCCTCAGTCGGTGATAGATGCTCATCTTCTTACATAAGAGAGAGCGTTAAAAATAGAGTTTCATGTGAGGGAGATCCAGCTACTGTAGCCACAGGCAGAGAGCATTAATCTCTGTCCTGATAAGGTAGCTGTCCCACACCCAGAAACTGGAAGAGCATTCCTCTTTCTCACTTCGACTGAGTCACACAAACTGTAACGAATGAGTGGACTGGGAGGAAACTGGGACAGCGAATGGGTGGATTCTTACCAGAACATGAGTGAGGACGATTTTAATGAGCGGCGCCCCGGAGAGGTTGACTGACAGGGCCGGCGATGGCTCGACTTTGAGGGAGATGAGACAGCTTGCTACTTGGATTTTGTGATCCTTGAAGTCGGTTGCTTCATTTATCCTGCAAGACAATACAGAGGGAAAAGACTTAGAATAAAAGAAAGCTGATGAGGCGGGGATGCAACGGTTTCTCACAATACTGCTGAAAACTGTTACGATTGATGATGAACAAATGTGATACTCTTATTAGACAGCAGAGGGCGCCACCTGCATCGGCCTTCTTTAGTCAGGCGTCATTATCTCTCTTACGTCTGAATAAAGAAGTAAAGACGTGGTATGTAGACGATGCAATGCCAGTTTTTTTTCGTATGTTATTTTTTTTATCGACAATTTTGGGATCTTGGAAAAAAATTAGCATCTGCGATTTAAAAAAGAAATTAGCAGGTAAACCAGAAAGATTCAACATCCTGCTCCTGAAATGAGGCTCGTTGGGATGAGGATAATGCTGCGCTCCAGTTACCTTGGAAGTCTGGGAATGACGTTACACCCGAGTTGACGCAGTTTCGGTAAACAAATCGGAAAGCTGAGATGGACGCTAACTGTTAGCCGTTGTCAGTTGTTGTTAGTGGTGTTAAGGTTACAAGTGCAACCGTTTAGAGATGCAACTTTGAGTTCAATGTTTGTTTGGTTGTCGTAGTAACGAGCTAAAAGTCTCCAGTTTACAGGGTCACATTTTCAACTGGAGCTCCCAGTCAGAAGTCCGAGCTGGGAATGACGCCACACCCGAGTTACTTGCGATTCAGTTACCAAGTCGGAAAAAGCAAAATCAGAGGCGGAAACAAGATGGTTACATTTACGAAAGTTATTTTAGCACTTGCCTTGTCCTTGCTTATCTTTGGACAAGACAAGCGCTAAAATAACTTTTGGAGATGTAGCCATCTTGTTTCCACCTCCGATTTTGCTTTTTCTGACTTGGTAACTGATGCTGCGTTCGAGTTACCTTGGAAGTCAGAAGTCTGAGCTGAAAATGACGTCACACCCGAGTTATCAGCGTTTCAGTTATCAAGTCGGAAGAAGCAAAATCGGAGGCGGAAACAAGATAGCTTCACCTACGAAAGTTATTTTAGCACTTCCCGAATGCATACACTGAATAAAGATGTTCTTCTCTTCTTCTTCTGTTGTTTAAAATCACATACAGAAGAAAAAAAGACAAACTTTTGCACAAGCTTCCTGAAAATGAGGTCAAATAAATCGAGAGGAAACACCGAAATGTGACGATCAAATCAACACCTGAGCGTTACACACGGTCCAGAGAAGCAGCATCAAAGTGAGAATTTAATCATCCGTGTATAAAAGTCGTCGTTTAAACAACCTGCAGCTGTTTTTTCGAAGCAGTTTAATACACTTGGCTCAGAAGAGTGTCACCTCTGCACCACCGAACAGAGAGGACAGTCTCAGTGACGGTCAGAGCAGCAGGAGAGTCACGTTAAAAAGAGTCAGTCCTCAAACATGTTACACGATGTTCTCTAACCTCCATAAAGTTCATATAGCAGCAGATAAAAAAAACGGATTGCTTTAATTGCTGTTACGTCATGTTTGGTAAAAATAAACAAAGAGAGTGGAACAAGCTGGTCCACGATGAGACAATAAATGAAGGAGAGGGAGGGGGGGTGCAAATGGATGTGTAGCGCTAATAGCAGGGTGTATCAGTCAGTGGAGGTTGAGTGGTGAGATGAGAGATAGGCCAGAGGACAGATAAGAGCTCGGCCCCGGGCCGTGGTAGTTCTGAGGCTCAGGAAACAGGGGGGTCTGAGTGCCAGAGGACCTGATTCCCCACACAGGAAGTACAAAGTCAGAAGACTGTTTATTTATTTGGGTTTTTAGGATGTTTGGAATATTTTGTCTTCAGACCTAAAAGTAGAACGATTTGCTTGGGCTGGTTCGTCAAAAGTTTCCTGTGTTGTGTCTCCGTCTTACCTGGTCTTGACGGGGCTGATCTCTTTGTAGTAGTTGTGCATGTTGTGGTAGAAGAGGCCCACGATGGTGGTTTGAGCTGAAACGGAGAAGATAACATACAGAGGTTGAACGTGAACAACATGGGCAGCAGGCTGGGAATGTGATACAGAGCTGCTACAATGCTCACAAAGACGGGAAGTTAATTAACGCCGACCTGCCGCCGCACTCTGACACCGGCGGGCTAATAGGACGGCCGTATGCTCGCACAGAGGTGAAAGGGAGAGGGACGCAGACCACATGGATGTTGGGAAATCTTATGAAAACTCGACATGACTTCACCAGGAGAGCTGGAGGTCTGCTCGCTCCCCCCACTCCTCCTCTAATCTGACCTATCATCCAGCTAAGTCCCACCTCAACACTGCAAGATAAACAGCGAAATTGGAGGAAATCCTTAATGGTCCTGTTCCTCCTTTCAAAGGGCCTCTGCTCGCTCGGGCCCCGCTCACTGTGACAACAGAAAGCTTGCTGATGTCAAACAAATGTGCGTTTGCTGTAGGGGAGGCTTGGACCTTCCAGAATACAATTTCAACAGAGAGCCCCCCTGCAAGCCCCACGAGGGATCACAAGGTGGCCGGCTTGTTTGTGCAAGTTCACTTCGAGAAAGAGAGAAAGAACGAGTAAAAAGTTACGATGCAGCTCGCTCTCTGCTTAATTAGGGTATAAAAACCTCTCCGTGGAGTATTTCACACAGCCAGGTATACAGATCTACCTCTTAATTTGCTTCTGGCTGAAAAGTAACGCAATTACACGTATCCTGCAGGCCGATAAAATCCCTTTAACGAATTATTAAAACAGTTTATTAAACTAATTTTAGGGCAAAACTGTACATTTAGCAGCCAGACGGAGCCAAGGAAATCTGACCTGAACATAAAGTCAAACCAACAGAGCTTTAATGATCGCAGCAATTACTGCCCCCTCTCACTCCGCTATTCGAGTCCAATTGTTTTAATGATGGAGGAAAGTGGAAAGAAAGTGCTCTCTCTCGCTCTCGTTCGCTCCGTTTTTTGGATGAAAGGCTAACAGCCAGCATTAAAGTCGTAGCTGGATTTCTACAGCGTACCATAAAGTTAGACAAAAGGTCTCATGGCACTCCTGTCCTGCACTGTGAGCTTTGTTAGGAGTCTTAAATCTAAGTATAATAAATTACAGGCCAACAACAAGAGACTCCCAGTTGGACGATTTTCTCTTGGCAGAACCTCAGCATGACGAAGTGCGGCATTCACACCCAACCTAAGGAAGCTACTTGATTTTATACAGAGAATCCTGAAGCTATGAGAGTTTTTATATCTGTACTTACACTGCATGGTGAAAGCCTCTCCGGGCACTGAGATGTAGCTCTTGCCTTGTTCAGGGAAGCGGTAATGTGGCAGGTTGTAGTTTTGTGGGAATTTCATCAGAGAGTAATCTTAGAAAAAAACAGCAACATGTGTTTTATCACGGGTGGAAGAAAGTCGTGAAGCTGCTCTTGGGAGAGAGAGACACAAGCAAGCTGAGGGGCAAACAAAATATTATGCAAAATATGACCCACACCCATGAGAGGCAGCATGGAAGGAGCTGGCCTCTGCTTATCTGACCTGCATGTGTCCTCCGAATAAGAAAACTTGTGATGTCAGTGTGTATTTCTACCCTCTAACTGTGTCCACACAAACTACAAACACAGTGAGTCACCGCACGGAGAGCAGAGAGCGGACTGACCGGCAACAAAAGATGTTCCACCGAGGGAGATGAGAGAGTTTGGGGTGGGCTCCAGGTTAGTCACCATATGTTCCATCACTCTGTCCACGGTTTCGATCAGACCGCTGACCACAGGGATCGACTGCTGCGTCACAAAAAAGGGAAAACAAAAAACTTTTCAAGAGTCCAGCCACGTCTCATGTTGACATACAGGATGGTGACACATCTATAAAATCTGCTTATTAGATATTTCCATCAGTGTGCAATATCAGAAAACAACCTGAGCCAAAGACCTGGTCTACATCTAGCATTTATCATCAGTTTAAGTGATCTAAGAGTAAGTTAAGAGCCTTAACTCAAGGTGTGAACGCTCCCCAATGAGTGCTGAGATCTGATCACACAGAGAGTACCCTTGTAAAGTCCATGAACTGACTCAGTATTGACAGTTGTGAGGACATATTTGGACTCTCACGATATCGATTCTTGTGGCCATAAGATATCACAGTAACAAAACTTTGGCAACATTGAAGGAAAGCTTGAAAGAAAAACAACACAATCAGTCAAATTAAGGAAAAGTAAGAGAAGAGCGGAGCAAATCATTACTTTAGAAACTGTACTAATGAACTCGAATACCCATTGAGCAATAGACGGCTATTGGACTTCTAGTTTTTTTTAGACCTAATTTCAAACGTCTAGATTCTGTATATTTTTATACGGAATTTAGACGTTGCACTTTAACCCATTATTCGATAACTTTTTCTTTCAAAAAGCAACTGTGAGTTGAGCGATGAGCGAACTCATCTCCAAGTACTTAACCAAAATAATTATGATAGCCATTGAACAATATACAGTGCAGTATAGATAAAGCCCCGATTCAGACTTTGTCTAAATTTAGACGTCTATAGTCGCCTGATTTTAGACCAGTTGTCTAGGCTACATTTAGACACCTATTAGACCTCTTTTAAACCATAAAATGCTCAGTGGGTAACTTCCAGTCATCATCTATTTCTAATGATGTTTAAATGAATAATTAATCCTCATCGCCACACCTGTGACCGAAACATCTTTGCTTGGAAAAAAACAAACAAACAAACAAAAAAAATATATAATTTGTCCTATGCTTTTATTTTGAAATGCACTTCTTCTGGTTGATTGTAAGCTGCAGAAATGAATGAAAACAGTTGAAAGAAAAGTTAGTATCCTATAGAGACACAAGCTCTAACTATTAACACTTGAAGCCCAAGCACTTTTCAGAGGTTAACCTTACAAATTTAGCCAAAACATTGACCACAAACTGGGAAAACGCCATAAAGTCAATGATTTGACTTCCTTCTGACCATTTTTAAATAGAGTATATGTAACTTTTCTAAACATTAGCAACACTATCTAGAGAATGCCATATCATACCTCATCTGAAATGTGCTCCTAATGGTCGATATTTAATAATAGGTCAGATATGATAAACTAAAGCCTTGTCTAGTTGCCTGACTTGACCTGTGCCACTCTAAGCAGAGGCTGTCTTCTCCATTTAACGATATCTGAAGCTGATGGAAAACCACGATTTTGTCTGTGCTCATAAACTACAACCAAAACGCTGAAGCAGCACCTCTGAATGGACCGATCAGAACCATTTCCAATATCAGCAGAAAAAGACAATTTATGTGGCCTTGAAAAAGTAAAAATCTTGTTTTTACATTCATTACAAATATGACAAATTAAGACAGACTGCACAATATTTGCTTCCAGATTTCACAGGAGAACAGCGATAATTGATTTCGAGTGAACAGGGGACTACACGTGAAGAGTGAAGTTGTAAAAGAGATGTTTTCAGACATTCAGCACCGATCGGATCAGAAAGATCATCAAAAAGGGGATTTACTGAGACGGGATCTATCCAAGTTTTGCGTTTTCTCATACGTGCACATCTGTTTCAGCTTGTTCCTGCAAAAACAAGCAGGCTTGTTCTGAGCACTCGATGTACTGAAACCACACACTGGCTGTGAAAACTTGCTCGTGCATTTCTTTTGGCAACAATGTGTCAGTATATGGGCGCCCAGAGATTTGGCTGAGATGAGTGTACAGTACAGGAAGCCGAAAGTTTACCTACAAAACTTTGGTTTGTGTGTGTGTGTACTTTAAAGTCAAGCCGACAGCTCTGATTTAAACCACTTTCAGCACCATATTTGACCACACTCACTAATCCTGAGTGGGTACACGGCCCAGTCCTCTTATTGCTGTTGGCACCACTCAATCCAAAATATGCAGTGTTAAAATCTCAAACTCATGGATCCATTAAAGGCCTCGGATTAAAGTATTCACTCGATTGCATATGTTGCATTAAGTGGTGTTGAAACATTGCACAAGAGCAGAGTGAACTCATTTACCTCTGGCACCACCGGAGAGGAGAGCACTTCTTCCACACTTTTGAGAAAAGCCTGAGTGGAAGAAAACAGACATCACACAACTGTTGCATCACATACACATGGGCGGGCATCATGTGTGTGTGCTGTAGGTGTTCAACAAGTGTGTATTTTCAAGACTGTGCTCCAAGACCTGAGTGAGGTTGTTGGCGGCGTTGTGAGGAATCGTCCTATTTGGCATCCCTTTAGGAAAGCCCAACACAGGCATGGCCTGAGGGTCCTGGGAGCTTTGACCCTCCATACGCTGACTGCTGTCGACAGGAGGACTCACCTCAGTGGCTCTCTGCGGAGAAAACACATCTGGCATCAAATAAAGTTTACAGTGAGGAGGCATTGAGGTCCAGCACACACACAGGATGTGCAGTGACTGATGCAGAAGACTCTCCTGAGCCGTCCTGGGTGTGCGGTGGGAAACATCTGTGTCTACTTTCTTCTGTTTCTTTATCTGTTTTCTACCTCAAAAGCCCTTTAATAAACAGGAACAGGCTGCTCACATGTGCTCTCAATATCCTTGTTTCACAGCTCCTCCATTTCCATCCTTTAAATGAATCCTTCTCTGCAGTTTGACTGAATCGAGCACATTTTAGTCCCAATAACCACATGTGAGTTTTAGCACCTTTTCTATGTGAACGGAAATAAAATATTCTATTGAAGAAGATTCAAAAGGATTACATGAGTAGTTCATACATTTGGGTGCAGATGAAAGAATGGCATGAATATTTTATAACTGTACTTAAGGACAATTGGTTCACATACCTGTGCTTCACTGTTTCACTGAGCCCCCACCTACATTTAACAAAATACCTCCACCTCCTACACCCTACATCTAAAGACGGGCCTGTAATTCAAGCTTTAATGCATTAGAGAGGGTTTTTATAATGAAGTTTATGCAACATCAAGACTGAGGTCGAATAGAAAGATTAGATTCTAATAGAAAAGAAAGATTCACTGTGAATCTGTCTTAGAGTTTAATGTAAAATCTCAAAATCAACATTTTTCAAACAGGTGTCAGTCTGAGGTGCAGCCAATACAAAAGTGGATGAAAACTGCAGTTCTTTAGACGTCCACTTGGGGCTGATTCGAAACGCCATGTAGACGATGTCAGGGCTCTTTTACTGATGCTTAAAAAGGTATGATGGGGTCGGCATGTTCAATATGGTTCTTCTCACTTCTCACACATGACAGTACACGGGACTGTCTGTTACACTGGAGACATTTTTGTATTTTCATGAAGTCTGGTTCACTAACTTTCACACTGCGCTTGGCTAAACGAACCAAACCCACTAAAAACTGCTATAATGGCTGTTTATTTGTGGTGGTACTGATGAAGACGAGGAAAAAGACAAAGATGAAGAAGGAAACGACCAGAGAACAGAAAATCCATCTCCTTTTATCGGCTTATTCGACAAATTCATGATGGAGCAACAACAAATCGTCAAATAGACAATTTGTCTAAAGTGGGCTAAACAACTCTACCTGATAATATGTCCAAGTTTCACACAGTCTATGATAATTTGAGAAGCTAAAAACGAGCGGTAACCTCGATCTGCTGGAGACGATTTCCTCGTATAATTACTTTTAACTTCTACTTCACTGGAGGACTTCAGTCAGCGCGTCTTCTGCCACTTTCTCCCACATTTGTTAAAGAAAGAACAGCGCAGAGCCAGAACAAACTTACAGATGCTGGCGTGGTCGAGGTGACTTCTTTGGAGACTCTGGGTGTTGTGGCAAGAATCACATCCTGACCTAGAAAAGCCAACACAAAAGACTTTATAACAACGAGGTCAGAAACAACTCTGGAGACGTGGATTAATTGTATTAAATGTTGCTGTTTGGATATTTGATGGCCATTTTCATGATTTTGTTATTAGGTCTTTCTCTGCTTGGCGGCTGTGGCGTAGCTGGACTTCATCACCATGCAGCTGACTTTTTATGAGGCGTCTGGACAGCGCCAAGTCATGAAACAAGATAGATTACAACCTGAGCGAAACTGGGTGATCAGCGTCATAATCCCACCAGCTTCTGTGCAAGGTCAAGATACATTTTATGTCTTTGCTGTCATTTCATAAAAACGGCATAAACAAGCGTCCAGAAAACAGCCGTATATGGACGGACAGTCGGAACCTTTCTGCCTCTTCTTTGGTTTGATGCAACATTTTACACGTCTGCTCTGGAGGGGAAAAATATTGTGTTGTAACCATAACAGTAGTGGTTTGTGGACGGCTGGTGTATTTCTTTTAATAATGACTTTGGAGCAGAAATCAAGGCGGTATTCATAAATCCTGAACAGTTGGAGCTGAAGCAGTAATGACAGTAATAGTTTTTGTTTATCACTACTGCACAATGAAGGAGACACCACTCACCATTACTAATCACTCATAATTACACTCTGATTTAATTCAGTGTCTTCGTCTTTTAACCGACCACATTAAAAAATCTGTATTCTTCCTACCAGCTCGTAAATGTCAGTGTGTTTTTACTCCATTTATGGCGCTCTTCTGACCAAACAACAAGAGAACAAAAACAGTTGAAAAGTGTGGGTGTTTTTGTCTTTGCGTGTTAAAACCTGTCGTATTAAATCATAATGATTTGCCCTGAGCAACCTCTAAAATGCCTCGGCACTGTTATAAATACTTATAAGGCAGAACTATGTGGGACCTGCTACTTTTATGGTGGAAGGTCATGAAAGTGTTTTGTACAAGAGCCATTTGACGGAGGGTTGGGGTATATTTGAACAGTTTAATATCTTTCCATCCTTCATAAATGCTGTGGACAGAATGAAGCGAGGACACGGATATTACTTTCTCGCACTTATTTCTTAAAGAGCGCAGTCACAAAGAAAACGCATTAAAATTAATGTGCCATGTCCTCGACTGACAGGGGATATTTTCCAGCAGAGTGTGATGTCCTACCTACGGCTGCACTGTAGTAGAGTAATATCTCCTGAGGTGTAAGCGCCCTCTCCCAGATGACAAACTCATCGAAGGCGCCTGTAACATAGTGACCGTAGGCTCTGTCGTTGCCAGTCCCAATAACAAGGTCAGGGTAAGGGTCACCGTAGTTCTCTGACACACTGCCACTTCTGTCTCCTGCGGTGAAAGTCCCATTTATGTAGACCATCAGACCAGCTCTTTTGGTCCATGTGAAGAGGATGTGGGTCCAGAAAGGCCCTGAAAGAGGAAGCAGAGACAAAGCCGTGATATACGAGCATTTGTGAAAAGCAGCTTTGAAGTAGAAGCAGAGAAAACCGAATCAGAGCAGGTCAGGTCAGATAAGAGAGGAACGTTTATGCTTCACTTACAGCTGCTTAAGTTCGATCTATTGACTGAAATCCTCAACATTTCCAAGCAAACAGCAACAAGTATTACCAGAAACTTGCAGGTATAGATATTTTCATTGACATTTAAAAAAATTGTCAAATCTGCTTTTCAGCTGAATGTCAATTATCTCTAAAATGAGTGATCAATGACACATGCACAGTCAAAATCTCTGACACATTCTCATCCAATGGTTTTCCTCCCTTTTTAATAATTTCCTTGATTTTAAATAAATGCTGAAAACATTAAAACTATAGAGGAACACACATAGAATTAAGCGTGTTCATTTTTCTGAAACTAAATGGTATATCATATACTTTAGGGTAAAAAAAAGGAGTTTGTAAAGTAGAGCAAACACAGATCTGACAGTACCAAGGCTGACGTCTTAGCTCACATGGCAGTGACTCACTAAGTTATTTAGACCTTATCTATAATAGCACACATATATAGAAATATACCAAGTCAATAATACGATATTTAAATCTAGCATGTCATATGCTGACTCTTTCCGAATTTCCCTGAGACACAGAAGTGGTGGGAGTGAGGTTGTTTTCTATTTAATCATTGTAAATGTACATTAGATATCCAATCGTATGAGTCGAATAAAGGAAAAGCTGAAATCAATAGCTGCTGATGCAATCTTTGTGCTTTTAAAGAGACTTCTTAATTCTTCTCCGAAGGTTAAAACTGTCTTCCTTTTTTTTCGACATAAATTTATTAGTCTGAAAGCCTGAGTGTGATCTTCCCCAGTATGCTCTTTCGAGTATATTTTACATTACAAAGAAATTAGTCCCTCATGTTCCTCTTAAGTAAATCGATAACAAAAGGAGTCTCAAAAGACAATACTTGCACTGACATGTCTGCCAGCAGAACAAAACAGCCAGGGAACTCATTTGTGTTTAAAACACAAACCTTATGTGCCAAAGACCATCCCTTCTCTGATTTTTAACTCTTGCCTTCACTTCTCCACGCACAGATTTACTTCTTCACAATGAGATTATTTTGGGCAAAGGGTAGCTCAAGTTTGAATTCACATGCTGAGACCTTCAGCAGAGAGAAAACTGTCCTCAAACTTCACTCTGTATGAAAACCAGATGATGTTTGAGCCTCAGGAACTGTACGAGTCCAAGAAAATTTAATTGTGACGCCCTCTGAAAGCAACCATTACTAAATGCAGCAAAAACACAGTTGACAGAAGTCATTTGAGAAGGAAATGCTGGTCAGTAAAAGTTTCACATAACAGTAAGGCTCATTTGTTTTTTTTCCAATTTGTCAAAACAGTTTACTAAATCTTTTCATCTCATTCGGTTATAGTTTTCATTCTCAGAATTGAATTGAAGTTATTGGCCACAGTCTGAGTCGTATTGCGTTTCAAAACTCAGAATGTATCTTGACTTTTACTCCTCACAAAATATTGTTTTATTTACAAGACGAATGGCTGTGTGGTATTATGTGTCCACGATAATTGCGTGTTTTGTAAAACAGCAAACGATTTATGAAATTTATCCCTGACTCGCAAAATCAACTCTCTGCGACTCCATCTGGTTTCATTTAACCAAAACATAAATGCAATTACATAACTCCAAATTTATGCACCACAAAAATACATATCTCCTGAGAGAAAGTGCATTCCTCATCATGGAAAATTAAAAGAACAGTTCGTGATAGAGAGGCAAATTCAGTCACTTTACCTGGAACTGCGATATTGGCCTTCCATCTGTGGTAGTTTCCTCTGGTGTAAAACTCCACATATCCTCCAAAAGGATTGGTGTAAACAGAGAAACCATTGGAGATCACTTTCCCTCCAGAGGCAACTGCAAAACGGGACTCTGCCTCGTGGTTCTTCCAAAAAAAGGAGAAGGTAATCCCTGGAAAACAAGGCAAAATCTTTTGTAGCAATCTGGAGGAGACAAAGAGGTCTTTCCCCAAGGAATAAATCGCAGTAAACTTACCCTCTGGACCACACAAAGTGGGGTCACTAATGCAAGAGTTCTGGTAGCTTCCGAAGTAAAGAAAGGTACCACCGTTATCTCCGTTCAGATAGATGCCCTTGTTGACCATTCCTTCAACAATATCTGCAGCAGACCACAAACAGTTGGCATCATTCCTTTCAAAATAATGAGCAGTGTTTGCGAGCATAGCTCTCTTTTTGGCGGCCAAAACTTGTAAAATATTAAGCTGTCTCTGTATAAATCAAATTACAAAGTCTTTTTTGTTGTCAATTAATCATGAATTGTTTTTGCAGTTAATGAACATGAGGCTTTTACAGATTTCCAGCCTCATGAAACAACACGTCATGTCATTAAACAAGTGAAATTACACTTATTATGTTGTGATTCTGATTTGACTAATGAAGAAATAATTAAAAGGCAGAGAACTTCTCAACTGATTCAGCCAGGACAAGAGACTGAGCAGGCGGAGGGAGTGAAAGGGACGATGGTGAGCAGTGGGTGATGCACAAATGACTCTCAGGGATCCTCACCTACTGTTGCAGAAATGTTAGTGTAGGCAGAGTCATTGGTATACGCATAGGAAGAGTTATGGGAGGAAGGGAGCACAGTGTGGTTGTGGATTCTGAGAGCTGGACACAGACAATGGAGAAAAACAGTGATTCACACCTAAACAGACACACAACAGAGGACACAGGTGAAAGGAGACAACAGGAGGGACGTGGTGTGCAGGTATGAGACGGAGTGATGCGGTGAGCACAGTGGGGCAGTGTTTAAGGAGATTTGGCTCTTTTTCCTCTTAGCTAGAGGATTTTTCTGAAGTCAGAGTGACCCCACACATCTTACTCAAGTCTATACCTGATCCCTCTACATTTTAACCATAAAAAACACAACTATAAACAATATATTGGCAAGAAAACACACGAACATTTATTCATTTCTACATACCACACAACCGCCGGGAATTACTTCCGCCCCGGCGCCAAAATATCGCGATATTAGCAAACAAAAGCGTTAGCAGCTAGCTGTAAGTTGAAGTCGAGCTAAAGCTAAAGCTAACCGACCTTAATATATTACCAGTATTTCTCCAATTTAGGCTTAAAATTCGAAGTTAGGATAAATAAAATTGATAATATACGAAATAAGTTGCACATTAGAAGGTGTCTAGCTTAGCCTTTTTCTGTTTTATGTCCATTTTTAAAACCCATCTAAAAACCCACTTTTTTTCATTGGCTTTTAACCCATTGTGAGATGGCATTTGTTTTACTGCCTTTTTTAAAAAAAAAATTGTAATTTATTGTAGTTTTATGTTATTATGTACAACACTTTGTGTCAGTTTTGTTTGTATTTAAAGTGCTCTATAAATAAAGTCGAGTTGAGTTGAGTTTATATCCTTTCCTATTCTTTTCTACAACTTGTAGTTTTATCAACATATTCTGTCATAATAATAATAATAATTACAACAAAAACAATAATAACTATAATAATAATAATGTTTATATTAGGGCTGGGACAATTTGCTTTTCTCCTGATTAGGTTCTTCTACGATTTTTTGGATGCCGATTCGATTTAAATTGCGATTCCAGGATATGTTGATTTTGTCGATTTTTAGTTTGCATTTTTAACACCAGTGAAATAGTTGAATGTTTATGATTGTCTATTGACTATTTCCAGAAAAAATACACATCACATGTAAGTTAGTTTTTAAGATTTATTTTTAAATTTGAAAAAAAAAAAATCAATTTTTGAAAAAAAAAAAAATCAATTTGAATATTGTATAACAAAAAATCGTGATACTTATGTGAATCGATTTTTTTCTCCCACCCTAATAATAATAAATAGACTGTATATTTTACCGCTTGTCAGTAGGTAGTCAGTACCAGAGTATGTTTCCATTTGAAGCCCTTCACATTATCAACTTCATCTTAAAATTGAACGGATTTTAAAGTTCCCACTCACACCCAGGCACCAGAATCTTATTTTTCTTATATCTGAGAAACTCTGAAGACAAAAGCACATTTAAAAAGCATGATGACTGTGGTGGTAATGGGTACTGGAAAGCAGCTCTAGACCATGCAGAGAGCAATCAGACAGACATTAAAATGAAGCATTCCTGTGAGCTAATGCAGTCAGCTTATGTATGCACATACTTATGTTAGTGCCGTTAACATAACCTGGTCTGTTTCCAATCTGGTCCCACAGTTCTTGGATCCCGTCCATGGCATCGAGAGGCCAGTAATGTGAGGCCGACGCTAACACCTGCAGGCCTGCAGGGAGAGTTCAAGTTAACCTCCAGAAGGGGTTTTTCCCCCAACCAGGCTCAGCCCATTACTGTTCATTTATTTCCCTGGCACTGCATTTTGGATTTTGCAGGATTAAAAGATTGATAACAAAGCAGCCAACAGCTGTAAAAGCTACACAGACTTAAATGGATACTGAAGAGAAAACAAATCAAGAATATCCATTGATTCAAAAGTAAGCAGATGGTCATATACTTGGCTCAAACAGTGCACTGTGTTTGCTCCAAAAAAGCTGTCATCGTATTACAGAGTAAAACACAAGCAGTCACAACACTCAAGCAAAAATTCATCACCTGGATGCTTCCCAGCCTGAACCGCCTGAGCATAAACCTAAAAAAGAAATTAAACGTATATAAAGAACAAACAACAGATGACTGTGATAAAAGAAGAAGGGACTAAAGTTGATTTTTCAATAGCTTACCTTAACGCAGGAGACAAAAGCTGCTAAAAAGTGAACTTTCAAGGAAAATTCCATGTCTTTTCAAAATGTGTCATAAATTTTTCCTATAATAACTGCTAGATCCCAGAGTGAAGATGAATCTGGAAGGACTAAGTCATCATTCCAACTTGTGAAAACTTGTGATCAGTCCATGAGTCCAACCTTTTTAAAAAAAGATTTTAAAAAAGACCTGATTTTTTTTAGTGTAGTGGCATGAGGCAGAAAAACTTCAGCAGATGGTTTTTGGTTGAACAAATCTGGAGTTCATCTTCCACTTCCACGCGTAAAAGTGTAATCCGTGATCTGTATTCCCACTTTGAATTTGTATCTCTGAGTTTCCCTGCCTGCCTGCATCTGGAAACTGCAGTGAGAGTAGAGGAGCTCCGTGGAGGCGGTCTGGCTCGTTGGACTGTACGTGGGAATTGCAAAACGTGATGTCACTCTCTGGATCTTCTGGAGAGGGGCGTTACAGCTGTGCGTAAATGGCATTATTTGTGCGTAATTGGAGACTGCGCGGAGAATGAATGAGATCAGGACCTGCTCGATGCGATCCAAATATTTTTGTTTGGATGAAAAGATAAATCTTGAAAAATGTGGAATGATGAGAAGTCCTGTTAGGGGACAACACCCGGATTCTTTGGGAATAAAAAACAGAGATGTTGCTGAGGATGGGTTGCGTCTGTGACGGTTCAGTGGCAGACACGCAAACATAGAAATAACAACATCTTTAACTCTGTGTGGAACTTTTAAAGGGTTATGTTGGATGTAAGTGGGTTAAATTCGATTTCAATCAGGCTATAAATATATTTAACCTCAATCTGTCCAAATGCAGAAACATTATAAGTCGATGGTTAATGATGGTTTCCTTTTGTTTTTGACATGTTCCTATGATTTGGTGTGTGTCCACAGACAGGGAGCCACCTGAAGTCATACTCACAATTTTGCAAACTTACTTGCCCTAATACCCAGGTAAACAGCGCCGCCGTGTGGCCAAATAACCACTGTTACCAAGGCCACCCAGCCATTCTTATCAATTATTTATCCAGCCTTCTCAAATGACTGCCGGAGGGTGTTCACTGTCAAACCAAACTTCATCGTCTGAAATAATACAACATATCCACCAGTGTTTTTACAAATGAACCACGGAGGACTTTTGTGTCTCAACGTTACATTTTAATGGAGTTAATATAATATTTCCTTTTCCCTCCCTTCTGTTATTTCCACCCTTCCAGAAATGTAATCGGATTAGATTAATTCAGTTTGCTTATCATGATGGATCGGTCAAATTTAATTGAGGGTTGGCGAGTTCCTCCCCTCCTGAGGGTGAGAGAAAGACAAGGAGGGAGGGAGGTGGAGAGAGGGGTGGGAGGAAAGGCGTATCCCGGGGTAAGAGATATTGTGGATGTGTAACAGGTCGTTCGTGTTCGTGCGGTGAGAAATAGCGACGAAATTGACACCAAATAGACTTTAAGTTTTAGAAAGTTTTTATTTCTTAGAGCTTGGTCTTAGATTCATTTTTGATAAGAGGTAAACTTGTGAAGTCTGGTTCTTTTCCTCTATTTGTCGTCTAATATCGCTGTAAATGTAGGCCTGTGTACCTCAGCTCTCCTTCACAGCAAGGTGGCTCAATGTTACTCCAAACCAGAAGACTTCCAGGATGACCCAGCGGATGATTTAGCACAATATCTGGGTAGAATCGGACCCAATCGGTGGGATGAAGGACCGACTGGCTGAATTGGCTGCTGTAAGTGTCATCTCTTTTCAGTCAAGTGTTTTAACCATGACAGGTGAAACTCTGGCGGCATAAAAAGTAGTCCCTCTAACGCGTATTTCTCATGCGCACAGAGTAGGGCACAAGCAGAGGAGGATGTTGCAGTTTCAGTGGACAGAGATGGCTTCATGGAAAGCTTTTTCAGAAGGGTATGTATCAAGGTGGATAAGTCCAGTATGTTGATACATTTGGGAGAAATGGGATACTGATGTTTTCTTGGTTGTTTTAGGTGGAAGAAGTCCGAGGACTCATTGATAAGATCTCCTTACAAGTTGAAGAGGTGAGGAAGACGCACAGCATGATCCTGTCTGCACCCAACCCAGATGACAGTAAGTATGTGTTCAATAAAAAAATCAATCTAATGGAGGTGTTAAAAGTTTCAGTGTTGGCACGACTGTTGCTTTTTAAAGGGTTACTTTGGCTCTGCTGTAGTTTGACCTCAGGGGCACAGAGTAGAACTACAAGAAATGCCTCACTTCCTTTGTTATATTTTCCTTTTCATTGTAAATGAACGGCTGCCAGAGCAGGATACTTGTCAAGGAAACTGCTTTGTTTTGTCCCAAAACTCACAAATCACTATAGTAGTGGCTCTAGCTTGTCTCTGTTAGAAACTTTTTAACACCCAGGCATTTAAACACATTGACTAGATCTTTATTTCATGTTTTTTGATGATTTAAAGCAGTTTTTACACAAACAGCACTGTGACAGCTCTGGATGTAAACAGTTTTAGCTGAGGCCTGAGGATCCTGCAGGACAAAGAGTCAGTATACAGAGCCATGACACCATCGTTCGTTATGTTTAATGTAACTCACTACGGGACATACATACAGGGAAACAAAGGGCATGTGTGTTTGGTGTTGTGTTGTCTTTGCTGTTATGCTACTGGATTGTTGCTAAGTTACGAGATGAAATCACAGCAGATTCAATATTTGCAGTAGGAAGTCATACGTGATTTGCTGGAAGATATTATAATTCCTCATCAGCGCCTGATATATATATATTTTGTTTGTTTATGTGAAGAAACAAAGGATCAGCTGGTTTCTCTCACCAATGACATCAAAGGGAACGCCAATGTGGTTCGGACTAAACTTAAATGTAAGTTTTACCTCGTCTGATTGTTGCACTTTATTGATCGGCAGGTAAAAAAGCTGCTTTTTAACATTAAATCATGATTTTTCTCACTTTATTTAGCCATGGAGCAAAGTATGCCCAAAGACGATGCAGCCAACAGATCCTCTGTGGACTTCAGGATCCAGAAAACACAGGTCAGGACTCAGATTATTGACTTCTAGATACTTTTATCAATGAACATGATCATTGTTATATTCCTAATAATCCTGTCTCTGAAATGGAATATGCTGCGCTCATCAACATTAACAATTGATGATGACCACTGTACATGGTGAGGTATAATTAGGTTAGATTAGATTAGACTGGATTAGATTAGATTAGATTAGATACAACTTTATTTATCCTTCTGGGAAGCTTCACTCAAGGAAATTAAAATTCCAGTAACACCATGTTCAGAAAATAAAAAAGAATGATGTACAATAAACATAAAGAATAAAAATGTAATATAATTATTTTTATATGAAAAGTAAGACTTAGAGCTCTGGACATTTGCACTTAAAAGCTCTCTTGGGTTTCCTTACCACACCTGCACAAATCCTCACGTACTTTTCTTTTATTGTACAAATATGGATAGATAGATGGATGTACTTTGATTGATCCCAAACTTAATCAGTTTTCTCATCCCGACAGTAATCAATGACTTGAACTGTCTGCACCCTGCTGCTCTTAATAAAGTTTTTAGAGTTGACTCTGTTATTTATCTTTTAATTTTGTTTTAATTGCAGATTTTTACCTGTGATAGGTAGGACACCTGCAGTAGAGCAGAAATATAGGGACTGAGAGTGGGGAAGACGTGCAGCGGAGGGTTCGAGAGTGGAAACAGTCACTGTTTTGACGAGGGCTATAGCCTCTGTCCATGGGGCGCACTCAAACTGTTAGGGCAGTGGTGCCTGTTTTCTATCGTTTTAGAAAACTAATTATCAAACTTAAGACCAGAATATTCATGTATCGACCAGGAGAAAAAGAACAAGATGAGCACTGATGGTTTAAGTGCACGCCACATGGATTTGAACCCAACCATGGCCCCTTTCTGTGTGTCACTCCCACTTCCTGCTCTATCCTCTGCCCTGTCCTCTGTAAGAAAAGCCCCAAAATAAACCTGTAAAAGAAAAATAGTCCTGTCACTTTGTACATTCTTACTATTTGTCCTTGCATTGTCATTTGTCCTCAGCACACGGTGCTCTCCAGGAAGTTTGTGGCGGTCATGACCCAGTACAACGAGACGCAAGTGTCCTTTCGAGAAAGAAGCAAAGGAAGGATCCAGAGACAGCTGGAGATAAGTAAGTGACAAATACTGTACACCCCCCTACCGCCTGCCAAACCAGCACAAGGTCAGGAGTGTGGAGCATTCTTTAATCATTTTAAAACAATTACATCAAAAGACCGAGTTTGGGTGAATATGAAAGATTTTCAGTGAAGAGTTCAGAGATAAAAGACAAACCCTAAAGCTGTCAGGAAAAGATCCAGGAAACAGACTCCACCGGTTTCCTCTTTGTGTCTCTGAACACAGACCTGACTGGTGATAAACAGACGTCAGCAGGACAGCACTTTTCCAGGTTTCTTTAAGATGAGAGGCCTCTCTGTTTCTAACACTAAAGTCACAACAAATAATAGACACCTACCCAGTGTTCTGGTAAATCCCAAATGAGGACGAAGGGAGAAAACTGATTTTTTTTTAAGTATATATGAACACATAACTGGCATGATTAATAAGTCATTTAACCTGATGTAAAACCATGCAGTGTAAATAAGTATACATGAGAGTCAACATTAATTCAGGCCTTTAAGTTGAACTTGTTTTCCACCATTTTTAAGAAGTTTGTTTGCTCATAATACAATGACAAGCAAACACAAAGAGACTGTGTAGCAGGTGCGTTTTATCATGCATGTGTGAGTCTAAAGTGACTGTAATGAAAGGTAGTGAAAGGTGAAAAAATAAGTCTGTCTCCTCTGCTCCCTGCGGCCGGCATTAATGAGAGCTCCAGTTCTCCACGCTGCAGCCGGAAGAGCCTGATACTGGAGACGGATCTCTGTGTTTAGGTTGCCCGGGGAACAGGCGGAGGGCTTGGCAGCCTGCGTAACAGTAGTTCACCTGTCTTTGACACGGCCACACAAGCCTCCTCGGCCTTCCATGCAGCCTTTCACCTTAAATCTGTATCTTTTAGAGGCGATACTCCGCTACATGTATGAGTGGTAATGGGGGTGTGTTTTTGTTGTGTTTGTCTGCCTCTCCCTGAGGACAAGTCTCCTGAAAAGGTGTGTGACTTACATTAAGCACCTGCCTGCAGAGCTCACTCTCCAGAGAGCTGGTTGTACAACAGGAGGCACGGCCCGAGGAAGAGAAAGCTTTCTGTTTATAGAGATTCAACAGCTGTTTGTCTGTGAAGGCTGCTGGGCTCCTTTGTTCCTCTTCTGATCCTCTAGACATACGTCTAATATTAGTTTCAAGAAGCACTCTCACCCACAAATAACCTGGAAACCACAGCAGGAACTAGCTGTAATTAAAGACAAAGTCATTTAAATGTGCTGCACACTAATGGATGCATTGTTGCTCTGAGATTTATAGTTTTTAAATAAGAGGTTTTGCTAACAACATTCAGCGCTCTTACCTCCCTCAGGTTAAACACGTTTATGTTCCTTTTTTAAAAAGCACATTTATATCAAAACATTAATTCAGTCTTATTGGTTAAACAATACAACAAATCTGCTGCTGCTGCTTAAGGGGAAGACAGCGGTGTGATTGTAACAGTATCCGCTGGGTGGATAACAGAGACTTCATTTCTCTGTCAGCTCGGTCAATAGAGTTCCTGTGAGGCTTCAACCTCTCACACAACAAGCTTTTTACTCTGTGAGACAAATTCATTATCCTGGGATTAAATCACTGTATACCACTGTATACACTGTACCAGAACAGGACAGACCTCTATAACTAAACTATAGTGCTCTCTTCATCTATTATTTTCTTAAAGTGTGTGATAAAATGACCTTGAGTGAAAGTGTAAGACTTCTCATTCAAGACTTCTCTGAATTAAAGATTTTCAACCCTAGAGATGTAAGAAATGCTGCTACTTTTAACAGGAAAATCAATACATGAGGGAATACATTGGAGTTTGGTTTTAAACAAGGGGTTAACATCAGTATTTAAAATAATGAAATATTTGAATTTAAAAAGGTAAAGACACAATGAGTTAAAATAATTTGAAATTATAGTGTCAAATGAGTAAGATAAATAGAAGTCATAAAAACAATATAAATATTTAAATGTTGAATCAAACAAACTTTACAAAAAAATTAATCTGTAGTAAAATTCCCTGTTTTTTGTCCCTAACCATAAAATCACTTTGAATTAAAAGCAGGATTAAAAAGAAAAGTCTGAAGTTATCTTTTAAAAACCACAGAAAGAGACTGCTTTTTAATATTCAGAGACAAAGAGCTCCAGAGTTCAGGTGTGTTAAACAGAAAACTCTCTCTCTCTGGTGCCTGTGCATGTGGGACACATGGGGAACATTTTAAAAAGGAAACATTGAAGGACCCAAGTGACCTGTCTGGAAATTACAAAGAGAGTAGAGCTCTAATCGATGGAGGAGTAAGGTCATGAGGAGGTGTAAAAACAAGTAAAAGGACTTAAAAATCAACTTTAAAAGAAACAGGGAGCTGTGTAACTCCAAGAGAAGAATTCATACTATTACAGTTTATCAAAAGATTCACTTCTACAGGGGTAGCATTTTATTAAGGTTTCTGATACATCATGCAGAGTGAGGAAGTGTATAATTTACTTGCACAATTGACTGCCTGTAGATTTAGACAACATGCTTCCATTGACTTTTAATGTAAATATAAAGCCTCAATACGCCTGCGATCAATGCTAAAACATTGTGCAAGTGATACTGAAGCATTCACTGATGCGATCTGGCTGTTGGAACCGCAGGGTTGACGTCACACCCCCCTTCTACTGACTACAACACATTTGACTTCCCCATAAATAAATCAGATCCTTCAGGTCTAAAAACAGCCGCAGAAGTGATCCTTGTGTCATTCAAAGCAGATACAGATATGACGAAAAGTTCAGGAACTCTTATCTCAGCGCTCACTTGATTCTCTCTCTTTGTTCCCTCTCTGCACTAAGAGGCTGCAGGAGTTGTTCACAGAGCTGTCAATCATGAGGCCACACCCCCTCTTTAGCATTAGTTGAAGTTTTTGACATTTTCTTAACAGAATGAAGTTCATAATGATGCCTTTTAATAGTGTACAAAAGCAAATAAGACCATCAATGATTAGGCTGGAGGGTTTCAGACTTTGTATGACTGTTTTGTTGCATTAAGATTTTTTCTGTGTTCAGCAATGTGCAGCTTTTGTACAGCTGTGTAGCTCTCTCTAGTACCATCTGTCATCTTCATCCTGCCAGCTACCTGTGAAGAAGTTGAATAAAAACTACGGTATTTCCCAGTTCACATTTCCCTCCACTGCTCACGTTTTGGTGTTTTTCATCCTTTTTGCCTAATTAATGATTGCCTGCTTTTTCTCATTTCAGCGGGGAGAGTGACCACCAATGAGGAGCTGGAGGACATGCTGGAGACTGGAAATCCATCAATCTTCACATCTGATGTAAGTCCTCTCATTTCCTCAAACAGGTTATGTGCAGCTTGTAGCTAGATGGCAGTATAAGATTTAAATCTTGTACTGCCATCTAGTGGTGGTATAGGAGTAAATCACTTAGGATAGGATAATGTGCTGCCAGGTTGTAACTTTGCATGGAGATGGAACCATTTCTTTGTGTTTGGTAAATGATATAAACATGATTCCTGTTTTCCAGATCATTTCTGATTCCCAGATTACACGTCAGGCCCTGAATGAGATCGAGTCTCGGCACCAGGACATCATTCGCCTGGAGACGAGCATCAGGGAGCTCCATGCCATGTTCATGGACATGGCGATGCTGGTGGAAACTCAGGTAAATCCAAACAGAGCACCCCATAGCTGATCCATACTCTTTATGGATAAGAAACCTGCCATTTTAAATTTCATAAGGTATCTGTGCCATGATTTTTCAGCCACTATGTTTTATTATCAGCACCACCAAGACAAAGCCCGATATTAGACGCTACAAATAAAAACATTCTGATTTGCTTATTTACAGGGTGAAATGGTCGACAACATCGAGAAGAATGTCGCCAATGCAGCCGAATACATTTCTAGTGCAAAGGAAGAGACCAAAAAAGCTCTGAGATACCAGAAGAAATCCCGGAGGGTATGTGCTCCTTCCTAATGATGTTTGTTTTGGGATCGTCATGCGTAAACAGATTTGTAAATATCAATTACGTTCAGTTGCACATGTGACATCTTAAAACGAGCTTATGCTTCTGTTTATAGCCTTTTTCTTTCTTTTTCAAATCACCATCTCTTTCACTTCGCAGAAATACATTATCCTTGCCTTTGCTCTGTTGATCCTGCTTGCTGTCATTGCACTAATTGTTGGCCTGTCTGTTGGACTAACCAAACCCCCTGTGTGAAAACTACTGAGGTAACACTCCATCTATATCCAATCACTCAAACACAACATCCATCCTCTCATCTTCTGTCAAAAAGTCTCTGAATTCACGCTAAGGTTTTAGCTCTTAATTGGTTTAAAGGATTTGTTATGCAGCATCCCTCCTGACTCCTCTTTTTCTTCTCTTTTTGATAGAAACTTCTCCGCCTTGCCGTGTGTGGGGCTGCAGGTCTCCTCCTTTTACTCATCATATTAGTGGGGACCTTTGAGTGATGGATTTCATGGTTCACAGACACTCAGCAGCAGCAGTCAGCTCCCGTGCTGATGGAGCTTAAAAGAGCTCCATTTTAACACAATAGTAAATCATAACAAGCTGTTCCCTGTCCGGCAGCATTACAGAGAGGATCTCATGATCACACTAAAGTGAGTATAATGTGTGTGATCCACGCCACATGGCTAACATCATACCTCATGTCTCACCGTTCTGGAGCTATTCATTACAGCTAGAATAGAGGCTCTTTTTAGGTGATGTAGCTTTACATTAACGGAGATAAATGTACAACGATTTATACACTGTATTGCTGCCATTTTGTCATGTAAGTTGTAAAAAAGATGTAAAATTTGTGTCACTGTCAGATATTTCTTGGTCCAGAGACCGTAAAGAGATATTTCACCGTTTGGGTTAGTAGCTTATTCAGCCCAAAGTTAGATGAGAAAACCAATTTTTCACTCCCAAGCTGCTCTCATGTCTTTAGGGAAAATATTAAAGGGATATATTTTATGATTTTTGGAGTGAAGATAGATGAGTTACTTGTCACTAGTTAGTGTACTAAACAGTAACCTGGTCAACTCTGTGCATACGTTGAGAAACTGCAGGTAGAGACAAGACTTAAGGTATGCTCAGGCTTCAACTCATCTGAGAGGTTTGCCAAATCTCTCAAAATCGGTTGTTTCTCATGAAAGGGGCTCAGTGGACCTGCTATCCAATGTGGCTAATACAGTTTCGAGTGACATGTAATCCGTACAACCTCATTTAAAAAAGACTGAAATATCCCTTTAAGCTATGTGAGATAGCTGACCTTTGCTTACCTTAGCTTGGTGTTAAGACTCACCAACATTAATGGCTAACCCAGCTGTGTTCAGATAAGTCACAAAAGTCCAACTCAATGTAAAAAACACACTTTAAATGAAGCTGCCAAACTGAGGAAATTATATCATAGGATCTAAATGAGGAAACACGGGGGGGAGAATAACAAAGTTGAAACTCAGGATTGTCAAAACATAATTTATATTTGTAAGATACTGAAGGATTTAAAGAATAATCCAGTAAAATAAAACAAGATTTTAAAACACCAGAACATGATTCCTGTAATGATGAGATTAAAATAAGCAAATAAATTAGACTAAAATTTAGACTAAATATACAAGTAAACAAATAGAGTTATTTAATGTAAGACAGAGTAATACACACTTAAACTCAAGACTAAAAGGTCAGTGGTGAGTTTGCCTTCAGAAATACTAAAACTCTGTTTGACCCTGAGGTGCTCGTGTAGTCTGTCCCACAGACGTGGGCTGTAAAACGCTGCCTCCTCGTGGATCTTTGACTTTTGGCTCCATTAAGAGACCTCTACCTGAGCAGTCCTGAGAGCTCTCAAGGGTCCAGATGATAAAAGAAAATCTGATAAATAAGTCAGACTGAGACCATGGAGGGCTTTGCAAACCAGTAAAAGAAATTTAAACTCAATTCTGTAAGATACTAGGTGCTAATGCAGCGACATTAGATTTGTTCAGGTCTTGGTCAGCAGTCTTACCGCTGATTTTTTTTTCATTCCTGTATGTGTGGCGCTCAGCTGATTTTGTGACATTTTGGCAGATCCAGGGCTGGCTGTTTCTATTTTACATCTTCTATGCTAAGCTAAGCTAAACTAGGCCAGGCTAAGCTGCTTGTTGCTGCTTAATGAAGGAGGAGGTTAACGTCTGATCTCATTCTCTGTGAGGAGAGGAGGTTCGTCAGCTCTTTCACCAAAATATTAATTTAATATTTAGAAAGATGTGTGCAATTTATTGACTGATCTCTTAAGTGATTATTAAATCTGTGTTTATATGTTTGAGTGTATGTTCCCTGTATAACCGGGTTATTTTGTATATACTCAGTAATTCATGTAGTGAATGTAAAACCAGTACAGCTCAGGAGACATTAAAAAACAGAACTGATGTAAAAAAGTTACTCCGTCACTCTTATCTTTACTCCAACCAGAGGAAATGTTTTCAGGTGGATTGAAAATACAACACATTGTACTGAAACTCTCAATTGTAGCAAAGTGCCTTCTTAAAGTTGTAAAACTTAACTTATTGAACTGTATTTATCACGATTAGTGTGTGATGACTGAAGAATTTATGGTGAAAAGTCGGGCTGCAGAATTAGACTGTTGGACAAAGTTATTTCAAGAGCACACTTTTTTCTTTTCATAGATTTGAGTCTTTTTAATTTGTTTTGAACTGTATCCTTAATTTTATACAGAAACAGAATTCATTGGCAATGTAATTTAAAAAATAAACAACTCAAAGTGAATGGAGATTGTATTTTTTGTCTGTTATGAAAAAAAAAATCAATGTAATGGTAAAAAATTCAAAATCATTCAGAACACTTAAAATTGCAGACACTTCTGAATTTGTCCTACAGCGTTAAGAGGATTTTCTTTGTTCTCTTAACGCTCGAAACATTCAGTGTTTTTAGTTTGTTTACAGGAAAGCAGAAAGAAAGAAAGAGAGGCTGCTGTTAACTAAAGGACTAATTAGCACTTTGCACAAAGCGCTTGACTTCCGTGTAATCAGCCAAACAAGATTAGTGAAGAAAGTGGAAGCGAGTCCCCAGAGGGCGACTTTGACCCTGTCTTTGAATCAGATCAGAGACAACTTCACACAGAGAGCCGGTGGATGTCCTCAAAATCCGCTCATGGGGGTGTTTGAGGTCACTGAGCGAGACATCTGAAATTTAAAGTGAAATTATACAGAAATGTAAGACTTGGGTGGTGATTTTTTTTTCAATTACCCCCTTTCAGATTCAGGATGGTTAAAATTCTGTAGGGAGGGGGCTAATTGAAAAGAAAACAACCTGACAGATTCCTTCCAAAGCTTCTGAATAAATGACACCAAAAGGTCTTCAATGCTCTACAAAAAAAGGGATGACCTGAACATAAACAAGAAAACTACGCTTTAAGCTCAAAATGGACTGTTCATAAGTGACAAATGAGCCAGACAGGGTCACAAGAATCGCCTCAAGATTGAGAAATGGAAACCCAGGAGGCCAAAAATCTCATGGTATAAATCTGTGATACAGGAGTTGATAAAGATGAATCTGTCATGCGGGAGCAGAACATGCCCCAAGAAGAAGCTCACTGAAACCTCACGTCCCATGAGGAGAGCAGTAAGTTAGGATTGATAGGAAGGGTTTGGTCAACAAGGACAGACTACATTTTCAAAGACATCAATCCAGTGTTTTTATACCTTTTTTCTTCTTTAAATAACAGTTTGCTGCCTAATCATTCTGCTTCCTCCCTTAAATAGCCTGCGTCAATAAGCATAACTGTCCAAACTGTCTAATGTTATTTCCATTGTCAAGGATATTGTGTCTGCTGCCGTCTTGGCTTATTAATACTCATGTACGTCTTGCCGTTCTCCCTGTTGGTTTCCCGTCTTCTTTCTTCTCCTTCTAACTCTCGAGTTCAGTCGATTCGTCATATGTTGTGATAATTTGGTTTGATCTTGCCTGTTTAATCCACTCCAGCACCACCAGCATGGCAAACAGTTTAACAGTGTGTGCTATGATGATCATTTTCTACCCGGCAACAGAGCTGTTGCATTTGTTTGTGCACCCACTGTGACAAGAGTTCACAATGAATGTAATCATTCAACCACAGATTTTGTCACAGAGTTGATCTAAAGCAATTTCTGTTTAGGGCTTGAACATTTATCATTTCTAACATGGAAAAGGAAATCTACAATACATTATAAGAGGCATTGCAGAGGGGAAAGAAACTTCAGGTCTTTCTTGTCCAGTGTGTTACATTGCTGCTTATTTCCGCAAGGCTAAATACATCTGTCTAAGTACATCGAAATATGTCATCCCTCATAACAGAAAATAAAGATTGACCTACAATCCTGCCCCGAGGTACTCCAGTTTAGAATCGTTACTCAAATAGTCTGTACCCATTTTAATCTGAGTACTTCCTCCACAAAACAAACACTATCAAAATAGAGACGATACATTCTGACTCAATAACAATTTCATCAGCAGCCTACCCTTCCGTTACTCACCATGTGCTTCTGAACATGAACACCATCACTATCTATTTATTTCAGCTTTTCTAATCCCATTCTTCAGGCATGACTCTCTGTCCATATTGGTTCATTGCCGTCATACCATTTTTTCCCTTTTACTTTAGCCAGTCATTAGCCATCTGCTCCATCAGTCTATAGGTGGGTGATTTAAAGATGAGAGGGTTATACTTTTCAGCATTTTTAAATTTCCTTATGTGGATCAACATCACTTCTTCCCATCCTTTACTGAATAACAGCAGCTACTCTTTTAGTGCCCCCATACTAAAATATTTCAACATGATGTTGCATATTTAATAATTCCCTGGTGTGGTTGTCCCACTTTTAGCCGGTGCCTTTTATCATCTCATGCTTAATGTCACATTTTGTTTCTTTAGTCTTTTCAGTCTTCTCGGCACCTTCATGTTTCCAGATTTACTTCTCCCTTTGAATCTAAGCAAATCACTAAAAACTGTATGAACTAAAAGTGAAGTATATTATTTCTGCCAAAAACTGCTTTTTCCACTGCTGAAAACAGAGTAACTTTCATTCATTTCAATGTCTACCAATCTTTTTATCGATGTCCCACACCTGCCCTGTAACAGGTGTTCCCCGTTGAGATTTTATTAATTTTATTGAACTTCCCATAACAGTCTTAGCGTTTCTGAAGCAAGTCATCCAACATTAATGTCGCTCTTAATAATTCAAATCCTGGAAATTTAGCCTACATAGGGGAGAGTCGGTTAAGATGAGCCATTTTTCATATTTCGGCTCACTACATCAAGTCAATCATAGTTTTGTCTCTAACTAGTGTATCTGCATATATTTCAAGATGTTGTGCATCCCTGCAAACCAACAGAGTGAGTGTAAACAGAACTGTCTTGATAATAAAGCATGCTGAAAAAAAGTAGTCTCCTATGGTCAACTTACCTCGTGTATGGGGACAAGCTCAGAGATACCACAATTGATGTATAAAACAAATTTAAAATGATCTTTTTTGGTCTGAATACAATTCTAATAAAACCTATGACAGAATAAATTCACTCTTAAGAGTGAAATTTTTTTTTTTGTAAATAAATGTCTAACCCCTTCACCCATGTGCTTCTAACCTTCACAGACTCCATGAATTGATGCCCATCTCCTAAATATTTGGTCACATGATCAATTTCCTTTATCATTTCCAAGCAACAGGGGGTGGATCAACTTACCCTTTGGCTCAACTTACCCCACTCTCCCCTACAATCACACAGACAGAAATGACTTCAGGTGTGAGGAAATTTTTAAGCGTATTATTAACAAAAAGTTCCCCTTTGACAGATCATTTTTGAGCTGGTTAAAAATTAAAACCCAAATAAGGACCTGTTTGTCAAAAACAAGCCCCGAAAAACCGCAACCCTCGACAGAAAAACAAGCCCAAAGTCGCTTATAATGAGCGGACTTGGCAACTATGTCACGTGGCGGGCCGTTGAGGAACGTTTGAATTTGAATTTAACGGTCGGATCAACGGTAGCCCTGTAAATGACGTCGCATGCGTGCGCGCGATCGTCAATGGAAAAAATGGGATTTGCCAATGAGAAGAGCTTCACAACAATATTAGAAGTAAAACAACTTACGTTCTCAACATTAGGTAAACTGCCCAGACTTCATAAAGAAGAGGAGTCCTTCGGTAAGTTTTAAGATGTTAGTTTTAGTAATCTCAAACAGAGTAAACAGTTAACGGAAATGAATAACGGTAGATACTAGCTAGCTTGTTTTGGGGAAAGTAGCATATCGCGATTTAATCGGTTACCCTCTATCAAACCGTCTTCTTTTAATTTATCTCCTAACGTGGTTCTATCAGCAGGTTTTGTAAGTACTGAGATTTCTGTGAGGCTATTTAAATCTAAAGTAGTCACTGTTTCTCTGTTTGACAGACTCTTGAGCTCCTTATCTCAGGTCTGAAGACTTTGTTATGATACTGCAGTGGATACTTTTGTACTCAAATTTAGGGAGATATTTTGGTGACTATTTCTATTAGTGTACAGTTTTTGCCTTCTTTACTCCTCTCTCTACACTTACATATTTCTCACGTGGTTAAAGAGAGTTACATAGCTATTTTTAAAGTGATCAGATTAACTCCACATTGCTGTAGGCCTAAGTGTGTTGAAGCAACTCTGTTTGTAATTGGATTAGCTGCAAATAATGTGTATTGTTTTTAATGTATAAAGTAAAACGCACTTTGTAGGTAAATACTTGTTCTAACTGAAATAGTCTTTAAAGAGAAACTGGAAGAGTTTGTGTCTACAGGTATGTATGTATATATATATACATATATATGTATATATATATATATATATATATATATATATATATATATATATATATATTTACATTTTTTAAAATTAGCCTTTTTATTGATGACATATGTGTGGGTGAATGTATACATGCATGTGTTTCTGCTACTCAGGTATTGCACAAAGGAATTTTCGTTGCTCCTCGTGTAATGACAATAAAAACTATTTAATAAAGACTGTTCTATTCATTCATCACCTAATTGTCTCTGCTGTCATTTTGAAGCGTAACCAGTGTAAACTGGCAAAATCTGGAAGGAGTCGTTATTTTCAAAGTGTATAGGTCTGTAGATAAAGTATAACCCTCAGGTCCCATAATCTTGGTTTTAAAAAAAAAAATAATAATAAAACTACACTTTAAACACAGCCATCCGTTTCCTGATTCTTTATAAACCTCTTAAAAGCCATTTTAGGTGGTTTTGTGTTTTATGTATCTCCAGTGGCAGCTGTGCTGCCTTTTCCTGTCAGTACTGACAGTAATCCAGCATCCATTATTATGTAACTCTGCTGGATACAGATATTTATAATCTGGACATGCTGGAGTTATGACATCACCAAGCGCTGCTGACCATGACGAGTGTTTGAGGAAGCATGCAAACCGTTCTGTCATGGTAGGTTATTGCTTCACCAAACAGGATATGTATAACTGAGATGAAATTTGATTGATGCTCGGCTTAACTCCATATCCGTTTCCGTGAACCAGGGGACAATGGGCTGTCAGAAGACTTGCAAGGTGGAGAAACTCCTGAAGCAGCCTCAGAGGGAAGTGGTGTGGAGCCAGAGACAAAGGTTAGCCCCAGTGAAGAAGAATGGCCGCATGCGGGACACAGAAAAGGTGAGCTTGATGTGTTGTTTTCCTGTGTGTTGTTTGTGGAGCTTTCTATGAATAAGCATTGATTCAACCATGCGTGGACACCAGCAGGATAAGCACTTGTTGATGCCTGCAGCCACTGTATGACCTTTCCCTGCACTCCTCAGCCAAGGCTCTTTACTGTCACCGAGGCTCATTATTAACAGATTTAACCATATGTGGCACTCTGAGGTTGTATTTCCATCACTTATTGCAGATGATTCAGCTATCAGACAAGAAAGACATCATAATACTTTGTTATTAGTGCTGTCAGCTTATTTAAAAAGAGATTAGCAGCATGCCATTATGTAATACGCATTTAAGAATCAAATGTACAGCAGCAACACATTAATTGCATCCGGGCTGTTCAGCTCCTTTTAGTGTTCTCTCACACCTTAACATGTATATTTAGATATTTATGGAAAATATGCCAACTTATTTAGTGACATGTCATTTTTTTTAAAGACAAATGAGACGCAGAAAAAATACAGATGCAAGAAAAAATAAGACATGGTGCATTAACAAGCATAACCACAAACACAGCTGTACAACTGCAAGTGCACAAATTTGTTCAGTGGATTCACAAGCAAAAGACAGTCTACCAAAACAAAACAAGACTGATTTGAAAGTTGTTATCCAAGCCTCTGCAGTGCAGAAACCAGCTGGTACTAAATTAAACGTATGCAGCTGGGTTTGTTAATGGCATGAGTAGCTTACATCAGTGCCCATGTGCAGATTAACATTTGGTCTGTCATTACAGGGTGGTTTGAGTTTTCATATTGTCAGTGCATGACTGTGTTGGAACCTGTTAATGGATGTGGTGGATTTTAGAAAGGGAACACTGTAAACCCCTTTAAGCTGGTTCAACTTAAAAATGTAAGATCCCCAGCTGCATTAAATAAATGAGTCAACCGAACCGAACTCAAAAAAGTAGTTTGAAGCAGTGTTATGAGAGGTGAGGATGTAAAACTTACTGAGTGAGAATGATTAGATTTCAGAAAACTTTGCTCTCCCACCCTGACAAAATTCATGACAGGTTTGCCTTTCATTAGCCTTTAGTCAAACCTTCATGATCGAGGCTTTTCATATCAGGTCTAAAGCATAGAAAACTGTGACTGTGGGGAATTATAAGTGCAGGACAGAGTGCTTAGTGCTCTTTGCTGTAGTATATATGGGAAGTAACAGACTTTTCTTGTAGATAAGTTTCACTCTTAATGTGATTATGTTGTGAGACATGTAGCTGACTTAGTGAGGGCAGATGACCAAGTTCACATGTTTTTAAATCTTCATCATCTACAGCATTTTTCTCCAGGTGATGGATGAAGTATACTTTTTACACGCATCAGCAAACCACGATGATAATGTTCTGAAAATCAAGCCACATAGATCCAGCTGCTCAAAATGTTGATTAAAGAGGAGAGCATGCAGTCAAGGACCCGTAGTAAACAGCAGAAGGCGGGGCAGGACCTGGTGTATAAGGTATCCATGAAAGCATCATCTCAGTGTCATATCTTGAGCAAACTTTCCCCTACTACATTATCTCCAAAATTACTTTTTGAAGTTCTTCATTATTTAAATTTGCTGTCTCTCATTATAGGAGCGACCTAAGCTCTCAGTGTTGTTGTCGGTGCAGCATCTCACACAGCCTTTTTTTAATCTGCAGAGGCTTTCACAAAAGGGAATGTCAAAACAGTTGTTCACACCTCCGAATGTGTCTCACCCTGCTGAGTTAAGGCAGGCCTGGAGCTCCCGGTCTGCCTTCTGACGTCCTTTGACAGCTGTCTGAACAGGTTTTGTTCTCCCTAACAGTACAAGGTAGGCAAGCGTCCTCTGAATCATTATTTCAAAAACATGCATACACGCAACCAGCAGCAAAAGCTCGTTGGTGCACCCCATACAGCCCTGTCCTCCTCTTTGACAAGTCCGATAATTCTTAGATCCTGTTTGGCTCAGGCTTGATTTACAGCTTCCAGTTAAGTTCAAGATTTAATTTCAACATCATGTCATTTTAAACTTGTAAAACCAAAACGTTAATGCAGATATGACCCCGAAATAAGGACTACTTGTTTTCCTTTATGAAGACGCATTTAAATTGGACACTTGAAGGTCCTTCATTCATTTTCAGTTGCAAAAAGAAAGATTTCCTGAGCACTATTATCATCATGATGGTGTGCAACTCTAAGTTTGTTGTTCAGTCCTACTCATGGTTTTAGTAAATTGACTAAGGGACTTACAGGAGATGGAATCCTCAGAGCAGTGATCTACAGCAGCTGATATATTGGCAACATCAGGTGTGCTTTCAGCTCATTGCTGGAGCTCGGCACCGCCCCCTTTATTGTAAACATACCAGGTAGAGGACATGGGCGGGAGCATCTGACATCAATCCTGTGTGATGTTGTGGTGCCTGAGTGTTAACCAGCCGCTTTGCAACATAAGCTCTCAGCTGGGATTGCAGAGGTTGTCCCACTAGAGGGGGGGAGGGACAACTCTAAACAGAGGTAAGGACCAGCTGTGGTTGCTAGGCATCCAACGCTAAGGAAGCATATCTGTTTTTGGCCCTGCTCCTCCTCTCTGCTTCTCCCACAACAGGGTGCAGCACCCCTGTCAGCCACAGAGGGCAGCCACACCGCACAAGCTGTGCTGCTCTCCTTCACATCTCCCTGTTGTGAGAAAAAAAGAAAAAAACACAGGATGGCCCAAATAATCCCCTTTAATACCCTTCTGCACTTGATTTCCTGACCTGTGATTGGATGGTAATTCTGTTTGCTGCTGTTTGTGATAGCTGATTGGTCTGGACCACCGTGCAGAGAGTGAGGGTTTGTCAAGCCAAGCCTCCAGGGAACCTCTGTGGCATAATGACCCATGACGAGGCGAGGCACAGACCCCGTATCAGCTTTGCAGAAAAATAGCTGATAAACACTCCAACGAGACTGAGAGCACAGACCAAGGGGGGATGCCAGAGAACCTCACATGACCTTGCCAGCTTCAATCATGGCTGCTCATCAGAGGTGGTTAGGTGGGCAGGCGGGACGATGGAGCACGTGGCTGGAAGGGTTTACTGACAGGATCGCCTCTGACTGCTGAGAACAAGAGAAAGAATGACCAATTCTGATTAAGGAAGACGAGAGGCATCCTGAAGAGGGAGCGCTGCTCATTGCTGCTGCGCACTGCACTGCCTCTGCACCCCTGCGTGCCTGTGTCTGTGTGACTAAGCGTGTGTGTGTGTATGTGTGTGAGAAAGAGAGAGAGACAGAGAGAGAGGGAAAGGGGGCGTGTAGATGTGTGTGCTTTGCTGCACAGCCATGGCAGTGTGAGCTGAGCGATGCTTGCTGGCCGTCTCTCTCTCTCTCCCTCTCTCTCTCTCTTGCTCTCTCTCTCTCTCTCTCTCCCCCTGCGCTGCCTGGCTGTGCCTCTTTCGAGCATTGATGAACCATTTTATGCTACAGAGCTGCCGTAGCTGTCGTCCCGGTCCAGCTGCCGGCTGCTATTCTGTCCTTCCAACACATTAGGAAACACCTGCCTCTGCATCGCTCTTATAACAGCTGCTGCTAAGGTACTGTACCGTCTACTGTCTGCTGTCAAGCCGTGTGTTTTTCTGAGACGGGGATTGTTGTGTTGCCTCTACTGCAGGATCCCTGGCTGCTGCTGCTGTTGCTGCTGCCGCTACTGCTGCTACTACTGGAGGGATAAGGATCATCATTACATGTCTTAGACTCTCTGAGGATATGATTAATGAAATGAACTCCCCTCCCTTTCATACCCATGTTGCCGTCTACCTTTACACGCATGTGTTTACTGAAGGATTGTCTTGTTTTGAGTTCCTGTTCTGAATGTCCAGGTTAACGACACTGAGAAGAGTCAGAGGACATTGCACATCATTTGCATGCTGTAAGGATTCGCTGTCAGATTGATGTGCTGTCAGAATTTCTTGTTTTGAGTGACATGATGCTGTGTTTTGTTGAAGGGACATTTATTTCTGCACAGCAGGGACAGTGGTTATATAGTGTTGGTAATATAGCATTATTTTCGGGTTCTGGTTGTCACTGGCATGCCTGTCGAAAGATGCTTTCAGTTGAGCAGAGAAGGAGATATGTGATTTTTAGTTAAACGGAACCATAAGGGTCTCGAAGTTGTGTGAATCATTTGGTGACATGTTTGCTGATTGGTCATCAGCAGTTCATTTATATCAGTCAAACCGTTTGAATGGATTTCTTCATGTATTTTTACAGATTATTAACAGTGTTGCGTCCTGGTGTAGACTGTTTGCATCACAAGGTTGTCAAAACAGCAGCTGACACTGTGTGGTTGGTGCTTTTTTCTGCTCATGCTCATAAGGTGTTTTTAGTATGCTTAAGTGTATGCACATTATGAATTAATACAGAGAGCTGTAAGGGGCATTAACTGATGTGTAAAGGCTTTAAGTGTTTCTGCATGTCGTGCCATCAGTTTGCAGTCAGATAGGATCCTATAGGTGGCAGTCATGAGTGCAAAGGAAAAAAAAAGAGTCAAGGCTGAACTGTGCAGAAATATGTTGTCTGCTCATGTGTGCACAGGTAAGGATTTTGTGTTGACTCCCAAGGTCACTCATTTGAAGAGCTCCTATAATTGGGGCTGTCAGGCTGGACTCACACCCCAGGTGTGAGAGAGTACTCTGGTGACAAACTCCCATTCATACTGAGGCTCCTCCTGCCCACCTTGACAAGCAGGCATGGTCATTCATCATTTTACCAGTTATCCCTGAGCTGCCAGTAAGCAACTTTCATCTTCACTATGCACAGGAGACAGGTATTCATATTTCTTGCCTAAAATTGTTTGCTCTGCAATGAGTTGATTAGAAGGGAGACGGCTGGAGGGTGGTATTGATAGCTGTGGGTGAGCTCAAGAGGAGGGAGGGGTACTGCTGAGCATTTCTGAAATCCAGCCCTGGGTCAAACTGTATTTGCATAAAATTCTTAGTATTTATTTCCTCCTTCTGGTTGTATTAAATGAATGCTCACTAAATGAGTGCACTGCAGTGGGAGTTCAAACATTTTGTTGTAGAAACAAAAATTGTAGAAAGCTATACTGGATTTAAATTAAAAAGCTTTTTTTGATGAAACCATCTGTTATTTGGGCATATGGAGGAGAAGATCCAAGACTCTGCATCATTTCTGGAGTGTGTCACTGGGGAGTTTACAAACATCATATTTTTATGTGTCGGTAAATCATTTGAATTTCAGCCTTTTTGCAACCAGTTTTAGTGGGTAAGACATTTTAAATTCAAGTACTCAACTTTTGATATGGCAAATGTTTGCTAACACAAATCCATCAGACACAGAGCAGAATTAACAGTCATATAGGGACACGCTTATGCTCACCCAGTCTGAGTCTCCAGCATCTCCTTATGGAAATATCCACACTTTAGCTGTTAAATTCTCTACTAACTTTACCCAACTTTGTATCTGTGCTGCTGTGTGGTGGGTTGGTGTTGTACTGCAGATGTAGTGGAGCTGATTTTTTGTTTTTCTCCATTAAAAACAGATCCTGCGTCTGAGAATATGGCTGAAGAAGGTGGAGTTTTGGTTGTCCAACTTGAACCGTGAACTAAAATTCAACATAACACCCATCATTGGTCAGAGTTGCAGTAGTATGAGGTTACACTTTTCTGTGGGTTCATCACATCCCTGGTCTCTCACTTGCAAGTCCATATTAAATCTTTCAAAATTCAGGTCAGTTCGGTGGTAACCAGTTTTTACACTGAAATATATTTTCTGTATTGCAAAAACATTTTGTATTTGATATGACTTTACTGGTGTCCCTGACAAATTTATACCAGACCCTCTAAGTATCTGTAATGAGCCCAAATTCAATCTCCATGCTGGTGTATGAGTTTGGCAGTGGAATTGAAAAAGTGAATCTGGTCTGTGTAGGTCTATATTAAAATGACTAACACTTTAAAGGCCACATCATGCAGCATGTGCATGAGTGTGCAACCTCATATGGTGACATAATTAGCAACCCTTTTGGCTAATGCAGATGGTGCACACACAGCTAGCAGTTGGGACTGAAGTTTTAATTAGGGACAAATTGATTAGGTTGCCCCTGTTGAAATCCCTGAAGAATGCATCATCAGTAAATACCTCTGTATGTGAGGAGCGTATGTTAAATAGTGAATACGCTGAGTTGGTGCTGTCTGTGTGAAGGACTGTTTGCACTGCTAATGTTTATGACATCGATGTGAAAGGAGGAGTGCTGCTGAGGCACCGAACATGGCTGCTCAGCTGAGGATGGAGCAGTGTGAGACGAGCATGGCTCAGCACGCTCCTGAGTGACCGAAGCTACGCTGTAGTAACAGCTGGATTGTGCTCTTGGCGCCTGGATGTGGCCTGGATACAGCACGTGACCCACCACAGTGTGAGGCATTAGTGATATGAACAGCAAGGTCCACAGCCGTAGTTACATAACACCATCTTCACTGGGAGAGCTCTGTAAAGATGGCTCCAGGAGACTCAGTGACAGCGGAGTGAAAGTGCATTATCATTGTCAGCGGCCGCATCACTTGCCCTGATTGTTGAACTGTCCCGTGCATGACAAAGCAAGCATGTGTTTCTGATGTGTCCTGAGGGTGTTCTCATGTGAGGGCAGATTTATGTACATGTTTTGTGCTTTAAGCCTCTGGACTTGATCCCCTGAACACACATGCTCAGTGTATTTGTATTCAGGTTCATAGAAGTATGGGAATCTGCTCGCGTGTGTCCTCACACCAGGATGTGGGTGTTGCAGTTTCTATCTTCACAAGTGATCATGCGTATGTGTCTGTGCAGCACATGTTTGTGTTAAAGACATTGCTCCTGCGGCTCAGATGTAATGTAAGAAGATATGTTGTGCCAGCTGTCGTCATGTTGGCAGTTTGACTGACTGTTGTAGTGTTGCTCGGACAGCCAAGAGTGACTGGCTGCTGACTGCAGCTGAGGTCAGAGGAGAGTAGCCAGTAATCACCTTAGGGATCTGGCTGCATTCATAATTGATTGTTCCTGGAGTTGATCAGGGCTGTCCACCCAGTCAGATGAAAAGCACTGATCTGGTGTAAACAGCGTGAGATCAGAGTTAGTAGTAGTGGTTGAAGTGCCGAGGAATTGATTAGAGTTTGTGGTGAAGTTTACTCCAGTAACATGACAATCCTGTACACTGGAGCCACAACAGCAAGTCAGTATGTGGTTTTTGCTTTTATGTGTTACATGTAGAATTAAACTCCTAAGTCCCACCACAAAGAAATTCTCATCTAGCTGATGAGTCGATGTCTCCTATCCAGCCTGTTCCTAACTCCCATGATACCTCCCAGTGCGCTCTGCGACTGAACACACAACCTGCATTTTTCACACTTTTCCTCATTTAAAGGTTTTAGGGACTTAAAACGAGGGAAAATTATCTGTTACACTGCAAACAGACCAATGTGATAATTTCTCTGCCTTCTTTTGTTGAGCGATGAGAGGATAATGTGACAAAATAGCCTCTCATTAGCATATTTATCTCCATTATTGGCTCTGTTGCTACAGACTGCAAAACAGTGAACAACCTGAAAAGCTCTGAGGCTGTTAGTATTTACAGAGAGATCCGGTCTGTCTCGTCTTTATTAACCTCTTTTGTCTTTCCACAATGAAATGTGACACAGGTTATGAGATTTTGACTGACGGCTGTTACTTCAGCCTACTGTCAATCATCTGATCTGGCACCTACCTCCTCACAGTGTTTCTAGGCAGTAAAGTTACATCAGAGAAACCATCCGCCTTGTTGGTTTTAAAGAGGCATCAGTGTCAGTCTGTTTCTGAACCAGTGCCTCCAGAGCCTTTAAAATCAGTGTTTGGAAAAAAAAGAAGTACATTTTCAATATTTGTTGTGGCAAAATGATCTACTGTAGCATGTTTGTGCAGTCTTATTACTGTTTTTTTTTTTTTGTAGCAGGGATCCCTAGCTTTATTAGCTTTTTTGTCTCATCAGTTAATGCCTCTTCAATGTTAACTTGTTGAGGATAAGAAAATGATTCAGATCTGGAAAAGCAGTGTGATGACAAAAAGGAAAACCCACCGGTCTGCAAACCAACAGGATTTGAGCTTGCAGCAGCCAGGCAAGACTAACAAGACAAAACCAGCAGCATATACAGTAGATAGACTCTCTGAGCGGTCAGTGAGTTTGTGGTCGGCTCAGCAAGGTGGGGGTCTGTTTGGTTCCGTTCTGAAAGGTTAACATTTATGCATAAGAGCGGCTGCTGAGGATGATTATGTGAATCTTGACAAAATCCACGGGCAGTGATGATTATTTGTAAGGATTTGCTTTGTAATAAAAAGCTTATCCGGCAGGTTCAATCTCTGTCTCGGTCTCTGCCTTTCTGCCCACAGGTTTAGCTCAGTGTGTCTGCTGTGTTCTCTGTTTTCTGGGTCTGTCTTTAAATAGCAGAGACATACCAATGTCCTTTTGCATAAATTAATCAAATCTTAACGTTCTAAATATGCAAACCTTGATTCATTTGGTCAGGTTTCTGTTGATATAAGGAGTGACTCTCTGATGTCCGAGGTAGTTGTTCAACATTATGTTCAGTGCTTCTGTCCTTTATTCGGACATGCTCCTCTCAGTGTCTTGTGGACCATGTTGGAGGTTAATTGCACTCTCTCTCTGATAACATATTAAAGGCAGACAGTGCTGCAGACACACAGTGCCAGACAGTTCAGGGCTTATTTTCTGTTTCTGCAGCACTTTTAATGTTGAGGATGATTAATGGAATGCTAATGTGCTCCGGAGTTAATTCTTTGTGTTTATGTGAGGATGTAATTGGTTCTAATGTCCCGATCAAGTAGAATTTCACAGCAGATTACTGGAGAAAAAAAAGCCTGTTTATGCAGCGGGTGCAGCTGCAAAAGAAGTCCTTTTTTTGTTGTGATCAATCTCTGTTAACTGCGTAATAGGACCCTCTATGTACAGCACATTGTCCTGTGTTTCAGGCCCCTGTGGAGTTGGCAGCCAGCTATCCAATCCACTGCCTGCATGTCGCCCCATCATTGAACAGGGGTAGAAGCTAATTGCATGTAGAAGCTGTAATAAGGTGGATTGAATTAGCTTTGGACTAAAATGGATTAAAGAGGCCGCCATGACATATAGACTCCCAAAATGACTCATTATTATACCCGTTCAGTCAAATATATATCATAATACAGGGTATTATTATCTAAGAAGTGCTGACAGTCGAGGGGCCACAACCCGACATGAGTCTGTGCAAATGATTTTCTGCTGGAATAACAAACAGTTTCTAATTTAGTTTAATTAGAAATGCCTGCATGGAACACTTCTCTTAATACGGATAAAAACAAAAAGCTAACCCCTGGGCATCGACAATTAACACAAATAATGAGCTCATGCTGTTTTAAATGTCATTCAGGCAAATCCTACGTGTGCGTCTTCGCCGGCAGATCATGTTTACAGTAATGAAATGTTTGCAAATGTTACTTCTTAAATGGAGTCATAAATTACCATTTGAAAATGTTTTTGTCACAGAAACTTCATTAAACTTGAATAACTTTGATGATAAAAACTGCTGCAGCTCTGTCAAAACTTTGTGTACCCCTCTGTAGGTACACTGTCCTGGCATGACTAATGTTGATGTCCTCTTCTCCAAAACTTAAGTGTTTTAACTGAACAAGTAGTCATATATTTAAACACAGTCCCAAGACGGTAAAACCCTCCGGAAATAATGTGCATTTTTGCATGAGAAAAGAGTGAATGGCAGCAGATGTTAGGAGGAAGAGGTTTTGAGCGCGCCCAGTAAAGTTGAAGTGGATGGTGAGAGTGCATGGCTTTAGGGTCTATGCCCTGCAGCTGGAGTGTGGACGGAGAGCAGGATGGAGAAAGCCTTTTGTCCAGATGTCTGTTTGCATTCAGGAGGTTAAGGCGCTGCCTCCCGCCATTAGAAACAAACACTAATTGCCCATTGGCCCCGGGTTGGAGATGTGCAGCTGGGGACACGAGGCTAAAAATAGCACAGCTTGTTCTCATGAGTGGCGGGCACACAGCACCATAGTATTAGTATTCAGCTCTCAAACATAGCATGGATTAAAAAGGTCATCTTTTGGCCATGACCACAAATGTCAGCGCGGGGTACAAAGTGAAACTAGCACAGAGCAGGTTAGCTTCAAGCAGCCCCTCAGGGTTCACCCACATTTGGACCAACCTACTGAACCTGCGTCCTCTGTCTGCACACTCTGTTTCCATGTGACATTTTCCTGCAAGTGTCATGACATCCCGTGTTTTTGTTTGTAGCCCAGCAGCATTCACGCTTGTTCCATGAAGCTTTTACCTACATGCAGCGCTGGCCTTCCATGCTTGAGTCGAGTTACAGCTCTCCCTCTATGACACAAAAGCAGCATCTGGTTCCACCTGACTGGAGCTATGAATAATTGAATAGGGGGCATTATTATTTCCAGCCAGCTCCACTAGCTTGGCAATAACAAGCAGTTTAGGTAGTGCTATCAGCGTCGCTGGCTAAGTGGTTGAGCATGGAGAGAGGATGTTATTTTACCTTGTTGGCATCTTATACCTGTGTGGGTTTGTAAGTATCTGGTTGAATGAGTGCTTAAGTGTTATTTTTCATTGATACACCAGGTCAACATGTTGCGTGGCTGTTCGCAGATTTACTCAAGTTGGTAAACAAAACTATATAAAGCATCTGGCAGACTTAGACAGTACAATAAACCAAACATTACGCCATCAGTCAATATCCAATATGATGAATCTGGACTTTTCATTATATTTGCTGCCCAGCCCTGGTACAGTAGTTATTTTTCTTTTTCAGTCATCAAACGGTAAAACTGACTTTATTCTTTTATTTTCTTGAAGTTCAGAGGAACGAGGGTTCAGTAGGTGCTCATGGTCGCTGGTGGGCAGGTAGTCCAGCAGATATTTTGTTCTTTTTTTTTGTGAGATAAAATCTGTGAAGAAAGATGAACTCGCTGTGTACACTGTGAGTGTAGCTGTTCGCTGTTTTTGCACTCAGACCGCCTGCAGGTGAGCGACCACTCAGCTGCACTTAGAGATAGCGCACAAGCAGATTTCATCACTAGGGGGCCTTAGCGGCAGTGGTGGGGGTTATTTGGAGAAATTTGTTCAGCCAAAATATGCAAAATCAAACCAAAATTTGTTGTCAAAACGATCCCCTAATTGTGGAAGAAATGACCCTGTATTTTCATGACTATATCGATTTGACTGACTGTGTTCTTTCTCTCCTCCCACAGCTGAGAAATGAAGTTTCGCCCCTCCAGCTCTCAGGTGTGCAGCGTGTGGACAGCTTTCATCTTTTAGAGACCAACAGCAGAGCTCTGAGACTTGGCCCCGAGACCCTCAGCAACCAGAGGCTAAAGGAGAAATTACTGGTGAGTTCTCCATGCTGCAGGGAAATAAAGGCTTGTTGGTGCTGGACTGGGCCTGGACCATTAGGGCAGTTGAAGATGACTATTGAAGCGTTTTCTCTCAGTATTTTTCTGACTTCTGTATTTCTCTCTCTGCCTCTGGCTGTGAACTCATGAACCATAAGTTCTTTTTCCTCCTGATTCTGGTTTAATTTTAAAATGACCCCTCTGCTGGTGCTCAGTGAGAATCCTCATTGGGAGTAATTGGGGCCATAATGGCAGTTTTTTGTTTTTTCGTGACCATCTCAGGGAAACGTTAGGAGACAATGTCTCTAACTGAGGGCAGTTCATTTACTCCGTCTCTGCCTAAGCAGAAGGATGAGGAGGTGGAGGCTGACGCAATGAGAGTTGTTTGCAGACTGATGCATCGGCAAACTTGGCTTACATTTATTTATCCATATTTTTCTCATGAATCATAACCTCAGGGGATTGTTAACTTTTTTTTTATTTATTGCCAGTGATGCTTGGCAGCTAACACTTGAGTTTGCAGTATCACTTCGATACTTGTAGAGAAAGTTGTCTTTTTTTTTTTTTTTTTGAAGGAATGAGAATGGTGATGGAAAATAAAGAAAAGGAAATCATTGCAACACAATGCACATGGCTGCTTATCAGAGGTGGATGATATAAATGCAAAGCAACAGTTTGTTCCTGACCTTATGTGCCACAAAGACTCAAACTTCCCTATATGTAAGTGATTAAATCAGTAATATGCTGGATTTTGAACACCACCACCTGCTTCTCTTCCTAAAAGATCACTTGTCAATAGTTTTAGAGAAACATATTTTCTAAAAAGTCACACCAGAACAATCACACAAATGCTCTAAAACATATTTTGGGAAAAAACGAACATGAAGCGGCAAATTTGAAGTCAGTTCTCATCTGATATTTTTTCTTTCCCAGGGCTGTGTGTTTTAATCCTGCTGCTCATTAAAAACATTACACCTGTTAAACATCATCCCGGTCCTTTATGTTGATGCCCGTAGAGTGCACTAGAGAAACTGAGAAGGGCGGCTGTGACTGAGGAGGTAGTAAGGTTGTCGATTAGTCAGAAGATTGACAGTTGGAGTCATGGTTCTGCTATTCTGCAGAATGAAGTGTTTGTAAGGATGACATTGAACCTCAGATTGCTTCTTATGGCACAGGCGCACAGTGTGTGAATGTGATTGAATGAGATCCTGATGGGCAGGTTGGCACTTTGCATAGTAGCTTATTTGTAAATACGATACGTGTGAATGGGTTTCACAGCAGTTTCATTAAGAAAGAGCAGCTGACTCCATTTACCGTTGATTAAACCCATCTATCGAGGTGGAATGGTTAATTTTTGGACTCACTCTGATTTCCTCGCTTAACAGTATGTTTGTTTACCCATCTACCTGTTCAGCGTCATTTCCTTTCTAGGAGACCCTGCAGCCACAGCGTTGAGAAAAGCCCAGGTCCGTAAACAGCAGGTTTCCAGAGCGAAGCTGGCTCTGTTTTCCCCGGGCTTTCTTCAGGCTGCGATCTCACAGTAGAGGCTGCTTGTAATTCCCCCGGCTTCCCCTGACGTCTGTGGTTCAATATGAATGAGCTGCATCGATTAGACCTCAGTGGGGTGCTTGTGTGAAGGGAATAAGTTGTGTGTTTGTGTGTGTATATGCGTGTGTTTTCATGAGGCGGCTGGTCTTCCTGGTCTGCGTTTCCTCTGCACTTCCCAGACAGTTGTTTTCACAGAGGCTGACGTTATGGGTGACATGTTTTGACTGAGGTGTTCACATGGAGCTCTGATATTTGCAGCTTCTTCATGCATGTAATCTAATCCTGATGTATGTTTGGAGGTAATCAAGAGAGGAAAACATTTTGACAGTTGCAACTAAAACTTTTCCTGGTTTTGATTCATCGCACAAACACATGATTTTTACCGCCTCTCCAGCCCTCCGAGCGTGTTGCTCTCATGCTAAAGCCTGCCAGCCGCAGAGTCTATAGGGGTGCTAACATCAACACTGCTGACTGTGATTGTTTGAAAAAACGAAGGTGGTGTGAACTTTATTTTTAAATTCTCAGCCTGCATGTGACATGGCTACTTGATAATGAGCTTGTCAACGTTTCTTCAGGGATCGTCATGTGCTGCAGCTTTTCACGGGTGACTGAATTTGGATTATAGAATCTTTTTGGAAAGCAGAATGTAAGGCTCTCCTCACACAAGGACGGCCCTGTATTGTCCAGGCATCGGCACCAAAACATGTATTGCTGTTCACACATCGTATTGTACATAGGCTAAGTACATTTACATGACAACGCAAAATCGGGTTCGGGTTGCCCGTCTGGTTCTGCTCCGAGGTGGATTCCACGACAACAAGTTGTGCACGCGTAACATGCTGCGTCTCTGCATGAGTACTTGTTGCTGTTGTTGCCGTAACTCGTGTTGTTGTTGTTAAATGTTGGTATAAAAGTCGTAGTAGTATTTGTAGTTGCTGGAACAAGAACAAAATCACCCCATCTACCGCCATTGTTGTTGTTGCTGTGTGTGTGACAACGTGGGTTGGGGGGCGGGGAGGAGGAGGGGTGCTATGAGGTCACCGTCTTTTCTGGACTTATCTATTTATACCAACTACGGCATGAAGACAAATACCCAGATATCCACCTGCAGACCCGTTTTCAAAAAAGATGCGGAGTCATGGACAAATACGCGTCTCTGTGTGTCAAAATCACCAGATCGATAGTTTATTTTACCGGTGTCTTACAAATTCTTACTCGTGTAAAGACCACCTAAATGAATTTGTAAATTTATGAAACAATTCTTGGATGAGGATTTTTTATTGACCGTTGATACCTAACAGGTGTTTAATGTGAAGATAATGGATTGACTCGGCTGTCATCGTTGCATTTAAGTATTAAGTCCTACTTCACTGTAGCTTCTGTTAATTCCTACATCCTTGAAAGAGGTCTGGTCACAGAAAAGCACTTCCCTTATACCTGTGGCTGTTGCCGGGAAACGAGCACTTTTAAAGTCGACATGCATCCTATCATGTCATTAAGCTGGTGTTTTGCACCGCTCAGTCAACAGAAAAGGACGAGTAGGAAGGAACAAGGGGGTGGGAGGGTTGGGGGTGGTGTTGTTAGTCCCCTGAAGTGGAAAAACAGCCGATTATGGATTCTGAAAGATTGGTGTAGCATCAGTAATTACTGATACTGAACGTTCCTGCGTACAGCTGAGTGAAGTGGTAATGAAAAATTGACAGAGCATGAGGCACTTCTTCAGCAAGCTCCATTAGCCTGCAGCTCTGTTATCTTATGATGGAGATGCAATCAACAAACCGCAGACACGCCCTGTTGAAGGTATCTTCCTCATGTACACAGCTGTCTGTCGCTGGTACGTCTCTGTGTTCTTCTGTGAGCCGTCTTCATAAAAGAGACTTTTTTTCCCTCAGAGATTTCTCACACAATTTCTCAGCCGTGTAGCTTGTCGTCTTATATGTGCAGAGATTTGGGCTGAAGAAGGAGTTTCATAGACTGCGCGAATCGTGATTCCTCAAAAGTTGACATTTATGGTGCGTTTGTCTCTTTTGTAGGACTTCAAAGTATTTGACTGCAGGATGTTTTTGGAATCAAGGAAAGCGGCAGAAAAAAAGAAGCAGCTCTATCTTTAGCGTCTTTTCTGCTCATGTTGAAAATTGCCTTCATAGCTTGTGAATTAAGTTTCAAGTACATTCAGAGGTCAAAGAAGTGACAGCTAAATAACAGAATATTGACTCGTGTCTGTTAATGCAGTTCAATGAATCCTCTAAAACCTACTGGATGTTTCAGATCATAATATCACAGATGCAACTTCAGTTCTATAAAGGTTAGACCACTGTATGTAAAAACCGAATTAGACGGTTTGCAAACAGCTTGGACAGGGCCGTGTTAACCATCATCTCTTCAGCTGACAACACTTAAAGATTTAGAAACAGAGGAAAGCGTGTTTTGGGGTTTTGAGAGTAAAACATTCTCGCCTGATACAGGATTTCAGCTGCTCAACACTTCATGATCGCCTTTGTTGTATTTTAAATGCCAGGATGCACTTATTGTTTTGGGTGGGTGACAACTTGGGACTGCAGCCAGGCCAGTTTAACACCCAGACTGCTACTACAGAGCTGTGTTATTGTGATACCTGCAGAGTATGGCATTGTGCTGCTGACTTATGTGGGTCTTTCCTGAAGTAAGCATTGTTTGGATGGCTGAATATGATCATCCATAACTGGAATATGTCTTGTTTAATATTAAAGGTGCCGTCTCAGATAGGGACAGTGGAGGTTTCATTAATCAAAGGGGTCAGCACTTTCTTATATGATCTCATATTGTTGTGTTTACAATATCAGCTTTGCTCAGTGAGACCAGCAGCTTTTAGGGTGTTGTTGTGACGTCCAGGGGCTTTTCTATCCCACAGAGAGGATAAGTGTATTTTCACTTATGAATGTCCCCAAAAACAAAGGTAATGTCTGATGACTCAAGTATGAATTTGAGTGAAATAGTGCTTTTCTGAGCTGACTGGGCTGGATAGTGGCTGACATCTTTGTTTTGGTCTGTTGACCTGTCAGAAGCTGTATCTGCAGTCAGCTGACACAAGTATAGAGGTACAAAAACTAGAACTGTTTTGGAAGGATTCATTCTACTCAGCTTATTCTAGGATTGGAAGATCTGCGCTCCATCTGTCTACCACTATTTAGGTGCTCTTTTAGTATATACGATAATTTTTATTTCATTTGATTGTGACAATTTCATTTTAAGACACTGAACAAAACAAAACAATCTTTTACTCAAAAGATGGTCGAAGTTGTCAGAGTTGACATGATATGAACGAACAGAACTAATTTGTACCAACAGAAAAAAATTATGCCGTTCTCCCTCTCAGAAGTGAAATTATCTGTCTTTAGATTGTCTTGAAAAATTAACAGGAATGGCCGTAGGACCAGAAAGTATCTCTACCAGATAAGTCTGTCCTCCTCCACTTTTCCTGCTGCTCTGCTGCAGGGGTAAACTTGAGAGGTAAATTGGCAGACTTTCTAAGGAGTCAAGAATAAAAACAGGCGCATCTGTCAAAGTTTGGCTGTTTTTTTAGCACTGTGCTCACATTTAAAAGATGTGAGGTGAATGAACAGATGTGTTATTTAAGAAGGAGAACATATCTGCCCAGACTTTAGATTTGTGATGTTTTGCCATCAGGTTGTAGGAGAAAAACTATTTCTGCCTCTGTGATCTGATCATGTGGTCCACCTGCAAATGTGACTCAGTACCCATCTGTCTCCCAGGGTCTCATTGTTGGTCTCATAAGGGTGAAACTTATTCAGGGTGTGAAGACTTTCTCCTTGGCTAACTCCCGCCTTCATAACTATTCATCACCGTCAGTAGACCTACAGTCAGACCTGCAGGTTTGCTGCGGCTCAGATCAGTTTGATGGTCATCTGAATCATCAGGCTGAGGCACATTTGAGTTCTGATCATAAATATGAATCACACAGCTCAAAAAAAAAAACCCTCGTCATATATTCATAGATCGTATCTATCATGTTCTTCAAAAACAGACAACTAAAAATATTCCCCGGTGTCAACTCGCTGTCTCTGATACTCCTACACCGACGTCAGTGCCAGATGCAACATTTATTCATATTCATTCATATTCAGAAGAATTTTTTTTGTGACAACACTGTGACAAACAGGCTGAATCCTCTGCATGGTGGGATGTGACTGAGACAAACAAGTGTAGATTTGTGTTTTAGTGGTTTATATCCTCACACGAGCACGTCTCCTACTGTGTGTGTGCGTGTGTCGGTGCATGTTGATGTGGGAGGCCCCTGTGCTGGGGGCCAACCACATGTTTACATCACTTATAATGAAATTAGAGCCGCGTGGCGCCCACACTACAGGCCTCCACTGATCCTCTAATTCAATTACCCCCTTTATTAACGCTCCGATGCTGCTGGATGACCCGGGACCGCACACTGCTCTGGCTACACATCGTTCACTCAGCTGCCTGTGCTGCCTCTCCAGTGGATTTACTTATCAGTCATTGTGTTACTTACTGATGAACAGGGATCATCCAGGACAGAGGACCCATACATCTCTAATTTAGTCTGACTGTGACAGCCTCAAGTCTGCAATTATGTAAATACAGTCGGAGAGAAAGTACTGCGTCCAACATGGTGGAGCATCTGTGAGATGTCTCAACGAAACTGGAGGATATTGTGTGTTGCTACGATCGGCTTTATTTCATCCGATCTATTCTTGATATATTTGCATTTATAACTTATCAAACAACTGAGGGACGACCGTTTTTATCTGTGGACCCCAAGGGCCACACAGCAAACAATTTATATGGGGGTCAAGAGTCAAAATCTAATGCTCAAATTAGGGCTGGGCAATAAACTGAAAATTTACGGATACCGAAATTGACGACAATAACCAACGCCATTTTGCCCATATCGGTATATTCAGTGTCAAAAAATAGATAAATAAAAGTTAGTTTTGGATGTGTGTAGGTAGGCTTTAAGACGCCGCCCTACGTCAGAGACGTGACTCCACCCCATCCAGTCCGTAACAAAGAAAGAAAGACAGGTGAGGAGATGGAGGACGGTTCAAAAGTTGGAGCGGCTGAAGTAGACGAAGTTAATGTGGGAGGGGGTGAGCAGCTTGTGGAGTAATTATCTTCCATTTATCGTTATCAAGGTGAACTGCTCAATATATTGTGATATTGATTTGAGGCCATATCGCCCAGCCCTAGATCAAATTCTGTCTCAGTAGTCTGCATGTTGTAAAAAAGGGTTTGATTTGGTGATTTACCTGATTTTAGATCATATCAAGAGTCAAACCTGCAGTGAAAACTTACTAATTTGGAAAATATCAAATATGTGCAGCTTGAATAAGTTTTTTTCAAACCTAATATTAGCAACATCAACTGAACCCTATAGAAGTATAAGAGAAAATGATGTCCACTTGCTGTACGAGTCTGTCTGCTACACCTGCTTAATCTCTTTAAATGCTGGAGGAGTTCTGCTAATGCTGAATGCTGAAAAAGTGCAGCTTCTCCCATATTTGAAGCATATAGGATTAAAACACCAAGACTTTCAGTTTAATATTTTGAAAGAAGTTGATCCTTTTAGACAGTTTAAAGCTGCATGAGAATTCATGTGGATTCCTGCTCAGTCTCACCACTAGTCCCTAACACACCTGAAACTTTAAACAAAGTTACAGCAGCAGTGGAGAGGTAAATTCTTCAATTAAATGTTCTCAACAGGCAGCAACATCTTATTAAGTCTGTAATGTGTCTTGTGCATTTCCTTATGTAACAAAAATGCTTGTTTGCATCTTTCGTGTAATTTCTCCGCTAACCAGACGTCTCTTTAAAATCTAAAATCCAGAATGTTCCCCCACAGCTGAGGGGAGAGAATATATTCCTTATCCTCTTTATCTTGGCAGCTCGTCTTTGTTTACTTGTTGTAAGTGTTGTTGGAAAATTCAGGAAGATGTGCAAAAGCACTTTGCCGCAAACCTTGAAAGAGTCAGAGGGTTGAAATTTCAAAATAGAAGCATGTTGATGACAATTTAGATCGATCTAATTTGATCAGATAGTTGTTCAGCTTGCTCATGGAGTGATCCTGATCAATAGATTGTTAGAGGAGGCACTGTCTATTTCCGGGTGTTTTGTTATCAGCTGAAAACTCCTTACTGGAGCTTTAATATTTAAAGAATTTGTTTTCCCTTTTTTTTCTCTGTGAATGCCAAATTTGTCGAACCATTCAAGAGCAGATTCAGCGTGTTTCTTTTTCCCAGTCTGTGATCCAGGCCCTGAATGTAAACTGTAAGACTGTGTTGCTGTTGGAACAAAGCCCGCTGCCTCTCTGCTGTAACAGGTCTGCAAAGAGCTGGCAGGATGTGTGGCATGATTTAACACACAGGGTGTCTGGTGCTAGCACACACACACAGAAGGGCAGACACACACACACACACATAAACATACAAACACACACCACTGTATGTAGACACTGCTGGTGTAGCCTTTACTCTACACAGATAGCAGCACACTTATGATGCTGAGATAAGGCTTATCAGGGCTTCATCAGAGACAGCAGAGAGAAGGAGAGAGTTCTTTCAGGTCTCCTTCCAGGGTCATGTGTTTCTAAAACAACCTCTCTTACAGTCTGGTCTGCCATGATGGCCGCCAGCTGTAGCATCACACCACTCTTCACTCTGTATTCATTCTGCAACAGACAGAAGAGAAATGCTTTGCAAGTTTAAGGAGAGGAAAGGAAAATAAGTGCATTTAAAGGGACTGTATTACCAATAACAAGAGAAACATTTCTTCATATCCTGCACTAAAATGCTAAAGGAAATGTCCGCACTTAAGCCAGTTAATGGGTTTATCACAGGTTCGCAGAATCCCCCTTTCTTCAGACCCGCTTGAGTGCCTGCGTGATACAATGCGGTTAAATCATCTCATGCCTATACTCAGGATTTCAAAGGTAAATCTCTGCCAAGTTTCTCAATCTCTAGCCACTGCAATGGGCTTATTAAAATTTCAATCTGCTACAGGCTCTCTTTCTCGCCCCGCAGGATGAATGTGCCCTTTTAATAATGTAACCGGTTTTAACAAGATCGTAAAATGTTCATCTAACTTTCATAAGCCCTGTTAGCAAAGTGACAAATTCATGTGACGGTAGGAAACACTCTGGCTGACTGTCGGTTTTTAGAAATGAGTACAAATCCTTTTTTTCTGTCCTGTTAGTGCAGCTGCATGGAGAGCGGAGAGTTGTGCTGTAGTTTACAGCTGCCTGCAGGGGAGGCTGAGCTCGCTGCTGTGTCACCCCTGTGGCTCTAAAAAAGGAGGTTAGTCATGACGGGGGAGATTTAGATTGGCCTTCTGGTAACTGATAGTGCTCCACTGAACACTCCCATTCTCCTCTGCCTCATCTATTATGTACATGAGTTACAAAGGGCTAAAGCCTGAAAACAGCCTTTCAGATGTGGCCAGAACTGCTGCTGCTTCTGCTGCGTGATGGCTTTTATAATCCATTTATATCTAATGAGCTCTCTCTGGTTTTACACTCTTTGTAAAATACAGTTTGTAGTCCGGTGGCGTTGCTTGAACCGGGGAAGGGTCAAGATGCTGTTTATGCTATTTAGCCAGATTTGTGTGTGCTTCACTGTCTCGAGCAATGTTGGAGTAATGTGACCTTCATAGGGAGATTAAAATATGTTGCAGGCGTGCATTGATTTTCGGGCTGGCCTCTGGTATTTATGGACTCAGCCAGAGCATAAATATTGATACTGGCTCTCCTGGAGGAAGATCTGACTCTGTGTGTTTGTGTGCTCATGCTCCAGCTGAGATAAGTATGAAGAGATGGTACCTGATAAAGACCAATGATTTGTAGCTCTTGTGTTTTGATAACCTAAATCTGCTTGTGACCCAGCAGCAGCTTAATAAGGTCATTCCCATTATGTGGTAGCTAATTACAAAGTCTGTCATAGGAGTCCCCAAGCTGCACTCTCAAGTAAAAGAGCAGTTTAAAGGGATACTTCACACCAAAACAAGATTAAAAGCTGTTTCTATCACCCAGAGAGCTGTTCAGTAACATTTCATAATAGTTTTTGTTATTTGTCAGCATTTTTGGCCTTGTTAAGAGTGTCATTATCTATCTTTTTCAAACCGATCGCTCTCTAATTTTTGCCTTTTGGTGTTTCCCACAGGAAAGGAGTAAATTTTGAAAAGATAAATTACCTTTTGAGTAGCCAAGGATACATAATTTTACCATTTCAACCATGCTTCTTTCTGGTTTTGTGGAAGTTGCTAGTTCAGCATTTTCCAAAAACCCAGAAATCAGTGAAGTAGGGTGACCATTCGTACTCTTTTACCCGGACATGTCCTCTCTTTGGGGGCTATCTGGGGGAGTTTATAAAATCCTTCAAATGTCCAAGGTTTTGTATGGAAGTTTTGAGTTTGTGTCGCGTGGACTTACTGAGTTTGAAGTGCGTGAAAAACACTCGATCCGACCCAAAAAACTCTCAAAATTAACTACACACGACTCTGTTATTCCGCCCCCGCGTAATCGGGTCCTCTTTTTGGGGATTCAGAATATGGTCACCCTAAGTAAAGTTTGCACTTACCAGTTCTGCTCTTGAGTCTCCTATGGCATAGAGTTGCAGCATTCAAATCAAATAGATACGTTTTGTAATGAAGATTTTCAATAAAATTGAATTGTCAGCCAACATGTTCAAGCTACATCAGCTGAATTGTGTGAAAAGTTGCTTGTTTGGATGGCTGAACTATTCACTTTTCAATCTGTCATCACTACAGCACCATATTTTTTATCAAAATGTCCCAAAACTTCAGCGCTGATGGACTCTGGCAGGAACCAGCTGAGTAAAACTGTACAAACAGCAGTAAAGTAGGTTGGTGCTGAACATGAGACGTCCTGCCTCAATGAGCGAATTAACAAGAAGGATGTTCTAGACGGCTTCTCTCTCGCTCTTTCTCTGATTACCTGCAGAGCTTGTGTGCAGGTGCTTCACGTGACACAGAAACAAGGTGAAGTTCATGTGTGAGAAACGCTGCCTGTACTTGAAAACTAACTGAGCCTTGTGATAATACAAAACAATAGTGATGATTAAGTGCATTATGTTATCAGCCAGATGTTAATTACACTCTTTTTTGTCTCATGCCTTTTATCCTTTTCCTTTTGTTTATCAGAGATGCATATTTGCGGAGGGCTTCGGCGGCTTTATTTTGACATCTTTGTGCGATTATAAGTCATCAGGAGGTGTGTGACTTTGTTCAGTCTGGTGCCTTTTAATTGGATTGGCGCCTGGGTGGAATTAAAGGCCAGCTATGGCTGCCAGCGTTTCTCATCCAGGCAGAGGGGCTGACTGATAAGCTGGCCACTCACAGTGTCACAAGAGTTGGGATCAGCTCTGTCTGTGTCTGGAGTGCAGTTATTGTATCCTGCTATAACCCTCTCTTGCTTCCTTAAATTGCTCCCGTGTCTCAGCTGGGAATGCTTGTTCATCAGAGCGTTTTGTTCAGCGGTTGAGGGTTTTTTTCCTTTTTTTTCCGAGCTCGTTGTTGAAGTTCAGACTCCTGCCTCTTGCTGCTTTTGTAAGTGTGCACTCTTTGGGGTTTTGTTTTAAGGAGGCACTTTGGGATGAGTATGAGAGGCAAGTGGTCCTGACAGTGACTTCAATGACTCCCACAGCTGACATGACTTTTCGCCCAACGAGTTCACAGAAAGGTTATTTTCTGGGTCGTTTACTTGGATTACGTCTCTCCCCCTCTTTTTTTCGCCGTCTTTATCGCTCTTTGCTGAAATGAGAACCTCAAAGCTCCGGAAAGTCGTCTGAATGCGGCGATTAGACAGAAACAGTGAAAAAAACCTCCTCTGTAAATTGTATATTTTCTCCACATTCAAAAAAAGACAGCAGGCAGCCAATCTCTTACTCCCAAAACAGAATCTAAATGTAGTGTGTGTGCACACTTTTAGCGTAGTCTGTCTGACAGAGTCTCACAGAGCAAAATATGGCACCAAGCCACTTAGCAGGGACTGAATATTTTACTCTTGGCCCTCAGAGAGTAAAAACAGAGCAGAAAATGGCCTGGAGTGAAAAATACCTGTTTACATGACCAGAAAAAGCTCTTTCTTACCACTGCTGAATAAACAAACAGTGTTTTCCCTCTTGAACCTTTAGCTCGTATTAATTTAGTGTGTCAGACGTATTGCTTATCAGTAGGAGTCTGTGCTGGCGGGTTATTGGGTGATTGGAGCGATCACAGCACACAGTAACTTAATCAGCAGGCTTGGATAGCAGCACGGACTTCAGCTGAACTTCCAGATCAAGTTGCAGACACGCACTGCAATTTTAAAACTCGGTTAGTCGGTCCATCTGCCTTCCGCTGGCATAGACAGACTGGTGGAGACAGAAACCTGCAGCTTGGCTTCTGCCTGTGCGGATATGAGGGAACTCGTCTTTAAGGCTTGTGCGGTCTCTGTTTGGGGGAAGGTAAGACCAAGCCAGAAAAGAAGAACCAAAACCAGAGAGTCAGGGGAAAGTTCAGGGACAGGTAGACAGAATACTGTCTGTTTGATGTTTCCCAAGCGGGGACAGGTAGTCAATCTTTGTCGGTCGAAAATGTCTTTGGATCAGCCTTGTTTTTTTTTTTAACAATGAAGCTTCAGAGAATCCTCAAATCTGTGAAAATGAAAAACGATCTTTTTTAGTAAAGTGTTTTTTAAATAGAGATGAATATTTCCTCGATGAAAGGTGCTTTTGATCAAAATTCTCTTTGAAATGTGGTTTGGATAGTTTGGATTTTTTTAAATATCAGTTTTGAATTTGTTTGAGTTTCGAAATAAATGGAGTTATATTTGCAGAAACTCAGTCAGAGGGTGTTATTGTTTTGAGACAGTCCTTCAGGAATATTCCTGTCTGGAGAAGTTTCTAGAAACAAGCATTAATACTTTAAGACACAATCTCCTGGATATCAGTCTCACTTAATTCTTTCTTATCATTAGCGCTCATGATATTCAGGATGTGTTTTGCATTTTAGTAGATTTTGTGCTAATGAGTCGGGCTTCAACAGGAGTCTGGTTTCTCTCTCTGTCAGCAGCAGCTCCTCATATTCATATTCAGGATGCTGCACCCGAGGTTATTTGACTTTTTTTAGGCTAAAGCTTAATCTTACTTAATCTTAAAGATTTTCAGTTATATAAATGTCTGTTAAGCCACTCTCTTTTCCTGAATGAGTAAACACAATGGTGGTTGAGTCAGTGGCTCTCATCTGAAAGTCTCTGCGTTTACATGTTCGGGGTGAGGAGGTGACATTCTCAGGTAAATCCTCGTCACAGGTGTTTGAGTTTCTTCTCATACTGCAGACTGCTGCTGGTTTGTCTGGACCTTAATTTCCCTAGAACTCTGCAGTCATATTGTATTGTATATATACTACTGCTGCACATCGATGAAGCATTGCATGAACTCACAAATAGACCAAACTCATAGTAGGTTTAACTTACATTATTTTGATGTAGATCGAGACTAGGGCTGGGCGATATGGCCTCAAATCAATATCATGATATATTGATCAGTTCACCTCGATAAAGATAAATGGACGATAACTACTCCACAAGCTGCTTAACCCCTCCCACATTAACTTGGTCTACTTCAGCCGCTACAACCTTTGAACCGTCCTCTATCTCCTCACCTGTCTTTCCCTCTTTGTTACGGACATCTCTGATGTAGGACAGCATCATGAGACCATAGCCTACATACACACATCCAAAATTAACTTTCCTTTATCTATTTTTTGACACAGAATATACCAATATGTGCAAAATGATGTGAATTATTATCGTAAATTTCAGAATCAGTAAATTTTCGTTTTATCACCCAGCCCTATTTGTTTGTCTCTTCCACCGGTTGTGCATCTGCGTTCTCCTCCCCTATTCTTGTCTGCGTCCATGTCGGTCACTCTTCCCTGTGTGCTGGTTAGTTGTAACCATACAAACACACGCTGTCAGAGCAGCTGACGGGTCTGACCATACAGACTCCAAACAACCAGATGACAGTTTGTAAGGTTTACATACATGCACTAAACTTAATTGAAATTGTGGCCTCTTATATGTTTATGTAATTTCACCTTCTCAAATCCCAAATGCAGTTAGATAAATTCTGCAGCACTAGTATAGAGTAATCTTCTATGTAAAAGCTTTTCACTAAATGAGAGCAACAGCTCACTGTGTCACTGGTTGATTAATTTATGCCTAATTAACTGTCAGAGCAGTTGTTAATTGTAGCTCCAACATACAGATGAAGTGTTGAAACTTAGAGTAAGGCTACAGCTCAGTTCTCTGAGTCTGTGGTTTCTATCCTTCTGAACACGTTGTCTCAAAAAAAGCCTGAAGAAAATCATCTTTAAATTTGGCATAAACCCCTCACGTGGATCCACAGATGGACTGATTACAATGTGGAGGCCAAAGGTCCTGTTTTTAAAATTTTTTTAATCCCTTCGAGAAAATGACACCATCTGTGATCCATAAGGGGAGGATTTCTCCGAGCTCCTCCTCTCGTGTATTTGTTCAGTCTGCTGTCGCCAAAATGGCTCAACAGAGGAAGAAGACCGTGACGTTCTGTACCTCCTGTTTGGTTTTAAACTTGATGTATTTTCTTGTCTGGTTTCAGTTTAGTTTTCATTGACGCTCAGCTTGATGTTTTCTGTCATACAGTGTGATCCGCTGCGGTGCGTGCAGGCCCGTCTTCATTACAGTAACACAAACCACCGTTGGAAAGTTACTCATTATTATTAAAACATTAAGCTCAGGCTTTGGTGTCTGATGCTCTGATCATTCAATAGGCTGCACTGGAGCTGTGCCCATGTGTCGTTGCATAACACCCACATAGCATACGGGTATGCATTTACCAGCTGGGAGTGTGCCGCCTGCTGTTGCTTGATAACCGGTGGATTTGGATCCTTTTAAAGAGGCAGGCAGGGCGTTCGGCACATCCTTGCTGCATTGCTGCCATAAGCACAGCTTTGGACTTAAAGAATGCCTCTCCCCTCTTTCTCTCTCTGCACTGATGATGACTCACACTCTAACACACCCTGCAGAAATCTCCCCTCATGCACCCGAGAGAGAGAGAGAGAGGGATGTGTTCCTCTGCACAGCTCTAACAAACATTATACTGGTTCATGTGTCCTGATCTGTCTGCTCCTTTACTGAAATACCTGGACTCATCAGTATTCCCTCCTCTTCCTTGCACGAACCATACAGCTGGTGTTTTTGAACTACCAGGCCCCTGAGTGTATTTCGCATTCATTCAGGCAGCTGATTCTCTTATCTGCAACCAAGGGTCTCTGGGAGTGCATTTATATTCACTGGATGCGTTTAATACCTCTTAAAAGTAGCTCAGTACCTGAGAAAGCCAACATTTGAGGTCGTTATTTTGAGCAGATGGAGTCAAGCGTCAGATCAAAGCAGAGCAAACAATGCATCCAGAGAGAGTCTGTGGCAAAGGTGCCATTTATAGATTCTTCTTGTGATCCTCTCACTGTAGGCCGCCCTCCAGTGAGCGAGCTAACATTGTGTGACATTTGCAGTGATGCTGAAGTCCAGCCTGCACGTGCTGCAGCGCCGTAGGTCCGCTGCCCTCAGGCTTCCGCTTCTCTGGAAATAGAAAAAGAGCAAAGAGACCGAGCGTGATTAATGGCCATATATGTGCAGCAGAAAGCACAACAAGCCTGTCTGCCGCCCTTTCCCAACACACAGCCCCACAGGCTGAAAATTACATAACAGATCTGCAAAGTTGCTCATGCTGATTCTTAATTACTTTGCTTTGTTTACGGTTTGTGACTTGGGCTGCGTGGCGTTGCCTGTCAGGTGGGATTGTGGTCTCACTGAGACACGGACCCTCTTCGATTTTAAGAGTTTTTTTTTAACATCAGGTGTCTCTCCAGTTGCGTGCCCCCAGGTTCTGCTCTCAGGGCTGACTTTAGAAGCTGTGTTTTATCCCATCCAGATTTGACTGACACGCTGCTTTTTTCTATTAAGGATGTGCTATTTTTAGCACACTGTGTCAAAACACAGTTGTCTCACCCTGTGTATGTATGTGCTCACTGAAATAACCTCCCTTCCCCAGAAGGCTCGAGTGGTCTCTTCAGCTACATGTGCTGTAGCACTGTTTGCCGTGCTTCACACTGCATGCAGCCCCATTACGCAACCCTGTGCATCAGCCGAGGGCCACCGGGCCAGAGTGCAGCCAGCAACCAATCTCCTCCTTCTTTTCTCTCTCCATTTATTTGGTTTATTTTTCTGTGTCTCTCTCTTCATCCTCGCCTGTTCTTCTTTTCCTAAACCTTATGTTTAAAGTCAGGAGAAAGTACGCTGCACTCAGTCGCCCAAATTACAGCACAGTCTGGTTTTCAGGAGTCTGTAAAAGCTGTGGATTCTGCTTGCATGCAGCGCACTTCTCTTTGGGTGTGCTGGAGTGTGAAGGCAGGTCAGACAGGCCAACAGAAGAAGAGAGGATGATCTGCCCTTTGTTGTCAGTGGGCTTCCTGTGTGCGCCGTCTCATCTTAATGCAAACCAGAGGGTTGTTGTTTTTTCAGAATTACTGGACCTCTTCACGGATAGTCCGCCAAACCCTCGCACTTGTTCCATCTGCCGTATTAGACTTGGCTGTGCATCGAATTCCTTATGTACCATGTAGTTTTAAAGACATGCAACATGCAGATCATGTTACAATCACTGTGGCTGTCAACTGTTGCTGAGGCAGATTCTATTAGAGAGGAGAAGAAGTGATTTTTCTCAATGCACACACAAGCAAGAGAGCATTGTTGAATGTGGGTTGATTTAAATAATACAATTAGTACTAAAGCAAACATGATTTGTGAGTATCAAATAGTTTCAGAGCAAATGTCTGATAATACAGCTGCAGCACTGATGGTGTAAATACACGCTGTCATAATTGAAATCATCTTCTAATAAGTAAAAGTTCTGAAATATTTATTGAAGCCTTTAATTAAGTACAATAATTACTGCTGCTCGTGAATTGATTCATTTATTAGCCGACAGAGGAGACTCCACTCTTTTGTAGTATTTTGGATTTAAAGCAAATTTTTTGGGGTGGATTGTGAAGAGACTGTATGATGGGCTTATTTAGGCTATGCTCATGTTGATTGTCTAGTGAGTTTGGGGATCAATTAACCTCGTCCTCTTCTTCTATATTCTATCTAGATTCAATCTGAGGAATCTTATTCTGCTAAAACATGGTTATACAGTCAGATTTGATCATCCGTTGGTGTGAAATACAGATTGATTTATCAGCTATTAGACAAAACTAGTCTTTGTCTTACAGTTTTTTTCAGGTTTCTATCCAAAAGAAATGCAGTTCTTCTGTTTGACACTACAGGTTTCATCCCTTTTTTTTTATAAGTCTATGGACACCAGTCACAAATGTAGGTGGAAATAAGATGTTAGAGGTTTTAGATGGTAGATTGCTTGTTTAAGGTGATCTCCTTCACTTCTGCTGTCTGCATGATAATGTTTTCAAAATCTCTATCGCTAAGTGAAAAGACTACTGACCTACCAGTACACCACAAGATTTGGCTCCTTCAGTATTTGATTTATGGTTAAATCGGACATGTCCTTTAGGTTTTATGGTGCTTTTTCAGGGGGGACAGGGCTGTTTTAATACCGGTGCTCTTCTCCCCCGTTTACAAATACTTGACCAAAACTATTGACCTCATCACTTTGTTATAAGATGTAGTCTCCAAAGTAGAAACCGTCCTCTCCCAAAGAGTCCGATGAGTTTTCAAATCCTAAGAGTTGTTGTATTAGTACTCTCTGAACCCTAATTCTGCGTTTTAAGCAGTGTGAACACAGGACTTGATGGCTGATATTACAAGTAAATTATGCTTGATAAATTAAAAGGACATTATGTTCCATTTGAGTCCACTCAGTGTGTCCAGAGTCTGTCTGCTGTGACTTCTCAGGCTAACCCAACCTCAGATATCAACATTTGGCTGAGACTCTATTAAGGTGTTAAATGAGCCAGAAGCAGATATTTGAAGAAATTCGGAGTTTTAATTAAATGGAATGAGATATTAGAGAAGTTGTGTTGACCCTGTCACACTCTTTTTAACACTCAAAACCACACACACGCAGACACACACGGGGTCCTATTTTATCCTTTCTGTTGCCTTATTTTCAAAGAGGAAGACATGCTTTATGATAAAACAATCCACATGAGAGCAGTGAGCTTCTGATGTAACCGTAATCTAGATGAGAAACGAAGAATCTCTGCACATGAAAGTTTGAACCACTGAGCATGAGGAGGTAAAAAAAAAAATCCCAAACAGCACTTCTTCAGTTTAACATCAAAACATTTGCTTTGTCTGCACAAATGCCAGGAACTATTTAGAGCAGCACAACATCTGCAGAAGAGCTCTCTGAGGAGAGATGTGAGGAGTGTCCCAGTGTTCAAACAGAAGAAGAATGGGGCTTATTTGTGTCCTGGTGGAGAAGCCATTACTTTAGATTTATGCTGTAGGCCTCTTATGACCCAATATATAGGGCTTAATAATGCAGTTTACCCAGCAAGGCCATCTCAAGTTGTTTCACGTAGCTGTCACTGTAACGACGTTAGGAAATTCAAGAATTGATGCCAAATAAATGCAGCGTGATTAAAACATTTCAAACAATCTAAAGTCTCATTTATGCTCGCCATCTGTATGAAAATATAGGCGTCCGTTTCAAACGATGGTTCCGTCACTGCCCACATACTTCCATGTGTCCTTTACATTGGCATGGATGTTAACCATTACATCCACCAGGAGGCAGACCGGAGTCAAAGGTTTCTGACAGCGACACACAAAAAGAATATATTTCGCACAGAAACTAAGGCAGCGTTGGAGGAGGCGGCGGTCGCTCAGACCTCTAAATAACTTGCGGTTGGTGGACAGAGAGTTCTTTCCTCAAGTAGTATCGATGAGAGAAATTGATGATTTGCTTCTTCGTTTTTCTGTAGCGATGCGTATTGGTTAGTGACAGCAGCAACACTGCCCCCACAGTTTCTGGTGGTACTGCTCCGTCTGGCCCGTATCCGTAAACTTCAAGGATACGTGCCGAAATACGGCCGAAAAGAACGCGTAGCACGGACGGAGAGCTCTGTCCGTATCCGGATCTGTCAGTAACGCTGAACATAAATGAGCCTTAAAATAAAGAGTTCAACATTAAGGTGTAGCTGTAAAACTCCATCTTCATATCAAGCATTAACTGTGATCAGCAGACACACACTTGATTCAGATGTGTGAAACAAAACAGTAGTGACAGCAAGATGCATCCAAGATTACATGTTGGACATAAAACATCTTGTTATGTGACTTTTGATTTATTATTCTAGTCCACTTTGTTTTTCATGCTGCTTCAATATTTCCTAGTTTTGTTTGTTCTGCTGCAGTAGCAGAGTAGAACACTTTAGTGAAGATTCTACCATGCTGTCTAATAGTTCAGGGTTTGGACACAGCACAAAATGAGCCATCTATTTGTAGAGCTTCTGCGAATCAATACTTTATCCTTCAACATTGTGTTTCCCCGTACTCAAGTGTTTTGATGTTTTCTTAAATCTGTTGTTTGCTGCTCGTTGAAATGACACGTCTGTTTGGACTCGTAAAGCGCTGTAGCTGTGTCATTGTAAGAAGACTCTGAAAAAAAGGCTTTAGATTATGTACCAGGAGTCTGAAGCACTGGCTGTGTTCCCTCGAAACCAGTATCACGCAGCCAGTGCTGAGAGGAGGCAGGTGAAATTGAGGTTCCTTTTGTTGAACCGCTCTCTCTGGCATACACTTGTTGTTACATTGCCCTAAGTCATGTCTGCTCCCAGTTTCCAGGTATATGTTGTCACTTCTGTGGCAGGAGGGTTGTAATTAAGGTTGCCATCCAGACACTGAGGTGTTTTTTTTACCGATGTTGTTTGATGAATATAGGAAGAATAATAACCAACCCTCACTGTCTGCCACCCACTCCTCTGAGTCAATTTCTTCAAAGCAAAAACACAAAATTGGAGTCCTTTTCTGTCCTGAAGGCTCAAATTGGAGTTCATAGTGATAGAAATGGAGAGTCCAATGATTGACAGGTTGGAGTGTTGTTTTTCTGCTGTTTATCCTCTCCCCAGTGTGTGGGAATCAAAGTCCTGACAGCCGCGCTCTGATTTCTGGATGAGGACCAGCGAGCATATTGACGATGGAGCCTTGTGCAGCAGCAGCCGTCTACTCAGGGCGGTTGTTTATATGCTAATGCTGGACTCTGTCACTCCTGCGTGACCGACTCACTTTCTGTTATTCTGCAGGTCGTGCTCAGCATACTCGATTTTAATCTTAACCCTCATTCAGTTTGACAAAAATGTCACCTGTGATGATCTTTGTCTGGCGCATCTATGAATTTACTTCTATCTTTAGTGTCCCAGCGAAAGGACTTTGAATGCAGAATTTAATTCACTGTGACTTGTGGGAAGCCACAGGCCTGAAACAAAATTAGTTTCAGACGTACAGTCCTCATTTACCCCCGAGTTAAAGGGCTCTCCTCTTTACAAATAAGTCATTTGTTCTCAGTCGAGCCTTAGCAGAGACTTCTCCTTCATTTTCAAATACTACCAACGGTCTGTGGGTGTAGATGAGAGCTTGTGTGGGCATTTTCTGCTCCACTCCATTTGCCACAGCCCTTGTGTTTTTATAGCCAAAATATATATATACTGTATAATACTGACCCAAATTTAGGACGACCCCATTTGACAGTTAACTTGTCCTACTAATTTGATACTTGACTGCGGTCACATTGTCTCATTATGTCCTCACTATAGCTTTGAGTGTGTTTGATCCCAGTTATAAAGGGTACACCCACTTAATAGATAGGTGGCACCATCACCACCAGAGCAATTAACTCTGATGATAGTCATGCAAATACATACAAACATTGAATCATACTCATGCCAGAATCAGCATTTCACAAACTCTAAGACTGTTTACTGAACATTAACTTTACATTTTAAGTGTAGTACTCATAAAAACGTGAATTTTAACATGAAGATGAAAATAATTCATACATAAATAGGACAGAAAAAAACAGACCAGCTGGTTCTGGCACTCATTGTTTGTGCGTGTGTTGTCTGTTGTCTCTCGTCTGTTTGTCTTTGCTTTTCTAACAGATTTTTTTGCAAAAATAACGACGATAATCGAGCTGAATCAAATATGCAAAAGCTGTTGTTATTTAGTTTTTCCATCTGACCACTTGTTTGATTTGGCACTTGGACGCGGCGGACAGCGAGTCCCCGTTCAGGTAATGACCAGTAATTGAGCGTCCTGTTAATTGGCAGTGATGGGCCGAGAGTCCCTCCCAGATGGGAGGTAAAGGCTTCTGTTTCTGCCACGATTGAGCCAGACTCCTGTGAGGGTGAGAGCCTCACTCTTTATCTCCTCCTGGGCACCACCTGTCTCCCATTACTGGACACAGGATCTCTTCACCACCATCCCAATGTGAAAACTCCTCACATCTTACTCAGTCTCATTTTACTGCGAGGCCAAAAGCCAAGTCTGACACCTCATAACAGTCATTTCACAGACGGACATCATTTCCAACGTAGACGATTTAGAGCAGCTGATCCTCCAGACCAGACAGAGGATGACCTTCCTCTCCATTTTCATCTTTCTCTGGTATTAGAGATCCATTAATGGACACCTCTGTGGGGCCGTGCTGACAGCAGCTCCTGGCAAGCATCAAGGACTGGGCAGAAGGAGGGAAGTTTAAGCCTGATGCTCAGCTGATGATAGAGGGAAACGACTTCCTCTCTGCCTTAAATTAGAAAAAAAAAAATCCAGTCTGAAAACACAGGCAAGCTTGTGTGTGTGCTTACAGCAGGATTACACAACCTGTATTTCAGCAGCTCTAACTTTGCTCTCCTTTGTCAAAGGATACAAAAGTTATGGGGCTCTCATTATATTGGTTTTGCAATCTGGAGAGCAGACTAATTGGTCACCAGCTGTTGAAATGTAGCTAATGAACATTAAGGCAGTGGAGAACGGTTCCCTGCTTCGCATACAGCTCCTCCCTGCAGGATGGAGCAGCATATGTCTGTGGCTCTGGCCCAGGATCAAAGCGGGAGACGAGCCACCTCAGCTGGTGACGGCACCTTCGCCTGTAACAGTCTGAGCATTAACTATATGGGGCAGGAAGACGGATAAAATAGAACCAGTCAGTGTTTAATTTGCATGATAAGGCTTTTTTTTAAACTATCAGAGTTCTTCCTGGTTGCCAAACACAGTCTATCTGGCAACGAGCTGAAATATATACCTGAAATTCCCCTTTGGATCAATAAAGCATCTATCTGTTTACTCAAGTCTGCTGTGCCAATGTTATCAATAAAGAAGCATCAACTCAGAGACACAGAGGGTTATCCAATATGTACGAGTGCTCCTGTGATTGATCATTTATTTCAGGACTGACAGGTGAAGATACAAATATTGGACATAACCCAAAGCTAAACAGCTCAGTGTTTGCCAAAAGCTGCACTCCTGTGTTTCTGAAATATCACGGTGTATCTATACCACATAATTATCCATCTCAATCCTTCTCAACATTTCATGGGTCACTGATTTTGCATCAGCTGTGCCATCAGGATAACACTGGATAAGAACAAATAGGACAGCATGTAATATTTCGTGCTTTAATCAGCTTATCCGGTTAGGGCCTACAAACAAGCGGACAAACAAGCAGCCCGGTTCGATGTGAATTAATTTGATCGTGGCAGGTCTGTAAGATTCTCCGTCTCTGTCGGCTCTCCAGTGAGAGCCACAGATGTGAGAGCACAACTCCCTGTAGACACAAAGTGAGTGATTCTGGCAAAGTCACGGCTGCATGAAAGGAAAGACGACTCCTCACTTTACTTAAGATAGTGTATATATAGAAAAATATATATGTTGTTTTTTCTGTCTTTGTTCAGATCTGTAAAATTTATCCTGCTAGTGATATTTAAGAAATTATAGCATGTAGATTTATACTAAATTTTAAGTATATTGAATACCTGTCAGACAACATTTGATAATAAATAGTGCCGAATTTAGGTGCTTTTATTTTGAAAAGGTGATGGCAACGTCACCCCTGGGAGATCCAAAATTGCATAAATCGCATTAAATAATTGGTCTCATCTCAGATCCATTTCATTAGAGGTTCATTTACCTTGACTGGTAAATGAATGTAAATTATCACACATCTGTACTAATTGGATAAGATTTAAAAATGTATAAATTATCCCACATCTCTAAGATTAGAATATAGTTCAGTGATTTTTTTTAGCTTTGACAACAGTGGGAACAACAGGGAGCCAGTTAATAGATCTCTTAATAAATGATCATAACAGACAAAAATGAGGAAAGCACTTTTGTTTTCATGTTTACAGATGAGTCAGAGGTTCACATTTAACCCAAGATAACTATTGGAACAACTTTTCTATTTGAATCACTTAATTACAGTCTGCCGTGCCAAGTCCTGCTCTCTCACTGTGCCGGTTTCTGCTGCCAACAGGCTGCTTATAAGAATTAAAAGTGGCCTCTACAGTTTTTATTGTGTCTGCTGCGCCCAACAAGTACCTTGATTTTCAGTGTGTGTGCAGTTATCTGGTATTAGTGGGTCTGGCTTCATTTGCACTTGTGTTTGCTGCCCTGCTCGGTCTCTAATGTTGACACTCCCTCCTGAGGGTTCAGTTCTCAGTCTGAGGACAGGCCATCAGAGCTCATCTACCTACACAGCTACAGGCTGCTAACATGAGACTGAGCCGGCTGTGTCACAGTCCTGTGTATCTGCCATCTGGGCTCTTCAATCAGTCCAACTGAGTCATCTCCTGCATGTTTCAGAATTTGTCAAGCCCTGTTTACTAATTTAAAGATATTTATTCGAGTAATTATCCTGGTGCTAAACTCTGAGTTTGTACCTTTAAGGATTAAGGATGTTTGTGTCTACAGGAAACCTTAGCTGTGAGATGAGCCTCGTTCTGTAGTGATTCATGGACGGTACTGACCATCTTTTTCTGAAATAGCAGCTTGAGGGATATTTTGGTCACTACAGCATTCGTTTTTTCATGCTTGCTAGTTTATTTATACTTTGCAGTATTTGTCCAAGTAGGATTGCGTTGCTCTTACTGCAAAGCTGGCCAAAAGGGATGGATTTTGCACAGACTGTTCAGAAAAAAAAAAAGATTTTTTGAAGTGTTTTTCCTGGTAGTCATCGAAGAAATGAGCTCCTTCTGAGAAAGTGCCTTGGATTAGGAAATGAAGGTCATTTTATTGACTGGGAGACGAGATCTGTTTCTCTTCTCTATGACAAATGCCATCATACAAAAACATGTTGGAGGATTATATGAAGTGCAATACACATTATACTGTCTCAAGATATATCTGCATTAGGGCTGAAACGATTACTCGAGTAACTCGAGTAACTCGATTAATAAAATTCCTCGAGGCAAATTATATGCCTCGAGGAATCGTGCTCTTTCCGCTCCTTCCGCTGCCGCGCGTTTGGTTCAATCATGGAGGGAAACGAGGACAGACAGAAGCTGTGTCCGAAATGGCATACTGCCTGCTATCTACTTACCTACTCAAGCAGTAGCTACTGCCTACTGACTACTCAAAGATGATTTGAGTATGCCGCGGCTGCCCGAGCGTTTACACACGTACATACTAAATACCCCAGAATGCATTTCGTGCCGGCCGGACGCAGCGCCGGGAAAATTTAAATAGTCCTACCACAAGCTACATAGAACGACTGCATACCGGACAAATTATATAAATTCATTCAATAATAATATTTTTTCTAGCGAGAAAGTAAGTGTTTACATCACGATTATGAGCCCAGTTGTTTGAAATAGTGGCTGTTTGTAAATTTGTCTCGGCGTTTTCGGAGACCGAAGCGTCCACTTGGTCGGTGTTTGCGTCTATTTACCGTAAACACCGGGCAGCAGCAGCTCCCCCTTCACGTTTCCAAATTATTGCGAAGTGTTTTCATAATCAACATCTACACGACACAAACCGGGCGGCAGTGGATGAAAAAAATCACACAAACATCCGTGTATCCATGGTGATAATGCTATACACCACCTGCTAGGCGTGTGATGAGCAGCACAGGGCTGCAAAATGACCAACACACAACAACATGTAAATAAAAATGTAACACTTTTATATATTGAATAAATGTACATTTGCTTGTCAAATTATGTTAGTATCCAAGAATTATATTATTTCAGCCTATTAATTAAACAAGTAAAATTAGATCCAAAGCCTGGAAATAGTTGTGACTGGTTTAGTGAAAACTGCAAAGATCATTACCATAGCAATTAAAAGACCATCTGCAGACCTTGCCTTCAGTAGTTTCATGTGAACTACATGGTAAAATGTAAAACTTTTGGTTCCTGATTTATGCAGTAAAAATATTCATTTGAAAGACCTGGCCTATTTCAGTTTTGTGTGTTACTGATGGTTTTTAATGAGGCAAACGTGATTCAATGCAAAGTATTACAGTGAGAGCAAAACATTTCTTATCCGATTACTCGATTAATCGACAGATTAATCGATAGAGTACTCGATTACTAAAATAATCGATAGCTGCAGCCCTAATCTGCATTATTTCAAAACAATGCAAAATAAAAATATTGAGTTTGCTAAGACCCACCTTAAAAGTCCAGTTTCTCCCACACATAAATGATACCTGAGAAAAATATTTTCAGCCGCCCAAGTGTGAAAGTGTTACCACCAACCAGTATAAGATTTGTTCTTGCTAGGGCTGGGCGATATGTCCTCAAATCAGTATCACAATGTATTGAGCAGTTCACCTTGATAACGATAAACGGATGATAACTACTTCACAAGCTGCTCATCCCCTACCACATAACTGCGATATGGGCAAAATGATGTTGGTTATTGTTGTAAGTTTCAGTATCAGTAAATTTTTGGTTTATCACCCAGCCCTAGTTCTTTCTTTTAAGTATTTTTATTGATAATGGTATAACATCTGCTGTCACTCTCCACCCCTGACAACTGATAACCTGCAGTAACTGTGACATGCTCAAGAGAGATGTCTGTGATTGAGTCTGTTAATGCACTGACTGAGGACCTACATTTCATGATAAATTTGAACCTTCTCACACCGCTGTTAGAAAACTTATGCACAGCTGCTCCTGTCATACTTCACAGTTTTCATACGTCAATATCGAGCCTTGTTCACATCAGGGCTGTCAATTTTTCAAAAATCAACTTCAGATGAATTTCAAACATGAAGAGCAAATGTTCAGATATGCTCCAAGTTTTTACTCTAATCAGAGATGGCCTTGAACGGTTGCCATTGTGCCGCTCAGTGCTGGTGCCTCCTCCTTCACCACTTTGCTTCATCAACGGCAGCTTTGTACGAAGTTGACATCCAGTTCTACCTTTGCCTTTTATTTTTCCATCCTCGGTGTTGTGATTGTCCGCTTAGTGCAGCTTTGCTTGACCATGTCCTCCATTTTTGTCGAATAACATTACTGTATTAGTTGACCGAGGTCAAGAGTGCACGGATTGGCCAGGTTACCATGTGAGTGCTCTCTGCTGGATTATATGGCAAGCTACTTAAGGTGGCCTGATTCTCTGGTATACTGTATTATTATGAGTTTGAACGGCTCAGTACAGTCTGAATATGAACTTTTACCCCGAACTTCAAATGAAGATCTAAAAAAAAAGATGTTTTGGGGCCTTTTTAGGCTTTTATTGTTCAATGGAGGAGGGTGGATAAAACATACTATTTCCAAGATCATACCAGTGCGTTTGAAGAATTTCACAAACACACAACTGTTTGTTTTTTGCACATTTTTGAGTAAATACTGAGATATTATTTGGGTGACCTCTGCCTCGTCCACTTCTTTCACACAGAGCATTCAGCCCAAGTGTGACTTTGCGACTCTGACAGCTTTAAACTCTCAAGCTCTGTCGCTTTCAGCTTTCTATTGTGTCCGCAAACACTGCTGCGCTCTACAGTTTGTAATGAAAAAGAATAAAACACCGGATTAACAACACAGTACTTCATCTTTGTGGTGAAGGGAGTAAATCCCCAAAGTTTACAGTCCACATAAATATAAAATAACTTCCTGCCCACACACACACATAATGCACCACCCAGCAGTGTGTAATGTGCGCCTGATGTTTTGGTTTTCTCCAGACAACAGTCACAATAAAAGATCCCTGTTTACGAGGGCAGTCTTTTGTTACAAGGCGTTTAGTGTGTGGCCATGAGAGATAGGGGTTACCATGTGAACTGTCTGCAGGAGCCTCGGCCAGCAAATGCAGCTGGGGATGAGTAAGCCCCCGTGTCTGAGTGGGCAGCAGCAGCAGTGGGCTCCCAACATTTGCTCGGTTGCAGCAGTAATCATCAGATGTTCTCAGTGGACCTTAAGTCAGCGAAATGGTTTCAGCTGCCGAAACAACAAGAAAATAAAACCTGTTTACTCCCTCATCATAGGCTAATGCCTCCATAATACACTACCCTGTTATAGGGATATGCAGAGATCCCACAGCATTGAACAGCCCCTTCCTTAAGGTGTCTGTTGAGACTGCATGAGTCATTGTTTAGTTTCCAGTACGGCAAAAAATCTCATCTGACATCTTTGTGTGAGTGCGGTGGGATTATCAGATTTACAGTCCTCTCTCTGGAGCCTTGCTCGTTGAAATTAGCCCCCCATCTCAACAACCAAACATTTTATCGTAGAGCTCAGTCTGTCCTCGCTTCTGACACTCTCCTTTCTTTGTAGCCCCTGTGATGTTGGCCTGTTCTCATACCCCCTTTTCTATCATTCATCATCATTCATTCTCTTCTTCCTCGCCTCGCCCACAGTATTCCCCCTCCTCACACTTCCCTCCCTCCGTGCTCTTCAGTTGTAGCCTGTGAGACTCAGAAGACATCAGCAGGCAGGTAGTGTAGCGTTCAGTGGCTCAGTGAGGTCAGACCCCGGTGATAGTGGCAGCTTCATTTCTGATTCTGCAGCGTGCCGATGCTTGTGAATCCTGGTGGGGAGATAGAGTGTTTGAGAGAGAGAGGAAGTAGAATTAGTCCAGGCTACTCCTTTTGCCTCTGCTGCATGATGTTTAATATGCCTGATAGCGGGCGCCTCGCTGAGGTCTTATACCCCGGACAAAATGCTGCAGAGCTGAGGAGCTTAGACCATAAATCCCGCCTCGATCCCATTTTTCATTTTACCCATTCTCCCCTCTTATCCTTTGTATTCATATCTCGGCCTCTATGCCTGACATATCTCACTCATGATCGCAGGTTCATCCACTCTAACTCTCTCTTCACTCCGCTGCTCTTTCCCCTCAGCACTTAAGATCATTTCTTTCTCTATTGCTCTGCATGTGTGTGGTGACCTCCTGTAAATCTGTGATTCAGCAGTCACTCTGCATGTTTTAATTCATACACACGCATGCAGAAAAAAGCATGTACTCATAAACACACTTGCAGGAGGTAGAGGAGTACAGTATTAGGGGAGTGCAAGCATCTGTGCCTGCACACACAGAGTTAAGCTGTGGAGGTTATGTAACTTACTCTGCCATTTCAAATGATTTAAAATCACAAGCACTTGCTGTGATGGACTAGACCAGTGTGTGTGTCTGGACTTACATTATGTGTATTGTTCTATACTGTATGGTGCTGCTGGTGCTTGGGTGTCGGGTAACAAAGGGGGGAAGCTTTTAATAAAGACCCCGGCAACTCTCAGCAGTGGTAGTCTTTCCTCCAACTGTCCTAATGACTGTTTCTTCTGCTGCAGCTCGGCTGAGTAGAGGAAGCAAACCTCAATAACAAGAACTATGTGGCAAGACTACACATATATATATATATATCTTTGGGAGTGCGAGTGACATTTTGAGAAGCAACAAATTAGCTGTTAAGCCGGAGTCTGTGCTCTTGTTAAAGGTGATGTACAGTTTGTTTTTGTGAGCAGAACTACTCCCGATAAAAAGTCAAGTGCGTTTTCTCTTTTGGGTGGCCGTCATTTTTAAGAAAACTCGGCTCTGCTGAATTGTACCACGATGTGTGGCTGCGTATCTCTCTTAAAGGATTAGCATACAGTAGTAGCATAATTAGCTGTGAAGGTAACCTAAAAGATTTTGTGAAAAGAACAGAGGCTGCTTTAAAACTCCCCCCGGAGCAAGTCTTACTCCTGTGCATTTCTGTCTATGTTTGATATCTCCATCAGATATCTGCTTGCATAGAATCGCCCCCCAGAAGAAAACGTGTGCAGATTTTTTGCTCAGCCATAGGCAGGATTATTACCCATCATTACGCATCATGCATATTCAAAACAACTGGGGATGAAAGACTGAGAGCTAAAGAGACAGAGGGAGAGGGAGAGAGAGTAATGAGGTTACCCCTGCTTGCCAAAGATTATGCATAGAGCTTTCCCAACTACAAAAGATCAGAAGACTGAACGCTTAGACGAGGACGGGGAAAGCCTTTCCTGTTAATTAGTCATTGCAGAGAGAATTCTATAGTATGTGAACCCGGTGTCTTCAAGACGTTGCTTTGCATTTAGCTCACAATGGAGAGTCAGCAACAGTAAAAATAGATGAGGTGAAGCTTTCATGCTCCACATGTTGATGTTGTGGTCTCAGAGGGGAGCTCTCCGTGGTGCTGAGCACCAGGATGGCTGTGTACCGACTGAGCTCACAGCTGAGGCTGCTGGCATGTTTTCACTGCTTGTGTTGCTTTGCAAAAACCTTTTCTAGCATCTGTAGCATAAATTAGTGCTGGTGAAGCAGAGTGTTAATTTGGCAGCAGTTTGGGGTTTTATCTTAGTCTTCAATCACAATGATTAAATTAGTTTTAGACACATTTTAGACTTTTTTTGCTCTCTATACTAGGGGTGTCCAGATACAACTTTTTTTACTTCCAATACGATACCAATATTGCAGCCTTCAGTATCGGCCAATATTGATATTGATTCAGTATTACATTCTTTTTCAGACTTTAACAAAAGATACCGCCACATGGCCAACATCACTCCTACTCCTCTCTACTTTGTTAATACCTTAGTACACACTGTTGTTGTGATTATGTGGGCTCTGTGTGCTGGATCAGGGTGCTGCTAGATAGAAGTACTGAAGCGGAGTCTGAAATGGACTGCTTGTATCGGAGTGCTGATAATGGAGGTTTTAGATGTAGGCCGATATAATCTGATATTTGTCTTTTTGCTGATATCGGACCGATATCAATATCGTATCGGGACACCCCTACTCTATAATTGTAGTCTACTTTAAATGGACTGCTCAAACTGTTTGACTCTAGTTTGATTCAATAAAAAGTTTAAACATTTAAGATATTAATTTTACTTAAAAAACGGATTCGATTAGCCCGTGAGTAATGTAATATATTTTTATTTGTAAAGACCTTGTTTTTGTTAAAGAAAAGAAGGACATTTAGAGACATTTGTCATCATAATTTTCATGAACGATTTGTTAACGCTGTTAAAGTGAATGATATTCAGCAGTCAAAGCAGGTCTCTTTTTTTTACTGTTTCCTGTTTTTTTCCCTTATTAAAAGTAGAAAAGCAACTTGCAGCAAACAGCCTCTTTTTGGGGTGCATAATGGGAGTGTATATGTAAAAATCCATCTGATCAATATTGTGAAATTGTACAGGGTAGGTGGAAAATACTACCCGCTTGGTTGCTCAAGAAAGAAACAAAAAAACCAAGTCAGCAGAAAATATCATGGCAATCAATTCGATCATGTGTCAGATATTTCACTGGTGGACTGGTCTGGCTCTCCAGCAGAACCATGTGGACATCCTCACAGCCATGCGGCTGGTATAGCTAACAATCCAACAAATGTGTTAAATGTTAATGAAAAAGTAAAAGGGCTTAAAGAAGTACTTACTTTGATTAATGATAATGAATCAGTGACTGATTAGATAGAGTCAAAGGTCACATATTCATTTTCAGAGTCATTCATTTCCCAACCTACAGTCTGATTCTGTAAAATAAAGCTGCAGTAAATTGATACAGAATGGAAAATCAACAAATACTCATATTTTGGATGCTGGAATTCATCGCTAATTACCGACGATTTGTCAGTTCTCTAAATTACGGTTAATCATCTCTCTTGAATGGCTTGTATGTTAATCACCAAACAGAAGCTGTGATTAGAAGATGAAACATTCTGCCATTCAACAGAATAAAGTCCTGCTGCATGTAGTCAACCATAAAGGTAATATATGCTGCTGTGAACGCATCCCTCCTGCATACATTTGCATCAGTGCCAGCGAGGTGAGAATTCAAGACCAAGCTTAAGGGGATGGTCCTCCTCATCTGTCTTCATCTGCTGTGCAGTAAACGCCTCTTCACTTAAACAGGAGCTCATTACTCACAGTGGCAGCCATTTGAATCTTTTATCAGAGGGATTTTTAATTGAACATTGGCAAATGTGCTCCAAACAAATGGGCCTCAGCAAAGCCTGAGAGCAGAGCGTGCGCGTGCGTGTGTGTGTGTGTGTCTGATATGTGTTTGTGTATGTGTGTCTGATGTGTGTGTGTGTTGCTGTCTTGTTCTCAAAATTGTACACATTTGATACCAGCCCACGTAAGAGATGATGAGCTGTCTGCGGGGGTTCTTCTATAATTTTCTCAAAGGAAGTCTGTCATTATCAACATGGTATTATTGTATAATGTTCAAGCACAGACTTTTCTCTCTCATTTATAGAGATATCTAAATACCTTATTCAACTTCTGCTTTATGTAGGGCCGGGCAAGAAACTGAAAATTTACAGATTCTGAAATTTACGACAATAACGACAATCATTTGAAATAAATAAATGAATAAAAGTTATCCCATCCAGTCCATAACAAAGAGGGAAAGACAGGTGAGGAGATGGAGGACGGTTCAAAAGTTGGAGCAGCTGAAGTAGGTGAAATTAATGTGGGAGGGGGTGAGCAGCCTGTGGAGTAGTTATCGACCATTTATCGTTATCGAGGTGAACTGATCAATATATCATGATATTGATTTGAGGACATATCACCCAGCCCTAGCTTATTCTTCTGTTAACTTATGTTGAAGGTGTTGGACACTTAACAGAAACTTCAGGAACAAACATTTTCACAATTATTATCATTCCTAGCTTTAGAAGAAAAACACTTGTATAAATCATCAAAGACTGGATAATATTTAATTAATCTGTAGCTGAGATGATTCTCAAATAACTGGAAGAAATTTAAAAAAAAATTGAGGCAAATTCCTGCTATGAAACAACTATTAAATGTAAGCTCTGAAGGTACATTAAAATTCTAGAGTAATAAATTAAACTGTTTATATAAGTGTGCCTTTAGAGACACACTGTCAGCGCCAACCTGCTGCACTGTGATGGAAAGGGAAAATTAAATCTCTGTTAATATAATCATTTACCAGTGTTGAAGATGTCCAAACAGTCCACTGTATGTTTTACTTGTTCTAATAGTCATGAAATACTGCAGCTGTCTTATGAGTCATAGAGATAAAAAACACTCTGTTTTCATGACTAGTATTTCTGTGTTTATTCTCATGTAAAGCCAACTCAAGCAGCAGAGTCCGCCTTATCTCTCAGTGTGAGGAAAATTTCCTCTAAAATTCATCCTGATACGAATGCCGATAGGAGTCTTCATGTCTTCACTATTTACTTCAACTTTTACTTTATTCAATCGTCAAAAAGATACCATATTCCTGTGTGCAATTTGAGTTTATTGGTATCTTGTAAGTACATTTAGTGAACTTTTTATTGTAACTGCAGTAGGGGCAAAAATACATGTAATAAAAATAAAGCCTTCTTATAAGATGACCTAAATGAATCAGTTAAATGTAGACCATTAACTAAACAATTGTAAACTGTCCGGTCAAGAAGTTGACCCGACTATATTCCTGGACAACTTCAGTGATGATAAACTTATTGAACAAACCTCAAATGGTAGAAAACACTTCTCACATTTCTTTTCTGCATATATTTATTTAATTTTAAGTTTTTTTCTGGGACGTGTCGCCTTTGTTGGATAGATGCAGACCCTAACTGCTGGGTTAATCTACCTTCATCCTCATTATAGAATCCCAGCCTCAGTCAGCTTCTATGTCCCTCGTCTGTACATGTGTGTGAACGTTAAGTCCTTGAAAGGATAAAAGTTGAACATGTACAAACAACATGAGCAGGATCACTGGTGGAGATAACAGATAAGAGGTCAAAGATTTAATCAGACCAACTGTCGGTTGCCCTCGGTGAAACGCCTCCGGGTCGTAGAGCTTGAAAGGGTCGAATCTTTTTCCTCCTCCTTCCGCCCATCCCATTCTCTGACCTTACCGCTCGCTCGCTCGCTGTCTCATTAAATATTGTTGGTACTCGTGAGGTCAAGAGGGGGGTTAGGCTGATGTAGCAGAGCAAACAAGTTTTCCATCTGAATGGACTCCAATATGTATCTAAAGTCAAACCGAGCTGTGAGCATCGATGTCATGAAGTGCACATTCATGCGTTCTCACATGCAGCATGTAGTGTTGTGTACTGTGGGCTTCTGGTGGCTTTACTGATGCTTATTTTAGTTCTGCCTGGTGACACGTGGTGCCATGCTTCCACATTGTGTGTGTGTGTGTGTGTGCATGTGGAGCATACACTGACAGATACAATCCTGTTTAACTCTATACACACTAATCTTGGAACATCCAGCTGCACTTTTCACTCCCACCCATAGCTGAATGTTGGACGTACACTGAGTGAGAACGAGTTCATGCTGCTGATATAAAGAGGATCTGGTGGGTGATGTAACTCTCTGATGTAGTCTCTACTGTAAGAGCTGTGCAATAGTTGGCTATGCATTCAATAACTGCCAATAAAAATGATGTTTTTCTGATGGTGGTAAACAAAGATAAAATAATAGCCTACACTGCCTTGGTGAAGATCTAATTTCAGCCGAACACCACAAATAAACTCATGAAGTTCTTCCCTCCTGAAATTGTGGCATTGTTTAGTCATATTTTGGCTTTAATCTCATATTGTCAAGACAGCTGAACTTCTTTTCTTTGTAATTGCAGCTAACACAGAATTCAGCTGTCAGCTCTGTTAAACGGCTGCCTGATGGAAACATTACAGGCTTTCAGAAACCTCAGGAGGGAACATGAGGTGTCAGCAAGTCACTACTTGAACCTTTTCTAATTACAGACTGACAGAATGCGGACCGTAGTTCATTTGCAAACACAGCTAACACTTCAAGTTTGATGGGTTTATTCATTTACATAAAAAAGGCAGGATGAAACTGAATAAAGAGACTTTTAGATGAGTTTGAGAACGGCTCAGGTAAAATTGATCAAATGGATTGCATTCCATTTAGAAGAGTCAGTGCCACTGCTAAGCTGTAGTGCATTAGCGGACTGTAACTCACAAATGAAACAGAGCCGTGGTTCTGTTCATTATCTGCACCTGTGGCTTTCAGCTTCTGCGGATGATTGTTGAAACTCTTTGTCTTCACTTTATTAGTAACACCTGCGCTTCACCTGCTGCTGTATATTCATTTAAGGCGCATCTGAAGAATGGAGATAGAAGAGAGATAAAAGGATAGAGAGATATTCCCTTATTGGTCGGGTGCTAAATGTCTGACTAATATCTTTTACCCTATTAGTAGTATGTACAATATCCTATATATATATAACTATTAACATCATAGCTTTAATTAGGGCTGGGAGATATGGGAAAAAGTTTATCATGATATTATTTTTTCACATCAGTCGGTATCATTGTGTATCATGATATAAAAAAATCACTTGTCAAATTTAAATATTCCCCGTTATTCATAAATAAAATTCAACATGTACTCCACATAATTTGCAGTACACATTACTTCATGTATTACTACACATTACTTCTGTATCTCTGCCGGGAGTAGCACTCATTTTCTTTGTTTCTCACCAACAGTGCTGTCGGCTTCACCTGTTAAAATGCTATGGTTGTGTGTAGCTGCTGTCTGCTACTACGCAGTTGTTTGATACTTTTTTCTAATTCGGCACATGATTGGTTCAGCGTGGTGCGGACTCAGAGCAACTCCCCTTTTCACTGGTTATTCGTATAGTCTACCAAAACATGGCAGAATGATGAGTATCGAAAAGCATATTGATGATGTTTCATATCCATGATATCGAGAGAAACTAATTTTTGATATATATCATTATCGTTTTATCGCCCAGCCGAACGTTTAGTTTAATTTATTTTGGCCAGATTTATTATACAAGACATACCTGATCTCACACTGTCTGGAAATCATACCATCTTTGATTGTACATGTTCTTATAGATATATATATATGGCATACCAAAAGAAACCGCACTGAGAAAAAGGGAAGCTCATCCGAAAGTGCCTAACCCAGCAACTGTGACAAACAGCTGCTCGTCTCATCTCACCTGTTGTAGGTGAGGTAGTTCGCATTCAAACAGCAGTGATAGGTTAACAATGCTCAGTGTCAACATCAGCAGAATGACAGTTTTCTTTGTATTAGATCTTGAAGAATTGTAACAGATCACTTTGTTAGTATAAAAATAAATGTCACCATTTATTAAATTATCATTTTTGCTCTGATACATGTCGTAAAACTTGGTTCCTCAGGATTACTCTGCCCCTTTTTTATCATAACTTGGTTATTTCACATATTTCATTTTGTTCCTGGAGGAAAAATAAGTCATACACCCTCAACATCTGAACCTTAGACTCCTCTCAGTCCACAGTCTATTTATTCTGACAGCAAAAATGTTTTGTAATATCTATTAGATAACACCTCTAAGTCTCTCAGTGTCTCTGTTGCACAAGCAACACAAGATCCACATGAATGCGCAGCACACATACGTACATACGTTCACACACACTAAAATACTACTGCTGAGCAATGAGTTGTTATCCAGCCTCCTCTCTATCTGTCTGCTTTTCACTTCTCTGAGGAAGCTCGTGTTCCTGACAAACCATCGCAGCTGTCCTCTACCTTTTTTTCTCTCTCTTCCCAGGAGACTGAGATCAGCACCAGAAGGAAGGAGTGCGAAGCACTTGAGGCAGAGGTGAAGAAAAGGAATCAAACATGTCAGACTTTGGTAAGTGCTCCAAAAATATACCCCGGCCTCCGAGCGAAAGGATGGAGGCTCAAATTGATTTGTACCTGAGAGCCTGGCCTGCTATCATCACACACAAACCTCCCCTGAGAACATGAGTGGCAGTCTGCTGTAATGATAGCGTGCTTCTTAAGCAGTGATGACAGAAATTGAAAGATGGGAGCAGTTAGCTCTAAGCGGAGTAATTTGTGGATTGAATTTTATCATGGGATAGGATCTTAAGATGAAGGGATACACTTGGTAGCAGTAATTATGTGCTGTGGTAATCGTACTGAGAAACACAGGGTTCACTTCTACAGTTTTAAGTGTGTGGTTTCCTTGAATACTCGCTTCTGTACAACACTACCTCTATTCACGTATACAGAAGTGCTGTGTAGTTTTTTAAGGTAAGGTCATGGCCATAAAAGGTTAGAGATGTTACACAAGACTTGTACTTTCATTCTGTGTTTGGTGCCTCTTGAAGGACATTTTCTCACAATGGCCCAGAAATGTCATTCTGCCTGCTGGGTGGCCTTCAGTCAGGACACAAAGGAAAGAAAAACAGATGAGGTGCAGAGAGCCCGCTGCAAAGAAAACCCAGAGAAAAAGGATTAAAAATGCTTTACTAGTCCTCTGTGTTGGACAGATTAACTCTTTGTTTACTCATAATATGACAAACTAATCCGATGATTAGCAGATTGATCTCACATGGTGTTGAAAAGTCACTGAGAGCGATAATTATAGGATCAGCGAAGGACAAGCTACTTTCTAAAGGTGCCCTGTGGTTCCGACCACTGCTGGTGCTTTTTAAATATGTTTATAATTAAGGATCCACAGTGTTATTAGGGCAGACTTGGTATCAGCAGGTGTGAAAATCTCTGCTGATTAAGTCTTAGCTGATATTAAAACTGTGTTTAGTCATTTGAGTTCAGTTAGACTTCAGGTAGGGCTGAGCGATAAACCGAAAACTTACCGATCCTGAAATCTACGACAATTACAGACGTAATTTTGCCCATATCGGTATATTCGGTGTCAAAAAAATAAATAAATCAAAGTTGTTTTTGGATGTGTGTAGGTAGGCTATGGTCTCATGTCCCTTTTAAGACGCTGTCCTACGTCAGAGACGTGACTCCACCCCATCCAGTCTGTAACAAAGAGGGAAAGACAGGTGAGGAGATGGAGGACGGTTCAAAAGTTGTAGCAGCTGAAGTAGACGAAGTTAATGTGGGAGGGGGTGAGCAGCTTGTGGAGAAGTTATCGAGGTGAACTGCTCAATATATCGTGACATTGATTTGAGGACATATCGCCCAGCCCTAACTTAAGTGCAGGTGAATCTGAGTCCTCTGTTGGCTCTGATCGATGAACATTTTGTTTAGACTTGATGCTATTGTCATGTTGTAGTTGTGTCATTCATGTCAGTAAAGTACACTGAAGTATTGTTCTATGTGTAGTTTTGTCAGGAATGCAGGGATATTGGGACTCCAGATTCAGGCTGTACCTTTTAAACTTTTGTTGTTAGCCGTTGCAGTGAAATGGAGGATTTGCAGTCGGTGCCAGGCAATACGCCAGAGTGTTTTCATTTTGGTAAGAAAATTACTTTGGCTTAAATAAAAAGAAGTCATCAGACTCTATCCCACTCTCGCAGCAGGAAGATGTCAGAGTAGTAAATCACAGCGCCAATAAAGAGAATGGTTCTAGTCTGCAGGATTTTACCATTTCAGTTATGGGAGCCCCACCAAGCAGACTGAGTAATCACTGAATATCGTGCTATTCTGAGACGGAGAGCTCCACTCAGCTTCTTTTATAGTTTATTCTGAGAGGGAACGACGTCTTACTGCTGTGATGTTTCAGTAGTAGTGGTTCCCAAAGAAGTGTCCCCACAGGCCGAGGAGCAAAGTGTTGAGTTTAATTTTAGTTGAATTCGCCCGATTTTAGAGGATGTGTGAGTGCAGACGTTTGTGGGCACGCTGTCTGTGCTTTGGGAGTTGGCGAAAAGAAAGCAGGGTGTTGTACGACTGTTTTGGAAGCTGCTTCATGAAAGTTTAAGTTACTAACTGCATAAAGTGATCCATGTTTTAACCTGCAAAAGCAGAGGCGGTCTCAGAGTCATGCATTAGGCCCACAATGAGATTTTTCCTGACAGGCAGGAGCTGGAGGGATTCAGCAGTAATCAAAAAGGCACTGTTTGGTCCTAGACTATTTGAATTCATTCCCTCATGCCCCAGAGCCTTCTTCTTAAGATGAGCTGTCTTTGTGTGTGGCTCTCTGCCCCAAATAAACACTCCATTAGGACTGTTTTCTTCGCTGCCCTCCTCTCACGTCCCCTGCCCACAGCAGCACTTCCCTCCTCGCCCGTTGTCGCTGAGCTCGCTGACTCCTGAGGAAGCTACCCAGAGGACACGCTGTCCCCAAATGGCGTGCAGAAATGGCAGGCTGGTCTCCATAGACTGCAGCACAGCTCTTATCTCCTCCTGCACCGAGCTCCAAGAACAGAGACACAAACAAAGACAGGACCGATGAGCACTACAGTGAGGGGACAGCGAGTTGACAGTAATGTCACTGCTTGTTTGGTCTGAGCTTGCTTACCTCTCTGTCCCTCCTCTGGTTTCTCCCCTTCTTAGTCGTCTTTCTTCACAGTTTTCAGGAAAGAGTGCACATGTAAATAAGGTACAGGTAATATCCATTCAGAGCTGCTGCTTTACCTGTGAATATTTGTTGATTTTATTACTAAATCTTTTACAAAATTCCTGCTCATTCTTGTCTCAGCTGTGATATTTGTAAAAAACAGTGTGCTCGTCGTGACTGACTGACAGTAAACACTACTATAGCCATCTGGTACCTCCACCTTCCTGGGTATCAAGTGTATAACTACGGTACGGACCAGCAGAGGAGTGTGCCTCTGCTAGCATATAAGGCTGGTTACCATGGCAACAAGGATCTGCTGTGCCAGCTTTGCTCAAAACATGTATCAGTGCTGATCGAAGATTAATACTGAGGCAGACAGGAGGAGGAATCAACAGGTTAGACGACTGGACTGTGGAGCTGTGCTCTCAAATTTAGCTCAATAGCTGGTGTGAAAAGGCTGCCGCTGTGGTCAGCTCTGCTTTCCCTCTGAGGGCTTTGTGAGCCTCCGTCAGAGGCCGCACTGGCAGCTCCCATTGCGTGGACACATGGTATGAACTGTGTATGCGCATCAGCAAAAAAAGCCAGTTTGACCGATCAATCAGTCCTCCAATCAATGTGATTTTCTGTTTTGAATTTAACACAACACCAAAAATTCAAACATGCATTTGTCATGTGCTTGTGTGTGTTTACATGGCTGAATGTAGTGTATGTTTACATCATGGAAAACTACTGTCTGGTTCTTTTTTAAGCTTTATCATATTTAATTTTTCGGGCAGTTTCAGACAGATAGAGGACAGTGGATGAAGCAGGAAACAGGAGAGAGCTGGAGATGACATGTAGGAAAGAGGCCACAGGGTGGAATCAAACCCAGGGCCCCTTCATAAATGGGGCGCTCCTAAATCAAAAGGCTAACTGCGCCCATGTTGTTTGAGTTTGGCAGCACAGAGTAGGGCTGGGCGATATGGCCTTAAATCAATATCACGATATATTGAGCAGTTCACCTCAATAACGATAAATGGACGATAACTACTCCACAAGCTGCTCACCCCCTCCCACATTAACTTCGTCTACTTCAGCTGCTCCAACTTTTGAACCGTCCTCCATCTCCTCACCTGTCTTTCCCTCTTTGTTACTGACTGGATGGGGTGGAGTCACGTCTCTGACGTAGGACAGCGTCTTAAAGGGACATGAGACCATAGCCTACCTACACACATCCAAAAACAACTTTAATTAATGTATTTTTTTTTACGCAGAATATTTTGACACGGTCAAATGTCGGTTACTGTCATAAATTTCTGTATCAGTAAATTTTCGGTTTATCGCCCAGCCCTAGCACAGACTACTGAATACCTTGTTTTAGGGAAATATGGTGTAGATTTCAGTCAGTAGATTTAAACTGGAAAATAGTCGAACTGCATTCCTTTAAAACCTTTCTGTATCACCTGATTACATTCTCTTTTCAATATTGTCCATGTTACAGGCAGCTGTTAACATAAAAAGAAGGTTTAGAGCCACAGTGGTGTTTATAATACCTGTAATATGTTTACATTACACTTTAGTGCAGGTAGTCAGACTGAAAAACAGGCTGAAAAGGTGAAGCTGGTCTTTAATTGGACCGTGATCCCAGCTTGGGTCTGTGCTGAACAGGAGTAAATGATGCCGCTCACCCTGAGTCTACAGAGCAGAGGGTAAGTGGGTGAAATGTTTGCTCTGCTGCTGCTCTAAATGGCAGAGTTGATTCATCCGTCAGGCCTGTCAAAATTAAACACACAGCTCCGGCACAGCAGGCTGAGTCAGACCATGTCCGGACAAGACACACGACAGCCTCCCAACCGCTCTCAGACACAGGATTAACCGAGGTGCTCTGCCCCAGGCCTTATTAGAAGTGTATTTTCATGACACTATAGCAATGAGACCTTCCTGTTTGTCCCTAAAAATATTGTGATTTCTTTATTTTTTGTGCATTAGATGTAAATATATTTATTTTACATCTATCCAGTCACATAAGCTTCGCAAATGTAGTTTATTTTGATGCTTACATGGAAAATTGAAATCCTGCCTCAGCACAAAAATCTCAGGTTTCCAGCTGAATAATGTCGGAGGCAGCTAAAAATAGGCCACAATTTATTTTGCATGGAATTTACTCCGTCACTGGGCTCACAGGCTCTCCATAAAAATGCGTCTTGCCGGGGGATTATGACGTATACTGATCTGTTTAAAGCGTTAACACATCCACAGCACAGGACAAAGGAACAGCTGATTCTCTGTTCAAGACAATTTACTTTGCAACACAACATGCGTGCCCTCATTTCCCCATTCCCAAAAAAAGAATCTGAATGAAGATCCTCGTCGTTTTGAAACGCTTAAACCAAAAACAAGCTTGAATTTCATGACTGTTACAGACCATTGTACTCATGAGAGCAGACAGTCAAATGTGAGGAGCTGTTTGTCCTTCAGAATGAACACCTGGAGGCTCCGCCAGCCCACATTAACTCTGAATTGAGGGATCAATGGATATGAATAGGAAAGCCAATGCAATCTAGTGCTCGTACGGGAAGCATTAAAATTGACTTAGCACCATTGACGCAGGTTAAAATGCCGATATTTTTCTTCAAATGTGACAGAAATGAAATTAATGTGGGAGCTGCAGATCTCAGTTGTGACTTTGGTGTTCTGTCGGTCGTTGTCGTCCTCCTCTGTCCTCTGCACATATACAAGACGGAGCTACAGTGTTGCCAGATGGGAAATATAGAATTATCGTACATCCGTCATAATCAAAACAACAATCTTACTATTGCACGATAGTCACATATACTCACGCTGTTTAGTGTCTTACAGGCACTCACGATTTTGTAGCTTCAGTTTTGTGGTCATTTTGTGATCAGCAGCTCCAACTCAGCTGTGTTACACTAATGCATCCCCTTTAGACAAATGATAGGTAGGAACCAATGAGCTGAATCATGAGACCTTGGGGTCACCTACTTCTTTGAAACAGTATTCATAATAACTGACAAGAACATAAAGAGTAATCTGACTTAACTTAGTGAAATATATTTTAGACATAAAAATGAACTTGTCTCGGCTCGTGGTAATCACTGTCCTCTTCAGCGGTGCTCATTTTTCTCAACTGACTAGCCAACTGAGCATGATTGACAGTCAGTCATGCTTGTAGTTTGGAGATAAACATCCCTCAAACTATGACTGGATGGAAACTTGACGTGGTAAAAGATGCTTTAGGGGTGTGCAAATACAAAAATTGAAAAATAAAGGGTCTGGCAGACTGAGACAGTCCTATTGTACCACACTTTAACGAAAAACTGTCAAATTATCGTACAATTAGCCGTTTTTGGGGTTATTGATCATATATCGTACAGAGGGCAAAATTATCGTACAAATCCGAGAATTATCGTACACCTGGCAACCCTGCGGAGCTACGCTGTTACATCCATGTTACGTTACCCGCGCTACTCGCTATAGACCATGTATCAGCTTGAAAGTTACCCTTCATATTAATGGCAGAGGGTCCGACAAGATTTGATGCGCTTGTTGATGACTCAAAGTAAGTCAAAAATAACTTTGCATATTGTTTAGTTCACACAGTGCGAGTAGAAATCATTAGTGGCGCATTGATATTAATGAAATTTGAAATTTCAGTAGCGGTGCATGTAATGAATGTAGGGGAAACACTGCGATTGTTGTGTTAGTTGTACTGCAGGGAGTTATTTATAAACGTGTTGATGCTTTGTGCATTCAAGCTACCTAATGTTGCATGTTATGAGCTATGGTTTCCTGAAATGAATCCCTGCCATTATCCTTAATTTGCCGTGATAATGCAACATCGTCACGAAGCAAGATACAGCAATATGAGAACACATATCAAATCAATCCTACAGTGAATCCTACAGTTTGTTGTAATCTGATATGATGGAAAAACGAATGATCGTAGACTAGCCTTTAATCATTTTATCGTCGTACTGTGGATCAGAAACTCAGTCTTTCCCAGAGTTCATCACAAACAGACGTTTTCTGGAAGCTGACATTTTACTTCACAGGGAGAAACCAGAGGCTTTCTGTTTAACAGTAATGATGACTCAGTTCTATTCAAGTGTGCCAGTGACAGTAATCATGCGTGCACAATATACAAGCATGCTGAAGCTGGAATAGAGACACCACTACTGAATTATACACGCCTTTGAATTCCACGTTCAAAAATGTCATCTGTGAAAATGGCTCTCTGTCATGGCCACTCGCCCAAATATTGTGCTCATATACCAGGTGTTTCATGCTGATTTTGTACACATCACTGCAGCGAGGGGAAATTACTCAACATTTTCTTGTAAACGCTTGCATGGATGTAGTTTTCCTATGTATACTTGTGTCACCGTTTGCCCTCTGAAACAACCTTCATAAGTAAAACATAAGGCAGTGGGAGTGGGTGCATCACAGGCCATTAAGAAGCACTGTATTTACTGTAAATGTATCATGCATGAGCTCGTAGGTTTCTCCTTCTCCTGACAAGAACAACACTTGGCCTACATGCTGCTGGAGCTGCAGTGAAGTGAACATTGCAGAGAACTCACGACACTTGACACTGTAAATTGCATCCATGCCTCGCCTCATGAGTAGTGATTGAATGTAATTAAGTTTTCCTCCTCCGCAATGAAGTTTTTCTTACTCGCAGCGCTACACACTCGATAAGTGTGGGATCTGTGTGTGTGTGTGTGCGTGTGTGAGTATCAAAATGCACGCTTGATTTAGATGCACTTGAAGAGAGCGCTGACGTAAATTCCCATGGTTTCTTATTAAATCTATTCCACGGTGTTTACATAAAGCTAATACTCTGACTGTATTATTGTTCCACTCGTGTTCCTGAAATGGCAGCTTCATTTAGTCATGCTTTCTAGAACATGCCGGAGAACCTCCAGCCGTCCCCTCCGATGAATAATGTATGGGCTATCTATAACAACTCTGCTTTGTTTGGGCGCTGTGCTTTGTCATTTTCCCGGTCACTTCTTCAGCTCTGAATCTTGTTTTCTTTCTGCTTCTTTTTTGCTCAGGAGAATGAGCTTCAGGATTTCCTTCAGGAGAACAAGCACTTGAACCTCCAGTTGTTCAACAATAGCTACAAGGCATCTGAGCATGAGGAGGTAAGAGAGGAGAAGGTCTTTTTGTTTTTGTTTATTTTCTGTTTATTTTGTTAAGATTTTATGCCAACATCTGTCCTGTTCGTCAGTCCAGAAGAAGTTTTGAGCTGTTCGAGCATCAGAGAGGAAAAATGCTGACACTGATTGCTGCCAAAGAGTGAACCCTGTGTGGTGATCCTCTGACACCGAATTGTTGTTGTTTTTGTCAAATATTGATGTAGCAGCTTAGTATGAAACTTAATTATGCCGTAAAAATAAATCCTAACACCTTGGTGATCCCATTTTTTGAGAGAACCATGAAGAGGTTTTAGACGGCACGTCTGAAAAATAATTATTATATTATATATTATTAAATGTCCCTTTAAGGCCTGAAATGACATGTCATATTTTTACATCTAAGCTTAAGCAAAGCCACCTGCCACCAGCTGATCATTAGGGAGTGTGATAGCGCTGATTCAGGGCACAACATCAGATGTTCACCTTATGATATTATCATTATCAGGACAACAATAATATGATATTTATGAAAAAACTGAGATGAAATGCATTAATCAGATTGAGAAACTAATGTCTAGGTTGCTGTATTTTTAAGTGTACTACTTCTGTTAGACTGTAAGTTACAGAACTGAATTGAACAGTTGAGAGCAGTTAGAAAGTATGACAGCCAAACTAGTTTGTAACCTGGAGACACTGTTTTTAGATTCACAGTAAATGTCAGAAAGTCAGTTTGTAAAAGTGTCATATCGTCTCTCAGAACGCGCTGCTACAGCGAGATCACTTGCAGCTGCAGCTCGTAGTCTCTCTGTATTAAGACATGCGACAACCAGCGTTTAGGACCACCACTATGAACTTGTTGTTTACTCACAGACCCCGTGATCCTTTGTTAAGTTAAGCTGTGTTGGTGAAATTGTGCCCAGTTTTTACTCTTTCTGAGTGTTTTCTTACCCTAAAATGTAAATTTCCATTTAAACGGCTGTGACTTTACAACATCCTTATATTGGAGAGCCACGAGGTTGTGACAAACTAATTTATCTTGGGATTACTTGTGCAAATTTTACTGAGTTTTAACTTCTATAATATGTCAGTAACAGGTCAAAAATGTTCCTTCAGATTCGATATATAAAATCTGGACCTACCCAAAGATCTACTCGTTTTAATCCATGCAGCTGACTCCTCTTATTAACTTTGGGTAAAACGGCATACTTATTTACTCAAATGTGTGCAACATTTCTACATCTATGATTTAATGCTTCAGCAGCAACAGAGGGAGAGCTTGGCTTCTGCTCCGACAATTATACTAAAACGTTAGTTTTAATCAAAAAGGCTCTGGACAGCAGTTTTAAACACAACTGAAATAAGAAATATTAAGTTTTTATTGCTTTAAAAGAAAAATCCCAAAGCCCTTCCTGTTTAATCTTGCTTTTGTCAGTTTTAATTATCAGAGTGAATGAAAAAGGATCCACCACTTTTATGTACCAAGTATAAATGACACATATTCCTTTATAAATAAAATCCTAAAATATAAATAAAGTCAGTGAAAAGGAGGGCTGCGCTCAGACACAGTGTCAGCCTCTTTTGTCTTTGAGAGAGAGACCATTAAAAGGCTTTCTGGGTCAAACTCCACCTTGCCCTGGGATGCCGGATAGATTGAGCTTTTTTTTTCCAATTTCTACTATAAAAAATGAAAGAAACTATTCTCTTTTTCTATCAAACAGCCCTTGCCCTCCTTTTAGCCTCGAGACCTCAAAGACCTTCAGAGTGAATAACACAAAGTCAGAGTAGATCAGCAAACAAAGAGCTTCAGGCACTTTCACAGTGGACAGAGAGACGATTTCCTGAAGCTGCTGATTGGCAGGTTGTAGCTGGCGGGTGAGAAGAAGGGTGGGATGCTGCTTATTGACGTCTTATCAGGATCGAGGCGGCTTGTGGAGCAGCTGTCCTGAACTGTTATCACACTGACGGATATGAGAGCAGAACTCTGCAGGGCAGTGCGGATATGAGCCCTCGCTTACACCCCTGTGTTCTGATCCCTATCGTCTCTGAATGAACTGGGAGGGGCTCCAAACTGCGCCTCCCTCCACCCATAATAGACTATTGACCTGCTTGTGCTAGATCCAATATAGTTTCGTTCAATCCGTCTACATTAGGTCTGACAGCCTCTCCTATTCATGTGGAGAGTTCTGCTGTGTGGAGGCGGCCCGTTCGCAGGCAGACTCGCTGGATTCTGTTTGTGTTTCGCTTTGCTGATGTTTGTTGAAACGCCCTCCTCCAGGAGTCATTAGTCATTCATGGCTGCTCTGAGGAAAGGGCTTCACCACTTTACGGCTACAGGAACCTGAGGTTTTGCTGCCGATGAGGGGCATTTAAAAGGCTGATTAAAAAAAGGCTTTAAAATAATGGTACAGCTGCTCTGTGGACCAGAGATTATGAACAATAAGTAGAAATAACTTCAGTTTTTAAATAAATTTATGCTGGAAGCAGCCTAAATAGGAGTTTAATTGGTGTACAGTGTTAATATAACGTGTAATTGCCTTATTAAATAAATGCTTGGTTAACACTGAAGCATGAATAAATTCATGAATTTCAGTCTAAATCCGCATTAAGTCTATATTTTTTTATCTCTCCTGCATTTTTAGATTTAAACTCTTTTCTTGTTGAATCCAGCTCGCCCCCGTTATATTCACCTTGTACCTGTTAGGATGTTGTTTGCTGCATAAAAGCTGATACTATTTGTTTGCTCTGTATTTGGCCTTAAGGTTATGTGAGCAGCAACTGATTTTGAAATTGTGCTCATCAGCCAGAAGATCATCTTTACGTGTCAAAGTCAAAGTGGAGGTTGAGAAAGCCGTATCTGCAAGTTCAAAGTCAAAAAGTCTTTACCTGTTGTCTCTGCAGCTGATTGGTCCTGTACAGATCTACTAAGGACTAGGGATGGGCGATATGGGTTAAAAAATTTATCATGATAAGATTTGCCATTCTGGCGATAACGATGAAAGTCCTGATAGAAAAAATTAGAATTCCAATCTATATTTTTGCACAAGTTTTGAAAACCAGTTGGATTAGTCAAATAAGACACTTTCTGATGTCAAGCAGACCTGATTTTGCTCATCTAAACCTCGATCTTGAAGGAAATCCCTCATGTGGAGCCTCATTCAGTAACAAGCTGCTCAGAAACGTCTTCTTCATTACCTTCAGCCGTGTTTGTTTGTTATTCTGCTCTGTGTGGGCGATGACTGCGAGTCCGTTGCTTGCACTTATGTCTTTAACTTGCATTTATCACGTTTATTGTGAAATGGCGATATATCGTGAACAATAATTTATCGTCCATCCCTACTAGGAACTGACAAAAATTCTCATTTAAGTTGTGAATTTCATTCCTGATTTACACTCTAATTCATTGTTATTGTTTTTCTCTATAATGATAGATTTAATGCAAGGCTTCTAAGATACTCTATTTCTAACCACATTACATGGAATAGCGAAGTGACTGTATGTCTGCTTTAAATGTATTTCTGATAATACCTGGCATGGTTCTGATGAGTTTATCTGGTGCATGTAAAGGTTGGTCTGTCTGGTTCTCTTCATGGTTTCACACTGTTTATCTGATCATGGCCAGCCTGCATTAACGTGTTTAAAAAGGTAGTAATGTAGAAGTGAAGTGCTTTTAGAGGCAGACGGCATATTATCTGATGTGGATATAAACAAGTCAACATTCAACAACAACAAAAAGGAGAGACTGCTCTGAAATTATGTGGTAGTTTTCCAGGAAAACTCTGAATGTACTTACATAAAACTCCGGGGTACATTTAACTTCTTAATGAAGCTAAACCTCAGCAGGACACCTGCACTTAGACAGCTTTAAAACAAAATCTAATAGCTTCTTAATCAGCAAAAGGGCAGCAAATGTAAGCAGTATCCATCATTTTCTCCTTGTGCTTGGATGAAAACTGTAACCCTGAGAACACACAGAGAGTAGAGACTTAAAGAGAGAAAAAACAGGAGATCAGGAAACTTGGAGACAGTTATCTCTCTCTGATGGAAGCTTGATAATGACCTTTCGCATATTTGGAATGAAAAACATGTCGGTTTCTCTAAAAACGCTTGATTTTCGTTCTGGGAAAATGTAATCACTAAATATAAAACGGCAGCTGATTAAAACTGCTCAATTTTGCCCAAAGGAAATAAACAGCATGCGTAGCTGCTCTCTCAGTCTCTGCGCTCTTGTGCTCATTGTGTCCGCACAGGTGAAGTCCGAGTATGTCCAGCTCAAAGAGACCCTTGGTGCTGTGACGCAGGAGAGAGATTTAGCCCTGTGGGAGAAGAACCAGCTCCAAGACAAACTGGAGAACCTAGAGCAGGTGCTCAAGGTGAGGAAACCAGCTTCATGAGCAGAAATGACTCCAGGATCTGTCAGTGCTGTGTGCAGTTCCAGCCCTGAAGTCCGCTTTTGCCCCGGAGCTTAACTCAGGTGTTTTTCTGCAGCCTTACCCTTTTGCCAGTTCCCCCTCTCCCCCCTGTGCTACACTGCCTCCGTCTGGTTCTCTTCAGCTTTACTGTCTAATGTCCCTGACATGTCTGTTGCCTTCCAGTGTCGTGTTGGGAGGTCTGACCAGGAGCTGTGACAGAGTAGAAGCTTGGAGCAGTCTGCCCTCGTTTCCTTTCCCATTGTGCCCTCTCCTCTCATGTTGTCTCCCCCTCCCCTCCTTCCCCGTCCCCTCTGCCCCAGCTAGATTTATAAGGTATCACTGCCATGTTTGTCTGTTAGGGAGCAGTCCTTTTAGTCCCATTCTGAATGCTGTCTGTCCACCTCAGTGGCTGTGCTTATCTCTCCCTTACTGCGTGGGCTGAAGTGAATGGTCACCTGGCTATACGACCACAGCACTGTGGAATGTGATTTTTTGCATGAGGCAGGACAAAGAGTTTGGCTTTCTGATGACAGGAGGAGGAGGAGGAGGAGGGAAAGGAGGAGGAGGGAGAGAGACTACTAGGTCACTCTTCATGATGATAATGTCAAGTTTGATGACATTACCTATCCTAGACCTCGATTTCTACTGGCATGAAAATGTCATTTTGCTTTCCTCACCTGATAAACCTTCACATGCAGTGGGAGCATTAATGTGACTGGATGACACGGGCGTATTGTGCGATGAAGAGCCTAGCATTCAGTCGGCTTCTTTTGTTGTTATGGATGACCACAGACAAGTGAGCACGCTCCGGAGTTTGCTCTCCCTTTCGTGTAACGTAAGACCTCGTATTGATCATACAAAGACAAACATGGCTGAGGTTGGCCTTTCAAACAGTAACCAGACTTTCGAACAGGTATTGTGTTACCTAAAGGGGGCAGCAAACCTAGATGTGGATTGATGTTAGTCTTTTTGTTCACACAGCAAAGCATCTCAAGTCCTCATCCATAAGCACTTTGGTGCAAAATTTGATCTGAGCTCTCCTGCAGATCATTCAACATAAACTGTTCTCACATTGCATTCGGCTGTGGCACAGTTTATGTCTAACTTCTTATAAGGGCTTAAAGGTCAGATCACCGTGTAAACCAGCCTCTTTTATGTCTGATATGTTTGCACCTGTAACACCTGTGATGTCTCTGAGTGTGGAGAAGACTGGAGATGCATTTTTGTGTTTGGCTCAGTGCCGTTAGACTTTTAGTTCCACTAACAGCAGCCGTCTCTATGCTCCCCCTCCACAATCCTCACCCCGGCTCTCCACCCCTGCAACCCCCTGCGGACAGCATATGCGCGAGGCTGCAGAGCGGAGGCAGCAGCTAGAGTTGGAGCATGAGCAGGCCTTGGCTGTACTCAATGCAAAGCAGCAGGAGATTGACCTTCTTCAGAAGGTAGGTAACTCTTTTGGCTGTCTTGTTTTGTCCAGCCTACGCCTGTGTCACGGGTCAAAGAGCTTTTTGTCGAGCAGCGGTGCGATACAAACACTCAAACAAAGGTGAAAGTCAGTGAAAGAGAAGTAAGGACTGGACTCTCTGTAGGCTGTAGTACCTTCCTCTCTCATTATTTTCATCCCTGATTTCCTAGTGCATCCGTCCTCTTTACTCCATCCTTCAGCTGTCCATCACTCTTCATACCCGGAGTGCCTGACAGTTCAGGAGCACTTCTCTAGTTTGTTGCGAGCAAGCAAATCAAACACTGGAGCCCAGAGCAGATATGACACTTTCTCCAGGCTCGCTTGAAACAGAAATGCTGGCCGTGGCCATTTGATGGTAGGGCGTCCAAGTCTTAACACTGGCGCTGACTGTAATGTCAAAGCGAGCCCTGCAATAGCTGAGATTGCTGATAGTGTGAACGTGATAGGAATTGTCACCAAAGCCTTCTCTAGAAACAGAGTGTGTACCCCGGTGTTGCTGTTGCGGCAGTGTTGCTCTAACTTCACAGTCAGCCTTTCACAGGCAGACTTCTCAGCTTTTTTCTCTCATTAACAGAAGCTCATTACTGCCTTATCTTCCCTCAGACGCAGCCTGCTCTCTGCATTCTCCCAAATTAATTGCTTGCAAAGTAGATTTATGAAATTGTAAAGCCCACAGATGCTCTCATACTCACTTGTTTTTTCTCAACAGATGTTTCTCGTTCCCATAAGAAAAATGGTGTGTGTTATACGATGTTTCTGTACAGTTCGGTGCTTCTATAGTACCCCAACCTCGCTGTGCTTCAATGCGCTAGCTTCCTCCGTTCATCATGGATGGAGCGTCATTTTAATTGGTTTAAAATGATGTTTGTTTGCAATCATTTAAAGAACCATGTAAATGTTTACCTTTAAAACTTGATAACTGTTCTCAACACAGATAAAAACCAATTAGATTGGATTATATTATTAGGACCGTATCCATTGATGAATAGTCTCAAACTAAAACCTACCCACAGGCTTCTGTTTAGGTTATGGTTGCTTGAATTCCTGTAGTCCTACAGAGTGTCAGCTTCTTTCCTATATACTTTAGTTTATGCTGTAGGTCAGCCTTTCTTTGAGGTTTAAAAAGAGCTGTGTGGGTGGGAGTTTTGTGAAGACTGCTTTTGGTCACCGCTCAAGGTTTTCATGCTAAATGTAGAAGATAAGACGAGGTGATCAATACCGCCCAGTTCAAGGCAAAGGGCTCCAGTTAGCAGCCAATCTTCACGACTTAGCTTAGCATAACATTTCTGGTTTCTGTGTCATGAAAGGGACTGATCTCATCTATCCTTGGGTCAGAAAATCTGTACTTCCCAAAATGTCTACAGGCTTACTAGGGTTGTGATCAACCAAAGAAATTCTTGGTCGACTAAAACCCTGAAAGTTTCGACCAAAAAACAACTCCGACGGCAGCTTGGTGAAGCACGGCTCGATGGGATGAAAATATACTGATATCAGCACAAGAAGGCAATTAAACATGATGAAAATTAAAACGTTCAAAGTAAAATGAAGCAAACCAGCGGACGTTGATTAACGTGGATGCTCTTCAGTCTTCCTGTCTTCAGCTGGTGTCTAGTGGGTTGGGCGAATCCAAAATGGTAAAAACAAGGGGGGGGGGGGGTGTTCTGTTACCTGTGAAACGAGGGTGCTCCGAAAACACCCCCATTAGCAATTGGTACGTTCCTCCTGATAAAGTTAACTATAGACTGTAAATTGACGTGGAAAAAAAAAATCATACCGCCCAATCAGAATTTCGGTCGTCTAAGCGCGTATCGACCAGTAAGTCGACCAGTCGACTAGGACTTTACAGCCGTAGTCTAAACTTACCTGAAATAAGGAACAGTTTTAGCTCCACTAAATGAAATAAGTGATTCAAATAATGAAATAGAAATTAAAAATTTTATATACATTATGTGTTTGGAAGCCAAATTTATTCTGGGCTCATGGTGTAACATTCATGATTTGGTGATAACAGAGAAGTGTGACATAACTTAAAAAAAACAACAAAAACAGACACAAATTTAAAATACATATTCTTAAAAACAAAGAACAGTAAAGGTTGATAACAACCTACCATTAAAATGGACATTGACAAGATGGCAGAAATATCAGCTTCTGTCATTGATGCTGATGCTGACATTTGCTGATTTTAATGTTCAACCGATCATTGGTGCATCCCTTTTTTGAATGAGTAACATGAGGCCTCCCCCACATCCCTCAAGTCTGTTTTATTTTGCAGTTATAACACAACAAAGTATGGAGAGATTTAAGGATGGTGAATTTATGTATGTGGAGCAGTGTAAAAAATAAATAAGGTGGAAGGCAGGCTTCATTATTTTAAATCGGATGTCATTTACTAATAATTGGTGTGAGCTGATATCAAAGCACTGCTGCTGACAATAACATTAATCCTCTTTACATCCTAATGGGTGGGTGGGCAGAGATACTTGTTTTCTTTTCAGTATTTTCAGAATGAAGAACTTTTTGTCGCTCATAATGTTGTAAAAGTTAAACTGAAACTGTGCTCTCTGTTTTTTCAGGCTCAGGTTGAAGCCAAAAAGGAACATGAAGGTGCCGTCCATCTGTTAGAGGTTAGTGTCTGACTCTTCAGGGGGGTTGACTGGGTTTGTAGCTCCAGGTTAGGGGAATATTCAGCTCTGAGGCGGCAGACCTTTGTGTCAACCAGAGCTGACTAATTTCAATCCTCTGTGATTTTAGTTTTTTAGTCCTCATGTATAAGAAATTAAATGTGAGCTGCTTTTTCCTGTAGTGTATGAGATCATTTAAATGAAGTAAACACTTATTCAACAGCATGTCAGACAGAGTTAAATTAAGGCTGATTGTTTTGTGCTTTTCATGACGTGTGCAGGTGAACCTATGTGTAATTGTACTTTGTTTCTTTCCTACATCTCTTTTTACTGAATGGGTGTGTGCATATGCTTATACAGAACCACTTGGACAGCATGCAGGTATTTCAGAATTGTTTTCATTTATTTTCTTGACATGTTCTAACACTTTTCATACACCAGTGAGGTACAAACAGCACTCTTAGACGGTCGAGACAAAACGCTGATCACAATTACGATCTGGTCTATGCTCTGTGATTTTCAGAAATATCCAGGGTGTCTTCATTTCTCAGACTTTGCTACAAACTCAGCTCTGTTTCAGACAAGCAAACTCTCAAGTTCAAAAGTCTGCGGTATGACTGACAGCATAAAGTGGAGGTCTTTCGGCTTGATCATAGAGAAAAATTCAGCAACTCTCGCTTAACATTTGATGAAAGATTCCAGTCGTAAAGTCAAGATTGAGAATATGCCGTCAATTAAAGACAAACGCCTGGGGCCTCACTGACCCACCTCAATAATCCACATAATTAAAGCCCATCAGCACACTGAGGCGAGCAAGTTTTACTTCATTAGATTAAACACCAGCTGTTAATGTTTGTTTGGATGTAAATAAACCAAAATGCGGAGAGTTAGTTTGTTGAGTAGAAATGTAAAAAAAGAAGAGCCGTGTTTTGTTATTTCTTGTTTATCTTTTTTCTTTAACATGTTGTATAGATGTTCTCTTTTTCCAGTGAAACAGAATTAGACTCTTGTTAAAAGGATCACATTGATGATAAACTGTGAAGCTAATGTGATCCTTTTCGTTTCAGCGTTGCATGTAACCAGCATGTGTTTGTCATACAGCTGAGGGCTGTATGATGCAATGGAAATAGCGGCTCTCAGTTACTAATTCTCTTTCACCAGTAGAGGAATTCCTTTGTCGTGTGTGTGCTAACAGCATGTGGGATCTTATGACAGCCTGTGTGCATGAAATGGACTCAGTATCTGCAGAAAAGCAGAGGGGGTAGCACCAGCAGGGGGTCTTTTTTTCTGTGATGGGCACTTTTTGACCATTTGAAATAGAGAAGTTTCTTTTTTTATGATCTTAAATCACGCTCCAGCATCTAGAGTTTCCGTTATGCCAGTTTATCAGCCTCAGCATGTGCATTAAGTTTCCTTCTCTTCAAGTATACCGCTACTACCATGTATCACCCCTTTAAGAAGACCACTACCAACCAAGGACTAAACCACAGATATTTTTGTATCGTCACAAATAATCATTTTAATTTGGAATGAATGGAAACGTTCTTTCTGAAAGCAGCTGAGCATCGTAGCACCTTGTAAGTGCATCAGCAGGAACTACTTCCACCTGCTGTTCAAAACACATGAAGCTCCAGAGAAGAACGACTGAAAGTACACTCTAGTGAAGAAACATGGATGACTCTTGAATCGTTTTTGCACAATCCTGGAGCTTCATGGCATTGAGAGATAAGAGAGATCCAGCTTTGACACAGATGCTACTTGTTGGTTGAATAAATTGGTTTTGGTCTTTTCAAAGGATTTCTTGGTAATAATAGAATAAAATAAATCTAATCCTCGCAGACACTGTGTGTAGTTTGGAAATGCAAACTGCCAAGAGACAAGATGCTTTTTTATTTTCACTGTTGTTAGTCTTAGCTGTAGTCAGGGTCCGAAATTAACACACGCCAAAGGTGGGTACACTGTTTATTTTGCTGATAATTCTCTGACAGCTATGTGCCGCAGAATATTTTAGCTGGATTTAGTTTTTTTCTACAACCTCTGGTGTCTGCATGTCAGAACTTTGCAGGTGGGGCTTGTGCATGCAAACATCATGTAAATGTTGCTGTACACTGATGCCACCATGTACCACTATTTACTGTATGAGACATCATCTACCCTGCTGCATTCAAGATCAAGACTAAAACATAGTAATATAACCAGCAGTCAGGATTCTGTCTGTTTTGACAGAGTTGTATTTTCTTTGAAACATTTAGCTCTTTTAGACAAAGACAGGACTATTGATGACCACTTAACTAAATCATGATTAAAATCTGTCAATATCAGAGTGTTTATATCGATGCTCTTTGTAGCAGTAACTTCATAAATAAGTCTTTTTACTCCAGTGAACCCTCTATTCTTCCTGAGATTGTTTCTCAACACAACACCTAACCTTACTATCTCCATAAAACAAACTAATAAATTTAAATAAGACACAAAAAGGCCATTCGTAGAAATATGATTGGCTGGTGGTTCTCTTTTTTTCCACCCGCCTCCTTGGCTGGTGAGTAAAGAGAAAATTTCGGACTCTGGCTGTAGTTTTGCATGTGATTTGAATCCTGTGCTGTCAGTAGAAGTTAGAAAAAGTCGTTTCTGGAAGTTTCCTCTGCAGTAACGGATCCTCATGTTATCAGTCGTGCAGTAGACCCCATCTCATGTCCTATTTGTGTGTGTGGACAGTGCACACCTGTCATTGTATATGTACCTACTGTACATATACGTGTACACTGGAAAAGTTCCAAAATGTCCCATCATGCATCTTCTGGTTTCATTATTTTTGTTTTCTGTCGTTTTCCTTGTTTCCCATCCCTTGTCCTTGTCTGTTTCTCTCTCTCTGTTTCTTTCTCTCTCTTTTTCTCTCTTTACGTGTGTCTCTCACTCCCCCTCTCATTGACTCTCCTCCCTCGCCGTCATCAGGCCAAAGTCCGTGAGCTGGAGGAGAAATGTCGGAACCAGAGTGAGCAGTTCAACCTCCTGTCGAAGGAGCTGGAGAAGTTCCGACTCCAGGCGGGGAAGTTTGACATCCTCAGCACTGAACCGTTGACTTTATGTGAATCTCCGGGGTCGCCTAACAAATCCCTGTCCCAGCTCCTCAATGGACTGGCTGCCCCCATAGGAAAAGGTATTTTTCATGATCATTGCCACCAAAATAAGCCTCTCTTAGGCAGTTTGGTAGGCTGAAAGTATGTTTGTGCAAGGCAAAGAAAAAAGAAGAGACGGTTTTCTGACCTTTTACAGAAAATATCTAAAGTGAGCGATAAATTTCACTTTGAAATGACAAAAGGAGGAGATTTTGTTTCAATAGCACCACTTTGTGTGTGGTGCTACCACTTTGTCCACTAGGGGCGCCACATCAACACAGGCAGAAAGTCCCCCACAGGAGTTGTAACTCTCCTGTGAGGGACTTTGAGCAGCTGAATTTGGTTACCCTCATAGACAGAGCAGGTCGATCCAAGTCTCCGCTCTGCTTGTCCCGTACTTGTCGAAGTACAGAAACGTCCCTCTTTAAAAGTCAAACATAAAATCAGACTGATGAGCAAGAATTTAAAACAGAATTACTGTAACATGCTGCTTATTGTCTCGGCTGACTCCTATCCCAAGGTGTGTGTTAAAAAAGAAACTATGGAGCATTAATCAGCCTCGTCACAGGTGATCTTGTTTGCTTTCTGTTTGATAAAGGACTATAAGACTGTACTATAGGCAAAGAGAACAGCCTAAACTTATGTATTCTGTGAGTCTTTATCTGAAAATCAAATGGACACTTGTTTTGTTTGAAGTTTTCTTTCATCTCTTTTTTGTCACAAGCTTGATCTGAGCTCTTTTATTGCGCTGTGAAGATCTGACGAGCGAAGTTGTGTTTTCACCACAGGCAATGAGGCTCCAACAAGCAGATCTTTGATATCCGAGTTCATTCGGCCGCTCCAGATCAGTGGAGACAAGCCGGAGCTCCTCTCAGTCAAGCCAACATTCCTCACTCGCAGTCGAGCCCGCAGCCCAGGACGAGCTTTCCTCTCTGAGGTATCTTTTGTTGTCTGATTGTGTCCCATATGGCTCTTCTTTTCTCTACTCACTCACTTTGTGGGACATCTATAGAAAACATCGTCCAATCAAATTCCCTTTAATAATTCAGACGTTTCGGTCCACCCTGTTAACCCAGATGAAATCCTGTTGTTATCATTCAGACTGTCACATAAGCAGCGTTCAGCTCACCAAAGTCAGATCTATTACCTCTTGAATACCTCTGTTATCTTGTAGTAGAGACAACACAGCAGCATTTGGGGAGTAAGTGCAGCTTTATTTTGATCTCATTTCATCCAAACAAGACAAAATCCACTCAGCAGGAGGGCAGGAGGCCTCCTGGTTTAGCTTATGAGGACCGAGGCTGTATAAGATTAAGAGATAAAACACATCATCTATAAGGAGATCGTCCTCTTTTACCTCCTTTAAATGCAAACATACTTTAACTGGTTGAATAATACATGAAATTGAATAAACAATGGGATTATTTTGTCTTCTCTAGATGGACAAAGAGCTCAGTTCAACAACCAGGTCCAAACTCAGATTCACAGGGAAGGTTCGTCTGTGCATCGCTAGGTACAGGTATGTACACACCAAACACAGTTCATCACATGTTCACTCTCCTGTTCTGGTGTTTCTTGGTTTGTTTACAACATAAAACACAGATAATAAAATGGTTTTAAACCGTCACTGTCAACAAACATCTTTTTAGTTTTCACAGTGCTTTAATTTTGAAGATTTCAAAGCAAGCATTAACAGAAGCTTTCACAGAAGTTCTCCCGCTGAAGTGAGACAATAGAACATCACATGAAAAAAAGCTGATAATTAACAAGAAAACAGAGGAGGTTATTTTCCTCTTTCTTCCAGCGAAGTTAAAAGGCTGGGAGTCATGGGCACATATTGCTGAGATGCTTTGCTTTCTCTCACAGAGCTTTGGGCCGTGGTCTTAAAGATGATTCAGTGTTTCTATCTCTGTAGAAAATTACCTGTCAGCACAAAAAATAATTGGAATCCTCAGAGCACAAATATGAACAGGGCCAACGCTTTCAACCCACACTGTCCTCAGCTCGCTCATATTTGTAGAAAAAAAACAAATCAATCACAAACAGAAAAAAAACGCCAGATTTTTAAAGCAGCACTCAGCAAATCATTTTCCCTGACATACCTATTAGAAAAGCGGAGTATGACATGAAAAAGCCCAACAGGGGGAATCTCAGGAAACAGTTTGGCAGTTTAGTTTTGTCTTCATGTTTCTGCTGTAGTTACAACCCTTATGACGGGCCCAACGAGCATCCAGAGGCAGAGCTCCCCCTGGTGGCAGGGAAGTACCTCTATGTTTACGGGACGATGGATGAGGACGGCTTTTATGAAGGTCTGACTGAATTTGAACATTTATATTATTTCATCCTGAGTCTCAGCACAACACTGACCGCCTTCTCCTTGTTTTTTAGGGGAGCTGCTGGACGGACAGCGAGGACTCGTCCCATCCAACTTTGTGGACTTTGTGCAAGACGAGGAGTCATCATCTGTTCAACGCAGGGACACAGTAGCTAAAGAACCTGGCTACCTCAACCACAGTAGCCTGGGGACCCAGAGACATGGTGTGAGCACAGGGTCAGGTACGGGCATAAGCAGCCGGCTGAGTGACAGTAAACTGGACTGTCTCAGCAGCAGCAGCTTGGGCATGGACCTCCTGGGCTCCTCTAGCAACGGGACTGGAACCTTGGATGTCAACATTGACGAGGTCGGTGAAGACGTTGTGCCTTATCCCCGCCGCATCAACCTGATTAAACAACTTGCCAAGAGTGTGATTATTGGCTGGGATCCTCCTGTGGTCCCACCGGGCTGGGGCACCATCAGCGGCTACAATGTCCTGGTGGATAAGGAGTTGCGCATGAGTGTCCCCTACGGGGGCAGGACAAAGTCTCTTATTGAGAAGCTCAATCTGGCCACAAACACCTACCGAATCTCAGTGCAGAGCATCACGGACCGCGGCCTGTCAGACGAGCTGCGCTGCACTCTGCTGGTGGGGAAGGATGTGGTGGTGGCACCTTACTACCTGCGTGTGGACTGTATAACGCAGGTCTCCGCTGAGCTCTCGTGGATGCCCAGCAATAGCAACTATAGTCACACCATCTTCCTGAACGGTGCAGAGTACGACATGGTCAAAGCGGGAGGCTATAAGTACAAGTTCTTCAACCTGAAGCCCATGACCGTTTACAAAGTGAAGGTTGTGGCGCAGCCGCATCAGGTGCCTTGGCAGCTTCCGATGGATCAGAGGGACAAGAGGGAGATCTCTGTGGAGTTCTGCACTCAGCATGCAGGTCAGCAGAAAACGCTTTATATACTCGAGTTTAACTTTTATTATCTGTGTCTCTGTTTGTCTATGAGCTTTATAGTCCTTCAGTTTATGCCTGGCTGTACCATACGCAGCTGTGGGGGCGGTGATTTTGATGTGTGGGCCGCTTGGTCAGTATCTCACATTATGAAACATCGCCTTTAAATTTGGTGCATATTTTTACAGCATCTAAAAAAAGAAACCTTATGCCACCACTGATCTCTGGACTCTTTGTCTAGTATTGTTGTTATTTCACTAAAAAACATTCAAACCAAATCTACATGATCTTCTCCACATGGACATGAGGAAAGCAGAAGCATCCTGATCAGAGTCATGAAATTTCAACCTTAATGTGACATTATTGGGCAAATATAAAGTTATGAAGTTGAATATTGTATCTGATTTTTTTAAACATCTGTTGGGTAACATTACTGGAGGGAACCAATCAAGTTTGAGGCCATTTTCAATCTGTTTTAGCTCGATCAAACTGTCTTTAATAATCAAAACCCTCTACTGTGTTTGCGAGCTTGTGTTGAACTTTGTCTCTTTGTATTTGGTGTTATTTCAGCGGGGTACAGTGGTTCTCTCAGAGCTTTTTCTAAAGCAGTTGTCAGCTGTAACGAGAAACAAGCTTGATTCGTATGTGGGATAAAAACTGAACACCTTTCACACAAAGTCTTTGGTTCAAAGTTCTGAGGAGCGTTACCGATAAAGAGGTCACCTTGTTCTCCTTTCCTCCTGAATCTGATTGCTTTCTCTGTGGTCAGATCTTCTGCTTCATTTCAAAGTCATCATCCCTCATTTCACGGTGAAAGCTATCAGATAATTTACGTCCACAGGCTTAAAGCTCTTTACTTCTCAGAATCTGACAAATATCTCGGCCGTTTTCATTTCTCCCCATCCACTTTCAGAGCGCCCTCAAGGATCTGCGTGTGTGCTCCTGCGATAAGAAACATGCATGACAGAAAAACAAAAAAGAAAAAACAGAAAGGTGCAGGGAGATAACACTAAGGAAGCCATCGCTGAAAAAAGCCACATAACCCTGGAAACACGAGTCTCTTGAAGCCAAATTAGTGTAAATAGTGAGCGTAGATCTCTGGGATTTCTTCCCCCTTGAGGCTTGTTGATGCCGAGGCTGTTGCCAGCGCTAACTCGGGTCTCACAGCCTGGCTGTCAGGCTGCGGGAAATTTTTAAAGTGAGAAATTAAGAGGAGAGATTTTCTCTCCACAGCCAGCTACATTTAAGACTCCGATTTTTTGTGGTGTAAACAAGAAGTCACAGTGTAGTTAACTACTGGTGCGGACAAATTAGGAAACATGGCTCAGGGAATTCATATCACAGATTTATCCATTTAGATTAACCCTACCTGAAAGCAGATCTAAACATCTGAGGTTTGAGAGCCAGAATAAGATAGGAGCCATTCAGACAGATTTAAGGTCAAGGAATAGATTAAAAAGGGAAATAAAGAGAGGGAACGATAAAGAGAGGTGTTGATGTTTGAATTGACATTTTCTCTTGGCAGCTGACTAGCCAACCTGCTCCGAGTTCATTAAATTATCCGTCTATTGAACATGGTAATTAGTTGTGTCTGAAATAGTCTCGATATCCGGGTGGACGTCTGTTGTCAGTAGGAAAAAGTCTGGAGGCAGTGTGCTCGACTTTCACGCCCAGCATGTGTACTCCAAACAAGTGGCTTTGTTTACAGCCACACAACATTTTTATCAGTCTAAGTCACACCGGGTCGCCTCTGATCTCCTGCCTAGAGATCAATATCTGCTGTTTGGGCCTGGTATTAATGAAAGCGGCTCCACTGAAACACTCATTTAAACGCTAATTTCACTTCTCAGCGGGGCTCGTTTATGACAGGCGTAGTTTAGAAATGACAAGAGGAAATGAAATGTCTCAACAGCCAGCGCCGCCGTTTTCAAGACTGTGTGTTTAGTCTGCTGACAGTCAGCGTAGAAATGTGATTAAGATTGCACTGATGTGGATTCTTCTCGGACACACAAACAGCTGTATGAACGCTGAAGCTTGGAGGAGACGGTGCTGCTGACTTCATCTGCGGGTTGGGCTGAGGGGGGAGCGGGGGAGGTGGGGGTGAGGGCAGCACTGCACAGATGGCCGTGTTGTTTAGTATGCAGGCAGCACTTACAGATTGTGGAAATAGCAAACAGTTTTTTATGCTCCAAAGAAAATTGTCAGCAAGAATCTGGCGCCAGGATATTGCTGTACGTACACTGACGGCTGAATGTTGGCAAACTCAATGTAACGCCTGAGCCTGATGCTCATATGAATGAATTTTCTGATTCAGGGTGTCGACCTGCTCAGTGAGGAGTAAAAATACACCAAAGTCATCCCAGGAATGATCTAAAAATAATCGATCCCACATCATGTCCCTGCCATGAGAAGTAATAATCCTAAATATGAATTTAGTAGGTGTCGCCTCACAGCAAGAAGGTTCTGGGTTCAAATCTGGGTCAGGGCGTTTCTGTGTGGAGTTTGCATCTTCTCCCTGTGTCTGTGTAGGTTTACTTCAGGTACTCCGGTTTCCTCCCACATCCCAAAAACATGCAGAAGTGCGGTTAGGTTAATTGGCCACTTTCAAATTGCCTGTAGGAGTCGTCCGAAGATGCTGGGATAGGCTTCAGCCCCCCGCGACCCCCAATGGGAATAAGCGGTAGAAAATGGATGCATGGAAAATGGAATGAATTCAGTAGGGCTGTAATCAATCGAAGAAATTATTGGTTGACTAAAACCTTGAAATTTTCTACCAAAAATCAACTCAGTGGGGAGGAAGTAGACATGGATGGTAGAGGATACTGATATCAGCACAAGAAGGTAACTAAACACAAATATGATATTCAGCAAACCACCAGACGTTGACTAACGTTGACGTCCTTCAATCTTCCCGTCTCCTGCCGGTCTCTGGTTTGGTTGGGCGAATCCCAAATTGTTGAAACAAGGGGCATGTTCTGAGACAGGCTGTTACCTGTAAAACGGGGGTGCTCTGAAAACACCCCCATTAACCCTTGGTACGTTCCCCCTGATGAAATTAACCATAGACTGGAAATTGACGCAGAAAAAAATCGAGTCGACCGATCAGAATTTTGTTTTGACTCAGCACGTTTCGACCTATAAGTCGACCAGTTCGACTAGGACTTTACAGCCCTGGTAAAAATGTACGAAAGTCATCCTAGAAATGACATAATCAAAAAATAATCAATTCCACATGTCCCTGCCATGAGAAGTAGTAATCCTAAATGTTAATTCAGTATTCATTACGTTTCCTTTCCTCTGAAACATCACATGTTCAGGTGGTATGAAGTACTCTAAAACTGAGCTGATGTCACACCTTCTTGAACCTTGTTTTAAAACACAGTGACATGATTATCACATCCAGGAGCTTCATTAAACTGATGTCAGCTCGGTTAAAAAAATCAAGACCTGTTAATATTTGTAATGAAACAGAAGGAAACAGTTTGACAGATGTACTGTTTTCTCTCCTCCTTATCCAGCATGTATGTTCTGTTCTCCAGGGCCTCCTCTCCCGCCCCAGGAGGTGCAGGTCCAGTGTGGTCAAACGCCTGGAGTCCTGCAGGTCAGATGGAAGCCGCCGCCTCTGACACCTTCAGGAACCTCCAACGGGGCCTGTGTGATCGGTTACGCCGTGTGGACGAAGGGACAAAAGGTAACAAATACTTGGACGACTCATTTACATGTCCTGAGTGCAGGAGTCTTTGCTTTTCTCAGCAGAGACTTTAGAGAGTAGAGCTTTATTGCCATCTCCTGGAGAGATTTTGAACTCGGACAAGTAAAATCCAACAAAAAAAAACAAAAACAAGAAATGTCACAGGCTCTATGGTGCTGTGTTACTTTGATATCTCCTCTATTGTCAGCTGTTGCTTTTGTTGTGTCAAGCTGACAGGAATATCTATGATCGTACATCAGTCTAGAGTTGGAGCTACAGAGAAGTCCAAAGTTGTTCAGCTGGTTAACTCATGTCTGTGTTTTATAGACCTGTCTTTGTTTTCAGAGTAGGATGTTTGTGTGTAATGTCATGTTGTTAAGGAGGTTCTGGTTGTTTATGAATGCAGGTAGCAGAAGTCTTATACCCAACAGCAGACTATGTGACTGTGGAGTTAAACAGGATTCAATGTCTGGAGGCCCGGGAAGTTTTTGTAAGGACGTTATCAACACAAGGAGAGTCCCAGGACTCACCCATGGCCGTTATACCGCACAATCTCTTGGGCTCTCCTCACCTATCCCGCAGGACCACTAGTCACCCTATACCCCAACCGGTGCACTCACAAACCCACCCTCCTTACCCGTCGACGTACCCACCCAATCACCCTCAGCCACAGGTTCAGCCTCTGCCTCGAACCCAACCCCACACGCTGCCACACTCGCAGCCCAGCCGCCACCCACCTCCCCACACCCAGCCTCATTTTCAGCGCCACCCCATGCCCAAGTCCAAACCTTTAGTAAGTGCCAGAGAGCCAGAAACCAAAGAGCATGAGATAGGCCTACGGTCGGCCCCGCACTGGGAGCGATCTCCTTCTCCGCTGCCTCCGCCGATGCGCGGGTCAAACCTGGAGCCGCCACATTTTCCACCACGACGGTCGCCCTCTCCTCAGAGGATCCTGCCGCAGCCTCAGGGAGTCCCCATCCCCAACACCATTGCCAAGGCCATGGCCAGGGAAGCTGCCCAGAGAGTGTTCGCAGAAGGAAACCGGGTGAGTGGAAGTGAAATCATTTTGTGTTCATCAACAGCACATGAGGACAGACACTTCTGTCATTGTAATCATCATAACGTCAATGACACGAGTGCAAAAATGCTGCAAATACAAGTTAAAAAAACAAGCAAGGCACATTTCAATTTCCCTATTAATGAAAAATGTGTAAAAACACTGAGACATGGGAGTTTTTCTAAAGGCGGGCAGTGCTGTTGAAGGTTAGATATTACATGTGGACCAATTTCACTTAATTACCCCATCCAATTATCCACCTCAAGTGTCAAATACATCTATTTTCAGGTTGAGAAAAGGAACATATTCAGTGACCGAGGGAACGCCCTACATCCACTTAACTCTGACGAGGAGGAGGACGGCTATGATTCTCCTCATGCGAGGAGGAGAGGAGCCTCAGTAGATGAATTCCTCAGGGGCTCCGAGCTAGGTCGACAGGTAATTAAAGAAAAACACAACGAGTTCTGCTCATCTAATCAGGGAGTGGCTCTCTTGTTTCTAGGACAAACATGTAGCAGAGGCTTACCGCAGCAGCAGCAGCAGCATGTGAACAGCATTAAAATGTGTAATTTCACTTCCACTAGAGTCTTTCAAACGTCATTGTGGGAATAATGTCTGAGGAGGGAAATGGTGACTAACTCTGAGCATATCAACCATCTGTTCAGCTTAAAAATATAAATTATCTGTTATCATTGTAGTATTTATTGTGTAACTATATATAAATGATTTTCTTGGGGAACTTGGAGACTGGACTCTCTGCTCTCTGTGGAGTTGTTAACATTCATCAATATTAAAGGCTGAAGGAAATTTAGTCCACTGACCAGCCAATAAGAGGTTATAGCTGCACCTTAATGGAGATGTCCATCATCATTGGTGCAAATCAGGTGGTGCAACATGATGTAGACACCTACCTTACTTACTTTCTGTTTCATAAAAAATAAACTCTTACACACTCTTTATAGCATGTTTCAAGACTTAAGTTCTCTTTTATGATCCTTTTAATGTTTTTTTTTTTAATAGTGTAAAATTCAGTGTATCTGAAAAGTATGCAAAAGGGTTAGGGCCACAAGAAATTATAGAAAAACTAGAGGAGGGAGATTTTTTTCATTTCTATTTCGAGATTTAAGTCAAAATTTTAAGATTAAAGTCAAAATTTTAAAAAGTCTAAATGAAAAAAATTGAAATTACGACATTAAAATAAAAATTTTGATATTAAAAAAAATCTAAATTAAATTAAGATTTTACTTTTTTTAATCTCGAAATGTCGTCATTATTCATTACATTTCAACATTTTTTAATCTCAAAATTTTACATTTTTTATCTCAAAATTTTAACTTTATGGAAATAATTTTGATTTTTTAATTCAGAAATTTCGACTTTCATCACAAAATTTCAACTTTCGACAATTTTTTTCTCTTCATGTGGCCCTTATCCTCTTTTGTAGAAAAGTGCACTGTCTCTGCAATCAACTGCAAATATCAGCGTTAGCACAGGCTAAACTAATCCGGCATTTTCATGTCACATGATCTTGGTTGATCCTGGGAAGAGCTACACAGCTGCACAGAAACCTTCTGTTGCTGAACACAATAGTCACAAGTCTAGACAGTTCAGACTTTATTTTCTCCTTCTATGAGCTGCCTGTGACTCATTCACCAGTGCGACTTATAGAAAAAACACCAAGAAGATCACACTCGAGAGTAAACCTCGATGCTGAATCTGCTCTTCTCTCCTCAGCATCATTATCATCACTACAGCCACAGTGAGGAGTACCACACAGAGAGCAGCCGAGGCTCTGACCTGTCTGACATCATGGAGGAGGACGAGGAGGACCTTTACTCCGAGATGCAGCTGGAGGAAGGTCGCAGGCGCAGCATCAACTCTCACAACACGCTAAAGGTACACACAGTGCACATTCACTCTGTCGTGGTCAGGGGGGAGAACAGACGTTCATGGGGGGGGGAACAGACGGTGATAGGGGGGAGGGAGGGGGGAGGGTCCCGCTCTCTCTCTCTCTCTCAGGCTCGACAAGCAGGCCCATGGTGGCTTTGCCTGGCTGAGCGTTTCCTGCCTCGCGTTAGCTGAATCAGCCTCCCTGCCCCGGCCTGCTCCTCCACCCCCGCCCCTCCAGCACTGCTTTCCTCATTTAAGGCTGAGCTCATGGGAATGGCTGTGTGTACATAACCATACAGCATGCAAGAGGGAAAAAAAGAGGCTGAAAATTAAAAAAAAAAGAGTCATGTTTTCTAAGGTTTGGATTGCATTTTGATTCTCTTTAAACTGTGAGACAGAAATGTTGTTCAAATGTTGTTCTGAGGAGTTAAATTCTGATATAACACTGTATACTGTATTAAAGGGTCATGGCATATGAAGTGGGAATCTCATTTAAGTGAGTACTTAAATGGAAATATTCACTTTTGTTTATGTCTGTCATGTCTGAAACTTTGATTTTCCTATTATGGATGTAGATGTAAACATTGTTAACACATGATTCTGTTTCCATTTGAGATGTGTGGAAGTGAAGCCAGATTTTGATATCAGAGGTTTAAACAAACTCACTGCTGGTTAAATTTTGCTGCTGTTGTCCGGTTACCTGTACAGTAATGTTCTGTAAATGAGGGATATCTAAATATTGGTGTATTCCCACTTTTAATACACCAATACTGCATCACCATCTGTCTGTAAATCACTGTCACATGTTACTCCTCATATCTCTGTAAAACATAACTCTATTTAAGGAAGTGTGAAGTCTTGGTTGTTGTTGTGTTTGAGTTAGATAAGAAGTTAAAGATGATTTGTTTTCCTCTGTATCTGTGAGCTCATAGAAGAGTTGAGTTGTTTCTGTTTTTCTACAATTAAAAAAAAAGTGTGTTGATACAGTTTTACCCGTAGCAGCAGATTCCTTTATATTTAACTATTAGCTTTTTTGAAGATTCATTTATTCATTTCATCCTCATTCATGTTGTATTGATCCCTCAGCAGTGGCTCTGATTTTTTTGGTCTTGTTTTTTCTCACCTGTGATATTCTCTTTTCCATATTTAACCCTCCGTGCCCGCCCTGTTTCTCAGTTCCCTCTCCATATTCACAGATTCCTGTTCAGAGCATGCCATTTCCTCCTCACGGAATGAGACTGCATGTTTTACGACATTGCCACAAATAACTAATTCTGTCTTTATTTTGTCTTTTTCCCCCATTTGTTCTATTCACATACTGTGTTGTTTCCTGCCTGTTCTAAAACCTTCGAAAAACTTTTCAACCCCCTTCACAAAATCTAAACTGAACCTTGTGAATAAAACTGACTGTAACTGAACTGTGAAATTGTGGGACCTGATTGTGACTGAAGGCGTATTACAAGCGTCAGGACTTGGCCGAGGAGAGAGACTGCTGGGACCTCCAGAGGGAGGTGGTGAAGCAGAAGTCGCTCCGCAGTAAGCGGCTCCACAGCATCCCCGAGGTGGCCGAGGAAGAGTCGGACTGCGTGGACGGCATGGGCCAGCGCCTTTGCTTCGAAGACGGCGGGCGGCCGGGGACGCCGCACACTCAGAGGAGGATGTACCCCCAGAACAACCACATCACCCCCAGCAAGAACTCCCGCTACCTACAGCGCCAACGCTCCTCCCCTCGCTTCACCGACAGCCGCTACTACTACAACGCAGACGACCGCAGCTTGGGAAGACTCAACCGCCAGAGCACCAAGAGTCCTGACAGCGGACTGGACTGCGGCAGCGAGGAAGAAGGGTCGCTGGGCCGGGGTCATCGAGGGTATTATTCTCATGGGAGCCCCATGCGGGGACCAGTGCACTTTATTCACTGTGAAGGCCCGGTGGAGAGGCGCGCGCTGGCGATGGGCCGTAAAAGAACTCTGACTCGGCAGTGCAGCGTGGAGGAGGAGTATCATCCAGGGACTTCAGCCAAATCGGTACACACGGGTGACTTTAGGAACAGGGAGCACTTTGGACCCGGGCGAGGGACCAGGGAGCGTAACTACAGGGAAGGAGCCCTGAGCGAGGGCAGGCTGAACGAGCTGGACAGGGTCTATTACAGCCCCCACAGGGAGGCTAGGGCCCACTCTTTGTCCAGGCTCAACCGGGACCAGCCGCTGGTGTGTGATTCAGACTTTCTGCTGTACTTTTCATCAGCAAGCTGCAGCCATTCTCAGTGTTGTGTGTTTTTCTTTACGACCCCCACCCCCCCTCCTTGATTTGATCTCATGGTCGGTCTCATTTGATGTTTTTCTTTTGTGTGAATTTTTGGTCGTTTGTATCCAGAACGTCAGGTGGATTTTTAAAGTCGAGCTTTCTCTTACCTAAAGGCCATTTATCCCCGTTTTGACTTCTCATGTCTGTGAGGGGAAAGGTTTCATTTAAAGGGAAAGTATCTGTGCACTTCATGGGGACATGCTGCTCCCGTATCTTCCTCCCCCTCCTCCTCCTCTTCCTCCTCCTCCTCTGCCAGCTGCCAGCCTCATCTGTTGCTCTCCATGTGTCGCCCTCTAGAGCTGAGGCAGTGATGCTGCACCTCCTGCTCGGAGCTTCATTTCAGCAACTCCTGCCTCTCATTGCTTCACAGTTTAAAATCAGGATCAGGATTTATCCTCCAGTGATTCATTCGCACCATCTCCTGCTTTTCTTTTTTTTCTCATTTCAATAAAAAAAATCTTGTTTTTCTCTGTTTTTGTTTATTGAATCTTTTGGTTGTTATTAAAAAAGTCTGACGCTCATCCTCAAACACATCCTCAACTATTCTTCTTGTTTTGTTCTCATCCACGTCCTTTTTTCGTTCTCATACAGGAGCTGACATGCACAGAACAAAACAAACCAAACAAATGGTCTTTAGCTAAACATCTGACCCTTCCTTACTCCCCCTGGTCCATGTCTTTGTGTTAATGATTTGATTTGATGGTTTTTTTATGAGTTTGTTTTGTTGTTTTCGATTCTTTTGTCTTCCTAAGGACAAATGGAAGCCACAACATTTGCTCTTATGGTCTTTTTGGTTGTTTTGATGAGAATGTGGGATTGTTTTCTGTATTTGATGGCCATCATGATGCGTCTGTTTTGAGTTTCTAACCTCTGCTCTGTTGTTTTTTTAATCTAAAGATCATTGGGAACTCATCGTCACACGGAAACGCCGATCGTCTGGAACACTCAGGGAGGAGGCTGGTTCACATCGGCACCCCCCCTCAGCAGCGGCCCATCCCATCCATTGGTTAGTGAGGTCACCACATGAGGAGACGCCTCATCCCCCCCCACCTGCAGGGCCACTGATGTTTGTGCTATTTATACCATGTGTTTCCCCTTACCCATGTGATCTGAGCTGAGCTGAACATCTCTCCCATAGAGCTTAAACTTCCACCTAGACCCCTACTTTAGCTCCTCATCCTCACCAGCTGGACTCGCCAGATGTTCACACGCAGTTTTCAGGAAAGTTCTCCCAGATACCATCCCTATGCCTTTGTTTACTGTGGCTTAACATGTTAATATGACCCACCCAATTTGATCCCCCCCCTTACCCCGCAACAGTGCAAGCATTGCTGTTTTACACCCAGTGACTCCAGAGTGAAACCTGTTGCCTTGTACACCCTCCCACCTCAGGGCAACCTCCATCATCCTACTGTCTCAGCATGAGTGAATGGGCCATGGGGTAGACCAGAGTGTGTGTGCGGGGGATCTCTGACCGTAACGTTGTGATTGGTGTCTTCTGTAGAGATCACCATGGACAGTAACAGTGAGGGGAGTGAGGGGAACCTCTCACCCGTCAAGGAGGATGTTAACTATGGCAGTGTAGCTCGGCGCAGGATATGGCGATCTTTGTCCTCAGAGGATCAATATGGTATGTGGTGCAGCTTCTCTCCCAGGTGACAATTCAACTTGAAAAGGTCAGAAAAAAAAACAACACAAAAAAAAAAAGAGGCCACAAATGCAGTGATATCATGATGGTCTTTGTTACTGTGCTGGACAGTTAGCTTCTTTGTTTAGCTTAGCTTAGCTTAGCTGAATAAAGCTGACGGGGGAAGTCAAGACTGGCCACTTTTCCCGTTGCTGGAGAATGAAAACCCTTTCCCTGTTTGTACTCCTTACACCTCCTTCCAATCCCAAGAAACCCCAACTCACCCACTCTCCCCATTCACCCTCCATTTCCAGACCACTCTCCCACCTTAACCCCGCCCTCTCCTCCTCTCCTTCAATCTCCCCTCATCTCCTCCTCTCCTTTCCTTCTCCTCCCCGCCTCTCTGAGTCGGCAGCCTGTTTTTTGATGTTTATTTTGCATGACCCATTTCCAGTACAGTGAGAAGGAAAGACACATTAGTGGATGAGTCGATGCATTCTCGCCTTGTTGGAATCACTCGGTTGCACTTTCATTAACTCTGCTGCCATCCAAGTCTAACACATTTCTGCACATTTGAAAAAAAAAAAGCATTTTTCTCAGCTGCTGCTTAGGTTTAGCATCGGTTGCATTCTCTCTGAGCCATTATCCAGACTTCCAGCCTGCCATTGAAACATTGAACATGGTGATCCATGAGAAGCATGAGGTACTGATATCAGGTTCATCCCTTCCCCCTCACTGTCCCTGATATCTGCGTTGTCACAAACTGCTGCTGGGGCGTTTGATGTCTTTTGCACCCTGAGAAGCGCGCCTTTTTTTTTCGCTGCACATTATTTCCAGACGCGGCCTTGAAAAGCATGACGGCACACCTGCATTTGGTGTAGGAATGCTCTCCTCGCCATGTCCAGTCCCAGGAAAGCATGCATGTCGATCAGCCTCTGTGAGATAAGGCAGTGAAACAGCAATGAACAGTAGTGCAATGTTACTTGTGTCCTCCTGGTGTGCACAGTCATTCAGTATCCCTTGCACCCCGACAGACTGCTTGACCTGTTTCCTGTCTGTGCTGTGTGGTTTTGTGTTTCGGTGACTGTCACGCCAGCAAACAGAGATGTGTGAACGAAGAACCCCCGCTGAAGAGAGCGATTATCTCAAAGCATCTTAAAGTGTCGGGAGTCTCAAAACAGTTTCAAACTCCGGCATCCAGTCTCTGGCTCTTTTTTCACACATGCATCTCATCGCCCTCTCCCCTGTCAGCTCTAACAGAGAGACATCTTCTGCTCTCATTGCCTCTACAGCCAGCGTGGCTGTATAAGGCTGGTAGTAGCAGCAGAGGCCTCCTCTATGTTTCAGACGGCTACGGCGGGCGCAGGCACGGGCGAGGGCGGCGTTCTCTGGATTACTACGAGGAATCGGAGCCGGAGGAGCTGACCCGTGTGTTTGTGGCTCTGTTCGACTACGACCCCATGTCCATGTCTCCGAACCCTGACGCTGCGGACGAGGAGCTGCCGTTCAAGGAGGGCCAGATCATCAAGGTGACCCTTTAAGAGTTCACTTATTTTAACACACTCATAAATAAATAACACGAGCGTGATGGTGACCTCCTCTGATTTTGTTTCCTCTTTGTCGTTTTTTAGGTGTTTGGTAATAAAGACACAGACGGCTTCTACAGGGCAGAGATCAGAGACCGAGTGGGTCTGATCCCTTGTAACATGGTCTCTGAGATCCAGACGGAGGATGACGACATGATGGGTCAGCTCCTAAAACAGGGTTTTCTGCCCCTCAACACTCCTGTGGAGAAGTTAGGTGAGACTTCATCTTCATCTGAGGTTTCTGTCTCTTTTCCCTGATCCATCTTTTTGAGGACTGTTCTCCTCTCTTCTGCTCTCCTCACTTATAATCCTTTTCTTCTGCTTTCCTGTGAAGTCAACTGTGACCGTTTCAAAGATGGACGCTCAATAAATCGCAGATCCAGAAAATCTAAAAGAGGTCTGTGGTCCAGTCAGAAGTTTTTCTGCTTTTTCTTCACTGTTTATCATCTGTACTTATCTTTGAATCCCCATCAGCGTCTTCACTTTTACTTTCCTCTAGTCAAACTACAGAGCTGTTTACCGTCAAAGCTACTTGCATGACTGTTCCTAATAATCCCAAAAATACTCTGAAATAGTTAAAGATACTCTCCATCGCTCAGTGTTTTCTGACTTTGTCTCTCCATAGAGAGGAACAGGCGGAGTGGTCGTCAGTATCCAATGTCGACGCGGCGAATGGTGGCTCTGTACGACTATGACCCTCGGGAGAGCTCGCCTAATGTCGATGTAGAGGTACTGTCTTCTTTTAGCTCCGGCTTTTTACTGTCTTGATTGTTTTCTGTCACCATCACCATGTTAACAGAAGCTTAAAGGGTGTGTCAGCGTTTTAATTCAGTATATCTGATTCGTCTATTTGTTCAAAACCAACAAAAGAGCTGCTACACACAAAACTGAGATGAGATTATTGGACCTGGATCCACCAGCTTTTATCATCACTATAACACTTTACACAAACTCTCATATCAAACAGGCCTAATTTAAGTTCAGTCAGAACCACTTCAGCTCAAATGATAATGAATGTGGCAAAAAGTAATGAGTGGAGAGTGCACCTCCCTCGCAGAAGAGGATAAGGGCCAACGAGGGGAAAAAAAGATCCAACATATAATTCTTTTAATTATTATTATCCAGAGATTCAAGTCAGAATTCCGACTTTAATCTCAGAATTCCGACTTTAATCTCAGAATTCCGACTTTAATTTCAGGATTTCCAACTTTAATCTCAGAATTCCGAATTTAATCTCAGAATTCCAACTTTAATCTCAGGATTCCAATTTTAATCTCAGAATTCCGAATTTAATCTCAGAATTCCAATTTTAATCTCAGAATTCCGAATTTAATGTCAGAATTCCGACTTTAATCTCAGAATTCCGATTTTTTAATCTCATAGTAAAATCAAAATTTCAATCGCAGAATTCTGACTTTAATCTCAGAAATCTCAGAAACCCAGAATTTCGATTTTTCTCTTAGAATTTCTCATAATTTTTCTTAGAATTATCCTTATAAACTCAGAATTCTGACTTTAACCTCAGAATTCGAACTTTTTCTCTGAATTTCTCGTAGAATTCTGACTTTTTTTCTTAGAATAATAATAATGATAACAATAATAATAATAATAATAATAATAATAATAATAATAATAATAATAATATTTCAGACCTTTTATTTTTTATTTCCAGCAGCCCTAATCCTCTTTTGTACTCTCTTAATTTGCTCATGCATTTGCAGAAAGCCAAGGCAGGGAAAACAGCAGCAGCAAAGACCCTCGTAGTTCAGGACACAGTAGACATCAGTAACACTGACTATGACAAAGAAGACAAGTCCAACATAACCTCTGTTTTTGTACAGGTTGAATGATATACAGTGTAATAATAATAGTAAACAGAGGTGGCGCTGGTGAGCAGGTTTTTTTAACCCCTTCACAGCCAGGCAGACACCCAGCTGAGTTCATGTCTCCCAGCTGCAGCTTCATGGTTAAAGCGCAGATATTTAAAGCTCAGATATTTAAATCTCAGATAGGATTGGTTGTGTTTTATTTTCAGACTCTAAGATGATGTTAAAGTGTTCGTCCTTCATTTTTGATTCAGGGAGTTTGTTCATAGTTGGGGTTAGAGTTAGCGTTGTGTAAGTCAGAGAATTGAATCACTTTCCCGTGCTGTTGTTTTATTTTTTTTGCCCTCCCCCCATTTACTTACTCTCACCTCTCCATTGGCATTGCCACCGACACAGTATGAGGGCAACAGACTGAATGAGGAGGTGAGTGAGGGTGAGGAGGGTACACTACTGTCTGCTGTGTCTGTGTGTTTCCTCCCCCCGTTTGTCAGACTGCAAACGAGGAGGTGGGCCTGGGTGACGGGCCTCGGCCCCCTGTCCCCCCACGGTGATCATGACACAGCCCCTCATGCATTGCCTGAGCCAGCATCTCCCCTCCTCGGTTTGGTCTCTTGTGTCCACCTGTCTCCCGTACATATGCTGTGTCTGGTTTGTGCTGTCCTGAGAGTCCCAAAGGACAGATGTGCCACGTGTGTTGCAATCCTGTCTTCAATGATCCAACATTTGATGCATCCACACTCGGAGCAGTCCGCCTTAAAAACAAGAATGAAAAGACGCTGGTGTTTAAGATGCATCACAGTGATTTGGAGAAGGAAGCACAGCATTTCAAAGTCATCCGACCCCAGTAATAACTGTGACGTTCTGTAAAGTCTGGACTTTAGACATCAGCAGGAGTCCAGAGACCAGACCCGTCTGAAGGTTTTCTCCTCTTTGACAGGCTGAGCTGACTTTCTGTGCCGGAGATGTCATCACAGTTTTTGGTGAAATCGATGAAGACGGCTTTTATTACGTGAGTACTCAACGTTTTATTTCCACTGCGATCTTTTGTCCTGACTGAAGGTAGATGAGCGTGTCCTCGCCAGTGAAGATTTTCTACCACATCCTCTTACTTTCAGTAAATACCCCCGTCACCAAAACCCTGAACCCGGTCCAGATGTAAATATTCAAGGTTAGCTCCCATCTCAGAGACGGGGGTTCTTACTGTAGGTCAACCAGGTCCTGATGGAGGTCTGTCTTAGTCCAGGATTAAGATGATGTCTGACTGACATGTTGTCTCGCAGACACTGAACCTCTGAAGTGTGTTTTCTCTTCTGGCTGAGCCGTCTCCTTTAAGGCGGCGTCCCCTCATGGGAGTCGGCATTAGTGCTCCAGGCTCTCGGTGGTCTCACTTTGAGCCTGATGAGTCTGCACGAACGGTTTTATTTTCATACAAGACCGCAGTGTTTCTCTCTTTGACCTTTACGAAGGAAGGAGGCGACCTTTACGTTCACCTCAGGCGGCCCGGGGTGATCGTTCTCGCCTGGGGCCCGTTTGTCCGAGTTAATCCCTGCGTCTTGTAGCTCTGTGACTTTGGAGCCCTGGAGCTTTGTCTGTCTCTCTTTATTTAAAGACAGAGGAGGTCTCGGTTCTCTTTGTCCCAGGTGTGTGGGACCCGGGACCTAAAATCTGCTAGATTGACAAATTAAACATGATTTCCAAAATGATGGAAAGAGCCGTTATCCTGCTGTTTTAAAGCTGCTATAAGGAGTTTTTTTATGTTGTTTATGTTGATGGAATAGACTGAATTCATTTTTATTATATCCAAAAGTAACATGAGAGTGTGAGCCAAGCAGCTGAAGAAAAAGCCGTTTCATGATAAGACGCAGATTTCAGTGTTTCTTTCCGACTTCTGTGCGACGTCTCCTTCCACGTTTGAACCTTTAAATGTCGCCGTTTTAGACTTTCTGTGAGAAGCTCTTAAGTCTCCTTACAAGTCCTCGTCTCTCCTCCGAACAGTTTTTCGCTGTCGGAGCTCTCTGAAGGGCTGAAAACTTTAAACTTTACAGAGATCACGTCTGAACTTTAGGGAAAAAGCTCCAAAAACATCCGGATTTGAAGAATTAGACGAGGAAGCTTTGTGAATTAGGAGACAGCTAGTTTCCTTTTTTTGCTCTCTTGGTATTTTGGCCTTCCTCTACAAAGAGTCGGTATCTGTTTATCAACAATCGTCTGATTCTGTCTGAATAAGAAGTGAATACTGGGAGAGTATTGTCAGCGTCTCTGTGAAGCGTCGAAGCGCCTTCCTAAATCAGAGGCTGAAATAATCGAACTCGGGGTTTCATCGCGGTGAAAAAGTGACTCACCGCTCTCGTCTCCTCCTCAGGGCGAGCTCAACGGACACAAGGGACTCGTACCTTCCAACTTTCTCGAAGAAGTGCCTGATGATGTAGAGGTTTTTCTCACGGACTCACCATCTCGATACCCCCAGGACACTCCAGCACGGATAAAGACCAAAAGGGTACATGCTCCTTCGCAGTACTAGCCCTCTGTCATCCATTAACTCTTTTCAGTTCCCTCTATCTCCTCTAGTGTGGTGTCTGTGCGCGCGCGTGTATGTGTGTGTGTGTGCGTGCGTGTGTGATTTCTGACTCTGGAGCATTACACTGTAAATAAATAGATGTCTGAGATCTATGAAGAAAAAATCAATCTTTAAGACTTATATACTTGACAGAGGTTACTTTTATTTTTCATGTTTACTGCTGTGAAGGGGGTGGGGGGGTTGTGCATTGTATAATAAATACATGGACATGTTGTATTCATAAAGCATTCTCAATGAGAGTATCTAAAAACAGAGAGAGGGAGACTTTCTACTTGTTCTGTCGTGTCTTGAAGAAGCTGTTCACACACCTTTTTGCACATGCATTATCGAGCATCGGAACAGATGCTTTATGAATATATTCTGTGTTTGATCATTTCTAATAGAGTCAATAGTTTTGTTGTACTAAGAGATGATGATGATGATGATGAACTCTGTAGTCTGTAGCGCAGCATGTTCTATAGTCCAGATGCATGACGACTTCTTCTTGAAGATTTTATATAAAGATAAGTCTAGTGTAGTTCCACTTTTTGTATCCGCTCCTGAACGCCTTGTTTTTTTTGTAAATTGCTTTCTTGTAAAGTAGCACGCAAAAGGTCACTTAACCTATGTTGCCATCAGAGAAGAAGAGTAATTTCAGACGTTTATTAACTGTAAATATGTGATATGTTATTTTTATGTTGAACGAAAATAATGCAATTGTTGAAATCTGAATAGATGTCATCAGATGACTCTTTCTTTCTTTCCCTGTATGTTCTGATCTACCACTGTCACAGTGAAATCTTACCCAGATGCCATCACCATATTTTGTTTTTATTTCTTTTCCTCACCCGCTCGGCAAAACAGAAGAAGAGTGTTCATTTCACACCTTAAAGGCTCTGTTTCCGTCACGTAAGTGAGCAACTGAGGATACCACGATTACGCTCCCCTCGTCTAATGCAGATGACATGGGTCCCCTTAGTTTCTGGTATGCATCATGTGGACTTTCTATATCTGACATTCCTTCAGTGCTGCTCTGTCTTTAGCTAGATTTAGGACTCTTCTCTGTTCCACCAAAAAAACTGGATGATGTTTGTCGCTAGGAGACAGTTACCCCCCAGCCAATGCATTAGACAAGAAGTACGGTATCTTCAGTTGTTTCTCTGAGTGTTGTACATGAAAATGTCCGTCTCCTGCAATAAATCTCCTGCTGTAATTCATGGGAAGCTAAAAGGCCGTAATCGTTGAAACGCCCTGAGAAAGGCTCTGCAGAGGCAGTCAGACTTCTGTCGGCGCAGCACGGCGCAATCCTGAATCCAGAAAACAAAGAAAAAACTATGCAAAGAAAAAATTTGGAAGAAAGACTAAAAATTGTTTTTGGTGTCGTGTCTCTAAATTAAGGTTTCCTTTTTTCAGACTTTCTCTTTCATTCAAAGAAAAATTGAAATGTTAAAAAAAACAAACAAACACAGTTCTCAGAGCTCAAAGTTAACAATCAGACGGCAAACTTACTGGTTTAAAGCGAGACAAAGGTCAGACACAACAGAGAGTCAGTGAACTTGGTAACTGTTGCTGCAGTTTTGACCTAAAGTTTGTATCATTTGCTGCTGGTCACACACACAACCGATAAAGCCTGACAGTAAAACGAGAGAAGAGAGTCACAGACTGTATTAAGCTGCTGTGACCTCCACACTTGTCTCTCGAACTCAGACTTTTACTCGTCCAAAAGCACCTTACTTTATCTCCCTAATTTAGTAAATCAACCTCAGACTGAACTGAGAGAAATCAAACTACAGTAACACTCACTGAGGAAGAAGGCTTGTTTTTCTATCATGGACTCCTTTTTGCAAACAGTGGAGTCGCCCCCTGCTGGCCAATAGAAAGAATCCACCTCCACATTCTAATCCAGTCTTCCTCCAGTTCTTCTCCTAAAGTGTGACCCTTTTCTGATGCAGCAGAAACGTCTATACTTGTGCCATCTCGCTTTAAACTCAGAAAACAAACACAGCAGACTGATCTGGATACGAAACAGACAGAAAAAAGCCTCTTTAAAAAAAAAGAAAAAAGCCTTTTAGCTCATGATTACAGAGAAGGAGGAGTGACCGGTAGTTTCTCTGTAACCCAGTTGTACCAGTAAAAATCCATATCCAGTATATTTGACAGACAAACGTGGTTGTGATATAAATTTGTCCCGATGTGTCCCCAAATGCAAATGTATCTGTTTATGTGAGAAACTGCCCGCTTTTGTTGGGAAATGTTGTCACCTTACATCGATGTGTGAAGGTCAGTCAATGTCATGCTTTAACTCTGTGCTTCTGTAGCTTCTCCATTAGCAAAAACAAAAACAAAGATACATGATGGGAGGGAGGAGGGAGGGAGGACAACATCCAGGGGGGTAGACTTCAGAGCTATGGTGGCCCTACTGAGACAGAAAGGACTAAAAGAGAAGGAGGGGAGTAGAGGCTGAGGTGGGACAGAGACGCTTGGTCTGTTTAACACCCTCAACTGTCCCTTACGGGTCTCCCATTAGGTTCCGATGGAAAAATCGGCTCCGCCCAGAAGAGCAGCCTCTCCGCACATCCACGGCTCCGGCCCTGCCACCGTGGGGCCCGGCAGCCCCATCAGGGCCCCACTGGACATGTACTCCTCCAATCAGAGAAAGGGACTGCTCTCCAAAGGGAAGAAACTATTGCAGAGACTGGGCGCTGTAAAATAAAAACACCGAGTGTCATCATCCTAAAACGATCAGTCAACAGGCGAACGCTTTATTCTTGTACATCTGTTGTAAACTAGAATATTTGTATTGAGGACATATTTTTAATCACATTTCATATTAAGGTCTCCAGACCTCGGGGGGGGAGTCTGCAGAGGAGTTTCTTACCTCCAGGTCTCCCGGCTGATGACGTTGGGCTGTAGACTGAGAGAGACGGGGCTAAAAAACACCACAAATAATGAGTCTGACCAGAATGTCTGTCAAACACTGAGGGCTCCGTTTAATAACCGCAGACAGAGAGACCTGATCTGCTGCATGCTTTTACTTCAGCACATTCCCTCCTACTGACTCCCTCTCAGACATGATGGGTTCAGCTCTGAACCTGGAGCGTGCAGTATTTTAACATCGCAGCGCCGCTGTGCAGTATACTGTGACAAATCAGCAGATTTAACTCCTCCTCCTCTGTCCTACTTTAACTACTGTGAGAGAGCCAAGTGTTCCCCTCCGACATGTCAGACGCCTCCAAACAAGCACATGCTCTACCTACTTACCTACCACAGGGTCTCTGCAGTCGAATCAGCCTGAATGGAAATGCCTCGTAGATCCAACCTCCATGTATTTGCCTTATTATCGCACAATGGTTCGTACTTTTAGTCCAGTAGAGCGTGCAGTCTCTGTCTCCATGCCTGCTTTTTTTTTTCATTTACGTCGTCGATCTGACGTTTGCAGACGTTCATCCTGACTCGTGGTGTGCAGGGTACCGTGTGACTGTCGTGAGCTTTACGTGTAAACCGTCAACAGACGAGCCCGAAAAAGAGAGAAAATTATTTTTAATCTTCTAGAAAAGAAAGAAAAGGGCAAAAAAAATAAAGAGAATTTATTTATTTTTCACTGTTTTTTTTTCCACATCTGATAAAACACGACTACTCTACCGAGGAAACAGACGTACTGTGTCATAAAGCATCAGCAAACAGAGTCCTGTTACTGTACTGCATCTGATCCATGACGCGCACCGCTAGGAGACGAGAGGGTTTGACAGTGAGACACAAGGCTACCTCGACCTGTCCGACCCCAGACCTATTCGATCGGAAACATGTTCATTCAAGCCAATCTGTCAGTGATGCCTGTTCAGTGTGTCCCGAGTGATGTTGGTGCAGGATACAAAGTACTGTATATCAATAAATCTATATATCTATATCTATATATCTATATCTACACCTTAATGTAGAGTAGTGAATGTATGATGAATTGAAAGCCAATGTATTTTCAAAGCTGCCCAAAAGGATTGTGCAGATGTTCGTCTTTGTGCGTGAAATGAAACAGTCCACCTTTCTTTCTTTTCTTTCTTTCCACCTTTCTTCAGTTTTTTTTTTTCCATTTCATCCTCATTGTACTGAAAAAGATTGAATCTAGCCTATTTTTTCTACACACGAGTTGAACTGAAACTGCCAAAAAAGAATGTATGCAAAAACATTCTGATACTCTCTCGGCCAACAGCCATGAAACCCCCCTGCGCTACACCGACGTCCATCTTTCTCCTCTTTCTGGACCATGTCTTCTTCTTCTTCTTCGTCTTCAGACGTTTGCTTTGATTCATTTTTGAGTGACTGTTGCTCTTTTTGTACTTTTTGTCCATTTGTAAAATTGTTTTTAAATGTTTATACTTGATTTTCAAACTGCCTTTTTTGTACATTTAACTTTATAATCAGACAGTGCAAGCTTTCCCCATGGTGTCTTGAAGACAATATTGTTTAAAGAGTCTGCAGTTGTGTGCTAGCTTTATGATAAGAATTATCAGCCTATATTGATGGATACAAAAAAAAACTATTGTGTGGGTGTGCATGTGCAATCTTTTCTAACAAAAGACAAAACAACAATCTAAATAAATTTGATATTTTCTAACATTTGAACGTGTTTTCACTCAGAAGAGCAGAAATAATGTGCAACACAAACTTTTATTAGAACTTTACGAACGTTTAGAAACAGAGGACCGTTTTTACTGAACATGTACTCCTCACTAGAGTAAACAAACGTCTACTAATCACTCCAAACTATGACTCTTGATGTGATAACTCATTTAAAACGAGCTAAAATTAACTGAAATGTTTTAAATCCTGATCATCTTCATCCTCTTGGTGGTTAAATGTAGGTCTACTGAAAAACTGTGTAATTTAATACACAGACTCTTCGGACTCAAACTAAAGAAAACCTTTCAAACAGGTTAAACCGAGAAGAGGTCAGAGACGAACGCTTCTTCATCCTCCCTCACAGATAGAAGAGGAGGTCCTCCAGTTTCACGTTGGGCTCTCTGTGGATGCTCTGACCCACCAGGAAGGCCAGCTTGTGGGCGTACTGGCAGGGGGCGGGGACTTGGATGGTCCCCTGTGGCGCAGAAGCAAAAGAAACGGGAGCGTCACCGGAGATCTCACTCCTCTGAAAACTGAAGTCTGATCCTGAGCGGACCTACCTGCCAGTTGTAGTACATGTGGCACAGTTTGTAGGTGAGGCGCTGCATGTGGTCGGGCTTCAGTCCGCTGGTGTCGTAGATCACGTTGTAGTGAGTCGGGGAGACGCTCCCGCAGCGGACAGCCTGACTCACGATGAAGAAGTCGTACCTGAAAAACAAAAAAACTCGATTATTTTCAGTCGATTTAGTCTGAACTATAATTAAAGGTGTTAGGGTTCAACAAAAACACGCACCACTCTGGACGGGTGATCTCTGTGTCCACAATGGTCCCGGGAGGAGGGTTCGCTGGTTCTCCGTTGAGCTTGGTAAAGAGCCTGGTGCTGACCCGCTTCTTGACCACCACCACAGACAGCTTGGGCCTTCGACGAGCAGAAAAGACAAACAGTCGGTTTCAAAAACAGCCCAAACTGTTACGGACCGAACCTTCCAGCACCGGTCAGCCACTCACACGTAGTCGTGTCCCATGGACTTGATGGACTCCAGGATCTGAGAGATCTCGTAGTTGACCACGCTGTGCAGCTGGCCGTCTCCCACGCCGTCTCTGTACACGATGATGCGTGAAGGCAGGCAGTTGTTGAACTTCAGGTAGTCCTTCAGCGCGCCTGTCGAATTAACAGACATGACGATCACACTAAAGGTGTTTTAACACGTAAACAAGACCATGAGAGAAGAACGTAAAACGCCCTCACCGCTCAGAGCGACCTTCAGCGCGTCCATGATCTCCTGACCTTTGTGCTGCAGCACACACTTGGAGTACCACCTGTTCGAAACAACCAGCCGAGAATGAGAGGAGACCGAGTGAATCACAGCTGCTGTTCAAACTCACCTGCTCATGCTGCCGTTCAGACTCGCCACCAGAGCGCCGATGGAGCGTTTCCCTGCAGAGATGTCGTGGTAGCAGTCGATGCCCACGATCATCAGGTGCTTGAGCTGCGAAGAGGCGAGACAAGTTAAAAATCAGTTTGACGAGATTCAAGTCAAATTACCAAAGTGTCGCTTAAATGTCTCAGAAAATAAAAACTCTTCTTCTTGTATTTCTGCTGGTTAGGGCGGGATCAAACCCGTGACCTCCACCATCTCAATGTGGCGTTGAAGTAATACTTGGAAACGTCATGCAGTCGTATTTTTGGCTCCTTCAAATTAAAACTAAATTCAGAACAAAAACAACTCACGGGGATCTCCACACTCCACAGCTCCCCTCCTATCTTGCACGCCATCTGCAGAGCGATCTTGGTCGCCACGGTCATGATCGTCTTCGGCTTGCTGATGGTGCGGGCAACCACGCACTGGCTGGGAACGGGGCACTCCACGCAAAGGTACTTCTTGACGCTGTCGTACTTGTCCTTCCTGTTGTTGGGGAGGACGACCATGACCTGACGAAGAGACGGCAGCGTTAGTAAACCTGGGCGACTCTTGTCTTCGAGTTAGATGGGCGCCGGTTTGTGCGTCCGCTCACTGACCATCTGCGCGTCAGGTGTCACGTTGTGCTGCAGGGCTCTGAGCAGAGACTCCTGATAATCCTCGTACTCGATCCTGAATTTGGACGAGAAATCTTTGAAAACTCGTCAAACTGAGTTCAGAATCAAACTGGTCCTTTAGTGTGTGAGCGCAGGGGAGATGCAGTCCCCGCCTTTCACCACAGGATGGTGCTACAAACCTTCTTACTGGATGAGGACTCTGAAGCTAAAACTCACATGACAGGTCTCTGCATGCGGATGCCGAGCGGACTCGAGACTCTGTGGAGGTTGTCCAGGAAAGCGCTGGTTTCCTTTTTGTTGCGGGCGGTGTAAAACACGAACCAGTTGTTCAGGGGAGGAGAGCCGATCAGAGGAACCCCACGCATCTCCTTGGACCAGTCAGCACTGTACATATTGAACTCGTACTAGGTGAGAGACATAATTATGTTAATCCCCTAATTAATGAATTCAACAGAGCAAACGTACCCGACCAAAAGCACATTATACCGATCTTGATCCCTGGAAAATCCTCTCCCCCGGGAGGATTCTGCCATTCAGCGTCAGGAGCGACTTATCAAAGTGCAGCCCCCACGTATCCAACTCTTTCTGGGCCTCACTGTCGCTGTGGAATTATTTTAAGGATTTAAAATCAAAGTCAGATTATTCTGCCTCCAGGTGCAAACAGGAAAAAAGACGCAACCAAAAGGACATAAAAGTGGGGGGAAAAAAAACAGGAAAAACACACGGCTGGTTCCTCACCGATCATCATCATCTGATCGCCTACCTCTGAATATTTGAGGTGAATCTGGTGAGGCGGGCCTCCCTGTCACTCGGACCCAGTCTGGTGTGCTTGCTCAGTTCAGTCATGACGGTAAAGTCGCCTCGCATCTTGTCAGTGAGGCCTGAAAACACAACAGAGAGAGAGAGAGAGAGAGAGAGAGAGAGAGAGAGAGAGGGGACAGGCTGAGACAACGTGCAGCGATCAGCAGTAAGGTGAGCGGCGCTGCATGCTTCACATGTCGCCACGACAGAAGAAGTCACCTGTGAGGTAGCAGAACTCTGGAATGAGCAAGGCCGGGCCGGGTGGAGGAGCTCCAGCGGGACCCAGCCTCTTCAGACGGCTGAGCAGCAGCGCCTGGCTGTCGTCAGTGATGTCCAGGTTGTATTGCTACGAACAGGTAAGTGATCAGAGTTAACCGCTGTCTTCTTTCAATCAGAGTCATTTTTATCTCCACAGGTCGACACCTACGCTCTTGTAGTAGCTCTTGAAGCTGACGTCTGTGTCGTTCCTCTTGAAGGTGTTCTTGGGAGTGTGATCCCACGCAATTTCGTCGATCCTGTAGGTCTTGTTGTTGTACCTAAAAGAAGACGGAAACACGCGAGTCTTAAAGGTGGGGTAGGCAGGAATCGATTAAAGGAGCATCTTATTTTGTGGCGTATAAACAAAAAACGCTTCAACCCTCTGGAGACGATAGACGCTCCTGAGCATCAAAATCATGTGACATATTTAAACGGATGTAGCTGCAAGACGGAGCCTCGCTGAGTCTTTGTTTTAACTTGTCTCCAAGGTGTGGACTTCAAACTTTATTGTGTTGATAGACCAAATAAAACCAGAGTTATAATGAAATATGTACGCCATACTTTTCCCTGATCGTTTTCGTCACACGGGTGCTGTAAGAAACAGGAAAACAAGCTCCTGAAAGTTCTTGAAAGCGGAAAAGAATAAAACAAAAAAGATGCACGATAACAACTCTCCTATCGGTAAAAACCTTATCACAACAACCAATCAAAAGTTACAGGGCAAAGAGCGGGTTTTGGTTGCTAGGGGAGGAGAAAGTTGTGGGAGTAGCGGTGGTGATAGAGAGAGACGGCGAAAGCGATAGTGAGTTTTGAGATCGAGTGATTTGTGACATTTAGCGTATTTTGAGTGAATATTTGGGTGTAGTTGTGTGTTGTACTGTGTAGTTTAGTGTGTAGTGCAGTTGTATTTTTGTTTTGTGTGACAATGAGGCGTTTGATGGACGTGGAGCGGGCGCTAGCGCTTTTCTTCGAGGAAGAGGAAGCTGAGGGAGACACAGCCGGGTCACAGTATGAGCCGGACGAGGACTCTGACGATGAAGCGGGTGATCCCTCGTTTCTTTTGGAGGAGGAGAGAGAGGAGGAGAGAAGGGCAGAGAACCCTCTGACGTGTGTGCGTAGTCGGAGAACCACCCAGAGGACGGAACGGCGCAGGCAGCAGAGCCACACATGAGCTCCGAGCCCTGGAAGACCGGGGAGGATGCTGACAGAGCTCCAGCAGTGAGCAGGTTTCAGCCTCAGAGACCACCAGGGGTCCAGGTAGATCCACATTCCCCCCAGAGTCCAGAAGACCTTTTTCTTCTGTTTTTTGCCGCTGACACAGTCAGAACTATCTGCAGCAACACGAACAAGCATGCAGCAAAAAATAAAGAATTAGGGAAAAAATACAGTTGGACTGACATGGAGAAGGAGGATCTGCAGTTTTTTGGTCTCCTTATTTATATGTCGTTAGTGTCGCTACCAAGTCTCCAAGACTACTGGAGATATAATCACTTTTTGTCTGTGCCCATGCCATCCAAAACCATGTCCAGAGACAGGTTCAGGTCAATCTTCTGGAATATCCACCTTAGTGATCCAGAAGAAGATGTAAAGAATGACAAAAAGAAGGGAACACCAGGCCATGACAGACTGTTCAGAGTCAGACCTCTCTACGATGACATCCTCAATGCCTGCCAGGCTTATTACCACCCGAGGAGGGAGCTGTCTGTGGATGAGAGGATGGTGGCAACCAAGGCGAAAACTGGCATGACTCAGTACATGAAGGACAGGCCGGCTAAATGGGGTATAAAATTATTTGTCTTGGCTGACTCAAGCAGTGGCTACACCTGCAGCTTCAGTATTTATACAGGAAAGGCTCAAACTGTTAGTGAGAACGGGCTGTCTTATGATGTGGTCATGGACCTCATTCGACCAGCCTATCTTGGCACTGGGTACCATATTTATATGGACAATTTTTACACCAGCCCCAGACTTTTCATGGACCTGGCCAGGATGAAGTTTGGAGCATGTGGCACCTACAGAGAGACCAGGAAAGGATGCCCCAGAGGGAGGGAAAATGCTCTCACAAAAAAAAAAGTAAAAGAGGATCAGTGAGATGGATTAGAGAGGGCTCCCTGGTTTTTGTAAAGTGGATGGACACACGGGAGGTGTCTGTGTGCTCCACCATCCATCCTGCATTTTCAGGTGAGACAGTGCAGAGGAGAGTCAAGGATGGAGATGGGCACTGGGCTGTGAGAGACATCCCCATTCCCACACCAATCACAGCCTACAATAAAAATATGGGTGGAGTTGATCTGTCAGACCAGCTCATTCAATATTACTCCACCCACAGAAGAACTGCTCACTGGTACAGGACTGTGTTGCTGCACTTCCTGGACATTGCCACGACAAACGCAACCATCCTGCTCTGTGAGACGTGCAAAACGAAGCAGGTACAGCCCATGACTCACAAAGACTTCATGGTGGAGCTGGGGTGTCAGCTTTGTGGCGTGGACAAAACAGGCGTTCCCCTGAGCAGGAGGGCAGATCACGTTCCTGCAGGCCAACCAAACAAGGGCAGAAAAAGGTGCCAGCGCTGCCTCCAAGTGGACAAACAGAGGAATGACACACCATGGATGTGTCAGGCCTGTGGTGTGGCCCTCTGTGTCTTGGTGGACAGAAACTGTTTTTTGGAGCGGGACAAATGAAATGTGCCATTTATGACACTGTGAATTTGCATTCAAAGTTATAAAAATAGTTTGGACTGTGTTGCTGCACAAATTACATCCTGTGCCCATCAGCATCATAGCCACAGATGCAGGCAAATCAAACAAAGGCAGAAAAAAATCACAAAAAACGCCTGAAGCATTGCCTGCATTTTGATGTAAATAGAGGTAAATTACTGTTATTTGTTAAAATTTTGCATTTGTTTTCGTCACACATATTTGTGGTTTTCACAGTAAAAAAAAAAAGTTATTTTTCCACTCTGATTTTATGTTTTGTGTGTGAATTTAGGTCCATTGTGTTAATACAGTATTTAAAAATGATAAAATAACTGTAAATTCACACAGGGGAGGTTGTGTTAAAAAAATGATACCCAGGTAAGGTAAGGTAAGTAGTTTTTAAGGGAAGATATAAAGGTAAAATCAAAAACGGCCAATTATACCCCAGACTCCAGAGGGCTAATATCAGTCAATAGTTATTAGTTATTGATGACATTTGATAATATAATGATATCTCTGTGTTCTCTTCTGTCTGTGTCGTCAACATTTGAACATTTTCAGAGCGCTCCGCTCTTTCTGACTGTAAACAAAGCCGTTCTCCACCTCCTCTAACCTGATTGGTTGTGAGGCAGACGCTGCTCCCCCGTGTCGTTCAGGAGCCCAAACAAAGTTAGCGTGCTACAATATCGGACAGTAGAAACCAACCAGAAAGTTCGGAAAATTGTCTGAATCCTCCTTTGGCCACGACTGCCGACACAAGCAAGAAAACAAAGTAAATACCGGAGACTCTGGAGGAATAACGGGCGCTTAAAACGGAGGTAGACCGGACAAGAGCTAAAAAGCCGGGTCAACATAAACGATGGGGGACGCTTGGGGATCTTGGGGACCCTGTAACCTTCCTGCTGGACCTGCTGCAGATTTCTCCTAAAAACTGGAACTTCATCAGATCCTGACTACCCCACCTTTAACATTTGAGGTTATTTCACACTAAATCGAAGCACTGGTGTGGCGCTGGCGTGTACGGTTCTAGGCGCAGTTTTACCGGTGAGAAAACATGAGTCATACTTGGTGAGGACGATGAGTCCAACGAGCTCCTTCTCACAGATCTCAGCGAAGCGCTGGGGTCCACACTGCTGCCTCAGGTTGACCATGAAGTCCAGGACCGTCTCACTGCGCAGCACCTTGTGGCTCACGTCGGTGCACAGCATGATGGCCGACTCGTAACGCAGGATGGTGGTGGTGTAACCCGGCCAGATGGTGAGGCTAAAGGACAAGGTCAGAGGTCAGTGATATAAAAAAATACTGTCTCAGAAGTTTAGTTTGTGTTTGGGAGTGAGGCGGCTGAACGAACTTGTGGTTTTTGATCTCTAGAGGATCTCTGGGGTTGTAGTAGTTGCGTCCAATCTGCTGCATATTGAGAATTCTCAGGATCCTGTAGGAACACAAGGAAAATCGACCGCCATGAAGCTTCTGGGTTTGAGGTTCGATGACAGGACTTGATGTGCACTTCTGTTTTTGTTTTCTTTGTTTTACCTTCTGAAAATGATGTTGTAAAACTGGAGGCACACAGGAGACGTAGGAGGCAGTTCGTTTGTCAAGGTGACGGTTATCTGAACCTTCTCTCCATGCCTCGTCTCACTGTAGAGCAGGGTTTCCTGAACACAAAGAAAGACATTGTTGAATAAAATCGACTTTTATCTGAGGGACATCAAATTCAAAGTACGATGAAAAATGAACATCAGCCTGAAGAAAACGAGCTGTAGGAGGAGCGCTGTCAGAAATGTTGGTTTTTAAAGCTCATCAGACTCGTTCGATCACCTTGCTGTGTAATCTGTGGGGCAAAAAAAGAGTAGCGCCATCATAGACTCGAGTCGAGCCCAGTGTTTCCTCATGATGGAAAAGGAGAGCCGATCTGAGGCGGCGAGACTCCATCGGCGGTTTGAAATCCACATGGTACTGATACAGAACCCACTGAGGGCGGGACAGGATCCGAAAGAAGTTGGCTGTCAACGGTATGACACGCCCAGATGTTCCTGAAAAAGAGGACACACAACTTTAGGAAAAACCTGTATCCGCTCCGTGCCGGTTTCAAACAGGATTACTGACCCATCTTTGACTCCTTGACGTGCTCCATCGTATGCCTCGTGTTGATCCCTGCATCATTAAAATCCCGGCGATGCCCGCCTCTTTCCCCCAGCTTCACCTGCTTGAACCCGGCTGACATCTGCATAAGAGCTGATAGAGAAAAATCAAGACACTCAGAAGTACTCAGTGTTACTGCGATGTAAAAGTATTTTTAAAAACCATTAGATATTATTCAAACTAATCTTTGGACTGAGTGTTTGGCAGTACTTTCTGCAGGGTAGGGTCCGGGAGCGCCCTTCTGCCGCCCCCTCCCAGAGGGCTCCCCCTCAGCGGGTGGAGTGGGGTCTCGGGCCTGGCTCTTCAGGGAAAACAAAAGAGTTGGAGTTAAGTTAGTGGACGGTTAAGAATAAAGTTGGGAATACAAAGTCGGATAGTGTCGAATAAAATGAAGGTTGCTGCTATCTTTACTTGGCGTTTAAAAGTGATCATCGAGTCATACAAGCAGCTGACTGATGCGATGTGTGTTTTTGTCCCAGTGATTTGATTTTAATGTGTTTTAATGCAGGATAATAAGTCATGGGACACATGCGACTCGGTCCGCTCAACTGTTATTGATTTCCACAGAATGAGATCTTCAACAGAACCGGGTTTCAGTCCCTATTCCCTTTTTTTTGCTCAATCGATCAATAAACCAAACTTTATTTTTAAAGCACTTTTCATACATATAATGTAGAAAAAGCTGCTGTCCATTCAAGCAGGATATTAAAAAACAATGAAATAAAATAAATACAAATACCAAACCCCGCCCACCCTCCCAACCCCCATTCAACACATACAGCACTCACACAGATGCACAAAGATCAGGTGAGGACTCTTCAACCTGTCACAGATGACTGAGGAAACGCTATCTTGAGTTAAAAGAAATGAAGAAACACTGGATCCATGACTAAAACGATAAAATCATGATAAAATAAAATAAAGGTGATAAAGCGTTAAAAGTTAATTAAATAAAAACAGTCTGAAAATCTAACAATAAAAGAAAGTAACTAAAAAAAGAGGTTATAAAACACAAATTAGTTACTCTGGGACTAAAATAGGGTAAAATTACATAATGCAGATTAAAAGGTTAACACAAAACTTAACTAAAAGCCAGACTAAAAAGGTCGGTCTTTAGTTTACTTTTAAAAATATGAACAGTAGGTGGCGCTCTCAGGTCTGCAGGTAGGCTGTTCCACAGATGGGGACCGTAATATTGGAACGATGATTCACCGCATGTTTTAGTTTTTACTTTGGGAACAATTAAAAGACCTGAAGACCTGAGGGCTCTACTAGGTTCATACGGTAAAATCAGACAAATAAGAAGGACCACGACCATCAAGAGCTTTAAAAATTAATAAAACAACCTTAAAATCTACTCTTGTCCAACAGACCTATCATTGTGTTATCACACCAGACACTTTAGTTTCTATGATATCTCAGGTTGTGTAATCCTCAGATTAATAGGAGGAGAGGTAGTCCGGAATTTTTCCAAGAATGCCTTTGTAAATGAAAACGTACCAATGACCAAGCCGACGAGTACTCGAAGAAGTCCATCTGACTTTGGAGTGTAAAGTACAGCGATGAGTTAAAAATCCACAATTTGTTATAAATCTCAGACTCTGGGCAGAGGCATTAATGTATAAGACATCACCATAATCAAGAAGAGGTAAGAATGTCGACTCCACGAGTCTCTTTTTAACATTAAAAGAGAAACAGGATTTGTTTCTGTAGTAAAACTTTCAGCTTTCTAACAACATGCTGAATATGTCCTTTAAAAGACAAGTTTTCATCCAGTAAAAACCCCGGTACTTAAAAGAAGACACAAACTCAATTTCTTGACCGTCAATATTAACTGACAGTGTATTTATTAGATTATTATGCTAATACATTATCTTCGATCACTCTTCACCCTTGTCCCCCCTCCAAAAAAAGAAATAAAAATCTCACTCCAATCTTAGATCAAAACTTGAGAGCCCTGCTGGTATCTTATTTAAAAACTATATTAAAGTAATAAAGTCTTCTCTTACCGCTCCAGGTGCTGAAATCTCCTGACCACGTGCTCTGCCTCTTGCTCTTGAACGTGCCCGACCGGTCATTTTTACAGTCTTTAACTGTACCGCTCTGTCCAACAAGTCAAATAAAACACAATACTAAGAACAAGAAACCAAACTAATAAATTAATATCGAGTTAAACGATAAGTAAGCAAACCGAGTTTTAAAAAAAGACAAATGAGCCTCGAGAGAAATTAAAAGTTAGTCTTTACTTACTTTTATGTACTACAAAAAGGATCTGAACTCACAGAAATATCGTTACTGCTTCTCAAACATTAAAAAAAGGTAAAATGAACATTGTGTATTACTAGTTTAGCAGACAAGATGGCGTCAACGCATATGTCTCAACAAACGGCCATTTTAGCTGACAGTGACAGCCTAACGCAAAAAAGATAAGTGCCAAATAAAAAATAAAAAAAAACATCGATTAAAGTAAAATGTATGGCTCAAGACGGGGTACTTATAACATTTATTAACCGTTTTCTTTTATTTCGCCAAAAACCACTCAGACGGTGTTACTTTACAGTTTTATTGGACCGCTAGCGTAAAAAATGTTGTCTTAAATGTTAAGACAAAGCGGTCCAATCTTACACGTTATGAATTATGCATAATCAAATGTGTTCTAGGAAATGTTTTAGCGGTTTACTTACTTTTGAAGAAAGTTTCTTTAAGACACTTCAACGTCGAAGTTCAACACGACACGCGCGTCCACTATGACTAATTAAAAAACCGCTGCATAGTCTTTGTTGGCCTTTTCACTTAGAGAATTAATACGGCTGCAACAACACAAAACGAACACGTTCTGGATTACATAAGTCATATATATTTACAAAAAACACACTTACACACAATTTTTTATTAAACTATGTAATTCAAAGGTTGCTAGAGTAATAAATCAGTCGAAAACATCAAGAACTATTTTTTAAGCGCAGTGATACCTTCTAATCGGTGCCGTTGTGTGTCAAGCCAATATTTGCCCGCAGTCTCAGTTGTGACAACGAGATGGCAGCAGAGTTCCAACAGTAAATATACAGCAGACACTGAAAGGCCCTCTGCCTCTATCGCCAAACCCTTGTTCAAATCCAAGACTGAGAAAGAAACAGACATATAAATATTTGCACATTAATTATTACTTTACTGGTGAACTGATGATTGACCTTATGGGATCTTTGTTCAGTGTGTGTACCACAATAACAGTATGAACATAAGACAAAGATGTTTTGTATTCTTGCCAGTGTAGGCCCCAGACACAAGGTAACACGGTTAATTATAATTCCAGTTTTTAGAAATTAAAAGGCTTAACCTTTGGCAAATAGTCTGATTATTTTCAATCTTTAAAGTTCATAACGTTTTAATTGTGATTATTTCATTTAAGGTAGAAATGATGAAGAGTTAGTTTTTGGGAAGCCTGTTGCCCCTCAAATAATGACTAAACTGATCCCGTTTCAAGCCCTCTGCAAGACCTTTTAATGGGTTTGGGTAAGGAGCTTAAAAAACACCTTTATGTGCAAGTTTAACTTCTGATAATGATAAAAACGGTGATTAAGAAATCGCTCTGATTGCTTTTACAAAGACAAAAATCCTCTTGCCCACTCCTTATAAGAGGCGTCTGATCACAAGCTATTATTTCTTCCCCAACTTTCTTCTCCTCTCAACATCCTACCATTTGAAGCACAACTTGGCACCTCAGAAGGCATTTTTTTTTTTTTTTTTTTGGGAAGATGTACGCAAGTCTTTCATGTCTGAGATCTAAGAGTGATTACAGATTCAGACCTGAGGGACCAGTCTGCTAGGACCTGCTTCAGTCACTGTTTACCTGCTGGAGAAGACTGAAGAGAGATGAAGAAGGAGGCAGGGACATCAGTGTCATCAAGCTTGATTGTGGGGTATAAAAGGCAAAGTCACGTTTAGCTTGTGTGTCTTTATTTTGGAGCATGTGAAGTGATATAGATGCAACACCACTCCTCATAGTGATATTATGTTGTCAAAATACTGAATAATATAAAATGGCATGAATTGTCAAGTGCAGTAAAAGCTTTATTCTCAAAGTTTTCTTCAAAGGCCGAGCTATCTCTTCAAAAACAACAAAGGAAGAAGAAAAAGAAAGAAAATGAAAGAAAAGAGCAGAAAACATGGGCATGCAGAGGGCTGCAAGCTGAGCGGAGTGAAGCTGAGAAAGGTGCACCCTGCCAGGGACGTTGATGAATGCGCTTCAGGCTTCAAGCTTGCCCTGCAGCCCCCAGCGGTGTGGATTCCACGCTGACGCTAATCATGCTCTGTGAGATACTGCGGCCCGGAGCTGATGAAAGGAAACATGCAACGCAGTCAGTGTATCAAACCGTCCGCACTTTCACAAAATACTCACTTTATTATCGTCACGACCGAGGGTGTCATCAGCATCGATATTAGGAACATGCTTCAGTCTGAAACCCTAAAAACAAATCATGATGAAAGCTTTTGGTTTTACATAAATCACAGTGCTCCCGTTTAGCTTGAACTCCTGGTTGCAAAACTAGAACAAGAGGGGATTGTGAATAATAAGGATCTACTCCGCCATGATATCAGTAAGCGGGTTAGCAAAATTAGATTATTCTCTCTCCTGCCGTGGAACTTAATCTGCTCTGCATCAGTGTGTTCCCCCCTTAAAAAGATGCAGGCGCCGCATCTCACACAGACAAACACACTCACTGGCTCAGACACACACACAATTGCACCATGGGTTTCTGAGCCTGTGCAGAGTAAGCAGTCACACAGTGCATACAGTATTTTGAATCTAAAAGAAACCGGTGTTCTATTTATAATCAGGACAGAAAACCCCGCCGTGTCTTTTCCTTGGGCTTTGTTAGCGGTGCTGCACGGTGGGTATTGTCAAATTCATTGAGGCTCACTCCCAAAAGCAGTCCTCCATCAGACAGAGGGAGGATCATTTTGAGCAGATACTGAGGGAATAAGAGATGGGTTTCCTCCCCCAAATATTTAAGAGTCTTCCTCATTTATAGATGAGACTATTTGTTGCTCTAAATGATTGATAAACCACAAACTGCACCCTGTTTTCACTCGATTCAGCCAAAAATAACCTCCCCTCTGAATGAAAGACAGATTCTCTGCAGCTCTGTGTCTTTTAATTCCCATTTTAACTCGTCACCTGATATAGAAACTCACTCTGGGTTTGCATGACACTCTTTTATGCATGTTGAATGAAACATAAAATACTGAATACTAATTTCCACAGCTACAAATGAGGCAAAAACTGCAGTTCCTTGAGTGTCCACTTGGGGGTTGCTCCAAAAGCATTAGAGTTCCAACTTGAAGTAATGTTAAAATGGCAAACTATACCACAGAGTTAGGCACGTTTCCAGCCTGGTTCAGAAAACAGTTCTGAATATGTGGCTTTTTTACTTCTTTGTAAACACAAGTTATACACAAGTTCTATTAAAGCATGTTTTTATATCTATGCGTCATCAAACATCTGTATTTGATCAGCGATATGTCAGTGTGAGAGACTGTAGGCTGAGCTTTGGCACCGATGACATGTTGATTGTTTGTCCTTTTTCGACTTTTCCTCTGGGAAACAAAGTCTCCGGGAACAAGGAGATAAAAAGAGCTGGTGGGTCGGAGTGACCCTGAACATGGACTTGGAGAGCAGATTTTCTCTTTCATGTTCGGGGTCTGAATCAGACTCATCAGTTTGAGTTTGTCTTTACAAGGGTGGAGTCGGGCTGGGAATCTGGATCTATTTATTACATTAAATCTTTATTAAGCCGGGTAAGTCTCACTGAAATCAGGAATCTTTTTACCAGGGGAAACCCGGCCGAGTACGCCAGCAACATAAAGTTTCAGCAACAAATCAGTCAGTAAAAATCTGTAAAATAAGTCAGAAAGTCACAGTGACCGAGGACGGATAACAAGCTCGACTTGACTTCTATTTCATGAAGAGAAAAACTGGACTTGTAAAACGTTTAAACTTTTTAGAAACACACTGAAAATACTTCTTAAAATAAAGGCTGAACACTTTAGATTAAGGTCCTTTAATTAGAATTAGTTAACAGTTATTAAGCCACTTATAAAGATGCTTATAAACGTTAGTGAGTGTTCGTATTTGTTCATTAAAGCATAATTAACATATTTATTACTGCAAATAAAACACTTTTAAGAAATAAATGACTATTAGATTTTACTCATCTTTATGAAATATTGTTCCACTTATGATCCTGAACATTTCAATCCTGATCTTTGTCGCTTTTAGTGGTAAATAAATAAATAAGTAAATAGATGGTTAGCAGTCTTTTTTCTAGTAGGTGCTTTTAGTTTTTAAGCAATAAAAAATGTATATGTGTTATTTAAAAGGCTTATACAGTTATAATAAAGTTAAACATAATTGTATTCAATATTACAAACTTAAAAGCTAATAATATAATGTTCTTTTATCGCTTATTAACCCTTATTAGGTCTCATCAGTATCAATAAACATTCTATTAGTATTAATGACTTTTATTCTAATAAGAGCCTCCAAGTGTCTAAAAGCATTAAACAATGTGTTATTTATGCTTTTAATAACACTTATAAATGTTTATAAGCATCTTATAAAATCAAATAAGTGGTTCATTAACTACTAATTAATGCTTATTACAAAGACCTTAATTATTTGAAATATTACTAAAAAGCTTAAACTATTTAATTTCATATTATTGTTAACAGTTTTCTTATCATCGTCAGTGTTAACAATAGTAATACTGACTTCTCCATATTGAGTCTTAATTGTCTGTTTTTCAGTCAAAACCAACTTAATTATAACTTTTTCATCCTCTTCACAGCAGTGGGTCGGTTGGTGGAGTCGTCGTCTCTTAACCGGAAGGTCAGGGGTTCGATCCTCGTCACTTCACCATAAATGGGACCCGCTTACACACAAACCCAGTCAGGTTCAGGTTTGTGACAGTTCAGTCAAAACCTGCTGAACTTTGATTGGATACAGCAGCTTTCTTCTCATCCAGACGGCTTTTAAAGGTCCAGGATGAACTTCACACAGGTCTGCATGCTTCAACAATTACCCGTGTCTACGTGATTCAGCTCCATCCTGCAGGCTCAGGCGTCAAGGACATGTCTTATTCAGGTTCATTTGTTTGGAGAGTACCACTTCCTGCTCATTTGATAGCAGAAATAAAAACAGTCTGGCTGGTGGCCTTGACTTGTTGGAGCTTATTTATGTAAACAGAGACAGGAAACCTGAGGAGAGTCAGGTTTGATTTAATGGGCATGAACTTGTCAGCTGGAACAAACAAGGATTTAAAGTGTGGAGGCTCATCACTGTTTGGAAAAGTAATGCAGATGTTTGACAAACTCTTCTTTAACACGTGTGTGTGTATCTTCAGGGTGTGCAAACACGATCGAGCTCTACCTTTTCTTTGGTAGCAGCGAGGGGTAAAGACAGCAGCAGCAGGAGGAGGATGAGGAGGAGGATGAGGAGGAGGCCTGTGCTGACCATAGCAGAGTTTTTGCAGAGGCAGAGCCCCCTCAGAGCCGGCCACGGTGAGGATGCCATGTGATCTCTGCAAAGTCAACAAGGGCTGGTCCACAGCTGGGCTGCAGGAGAACAGAGAGCAGCAGACACGTAGCAACAGCCTCCTGCTGGGCGCAGCCGAGGAGACCGGGACTCGCAGCCTGCCTCTGAATCTACCGTGGTGGTGGTGGTGGGATCTTCCTCAGTTTAGTCCTCATCATTTCTTCAGCTTATTCATATTCTTAGTTTACACACATGGCTGGATATTAACCCTTTAAAGTCCCACCCCACCAAGAAACCTCCTAATCCATCTCCTGTGTGCCAGAGAGTCACGGCACGACGGGGGAGCTGCAGATTTAATTTCCACAAAAGATTAAGTTGCCCACTGCATCGCTGAAACTTTCTGGGGGTTTGAAGTTGAAATCCCAGCGGTTTTGCCTCTCTTTGTCCGCAGCGTTGGCTTGAACAAAGGTGCAGTGAAGCATCAGCAGCAAAGGATCTAATAAGCACAATGTGGGAATAAAGCAGAGGGGAGTGAGCATCAAAGGCAGCCAGGCACAGCATGACTGGCATCAGTCTGAACTCCCAACCTAGGACACTCAGCATGCTCTTCAGCAATCACCCCCTTTAGACCAGTCCTGGGCAGTAATTAAAACCATCATTCCCACTGCCTCGGTATCTCATTAGCCACAGGACCCCGGGCTTTCATCCTTGCTTGTCCAAAAATATCACAACTCTAAAGCAGCAAAGATGAGTCCCGCACAAGCAGAAAAACACACGTCTGTGACATCTCTGAGAGGAAACAGAGCATTATCCAACTATCATCCAACTCCAGAGAGCAGTGGGAGATCACAAAAGCCTGCCTCTTCATGTCCGCAGTAATTAATACTGCACCTAACAGGGATGATTTGGAGGGAAACCGTCGCCCTGCTGTTGCTTGATTAAATCTACCTGTGCAGGAAACAAAGAGTAAAAACAGGATTCAAAGAGCCTCCGAAATGTAGCTATGACACATTCGCTCTGCGGGGAACAAGAGAGCTTTGTATAATTTCGTTTTAGCTCCGAACATCAACCAGCGTTTGTGACTAAAACCCATTAGAAAATGAGGACAACTGGTACATTTGAAGCTCCTACGCTTTCACTATCAAAGGGGGGATTTGAAGAGGGCGAGTATGGGTTGCAGTGGTCAGATTTAGTACTTTGGCTGTAGATAAAAAGAAACTCTTCTTCCCATGTTTAATTCAGTATGAGCCATGACTAACTCATGTAATATACTGGGCCTCTGAAGTCTGAAGCGAGGGCTCCTTGGCTCCGCTTTGTGAACTGGAGACTGAAATGAATGTGTCATTGTGTTTTGACGGGGATGCACCTCTGCATAGGGAGAGCCGGTCAGGGAAAGACGTAGAGACAGGTCGTTTTCAGTCGCTGCGAAATCCAAATTTCTTAGCATGGCAGCAATGCCGAGCTAGACTAAAACCTTAATCCACTGCATGTTATTAACCTACTTGGCATCACTGGCAGGCTGTTTTTGTGCTTTAGAAATGACAGCAGGAGATCTAACTGAGAGACGGGGTGTCAGCAAGAGCAGAATTGAGTTTCATTTGAGGCCCAGCTGTCTGTCGTTTTTAGCTTTTACATGTTAAATGCACAAAAACGGCTGTGCGGGAATTTAGGTGCATCCTCGATGACATGAACGGCATTAAAACTTTTAAAATAATCTGTTGCAGAGTTTGCAAAATAGCTGCAAGATGCCCCACCCCTGCAAAGAAAGCAAAGTCTGTTCCTAAAAAGTGCTGCTACATCGCTCTCACAAAACACACCAGCCACTCCCCCTCCTGCTGCACGAGTGTGTGTGTGTGTGTGTTTTGAAAGCAGCAAGCGTCCCCATCCTCTGACCATGAAAAAGCCTCTGATCTTTCAATGACACAAAGACTTGAGCAAGAAGAGGATGAGCCCTCAACCTTTGTCAACATCCAGCCTGACTCCTCCGCTCTCGTAACGAAAGCCGCACTTTGTTTATCGGAGTGTTTGCTGAGAAAGAAAGAAGAAGAAGATGAAGAAAAAAAGTCCCCGGATGCCACAAAAACCATTACAGACCGGGGTCCCTGTTTCCTCCTCTGTGCCATTATGAGTGTGTGGAAATTAAAAGCCAACCACAAGCTGGTTCTCAGCCAAATTCAGCTAACTGACTCTCTCCCGCTCGGTTTCTTTGAGGAGTCTTTGATGTTAGCAGGGGGCTTTTGCACTCGCAGTGATGGTAACGAATGATACTTTAAGCGATTCTTTTTTATCCGGCGAGCTTAATGAAAGATTAATGGGTTTGATATTTTCCCTTGTTTATATTTTATTCAAAAAGTAAGCCACGGTCCTTGGAACCTGTTAAAAGCTTCTTGGTAATGATTTGATGGATCAGTGGAAGTCCTATTATTGTCTTTGGCTCTAAACACCATGAGAAGTGTTGATTGTCTTCTTAGCAGCATTATCCGTACATGAAAAGCTTTGACCTTGCCCAAATCTCTGTCTGATATGGATGGAGAGCCGTGCTGCTGCTGCTGCTGCTGCAGCTGCAGAGATATGTTCATTTCCATATGTCCTAATTCAACCGGCGGCAGACTCCCAGTTTCACTCTTTTTCTCAGCTCAAAGGATGAAATGATTCAGACTCGGTGGATTTCGCAGTGACAGTCTATAGATTTTCCCTTCAGCTTGAGATATTGCTTGTTCAACAGAAGGGAGACGTCTGATCTGATGATAGAGGAAATGTACAGCTGAATGCCAATCAGAAAAGACTGCTTCTTCTATTTCAGGCTCCTCAGAGGAGCTTCAACCACATCCTTCAATAACTGCTGACTATGTACTGATTAATCAAGACTATAAGACTCAAACTGATCTAATGTCAGACAAAACAAGTGACCAATAAAGCCGTATCCACACATATTAAAGGACTGAGTGAGTATTGTGGCTAAAACCAATGATACTTTACTTTTAGGGCTTGTAAGAAGATGTGAGAACACTTAATATAAACTCACTTATTATCCATTAGAATTAATTAATGCTAATAAATTGATTTATGGCAATCCTTCAGAATAATTAAAGCAGTATTTATGAAGTGTAATAAGCAGCTAACTCAATGATTATAAAACTAAAACTAACAACAGCAGCTTTTGAATTTAGAGTTTTATATAACCGCACTATAAATCTCACAACTTTATACAGTGATAAAAGTTTATAGGAACTTATTTAACTCATTTTGATGTTTCCTCTCTTCTTTAGATGTTTTGTCTGAAGATCTTAAAAAGACTCTCTCCCTTTGGAAAAGTCTGAAAAGATCCGGGTCAAAGACTTCCTCCATGTAACGTTGTGGATCTGACTCATCGGGTCTTTGTGCTGCTTTTATGGTCTGTCTTTTCTAAAGTGAAAACTGTGAAGATCCTGCAGCACTTATCTTTACCGCAGACAGAAATAAAGTTATATTTTTTAACCCTCTAAGGAGTCTGATCATATCTTTAGTAAAACATAGTGGTGTCAGTATGCAAGCCTGCTAAGTGGACCTGAAGTCTCTAGAAGTGGTCTGGGTGGTAGAGCTCGTAGGTCGTCTTCTTGCTCTCCAGCACTAGTATCACAGTTTTAACACTCTTACTAATGTTAGTTAAGTTATTGATATTCTCCTTTCTCCATCTCCCTCTAAACCCAGCACAGTCTCAGCAGATGACTGTCTACCATCAGTCTGGTTCTGCTCGAGGTTTCTGCCTGTCAAAAGAAGTTCTTCCTCCCCACTGTATCTTGATAAAACCTGTAAAGAGTTTTGCTCATGGTGGAGAATCATGAAGCACAGTTGTTTGACAGCTATTGACTTCCTAACTGTTTGGTTTGTTAAAAACATCTAAAATGGCAGCATTTGGCAAATATTTATATTGAAAATAAATACATATATGTTTTGTTATATGTTTTTATAGTTATCCCTATCATAGAATTGTTATTAATATACATGTAATGATTAAATGTTTTGTATATAAATGATTTAATATAACTGTCTTGTGTGTGTAGACCTACAGCATTTGCTCTACCTATCTGCTTAATGTTTATTTATGAAAATCCATGGTTAAAATCATTCTTGAGTATGCAGGAACATAACTAAAACTCTGAGGTTTGTTACAAACCAAACCGTTTGAAAATCGGTTCAAATTTAATCCATCTATGGTTATTTAAATGTTATATGCACCGTAGACTGGAATGTTGAGTGGGCGAGCTGCCTATAGCAAGATGGCCGCCATGCGCGGACGTCGGTCTCCATTTGCTATCAGCGTGAGTAAGCCATCTAAGCGTTTATATATATATATCTATGAAGTAAACAGTCATTTGCAATGTGCTGTGTTCAATGGTTTATAAATGTTCAGATGAAAAGTAAACTTTAGTTGAGGAAGTTGTGCGGATTGTCGTAGCCAAAATATATTTGTTGAGGGTTTGATTTTTTTTTAAGGGTATGTCACTTCCGGGGGTGTGGTTTCGGGATGTTTTGGCGGGTTATTTAAAAACACCGGTAGTGTATTCAGAGACAGTGCATTTGAATGAGCTCTGATAATTCTCTGTTGATCGTTTATAACTCAACTCCCTCATTTCATCATATCACCTTTTCATTTGAAGGCAAAAGTTTGGACCTGGATCTTTATTAGACTGTAAGTTTTCCTTCTTTTTTGAACAATAAATCACCTTTAACAATAAATCACCTGTAACACTCAATGAATGAATTAACTAGTCAAACCCCGGCGGCCATTTGTTGAAGGAAAAAAGTCCCTACATAGACATAACGCAAACGCTAGCGAGTTAGCTTTAGCGAGTTAGCGTTAGCATTAGCGAGTTAGCGTTAGCGCGTTAGCTTGCTAGCTTGATGACTTGCAGTTTATGGAAAAAATGAGCCTTCTTGGTAAAAGTAGGGAATTTAAAAAACGGTACAGCAACCCAAAGTTGTCTTGTTTGTAGATTTGTCTGAATGTTTGAGAAGACTATTTCAGGGCAGTGGTTCTCAACTGGTGGGTCCCAGCCAAAAAGTGGGTCACAAACAGCTGGTCAAAAAGTAAATATTTAATGTGCATCCAGAATCAGCCTGTGACTGTGTGTATGTGTGTGTGTGTGTGACAGACACACCTTCACAAACTACCTCTGATACAACTGGCTTAAGTGTGGAATTGGACATCTTAATTAAACCATTTTAACAGTCTTTATTGTTTGTGAGTTGTAGTAATGGATTTCCCTTCAGGGATGAACAAAGTGTATATTTCTCTATCTCTCCTGTATAGATACCCATACTATCCCATACTATCCATACAGGTGTGTGTTATTCCTCTGCCTCTTCTTCCGCTCTCGTCCACTCCTTCAGGTGGCTCTTTTCTGGTGTGGGAGTCTTGGCACTTTTGTGGCTGTGCATTAACTTATCTACAGTCCAGGTAAAGTCCTTTTTTTAAAATTTTTATTTATTTTTTTATTTATTTTTTTTGCTATATCCCGATTTATTGTGTGCACACGCTCTATGCAATCAGTGACTTTATCCGCCTGTTGTAGTGTGGCTGGGGCTGGTTGCTGCGGAGGCGAACAGGTGGTTCTGCAAGAGACTCTCCTGGTATGTGACATCTCTCTCTCCCTGGGGTAAGTAGCTATTGTCTGCCCTTTAAATGTGCCCGTGGTTCCCTGCTGCAAACTTATAGGTATTTATATGTCTTGGTTTCCATGTGGCCTTGGCTCTACAGCTAGCACTGCTGTTCTAACGCTGTGGGGGTGAGGTACTTTCGGGCATTTTCAATCTTCTACACTGGAAGGTCTGCTCTTGGTGTGGGCCGCCACGCATCAGCTAAAGAGGCTCAGGTTTGACTGGCATGCAGGGGCGCGTTGAGGTGCGCTGCAGGCTCTGTAGCCCATTTTCGGAAATTCTTGTGTGTTTTAGCTTTTATTAGCAGCCTCAGTTTTCTTGTGGGTCAAATTGTTGTGTTCAGTTCGTGTTGTGTTGGCTATTCTTCCTTTTTTTGTGTGTGGTTATTGTTCATGTGGGTTATTTTGTAATAATTGTTTATTGCAGGTATTTTGGTAGTTCTATTTTCTTTATTTTATTGTGATTTTTTTAGAAGAACTGTTATAAAATAAAGTTTTGTGCTTTAACCTGTCTCTGCCCAGTGGTCTAATAATCCTGGTCGTAGCTGTGAGTAGATGGTTAAATCTCTGAGGGGTGAAATAACCTTTGGTGGCATTGTCAGTTTATAAATAGTACCTAGTGTCGCTTCATCTCGCCACATGTAGAAATTTGAAATTAGGGTGTTATGAAAGTTTTTGCACCTGTACCATTAAATAACCTAGGACCTATACAGCAGCCAGTCCCTAGGGGGAGTCCTGGGAGTTATAGTTTCACTCGTGGCGACTCTTTCATCCAATCTGCTGATCAAAAATAGCTCTGATATCCGGTTGTGTTGTGTACTCATATTAACAGTGAAGTCATCTTCTCTTCCCGGTTTTGGTTAGCTGTGGTTTTCATGTCTTGTTCTCATTTTTATCTCAGTTAACCAAACTGTTTTTGACCGTCCAGTCTTGTTTGTTTTGATGGTTTCAGTCCGTATTAATAACCTCGGGTCACAGTTCATGTTTTAAAATGTTGAAGTCAGACTTAAACAGATGAAAATGTTTATCTCTTGTTTGTTGACAGCAGTCAACATGTGTGTCCTCTAACCGTGACTCCGGTTGTTGCCCAAACACAGCATGTGGTTATTATCGTTACCATGACAACGACCACATTGTTTTCCTCAACCGCTGACCAAGTCTTTCTGGTCTTCAGAAGTTTCCCAGAGGAGTTTCTGTCGACTCGATAAACAAGCCTTATGTAAACTTTTGTCTGCTGACAAGATAACTCAGCAAAAATCCGTTTTCATTTCACGGCGGATAAAAAGGTTTCAGATCAGAAAACACTTCCATGTGTAGATCCAGATAGAGGACATGTACAAACTCTGTCCACTTTTTTGTTGTTTTAGTCACAGTTTTCATGTTTTGTTCTTCTCAGCTGGTAAACATTGTGGTTTAACGTCCTCTGAGAGCTTTGAATAAATCACAGTGAAGATGTCCTTTTAAAGGAGCATGCTGCAAAGTTACTGGGAATGTAGGAAACAAGACTGTGATTTTTACTCCTAATAAGAGCTGTTAGTCTGGCGTGTTGGAGCTTCTGCTGCTTCAGATCTCCTGTATCCTGTTCTCCTTCTCTACAGTGTAGATTTCCTTCTTAGTTATCATAAGTACAGGGGTTTCTTAGTGGGCATGAAGTCAAGATTCACATCACGCACAGATTGAAATTGTGATGCTGTTATTCTAGATGAAAAAATCTAATCAGTGCTCTGCAGCCGGTGCAGGACAGTATCTTTGAGTAGAATCAAGATTAAAGATGCAGAAGAGTGGCATCACAAAACTTCATCACTTAAAGATCCTATGAGAAACTTTCCCTCTGTGTTGCTTTTTGCGCCCCCCTGTGGACAAAAAACTTTTTACAGGAGCTTTAAGTCACCATATACAGTAAATACTCCAAGAATACAAGTGAAAGTCATTTTTTTAAATGGCTATTATGTGTCTTGAGTGTTCACAGCCTCAAGTGGACACTCATGGAACTGCACCGCTAGCACTTCTTGCAGCTTTCTTTCTCTTTCAGTTATTCCTCAGCTTATGAGCCAAACAGTGACACCTGCAGGTGTGGAGGTCATCATGGTTGTATGAATTCAAGAAAAAGAAAACACCTTTCCTTGATTAAAGACACTTTTAGGACTTTTTAAAGACACTAATTTATGCTCTACTATAGACACGAACCAGACGTTGCAGTGCTACTGATGCACAACTGTGAAAAGAAATATTACACATCTCTCTCCAAGAAACTCAGGAGGAGTCTGCACCCAAATAAAAAGTTGATAGATTTACGGAGACTCTTATTTTGACACCTTTAGTCGGGACTCTTTAATTTCTCCCCTCAGAGAGACGTGAAAACAAGAGGAGTCGCAGAGGTCCACATCCACATCCACAGCCCCTGTTTCCTGTGGTCTGGTGTTGCTGCTTTAATGTGTGCAGGATGAAGGAGTGCGGTGTAATCAGGAGCCCTCGGGACCAGTAAAGGACCCAGTATAGTCGGACTACCACAGAGACAGGAAGAAGAGAAAGACTGAGAGTGTGTTTTTGTGTTGAGAAAAAAAGAGAGGAGGAAAGTCGAATGGGGGACCGCTGAGGGGAGTCTTGAGGAGGGAACAGTGTGTTTCTCAGTGTCAGGCCCTCCTCCGGCCCTGAGGGTGCACTCCTTCCTCTCTCTCTCTCTCTCTCTTTCTCTCCCCACTTTCTCCATCGCTCGCCCTCTTGCTCTGTGATTTATACCTAACCTCCGTAATTACAGCGCCAACCGCAGCAGCCGTCAGGTTCAGATGGGGTGAAGCACAGACATGCCCCATCACCTGAGAGCGGCGACTCGCCAGCGCCGTGCTGAAAAATACAGCTGCAATTTTCCCTTCAGCCTAATCTCCTTGACATTGGCTTTAGGAACATATTTGTGTGACAACAAGACACCTCAGCGCCAGACATCAGTCAAGTGATTTTTATTAGAAAACACAGTAAGGTTATGAAAACCGATGCTCATTAATTTCCGTTGATGGATTTGTGCTCTTATCAGCGAGTTTGAACATCGCTGTGGTCTGCAGACTGCTGTAAGGATACAATACGGCTCATAATCATAACACACATGACAAACGTTTACTTGGCATGAAGTGTCACCTGAACAAAAGCGCGGGGGAAATATGATTGGCGTTTATTTGGACCTGACATGACTTTGGATGCAAAACACCCGCTCAGATCCCACAAAAGAGAGGAAATCTATCTGTTGCCATGTGTTTTTGGAAGAGGAGCCGCTGGGTTTTCACTGTATATGTATGAGGATGTCCATGACACCCCGGGCATTGTCAGCGGACAGAAAGCTCTCTTTGGCGGCCCCCTCGGTGAAGCAGCACGATAGAAAGTCAGAGGAAGAAAAGAAAGAAGGGAAGAAAGAGAAAATGTGCCCACATGAGTGTGACATACTGCTGCCGGACTGATTTGCTCTCCATGACAACCGCACAGAGACGGGCTGGAGGGGGAGGGGCCGAGGGGACTCTTTGGCTTTTCGGTCGGGCACAATGAGGAGAGGCACGGCTGTCTTAACCTCGGTGACATCCCTGTTGTCAGCGGGTCAAATCCTTGAATATCAATGAACTGACTCAGTGCCCCTTGCAGTGGTCCTCTAAAGCGTCCGGCTCACATGAGAGGCTGGAGCTGTCCTCTCTGACCTGCTCTGACCTGCCTCCAGCCCCTCTCTGCATTCAGAGCAGAGAGACTGAATCCACAGGGTTAAACAACACCTCATCAGCGCACATGAAGAACTCCTGCCTCCACTTTAAAGTCAGTTCACTCAGTCCTTTTACCCGGAAATGTCCTCTATTTTTGGGGGCTGTCTGTCCTTGTCGGGGGGAGTTTATAAGACCCTTCAAATGTCGGGTTTTGTATGGAAGTTTTGAGTTTTTGTAGCGTGTACTACCTGAGTTAGAAGTGCATAAAAAAACACTCAACCCGACCTAAAAAACACTCAAAATTTAGTGTCCTCTTTTGGGGATTCAGAATATGGTAACCCTATCTGGTGATTCACAAGCTCATCTCACCTCATCAGTTCACGACACCATTTCTGCAGCCAGTCACACAATTAACACACACATAGTTTGTTCTGTTTTAGTTCATGTTGAGTATAAATCATGCAAACACACACTTTTATTTTGGTTTACCTTTTTTGTAGGGGGACAGCACTTCCTGGTTTGGCAGAGGGTCACAGGTGGACAAGACTCTCAGGCTGCGGTCTGGAGGAGACTATTTATGTAGGAGCAGATATTATGAAAATGAAAGAGGTGCCCTGATACAACTTTTTGACTTCCGATCTGATACCGATCTCAATACCGATTCAATATTGTAGCCTTCATTATTGACCGATACTGATATTGATCCAGTGTTGGCATGAAATTGTGCATGACAAGTTTTTCAGTCAGCTGCAATATCTTTTTCGGACTTCAATGAAAAAAAAATACAGCCACATGGCCGACATCACTCCTTCTACTTGCTGCTTTGTTAGTATCTTAGTACACACTGTTGTTGTGATCACGTGGGCTCTGCATGCTGGAGAATTTAGATGCAGGCCGATATAATCTGATATTTGTTTTTTGGCTGATATTGGACCGATATCTGTTATCAATTTCGTATCGGGACACCCCTAGATGAAATTGTGATATCACTGTTTACATGGGGATGTGGTATTTTTCTATATAAGGTAGGAACCTTATTGCCTAGACAGGTGCTCAGCCCGAAGGGGAAACAGTTTTTTTAAATGCGCAAATGTTGCTGCAGTGAATGTGTCTGGATCATGTTGTTTTTGTCGGTTTCGTTCTGTTTTTGTTGCTGAAAGAAGTGAAATAAACACACAGTGTGTTCAGCAAAGCAATTCAAAATGGACTTTCATTCAATAAGCATCAATTAGTTAATCTGGGTCGCAGCGCTTCAGTGGCTTTAAGCGTCGGCTTGGCCTCTACAGTAAACCAAAGAAAGGATTTGGGATTACTGAGCTTTGATAGTGTCCACTTAGTTTTCCCTTTTTTATACTTGGTTTGAATAACCTTGATTAACGTTCCAGTTCGTTTTTTGCACGCTTTAAATCTGATCCTGTTAATTCCAGTTTTATTAATCTGACTTGGTTCTTATTATTTTGCTTTTGATTTGATTCCAGCTCTGTCTTCAAAATGACTCCTGTGTCTATCCACTAATGTTCATAAATCTGATTATGATCTACTGTAGAGACATGACAAACGGGCACACGACATGGAGCACATGAGCAAACTCCGGGTAATGTCTGTGAGGATAACTCGCCACGTGCAGCTCCAGCCATCACTTCAAACCCCATCTCCGTGGAGTCATGTGTTTCCTGCTTAATAGAACATTTAGTTGTGTGCAGCGCCGCTCCTTTCTCCCCTTTGAAGAGAGGAGAACAGAGGCTTGTCTTTATGATGTTTTGTGAAATTTCGCCATGTTGGTTCAAAGTGTTTTCCATGACCCGAGGCGGTGATCAAACGCGGCACTAAATTTAGGTCGTCGTTTCCAAGTCAGCCATTCTGGCCTGTGATACACTGTATTATGAAGGTTGGTCTGTGCTGTGCAGGTGTTGTGCAGTAAATGTGCAGACACATAGTTTGCATGCTTCAGAGGAACACCCTTCACCAGAGGCTGTGATGATATGACTTTTGCTGAGGCATGTCTTGTTCTTATGACGGCTGTTTTATGGACTACAATCATGTTTTTATTCTGCGGTATAAATCCTGACTATCCTCACATCTGTTTCTAAAGCACAAAGTTTGGAAACTTTCCTAACCCATCATTACTCACTACACAAATGGATTTTATTCAACTGTCGACATGTTTACTCACATGAACTAACATCTAGCAGCTTCATCGTGTCGAACATCAAATGCTCTGGAAATGACAAACAAGTTGCCGGGAAAACAAAGTCAGCAGCTGGACAGCATTGATCAATTTGGTTGTCATGTAACGATCGCTTTAAGTGGGACGCTATTTTCCACTCAGGCCAGATAACTGGGTCCTGACCCCTTCTCTGTGCAGATAAGCTGCTGCTGCCATCACTCCCATTACTATTATCAGGACCAGACAATCTGGCCCGCCACCAACATATCCAGGAAACCTAGATTCTCCTGCCGTGCTACAGCCTGATTGCCCAAAAGAAACACATGTACGGCCATCAGATACAGTCTGAAAAAACCCCAACAGTAGGTCATTTATCTTATGTTTTATACTTATCCCAAATTACTTCCAGTCCTGTCACCGTTTCAAGGAAACAGGGAGCAAAACAGGACATTGTCTTGGACTGCTGTAGACCTACACATGTTCTGTGTTGTGCGTGCCTGTTTATATTTACTTGATGGGTAAGGAAAGAAAGGAACACTGTGAGTGGATTACAAAGAGAAATCAGCCCAAACCTGAATGATCGAACAAAAACAAGCTGACAAACACGACTTTGAATTTCACTTTCTGATACCAAAGTGACTGAAAACGACAGCTGTGGATATGCAAATGGAAATCAGACGCTGTGTGATGTTTTGTTTGTGGCTTTGTGTGTTCACAGACAAAAAAAAAAACATCTATATTCAGCTTCTCTTATCTGCAGTATGTGTTGTTTTTTAGTGGTGGATTGTTTAACATCCAGCCAGGAACAGTAGTGATGTATTTGTACTTGACTTTAGTATTTCAGTCAAACACCGCCTCTATTAAAGGAGAGTTTGGTTAAATCATATCTGTAAAAGGAGATCAAACGCATTTATGACAGTTATTGTGATCGGTGGCTTTAAAAACTGTAAAGTAAGACACATAATCACATCTTCTATCAGTGCTGTGGATATTTATGGAAACTGCTCCGTCTCTGTATTCCTGCAAGTTTACTAGAAGCTTCTGGCTTCAACCCATGCAGGCCGACATATTTATGTTCCTGCAAAGAGTGAAGTTACTCTCACATCTAATCCATTGAATATTGTTTATGTTGTCTTATATCAGAAAGGTTGGCTCCTGTAGTCTTTAGTGCAATCCTTTAAGTGTGCAACATGAATGAATGACTAAATTTAAAATAAATGAATAAGTGAGTGTGTATGAGATTACTGGTGCTTTTCCAGACAGCCTCAAGTGGACATTCAAGGAACTACAGTTTTTAGTACTTCTAAATCTACTTCATTTCTCATGACAGAGGTTGCTGCTCGGTGTGCAGACTAGGGCTGCAACTATCGACTATTTTAGTTGTCGACCAGTCACCGATTATTGAAATAATTAGCCGACTAATCGCAAACCTTGCAAGTTATCTTCGCCTTATCTAAGCTAAAGTGTTCCCAAACTTTAGAGGTTTTTAAACGCGTACTCGTAGCTGCTGTTTAGGACGCTGGCGCCACCATGTTTGAATACCCTACCGCTCCACGGAGACGCTATTGCTTATGTGTGACTCAAGGCAGAGATTGTAATGAAGTAAGATGCCTCACTCTGCTGGAAAAAACATGCTTGGCAACAATAGTCAACGATGGAATTCATTGTCGACTTTTTTCATTATTGATTTTTGTCGACCTCGACTAATCGTTACAGCCTTAGTGCAAACACAAATAAATCTATTTAGTTTTCCTTAATATCACTCCTCCTTTACCACTGGTCTTGTGGTTTTGCATAAATGTTAAAATCCTATGTAAAAAAAGAGTTTAGTTAAAAATGTACAGCAGCAGAGTGGCAGCCTTGAAACTCCGTTAGAAAAGTTAAAGTGCAAATAAAAAACGAAATGTGCTCCAGTAAAGTACCAAGATTGATTCTAGTAGCCAAATAGCAGATTTTAACATGCACAAGTCCCGCCCCAAAAAGGTAAACAACCAATTATATTTGAGGAGTTTTTAGGCACCCATACAGGGGTCCTATACCACCCCTCTGGATTCACCCTAACCTCAGAATTTCCTTTTTAAAGCTCCTGTAAGTTTTTTTTCCTGGGATTTAAAAGCAAAAAAGACCATCAGGGAAGGACTGGTGGTTTGTATACTATAATGTTCCTTAGAGGACACGATAAACAAAGGTGGATCTGTCCACAGGGGGCGCCACATTTGACACAAACAAAAAAGTTCCCCATAGGAGCTTTAAAGCGTTAACTACAGCTTGTTTAAGATTATTTATAACTTACATATATTTACTGTTTTGATGAAGAGCTGATCAGAAATAAGCCCTCAGAGGGCAGAGAAAGGTCAGGTGGTCAGTCAGTATGTCACAGATGATTAAGATCTTTGGTTGTCTAAAGTCCTAACTTAAGTCAGTCTCTGAATAGTTCGTTGTATTAGTATTTAAGTGCTTTATCTTGTCCACTGCACTGAGTTTATAAAGAAATAGTCAAATGTCTTCATGCCGCGTTTCCAGCCAGCAGGACCACGATGTTTTCTCCAACTTTATGTGAGACATGATTGTGTGGTTCTCTTTCATGTCCCTCTCCCTCTGTGCCATCTTTCTTTGTTAAGTTTTCTGAGAGTGTCTTTGAACCACAGGCATTTTCTCCCAGCGGTGCTCATGAGCCCTGCCAGATCCATCATCATCCTGCTTCCTGCATCTCTCTCCCTCTATAGCTCCTATACTGTCTGTAAACTCTCTCACACACAGATATATACACATGTAGACAGTCTCCTGTTGTGCTCGCTCTCACCACTCCACCATCAATCCTGTCACTGTCGCATCAAAACACCGCTGAAAAACACCAAGGGGCACACTGACACACACACACACACACATACAGTAGAGATGCAGGTAATAAGAGGAGGTGCTTTCACATTAAGAGCATTCATTTTCTGGAGCAACAACGTGAGGACTGTTGGTTTGTGTGTCCGTGTGAGATGTCGCCCCGACTCCTGTGTTTCTGCTGTTTTAAAACGACCGGCGCTCTTTGCTGTGTGGATTAGGAAGGTGGCAGATTAGAGTCTGCAGCTAAATCACTATGGCGAAAAAACCTTGCTTCCAGCTGACGCCGCACTCCTCACATCCTTCTAACCGCACAATCTTCGCCTTCTGAGTCACACGGCAGCTCACGGGTGACAGATTTACTCACAAAATCTCCCACTTTCATCTGGCAGTGTTGTTTTGGATGTCATTTTTACTGGGGAACACATGTACATCCAGCTCCATTGTGAAGTTAAAAGCTTGAATTTTGGAGGAAAATGAAAAATGAGGAATTATTCTTCCTGTTCCCTTCATACATGACTACCTTGAGCAGCTGGTTGTCTTAGCTTGGCGGCATTTCTACATGTTTTATAGGAATAGAAAACAAAATGCTACATTTGAAGCATGAACTGTTTAAAGAAAATATGAAACCTTTGTTTCAAAAGACCCAAAGTTTATGTGTTAATTAGAGTTTGAGGGAAGTGAAAAGGGGAATTCAGATAATTTCCTCTCATTATATTTTGTACCACCACATTTCTACAGAAGCACAGAGCAACAACCAGCACATACGTTGTAAAATTAATTTGGGGTCAAAACACACCGTAACACTGAGTCAGACACCCCGTTGAGAGATAAATGTTGCCGACCTCTTGCTTCTCTAGTTATACCAACTTCAGTAACGATCGCACGATAGCAATACACTACGGTCTGAGGAGCCATAAACAAATCTCAACCAAAACGCCACTCTATAGCCACAAATAATGCTCAGAACAGCACCTAACTTCATCAACGGGACATATAGGGTCACAGCCATAGTACTAGACACCAAACATCTTTTTAACTTTGACTCATTTCTTTAGCAAAGAGACTAAACACAACTCACCTACTCTCTTCCAGCAGCCGCTTTTTTATGAGGGACTCCTGACGAGTCGATCACTGAGTGCAGCAGAGTTTCGCAGCTCAAGGAAGAACATTTATGGTCATTACTTCATGGAAATGTAATCAGACCGAGACACAAAGGCAGAAGAACTACCATGTCTGCAGTGAAAATGATTAATATGATGATTATTCTTTGAAGGAAATGATAAAGAAATGATCATAAATGTTCTTCCTTGAGCTGCGTCACCCCGCTGTAGTTTATGATGGATTGGTCGAGGTCCCGCTACAAACAAGCAGCTGCTGGAAGAGAGTAGGTGAGTTGTGTTTAGTCTCTTTGCTAAAGAAATTAGTCAAAGTTAAAAAGATGTTTGGTGTCTAGTACTCTGGCTGTGACCCTATATGTTCTGTTGATGAAGTTAGGTGCTGTTCTGAGCATTATTTGTGGCTATAGAGTGGCGTTTTGGTTGAGCGCGTGACTCTCTGTATTTCTATCCTGCGATCGTTACTAAAGTTGGTATAACTAGAGAAGCAAGCGGTCGGCAACATTCATCTCTGGGGGGAATGTCTAACTCTGTGTTACGGTGTGTTTGACCATGACTTAAATTCACGCCGGAATATCCTTTTAATATGCAAAATGTAGAAGAAGAACATGTATGTGTGCACAAATAGTTGCCTTTATGCTTTTGTGTGAAAACTGTCGGACTTGTGTGCTAAATTTAATCTGATGGATTAAAAGGTTAAGTTGAGTTTGGGAAAGAGAAGCTGCTTGTTGTGTTCAGGTTAAATTAAAAATGAGATTTAATGTCCTGATTTTACCTGCTGAAAATCCCCGCTCACCTTTATTTATGTCCCAGAGTTTGGACAGTTTTTTACTGCCAATAAATGCATCACTCCGGATAGTCATCCCTGATATATTTTATTGGTTTGCTCATTTCTCACACGCTTTGCCAGCTCTGGATGTGCGTGCTTTCACATGCTCCGAGCCTAACAAGCCTAACAAAATCTGTGAAAAAAAGCAGAGACGGGCTTAGGGGAGGAGGCTGGCATGAAAAGAACAATGTCTGAAAATTAGCAGGAGCTGCAGCGGCGCTCTGCTCCGTCTGATGTTGTATTCAGCCTAACTAGTCCTGGGAGGAAGTGCCCCGCTTGTATGCAGGGGGAGTGTCTGTTTGCACAGGTCTCTGTCAGTTAACACTAATCTGCCTGATCTCCACCTCAAAGTCACTCACTTCTCCACATGCAAATAAACATATTCAGCCCTCTTTCAAACCAAAGCCACTATCAAACACTTGTTTGATCAGCAGAGGGCCTGCGAGGCGCTTCATTATGCGTTTAAAAAAAGTGCCCTGCCCCCGCCTCGCAGGCAGAGGACTCATTGTTGCTGTTTTTTTAATGTAATTACTCTCACCTTCAGCAGTGACTGGGAACGACTGCCTCCACAGCACGTGTGTCTGCAGCTTTGGCACATATACTGTAGACTCCCATTGGCCCAGATTCTCTGCTGTATAGATCAGTTCAGAACATGAAGCCCACCCACACCCCCTTCAACCCGGGTCCTTCAGAACTCTGGATTTATGAACCGGCAGAACTTCAGGGATGAAAGGCGGCTTTCATTGCTTTCTCTGATAACATTCAGGCCTCCGAAACTGGCAGCTCTCTTTGCAAACTTTTGTCTTCAACAATACTCTTACTCCATGATACAAAAACAAAGCTTCATTTGTCGAGATGCATGGACTCTTTTTCTACTCTGGAGGCAGAAATATCTCAAAAGGAGCTTCTTTAGAGGAAAACATGCCAAAAACAGGAAGGTGGAATAAACCCACCTGCCCCAGAGCACCTGGTGAATTCCTTTGTGTGTATGTTGTCTTGTGTGCGTCATGTATGAGTCTGTGACATTGGGGAGGCTAAGCACTGCTTTGCAAACAGACAGGCCTGAACTAGTAAACAGGTGCTGCTGGAGCAGCTGAGGATGAGGACATGGGGCGTCTCCACCAAGCCTGATCAAAGAGGAGCTGTCTCAGCCGCCACTCATCCCCACAACTTGATTTATGTCACTGTGTCAGAGGACTTTACGAGCGCTCGCGAAAAACAGGAGACAACGTCGAGAAGTCATGTGACGGTTGTGTTTTCTGAGGAGGCCTCGACGCTCTTTTATCCGTGTTTTTAATACCACTACAGTCACAAAGACATGAAACATCAGCTCCATTACAGAGTGTGAAAAGCTGAGGAAACGGTCACATTAAATTAAACCGAGTAATCATCAGCGGTTTGATGACTACCCCTCTCTGTTTTTTAACACATCACACGCCAGCGCTCACACTGCTATCTCCTGCATGGCACAGCAGAAGGAAGGAAGGAGAGGCAGGGAGTGGAGGAGTGTGATGATGTGACAGCATTCGTCCCGGTGGAGTTTACACATGTGTGGGTCTGAGATTCATCAGCCTGAGTCACATGGCTGTGGCGGGAATCCCCTCCTAAAAAAGACTGACTTCTAATCACGAACAAAACACCAGACCAAAGATGTTTGACTCTCCGCGGCGATCAGATGACATGAAATCTTCACTTTAAAACGCTTTAATTCGACCATACATGCAGACGTACAGTGGAGTGTGATTTCCAAAGAGAAAAAAAAACAAAAAAAAGCAGAAACTTTCTTGCCAGCAGTACTTTGCCCTTGCTCAGAGCAGGATTTTCCCCTTTGAAGCGAGCAGAAGAAGAGAAGTGCAGCCTGCTTGGCTGAAGAAGCCCTGGAGGGGGGTGGTAACTGTCATTTATATTTACAGCCTTCCCAGACACCTCGGGGGCTGTTATCCAGGTGGCCTCTGCTGAAGCTCTCAGAAGCACTCGCACCTTTTTTTGCGACTCACAGTATCAATAGACACTGGCTGACTTTGATTCAGCCACATAAAGGTTGTGAGTCATGTGCTTTTGACTGTTAAAACGGGTTGGGCTGACGCTGGAACTTGAATGCCCTGGAGGAGAAAGCATTACTACACTTTCTGAAACTTTATTAGACCAGAGAGGATTCTCTACCAGAGGTTTAAACTCTGAAAAAAGGTTTGAAAGTGTGGCAGATAAAGAAAGGCCTGTACTCCAAACCTGAAGCTTCTTCAGGTTTTTTTTTCAAATGATAACTTCCTCCAAATTCCTGCACGTGTGTCTCTGATCGTTAAAATACTCTACGCACATGTTGCCAAAGTTAATTGCTGCTGCTTTGATTCAAGACACAACTTGAACTGTTGACAGTGAAAGGATCATTGAACCCCGGAGCATCCCACCATACCACATGGCCTATTCTCTTTTGAAAAACCCGCTTCAGTCAATATGTAACCACTTCAAATCCAGGCCAGATGTGTCTTTAGAAATGTCATCATGCCCCGCTGATAAGAAGAGAAGAGATGACAGATATTCAGTATTTTTTGCTTTGCAGCGATCCTCCCTTCAAAGTCAAACCCTTCAAACGGTCTAATCCTGTCCTGAATGAGAGCTGGATTATTGTATAACCCCTTCATTCATGCGCACCGACACATGCAACACAGCCAGAGATGGAGAGGGAGAGAGAGGGAGAGGTGGAGCAGGAGCAGAAAGGACCAAAATAAAATAGTGTATCCTCCTCAGCTGGGGTTTACACTTTACAAAAGCACCTCACATAAAAGCAGGAAGTCAATATTAAAACTATAAGCAGGTTTTTAAATGATTGGTCAGATAAAGACGACTTTATGGAGTTAATTTTGAGCTTTAAACTGTACATGAACATTTTGACCAACTTTGCAAAAATGCTGAAATTGAATTTTTGAAAATTAGAAATTTTACACCCAAACTAAGAATGAGATTTTGATTGGAGATATTTTAAAACCACTTCTGCATTAATCTAAGCTGATGTAAACACATTACAGTGTCACCTTATCATTCAATATGAAGAAAGAGTCATTAATTTAGGCTTTTAGTGGTTCTCAAACTTTTACTGCAGGAATAAAAATCATTTTGATCCCCTCTTTTATACATAGATATCTAAATACATGATTGGACCGGTCCTCTGTAAACTCATTTCTGTATCTTTAGAAGACCTTAAGCTGCAGCAACAGTCAACTTTTACAAAAAAAAACATTAAAAAGTGATGCTGAAGCGTGCAACTTCCAAATATTTCACACAGTCACAGCGATGGTGAGATATGACCCTTAAAAAAACTCCTGCCTTTGTAGAAGTAGCTCTGACATTTGCTGGAGGTTTATCTTTTACCTTATGGTACTTTTGCTAAATTTGCTGAAGTCACCTTTGCTGCACTCCTCTGTATGCTAACAAAAGTATAAGTTGCATTTTTTCCTTATGGAGCCTTAAAATCAGAGACAGAAATACACACAGCTGCTCTGTTTGTACTCTTTCCACACACACATCAGACACATCAGGCTTTTTTTTTAAAAGAGGTAAAAGTGCAATTGATTTGTTGTCATTTCTCTCTTGCAGTGACTTTTTAAAGCTGCTCTGTATGTCCAAATCTAAACCCATCTCTCTCATTCACAGTTATGCTTCATGATTTTATGACGTTTTAAAACCTGCATGAGACAAACACTCAGAGGAAGAGGAGACACGGACAAGACACAGTTTGAAAACACCACCGCTCCTTTGCAAACATTTAAAACTAGAACGTTTTATTAATTTTTCTATAAAAATCTCAATTTTTTTTTTTTTTTTTAGAAATATATACAAACGTTCCCTTGTGCTATAAAACAGCAAAGAATAAAACAACCGCGTGTACAAATAAGTTTTCAATAACGAGTGCTTGATTAATTTATGGCGAAGGATTTGCCTCACAATGGCCGGTTCGGCGAAGGTCCTGAGCGCTTTTCAACAGCTGCTCTCACTCCAGTTCAAACATATATGACACCGCCTCCATTTCCATTAAAAAGCCTCCAAACACAACACTCATCTCTCTGACCATTTGCCTCCATTGTCTACGGGCTCCTTTCATTGTCTGTAATCTGTCACTAACAGTACAAGTGTCTCTTTTTCTGCCTGCGAGGAAAAAAAGAAAAAAAAAAAAACATCTATTGCACATTATTCAAGTAACCCCATGGCACATCCAAATGGTTTATTCCACTCTTTTTGTCTTGGGAACAATACGATTTTTTTCTCCCTACCAAGTTCCTCAATAGGATAAGTGAATCCAGGAGTAGCAGATTTTTGTCTCAAACAAAGGCAGCTCTTGTTGCATGAGATGGCTCAAGATACAAAAAAGCCACGTTGCATGATCTTCAATGCAGTTTGCATAAATAAAACATGAACCTTGAGTCTTTTGAGGGCACTCTGATTACAAAGTCTCGTTTAGGTAAGGGCTTTACAAGTATTTGGGGGTTCATACAAAGAGAGCCAGCTCATACGCATGTCGGAGGAGGCCGTGTGGGCTCGTACTTGGTGCTGTGGCCTTTGAGAGACGGGTGAGGTTTGATGTAAGGCCTGCTGCTGGTGAACACACTGGCAGCCTTCCTCCTTGTCCTCTTCTTCAGCTTCCTGCTGAACACATTCTGCCACGACTGCAGCGTCTTTGAGGTCCAGATCCACATGCCGCTAGTGATGCCCACCACCAGCAGCATGAAGATTTTCACCATGAAGATCTCCACAGCGGGGATGGACGACTTCATGACACACTCGTCCGACTCCGGCCCGCTGCCCTCCACGCACTTCTGCTCCACTGCCAGGATGCGCCAGTAGTCCATGTTGAGCCTCTCGTAGAAGTAGCAGGCGATGACGCAGGTGGCGGGGACGGTGTAGAGCACGGAGAAGACCCCGATGCGGACCATCAGCTTCTCTAACTTGTCTGTGTTCTCACCTTCCGTTTTCATGACCTTGCGGATGTGGAAGAGGGCGACGAAGCCGGACAGCAGGAAGGAAGTGCCGATAATAAGGTAGCAGGAGAGGGGGATCAGCACGAAGCCGGTCAGAGCTTTGACATCCATGCTGCCCACATAGCAGACCCCTGTCAGCTCGTCCCCGGCCACCTTCCGCATCACCAGGATCATGATGGTCTTCACGGCCGGGATGGCCCACGCCGCCAGGTGGAAGTAGCTACTGTTAGCCTCGATGGCCTCGTGACCCCACTTCTTCCCGGCAGCCAGGAACCATGTGAGGGTCAGGATAACCCACCAGAGGGAGCTGGCCATGCCGAAGTAATACAGGATGAGGAACACAATGGTGCAGCCGGTGCTCTCCAGACCCTCCTGGATCACATACTGGACCCCATTGTCTCTGTCGCAGGCTATTCTGTCGGCTCCCACGAAGAGTCGGATGAGGTAGCCCACAGAGTAAACACAGTACGACATGGAGAGGAAGATGATCGGCCTCTCGGGGTATTTGAAGCGCTGTGGGTCTATGAGGAAGGTGAGCACGGTGAAGGCGCTGGAGACGAAGCAGAGGATGGACCAGATGGCCATCCACACCAGCGAGAACTGCTTATCGCCCTGACTCCAGTAAACGTCCACTTTAGGGTAGCATTTAGGGGCACATGACTCGCTTTTCTCCACAAAGTGGAACTTCCCCGGGTTGCTACAAGCCTGCTTGCTGCCGGTGTCCTTCAGGTGCAGGTCCTGCCCGCTCAGAGGCCTCTGTGGCCTGAAATCTGGAGGCTGGGTGTGGGAGACTTTGGGAGGCTCGTCGGAGCCGTTGTTGGGCGCCTCCATGCACAGATTGTTCGGGTCGTTTTTGGTCGGCAGCCGTGAGCAGTCCAGGGAGTCGGGCCAGGGGAAGTTAAAATGCTCCAGGACGGGCGAGCATTTCAGCTTGACCTGCTCACACATCACCCTGCACGCCGGGATGGGGTTGGACACCTGCTCGGTGCACATGGGAGCGTACAGCGAACACAGGAAGAATTTCAGATGACTGTGGCATCCGAACTGGATCAGAGTCGCAAACTCCTGCAGCTTCATCGCTGCCTCTTTTTGGTCATCGTGGCCCATCAGGTTCGGCATCCGAGTCATGTTGTAGCCGATGTCCTTGCACTGAGTGATGGTGATCTGTTGACATCTCCCCTCTCCTGACCAGTCGGGGTCTATAGAGCTGATGGCTGAGCCGCCATCGCTCCACAGGACCAGCAGCACACAGATGAGTCTCACTTTAACACTTGAACACATCCTCTCCTCTTGATACAATGAAAAATAGGCCAAATGTTCCCTGAAACCACAACAAACAAGTTCCTCTGACTGTCCAAACCTGCCTGTGTCAGTGTGTGAGAGAGAGAGACCGCAAACTTACAGAACTATCTGTTATAAGACCACCGTCTCCTCATTTTTGGCTGACAAAGTTGAACAAAAACATAAATCCAAAAGCAGTCCGGAATCGTCTCCTCTCTTGAAGTAGCGTGCGTTCAGGTCCATGCTTTCATGCGCTCACTTCATGGCTAAAGTGTTGGATCTACTTCTTCTGCCTTTTCCTCCGCGCCTATCAGTCAACACAGATGAAAAATGAATGATCGTCAGCTCCCCTGCGTGTCTCCTGATTGAGCCTCACTTCTCGGTCCTCACGTTTCATGTCACTTTTCCGGGGTGTCTGTCTGTCTGTCTGTGCAGCGGAGCGGACTCAGTCTTTGCGCGAAGAAAACTTGGTAAAACAACCAAAATGCTTTTCCTCCGCTCCTTTCTGCAGAGGGAAACGCTGCTCAGGAAACATTTAGGGGAGTCAGCAGAATTATTCCGATAAAAAATCCCGGGTTTAAAGAGTGAAAATGTTCCAGAGAGGCAGGATTATGCTCCTCCCGTCTGCAGGCTGTTGGTGCGTTTGGTGGCAGCGCTCGTCTGAGCTGGTCGGAGCCTCCGTCCCGGTCTAACCTGCCAAAAGATCCGCCTTCAAAGACAGCTACTTTGCATAAGAAAGATGACACTGACACGCGGATTATTTTCAAATCGTGCGGAACAGCTTGTTCATTACAGCAGTTTCAAAGGCTCACAGCAAACTTCCTTCTCTTTCTCTGTTTGTTTGTGCTCAACCTCAAACTTCAGCTAAAGCAGGACAGAGACACGTTTTTAGGAGGAACAACACCGAAATGGGGCACAATGTGGCTCAGAGGACGCACCACAACCTAATGATGTTAAAACTCCACATGAGAAGCTGATGAGCCTTTCTAGAAAATTAATCCCATTTATTTGTGAAACACCAGATCAATGAGGAAATAAAGCATGAATACAGTTTGCAGACATTAAGTTTATAGTTTAGACTCCTGATTATGCAGTCATCCTTCCTCATATTAAACCTATTTAAAAATAAAACATATCTTAATTTATGTGAGAGAAACTGTAAAAATAAACTCACCGCCCAGTGAGACATGATAAAACATGCATGAAAACAGATGATGCTGTCCTCCAGAGATATACAGCAGGACTTAAACATTAATGCTCAGATCATCTTTGAATAAAAGCGACAATTTCACCATAAAAATGTTAAAGAATTAAAAAACACCCAAGAGTAAGAGTTGTTCAATATTTATAGAAAAAGACAAGACATTTATGAAGTGAAAACAATATTTTCTGTAAAGTGAGTGTCATTTTATAATCGCACAAGTGGAATTTGTATGGTGGCCCTAAAGTGCAAAACAAAACCTTAAAAAAAAGCACAATAAATAAATTAGAAAACACAAATAGACAAATCCCAAAATAAAACAAAACAAAAAACTACAACAAATAATAAAACACACAAAAGACGGATAAGAAATCAAAACTACTGATCACAAAACACAATAACAGATTTACAAAATCATTAAACAAGAAATCAAATCACAAACTACAACAATCATTAACAAAAACAAACAAATCGTTAAACAGAACTTTAACATCTTACTGGAAAGGCGGATACAGCGACAGGAGTCACATGGGTGGTGTGACTGTCACCGATTGGTTGAATGAACTGTCCGTCTTTTTAATCAGAAATAATAGCTGCTTTAATGTGTTGATTTAAAACGCAGGATTATCTGTTTGCAGAGGCTTTTTTTCTGCTCTTGTCCACCTTTACCATCAGACGTTTATGTTGCTTTTTTCTTATTTTATTTCGTATTTTGTGTTTTGCACTTCAGGGCCACCGTAATTTTTTAGACTCCGACTCGGATTAAAACAGCTGATTTATTCTGTTAAAAAAAGAGAGTTGTTAGCAGTATTTTGTGTAAAACTTGAGTTATTGCAAAATTCACCTTGCAGTCCATTACTTTACGGTCAGGCCAATAGGAGCTTGTTTTAATAACCTGGACTGTGCTCACCTGTAACACCTGGATATGCACATGCACTGTGCTGCTTTAGAGATTTAAGATCACATGAAAAATAATCACATTAACCCCCACCACTAATAGTATTCCAGGGTCCCTGTCAATCAGAATTATCTGAAATTTCTCATTATTTTTACCACTGTTAATCCATTATACACTTTACAACAACCAGTTATTAATCCACCAGCTGCATAACACTAACATGTCCTGAAATGAATCTTATCTGACTATTTAAAAACCCAGGAATGTTTTATGAACATTTCAAATCATGCAAAACTCTTCATGTGCAAAACTTTATTTGATTTAATACTAAAGTTGTTTTTGTGAATGTCGAGCTGCCTTTGTAGACACATCACATTAGATTCTTGTCGCGATCATTCGTTCTCAATAAGCTCTAATTTAAGGATGAATATTTCCAAAGTGTTGGTGTAGTTTCACTGCAGAGTCTGTTCTCTGTTATCAGACTCCCCACACAGTCTGAACTGGGCGATAAATCAGAAAATATTAGACATAAAGACTTTCCTCATAAAAAATGAATAAACTTTACAACACGTTTAACAGAGAGGGCTGAACAGAACGGAGTCCTTCAGACACTTTAGCGTCTGCTGCTGTTTTATCATCATCCACTGTAATTGCACGTTAAAGCTTTTTCTCCAGGCTGGTTGAGTGCAGATGGGTGTAGGTTTGCAGAAATGACCCTCCATGAGTTTAAATGTGTTACATGAATGTTAACGTCCCGTCATAAACCCTTCCAGAGTAGATCCTGCCTCCTGTGTGTGACGGGCTCCGGCCCCCTGTGACCTGCACAGGATGAGGAGTTAAGACACTGAGTGGAGGATGGAGGGTCTTTTATGAGCCTGTTAAAGTGAAACAGCTCCTGCAGAGAGTCAGAGAGTCAGAGGACAGAAGACAGAGGCTGTAAAATAAACTGAATATGACTTATTAACACGCACACACACACAGAGACTGCTGTAATTAAGTGCATGAGTAAACTTGCAGCCTGAGTTGTTGTTCCAGTGATGGGAACTCCATCTTCATGTCCGTTTCCTCATGGAGGAGCTTGATAGTGCAGCACACTATCTGGTCATGAGGCTCTCTGCTCTTTTTTCATGCGGGTGAGATCCTCCAGACCTCGCTCACGTTACCTTGTAAAAAGTTTGTGGCGCTAAGATTTACGCTCTAACCCGGGCGGTGGTCTTCATCAAGGCTGAAACACTGATCACGAGTAAACAGGAGCACTTTTAGTACTTTTTTTTCCTTTTACAAGAGTCACTAAAGTGCTTTTAAAGTATTTCAGAAATGTGTTGGGGCAAGATGAGAAACCTGGCACCAGCGTGCCTAAGTGGTTTAAGCACAGCATATCTCCGCAGTGGCATTTCAGCTGTTAGTGCTCAGTGTGTGTGTGGAGCAGGAGCATAAATATAGGGTATGAATACACGCTCCTGAACACAATACCCTCCTCCTATGCAGCACATGTGCCTCTCAGATATCACACATGCAGCTGGTGATGTTTGAAGAGGTTTGACTGAAATTATATCACCTAATTCTGAGAGGAAACTTATGACTGAGTTTGTTTGCGGTTCTGCTGATGCCTTCTTCTTTGAAATAGGAGTCTGTAATGTCGTGTCACCCACTTTCTTTTGTGCAGAAGGCCCAGATGCATAAGCAGAACGCATTTCATCCATCCTGACCCCTCACTAGGCCACGCACAGCAGCTGACACGGACCATTATTATGTATCTGACGTGCAGGAGAGGAACAAAAGAGAGGGCAGCTTTAATGTGAAGAAGAATAACATCATATCAATGGATTCCCAGAACCAGGGCCCAATCTGCTCTCCATTTTCTGATCATACGGCTTTCAGCGAGCTGTGTCTGGCATGTTTTAGAGCACATATCTGCCCTTATTACTGCTGCCTCTGGTGTAATGAAGCTGACAAGATAATACTGTCACACAGTCTAATAAGAAGACACAGCCCACTGGTTTTTTGTTGTAATTCATCGCCTTTGTTCTGTCCTCCCTCTCTTTCATGATATTTTTGCCGGTCATGATGATATCTCTTTGAAACGGAGAAGAAAAGGAGGAGGAGGAGGAAGCAGGCCTGCTCACTCTTTAGCATCTGTACCCTCAGCAGCTTCTCTACCGTGTCTTTTATGATTTTTTTTCCTGTCTACCACCCTCTGTTTCATATACAAACCCCCCTCCTATAGCTTATTCCTACTCACACATGTGCATAACACACACATGCACACACACGCACACACACACATGCAGCAGCAACTTTATCTCATCTCTGCAACCATAACAGCGCGGCGAAAGAAAAGCAGCGCAGCTCCATCTCTGAGAAATCAGCAACTGTGAGATAATTCTGTAACTAATAAAGTGAAAGGAGGGGGCCCTTTGATGGCTGAAGCTGAAAAGATATTTTATTTTTTTGTGTGTGGGATTTGCGATGTGTGATTCTATGGAGCGAGCTGGCTCCCCTGCTGCTAGGCTCTGGCTGGAAGCTGGCCCCCCTCTGGCTAATGTTATGGAGAATGGCAGGAATTTTATGGCTGTCTTTTCCCTCAGCCCCCTTTTTTCTTTTGTTCCCCTTTGAAGAATGACTTTAGACATTTTATTTACATATTTAACCATGGATGAAAGAAACCAAGGGTGAGGAAGCAAAGCTCCTCGGCTTCTTTAGGGAATTTTGATCAGTGAAAAATGAGTCGGAGCGAATGCATTTTTTTGTTTTGCGTAGCCTGAAAAATTAGATGGCTATCAAACACGCCACTATGATGGTGACATTTGTGGAAATGACGCCACCGCTCCTTTGATGGGGAGCCTGATTTGCTCACTCCCCCTCTGCATCAGTAAGAGTACTCTTTCTCCTAATTGCTGTGGTTAGATGCCTGGCATGCTGTTCCAACATGTGAGGTATGCTATGGGAGAAAAACGGGGGACGTTTTAGACATGTTTGGTATTGTTGGCGGCGCTGAAAGGGCATGTTGATTAAACGTACGGGTGGGGTAGGGCTATAATCTTCTTAACCAAGGCCCTCCTCTTCTCTTTCAGACGGCACAATGAGAAGAAACAACACACTCAGCTGGAGGTGAGACTATTTGTCCGCATGCCCCGCACATTGTCCAAGGATCCTGTTCTCCCTCCTGATCGCACACATTCAGCATTTAGCTCAGGATGATCCTATTTATCAACATAATCTGTTATTTTCTCTCTCGTCGGGGAAAAAGATGACGGGAGAGCATGCGAGCGTGGACTGTGCAGAACTTTTATGGAGAAAATTAAAGCAGAAGAGGGCGTTTCACATCTGCTGGCACAGATAGCTCTGTTTTATATTACACTCGCTGTTTTCCTGCCTTGTTTGAAATGCGTGAGCCTAATAGCAGAACCAGTTTTCGTAAAGGGTCAGACGTTTTGAGGAAACGCATTTGAATCAAGCGATTAATTATTGAAGAGGCCTGTCAACATCAAAGCCCGCAGTATTCTTTGCTCGTATGGTTTAAATAGTTCAATAAAGTGAGTTATTAATGAGCGCTAATTCGCCGCGCTCTTCTTTTCACTTTGCTTCATTTGAATGTGTTTTGTTTCACACGTCTTATTATGGAGAGAGTCCCACCAGCTGAAGGTTAACCCCGTGACCTCCGCCATTGTGCGGCGCGGTTGATAAGAGGAAGTCTCAGCGTTATTGTGACCTTTCGAGTGTTTATAGAGTAGATTAGTATAATTATAAGCAGTTTTATAGCCGTGGAGGCTGACAGCCAATCTGCAATAAACAGTGTTGTAATGATTTTGTTTTTTAAAGCGAGTCCAATAACATCTGGGTTGAGGCGGCTTTGGAGCTGCAATATTAGTTCAGTGTTCTTACATCATACGCTTTCATGTGGTGGTCGTTTAACAGCAAAGAGATGAGGAGGAGGAGGAGGAAGAGGAGGGAGAGGAGGAGGGGGGATCAGCAGCTATGAACCAAAAACAGTCTTGCATTTTTGTCTCAGAAAGTCACCCAGCAGAGATCTGTGTTTTTTTTTTTTTGGGAGACTTTTCTGCAAAGTTCTGACAAACATGAGAGCGATTAGCGGACGAGGAGAAAAAGTCCGAAAAAGAAGACGAAGAGGGTAAACATTTTATTGCGTCTTGCGTCAGTGAAGGACGCTGATGGCAATATTATTACGGGGGTCCTCGTGGGGGCACTTGAGTGTGAATTGCTAATCAGGAAGGCCTTCTCTGGTCTAATCCCTCTTTGAGTGGCCGGCCTGGAATCAGCGCGTCTGGGGGAGACTCCCCACTGCTTCTGGCTCTGGAGGCTCCATTGAATGGTGCGGCCCTCCTGTCCCATTCCCACAGTCCCCTCACACTGTGCATCGCAGCCACGCATGTGCACACACACACACACACGCACACACACACACACACACACACACATATCCTCCTCTAACTAAATTAGATTAGACCCTTCCCTTTCTCCCCAGCAAGGCGCTGGTCTTTTCTCTGCCTGGTCATTTATCCTACGCTTTTGTCTCTGCTTTAGAAAAGAGAAACAAATTCCCAAACAACTCCCCTCCGAAGAATGCACCGGTTTGGGAAAAAAGAGGGACGAGGAGAAGGGCAGACATCTTTAGCAGACCTGAGGTGATGCTCGGAGATGGTCTCCCCCTTTGGTGTGTCAGCTCCAATGATGTGTGGTGTGTGTCAGAGCAGTGAGAACAACGCCAGCTGTGCGTCTCGTCAACCTGTTACTGAGCCGCATCTGACAGCAGCACTGAGGATCTCTTCATTGTGGCCCCTCGCTAACATTGTCCAACATTTGCTCTGCTGGAAGAGATAAAGTGCACGAGTCAAAACGAGCGATGCAGAGTCCTCCTGCAGCAGCATCGCTAGTTCTGATTCCTTGTGTCTTCATTTCAGTAATGGACACTGATGCATATGAGCAAAATAAAGGCCTGAGTTGAAAGGGTCTTTTGTAAGAAAGCCCTGGTGGAAGCTTATTCCTCCCGGTTGAATGTGCAGCCAAGCTATCCCAAAAGCAGCAAATTGAGATCAAAGCGAAATTAAAGCTGACTCGTTCAAAGCAAGATAAAAATGTGTGAGCCTGCAGCAATATTTTCTCTATTGATTTCCTCCTTTGCTTGCACTCGGTGGGACTGCGCTGGCTGTGCTGTGCTCAGCGCCGGCGTCGGAGACTGTGAGGCTGCTGCAGGGAGAGAGGAAATGACTATCGATACAGACAGAAAAACACTGTCATAATGATCAGGGATCAACGGATTTCACAGAGCGCTCCACATCTAAGTGGAGCGGGTAACTTTTTCATCGCTGTCCAAATCTGGTTTCACTTTGCATTAAGACACGAGGAAGAATAATGAGAGCATCATCATGGGAACAGGCATTGTCTTCTGCACTTATTAGCTGTGATTCTCCAAGTTTTGTCATTGTCCTCTCATCCTGTGTGTGGAACAGTTTTTTTTTCTTCTCAGTGAGGAACCACATGTGGAGTTCATCTCTCTGAAGTTTATTTAGATCTGCAAGAACACTGAAGAATGCCTTTCACAGACTTTTCTCCGGCCGTTTTTTTTCTTATTTGCTTTTATGTTCAGAGAGAATCAGGCACAGAAGTTTCCTCAGTGCCGCACAGCAGATAACTGCACATTGGAAAGATGTCAGCTTTAATTAGAGAGAGAGACGGCGTCGCTCTGATGTTCCAATAATAACAAAACAGAAAACAAAATGTCTTTGTTATGTCGAGCTCAAATCTGGGTAATTACGGGTAATTTGGTGACGCTGTACTCGCGCTGCAGGTTGTCTGCGAGGTGTGAGGGGATGAGTGAAGGTGCAGGTGAAGGATTGAGCGCTGCCGTTTGAAGTCCTGGGAGGGATTGACAAGCCTCGCAGTGAAACCTGAGCAGGTATGAAGACAAGCTGGAACAATCAGACGCCGCAGACCAAGAGGGTTTCTCTCTTTCTGATGTAATTCTCCTCCTGTAGGATCTTTAGTCTTGAACATCAATAACAATGTGGCGGAGATGTCGGAAAAAGCCGATAAGAAATCTAAAATGTCTGTCAACACTCGGAGCTTTTAAAAACCGACAGAAAAACGAGCTCTCTTTGTTTCCTGCTTCTCCGAAAACATGCAAGAATGTGTTTGCACTTCTTTCATGCTCTCTTCTTCACCTTTCACTTGTGAGGTGTAACACCTGGGCGATGAATCAAGCTGAGGAAAATGTCTTTTAATCTGTTTCAGATATTGTTTCATAGCTGTAAGCAGTCTTACCTCATCTGTGAAGCTTCCTCTTCACACAGAGGGATCACTGTATCTGTAGGCATTCCTGGGGCTCAAATATCAAAACAGCACTAAATAACCTGTCATTCTCCCTCTGCAGAACACAGGCGAGAGCGCCTGATCAAACTCCTGGACGCTTTTTGAGGGGAAATTTGCCTACAAAGGGACAACAGTGAAGAGTTTAGAGGCTACACCGCTGTAAGGTCATCTGAACAGGTCAAACACACAGGAAGTTCAAGTTCAAGGTGGTTTTTTTAATCAGGTAAACTTCACGTCGTCTCCTAAACTCAATGATAGCAGCAGAGAAATGCACATTTCAGGCCTCTTTTCAGAGAGACAGCTGTTGGTAACCCAGATATGGAATGTGCCTGTGGGCTTTTTTCCTCCCCTTACACTCTGAGCAAGAGCAATGGCTGTTTGACTTCTCCTTTTTTAATGTTCAAGAGGTGTCCCAGACACAGATATCAAACTTAATACCAAGTGATTTCCACCTCACATCAGGGCCTCCTGAGTGATCGAACGGGGAGCCTGCCACATATCCGGCAGTCAGAAAGAAGAAGGAGCCGCCGTGGCGACAGTCAGTCAAAAGTCGTCCTGTTTCAGAGCTGCTTGACATGCAAGTTTCATACATCCTTTTTGATACGCCGCAGCTTTATCTCCAAAGTGTGCGGGGTGGTATCTTTGGGGAGGAGGAGGCTGTTTTTCCTGCGATTAAACAACGCATGAAACAATATGCATTCATCTCTTCCTATCACACGTAGCACGCAAACACGCACATTTCTTTTCCTGCCTTATAGTTCCACTGCTGCCTCTCCTAGCTGAAAGGGTGCTGATGTCGAGGCTTTAAAGCAGTTTTATTAACGCCGCCTCTGATAAGAAACTGTTGACTAGAGCAGAGAACACGTGCTGCAGACTGAAGGCTCAAAGATGGCTCTCGTTATGGTGCACAAAAAGCTGCTGCAGATTGGGTGTGACAGACTCAGCCCAGGTTTGAGCTCTTAAGCTTGTTATAAAAGCATCCATGGTCTCAAGCTCAGAGCCGGTCTTTGTCTGCGTTTTATGGTTATAAATATTAAATTAAAACAAAGTTTCTTAGAGCAAACATTCCTGCTAACACTGTCAAAGAGAATCAATGTGTTTGACCAAAGGTTCTGTCACACTGCTGTGAATAATGTTTGCTTTGAATCACTGTTTTCTTTCTTTGTAGTCTTTACGCTGGGCTAAGCTAACTCAGAGAGGAGGGAACCGTGTTAACAGGTCCTACAGCCTGTTTTCCCAGCACACCCTTCCAACATTACAAACTACAGTTGGAGCTTTTTCCTCCAAGATGACATTGAACCCTATTTTCTCAGTCAGAACCTGATAAAACGGTACAGAAATTTAAGCAAAGTGATGTTATACTCTTTTGAACCTACATCCTGGTATCTCAGACAGTTTTCTGTTGTTCTCCGACTTAAAGATAACCATGACTGCTGGAGTCTTTACAGTCAAAACTGTAATAATATGTGTGAAAATGTTAAATATATGTTTGCTAATGTCAATCTGACATCTTAGCATCATTTTTACTCATTTTTTTGTCCACAACATAGACTGTCTATACCAAGGACAACTTGGCTCCGCCGTCTGTCATTATACGAATTTGAAGCCGGATTGCTCTCGATATTTCTGGGATTTCTCCTTTTCCTGGAACCACCACTTGTGCGGTAGTGTTGTACACATTTGGTGGGAGAGTCGCTGTGATGGTGGTGAGAGGTAGTCTACGCCCACTGACAATATGATTGATGCCACATATAAGAATACTAGATCGTATTCAGTTGATAGGCTGGATTATTCTTTTGCCCAAGCACCCAAGTACGTATGGTCATGTAACAACGCTCGCAGGAAAAAGGAAACCCTTAAGTTAAGACCAAAACACAACAACTATGGCGAACAAGCAGATGAATTGGACGGTGCTGGAGACTAACTTTTCAATCGAAGCACTAAGAGATCTCAAAATTGTTGAGAGGCTTGATGGACGTAAATCACGCAGTAGAGAGACTTTTTGTGCATGTCGTAGGAGCTGATCAATTGGATTCAGCTGGGCCCATGTGAACACAGACTAAACATCGATCGCTTTACTTTAAGTTCATGTATGAAGGTCGCATCTGATTTACCCGATACGATTATTTTCAACTGTATTGAGGAAAATGTTGCATGTTAACGCAGCTACCGTATCAATGCAACATGATATGAATGATACCATTCAATAAATGATACAGTATAATGTATTAGGATATGATATGCTCTGAGACAGAACTGTACGATTGATACGATGCGATACAATATATAATATATTATAATATGGGAAAGCAGGATATGATAGGGAACAATACAAAACAAAACAGTATGATGTGATATGACAAAATAAGATTTATCCTGTATGGTAGATTTTGAAATGGTTTGATACACTAGGACTATTTTTCACTGTCTGGTTAGTTATCACACCGTGAGATATTTCATGATATGAGACAATACAAGATCAGAAAATCACATAAAGATACAATATGAAACTATACCAAATAGTTCAGTATGATAGGTTGATGTAGTTTCTATTTTTACTTAATTCATTTCATTTTTTTGGCCCTTTGGGGGAAATTGGTCTTTGGGCTGAAGTGCTGCACATGCATCCATAACAGTCTTTAAAAGGCCAAAGTCAAATACTCCACATGTGAACAGAAAAACACCTGCTAAAGTAAACCTAATGACGTCTGCACATTACCCGTACTGCACACTGGGAGGATGCTACAGTGTTAACTCTGTCTACAGCCCAAACCAGTCTGTCATGCAACTGCTTCCAGGCAGATTTTGCACACTTTGCATGAAGTATCATGTTTAAAATGTACTTTATCCTTTAGTTTATTTTAGGGAGGACTGAACATAAAGCCCATTTCTGTCTACATCAATCTAACATTTCTGACTCTCTTTCAGACTATAATTAATCTGTAGCCTCACATCCACACCTCTGTAGACCTTTGTGTTGCTCAGAGCCGTGTTTGCCTAATCACACAGACTGTAAAAAATGCTTTGTGTTCAGTTTGAACACCTTCAAAAACCTGGCTGGAACCTGACATACCTGTGAGCTTGATGTTTTTAATTGGTGTGCATGTTGCTAAGCGAAGGCAACATTTCATAGTAACGACCTGTTTGTGTATGGAGAGCGTGTCATAACGTCTTTCTGCAGTTTCTGCTGCAACAACTCATTTAACCTCCAAATTCTTCTTTATCCTTCACCAGGTGTTGCTACAATAAGGATGAGAAGAAGCTCAGAAGGAGAACGGCGGCCCTTTTTCATGGTTGCATCCAATTATTATTCTGTTTCATCTTCCCTACAGATGTTGACAAGATCTATGCCTTGATTCTCCTGAGAGGGAGACCAAAAGGAGGATAAACAAAACTTCTGCGTCTCAAGTGCCGTCAAGAGTGTCAAGTGCTGTTGACGGTCTGGGTTCAGAGCGAGCGAACTGTTAGCTGTCTAAACAGGGTGACGGCGGACGGCCCACTGTAGTTCAAACAGGTCAGCAGTGAAAGACAACACCGGCTCGGCTGGTCCCTGTCCTCTGCGAGTTGACACAACCTTGTTGCCCCCCCCGTCCACCCCCCTCCTCCTCTCCCATGTGACAACAGACACCCTTGTCCCCCATCCTAACATATTACTGTAAAAAATAGGACACACTATCACCAACATGACCCTCTCTTTCCAGACAAACAGCCTGTTTCTTCTTCTCAGAGAGGCTGGTGTTTTTACATCCAGGATGTTTCCATTAGCACCTTTTGGTGAATCCCTTTCATCCAGCTGTCACAGTCCTCACGATCTGACCATGTCAGCGCTGTTAACCTGCCTCTCTACGCAAACAGACTCCATCACACAGCGAGGAAGCTCTCTGTTCTCTACTTTCTCTGTTTGCTCGCTCTCTAATAACTGTTTGCTCCGCCGTCTGGAGCTGTTTGTTTACGTCTGTTGACATTTGGCTTTGTGTTGACGCCTCGTACTTGTTAGCCATACCTGTCTTGTTTGAACTTCATTCCTAAGTGCAGAGCAGTCCGTTGTGGGATGTGCTGTTTGACACTGTTGTTTTTGGGTGTTGGTTCACAGTCAACACACATTTAGAGTTTCACTTGACTTTGCAGTCACAGGGATCTGAATCATAAGATCAACACTCTACATTCGATCTCCTTTTCAGTATTTCTTTACATTTCTTCTTTGCACAAAATAAAGAGTGCAGATTTTTCCGTCTTACGTGTAAGCAGCTGTTCATGAGTTGCAAAATAAACCACTTGGTTCAACTGTTAACCAAATACTGAGCCTGGATAGGGTCAGGGATGAGGGGAAAAAGGTGGAGAAATGTTGAGGAAACTTGAAAATGAACCTCAACGAAGTAAAATTATGAGATTTAAGCTTCACTTTAAGTAAAAAAAAAGTTGAAATACAATTTTGTGAGTCAAATCAAAATGTCGAGAAAATATCTCGTGTTAAATTCAAGAAATAATGAATTAAAAAGTAAAAATTAAAAAGTGTTTCATGGTCTAAATGCTTCTTTACTTGCGGCCAAACTCTAGTTTTCTGAGTAATTTTACTTGTAAATAAAAAAACTGTTATATTATTAAAACACATGGTTGGGATGTAGAGATGCAACATGTCTGCTCATCTGTCATACAGCCCTGCACAATCTGCTCCCTCAGCTAATACTATATACTGCTCAATCATAAACATGTGAAATTGGAGTCTCAAGAGTTGAACCATATGTGATCGGTGATTATCGACACTAAAACTGAGAATATTTGTAATGCCAGACAATACATATTCCCACTAGAGCCAGAAGATGTGAGAGAGAGAAGAGCTCAGTTATGACAGCAGAAGGGCTCCAGGCAGTTGGTGAAACAGGTTTATTATTGACCAGAGAGCAAGATCGAAGTTTGCTTCAGTTACCTGTTCGTTCAAGTTACCCGAGCAGCCGGTGGTGCTGTTTGCAGACTGCTCTACGTTGAAGCTTCAGGCACTGGGAGGGTGTTCGTGTTCACTCCTCTAGCTCGCACAGGAGCTTCAGACTGTCAAGACTTAATCTGGAGTTGTCAGGCCTCAGAGGAGAGTGATGGTGGTATGAGCTTCTTCTAATGGACATCATTTAGAGTGATCGCACTTGTAGGAGTCCAACTGTTTGGGTCTTCAGCAAACTCACGGCTAGAGCCTCAACGTACCCTGTAGTACAAAACGAAGATGTCAGAGTGGGAACTTCATGCTGTGTTTGAATAACAGAGAGTTGTGCATGCTCTATCTTTGCAGTTTCTCTTTTTAAACATTGAAAACAGACTACTGCCACCTGCTGGTTTGGAGGCTTTGCACATCTGTAAAACAGAGCGACACCTTTGGTCTTAATGTGGAGTTCAGGTGCATCATCTTGGTGAGGTTTCACCCCAATCTGCCTCTGCCGTTGTTACTTCTTATTAGGGGTGTCCCGATACAACTTTTTTACTTCCGATACAATACTGATATTTTAGCCTTCAGTATCATCCGATACCAATATATATCCGATATTGGCACAAACTTGTGCATGATAAGTTTTGCACTCCGCTGCAACATCTTTCTCGGACTTAAACGAAAAATACTGCCACAGGACCGATATCACTCCTACTCGTTGGTACTTTGTTAGTACCTTGGTACGCACTGTTGTCGTGGTTATGTGGGCTGTACATGCTGGATCCGGGCGCTGCTAGATAGAGGTGCCGGAGCGGAGTCTGGAATGGACTGCAGGGCGATATAATCCGGTATTTGTTTTTTGGCTGATATCGGACCGATATCTGACATCGATATCACATTGGAACAGCTCTACTTCTTATTGATGATTTGATCGATTTTACTGATGATTCCAGTATGATATTGGGATGGTTTGGTTCTCTACAGTAACATGTGGTCATGGTAGAGCTACAGTAACAACGGACTGACCATCTATAGCTTCAAATGATTCGGCCTCTACAGAGTGATACGGGCTTCAACCAGTGATTCGTTCGTTGCCAGACAATTTATCTCTCCTCATTGGCAACCAATAAGTCAACCATTAAAACGATTAATCAAGTTCTCATCGAATCCCGAGGGACGCACTTCAATTGACGGGGCAAACAATTAATGGCATCCTGTTTATTTGAAGTGATTATACAGGGTTTGTTCCCATCTGCCTCCTGGGAGGAAGTGGCGTCTCTGGTGCAGATGCTGTTTGTCAGAAGTCAGAGCGGTGAAGCGGCGAGCCAGCATGCAACAGAAAAGATTCAAGCAAACTGAAATAGAACAATGTTTTTTTTTCCAAGCCTGTATCCTATTTCATAGGGAACAATGCTAAGATGGTGGCACATTTCCACGCACATGAAAGACGAGCCGGTCCTCTGAAGCTATGCACTGTATGCGTTTTTGTCATAGTTTGGTGGTGTTTGCTTTGAGAGATGTTAGGAGGAAGGCGGGCCTCAAATCTTTTACAGTGAAAGGTTTGTGATGCAGATATCATTGTTAAGGTTTGGTGGTTGTACTGTATGTACAGTGACTTTATGATAAGACCTTCAAGCTGCAGAAGATGTTTGGATCTGTGATGTTTTGCAGCAGGATAATTTAGTGGTCGTGTCTCTTCCTCTTCTTTCAGGGCAGTCTTCCTCCTCTTATTGCTCAATGGTTGGGTTGTTTGTTGTCATTGCAGTATTGTTTTCACTGTCACTTTTTGATCTTGTTTTATGGTCCCAGATGTTGGCAGAGGGGTGCAATCCCACAGAAAAGACATTGCAGGGATGCCTCTGATGTTCTCTGCGGTGCACTTCTCCTAAAACAGCAAACATGGACTCCTGGTCAAACAGAAATAAAAAGCAGCGACAGGCTTTGGAAATGTGGTCTGAGTTTGTGGCAACCTGTAAATAAGATTCAGTGTCATGCAATTCAAATTATCCAACGATTCTCAGACATAGATGACTAATACCCAAAACAAAATTTGCATTTGCAGGCAAATCAAACAGGAAGCTCATAAAACACAAACACAAAGGTTGTCCTAACTCACCTATGCTGGGATCTCGCACCCGTTTCCTCCCCGTAGGTGACTCCCACCTCCACACTTCTGCCTGACTGGTGTAAGGAGGCCACCCTGGACTTCCCTGCTTCTGTAAAGGTTAGAAGATGTGAATGAATCAGGTCTGTGTGTGCCCATGGCGGAGGAAGCACAAAAGCCTGTTCTGGGGGGCGAGATGGCCCCAGCATAGCTTCTTACCACCAATCAGAAGTGATAAAAAAAAAAAGAGGAGAGGGAGCCAGAGGCGGCGAGGGGACTAGAGCTCCTCTGTAATTACAACATGGTCTTAAAAAGCAAATACCAAGCCCTAGCAACCTCAGCCCGGAGACAGAGAGAAAAGGGGGGAAATAGTGGAGAGGAGGGGAGGGGAAAAATAGGCAAGGGGAGTTAAGAAGCGCCACAGAGAGCGACCCTGCAATGACCTCGGCTCTCCAACAATCGTCCCCTGCCAGCTGGAGCCAGGGTTAGGGGCGAGAGCGAGGGGCCGGGCAGGATCCCCTGCGATTTATGACTGACTATAAGGCCCCTGAAAGAAACCCAATCACCCAGGATTCCTGCGCAGCATGACTCTGGCTGGAGAGAATAGATAGCCCAGGAGAGTGTGGGACTGGGACTTGGGCGGCAGAGCCAACAGCTCATACACAGGCAGTGACACAGAGGGCCACTTTAGCGAGGGGAGGGCTGGTGGGCACAGGCTCTATTATGTGCAGCTCTCTGCATTGAGCATGATATCATTACACTGTGCCGGCGCTAACCTCAGCTGCGAACACAACGACTGCCCAAACTCATCCTCTGAACTCTCTTTGTCCGACATATTTCACAACCTGGATTTACATGCACCCGGCTAATTGCTCTATCTGTCTAATTAGTAGAAATGTAATGGTTATTAAATTTCAACCTGCTATCAATGTAGAGTGGGAAAGAGAGAGGCAGGCTGAGAGTAGGGCATGAAAAGAAAGGGAGAAGGCAGCTGTCTTTTAAAGCGGGGTAAGCCGCGCTTGGAGCTACCCCGCTGATCCATTAGCATATCTGAATGATCCTGTTCCTGCACAGCCACCACCACGCTGCAAGGTGGCACATCTGAAGAACGCGCCCTTTGAATGTGCTTGCAAGCTGGGGAAACTCTTATTTTTCAACCCGTTTGAAAATCCGGAGACAACTTGATGTTTGAGAAGCCAACAAAAATAAAAGAGAGAGAGAGAAAGGAGAAGAGAGGAAGAAAAAAGTTTGAGATTTAGAGGAGGACAGAGTTTTACAAGCTTTTTGAAGCTGGATACTCAATAATTCACTTGATGCTACAAGCTGCAGTAAGGCAGTATGGAAACACACAGTCGTGCGTGACAACAGTTTTCATCGCCTGTGCGTTGTCAAATGAAAGTGGGCCCCAACCCCGGGCGGGTTTTGGCAGCAGAGATGTTGTTTTTGGTGTCAGAGATCCCTGAAAAGCAGACCCATGTTTGAGGAAAAGATCTGCTTAATTGTGCTTTCAAAGAATTTCAGAAGTCACCAATTATTTTTCCGTCCAGCTCGAACTTCTTTTGATAGTATTTTAAAAAGAAAAAACTGCTCTCGCCTTTAGCTATCACTGCCGTCGCCTCGGCTTTTAGAAAACAACCAAAATGATTGTCGTTTCATGTTCAAAGCGCTGATACCATGAGCTGGCTGCACAAGAATTTGCAACATGTAAGTAATTATTAACAAAGTGCTCCAAACAGGTTTGGCTGGATGATCTCTTTAGTCAGGCACACCCAATATCTGTTGCACAAGTAATACAAGACTGAGTGTGTGGATGTATAATCCGTCCTGCGTTCTGATCCTGATCTTATTTGGTAAATGTGTCAGAGCTTCGTTTTTTCCCCCTCTTTTTTGATTAGCCTTGAAGTTGGTCTCCCCTCCGCCACAAAGCGGGCTTCTATTGACTGGTTCCAGGGAGCGTATTGATGGTTCCATAATTTGGGCACAGGAACACAAAAAGGCTGACCCCCGCTGGGCTCAGCACGACAGCCCAGTCAGCAGGGAGGCTTGCATTTATTAGCCTGGGAGAGGAGCTCCTGCAGAATTAAAGCACATTCACCCAGCCATTGATCTCTGTCATGAAAACAATACTCGCCTCCCTCTCTGGCAGCGAGCGAGGCACTGCATGCTCTGAGGTAATTCGCCGGCCATAGAAAACAGGATGGCTCGCACCCTCGGGCTGCGAGTAAACTATTTGAAAAGTGAGAGGAATAGGATAAAAAAACTAAGCCATATTAGATTATCAATCCACCTGTCCGATTGTATTATGCCATGAATTGAGATGAATGGTCGCTGAATATGAATGCAGCTGTTTTTGTGTGTGTGCTTCCAGGGAGCAGAAACCAGTCTTTGTTTTTTTGGCTGTGTTGTGACATGTTGAATGCTACTTTATGCGCCTCAGGAGGATTTAGAGCGTAGATTTCCTCTATTTCAGTGAAAAGCTGTCTGTAGAATAGAGCAAAGCTTAATGAACTTGCCTTTTACTTTTGGCTCTTACGGGAGGGTCATATGAGAGGTGCAGAGGGTGGTTGTATAGCTCCTTTCTCTCTGAGTGATCTTATCTTCAGGCCGGTGGACAAGGGTGATACACGGTATACAGGCGAGGGAGAATTAGGGCAGTATGTTCCAACACTGTGAGCCCCCACCATCTTAGTGTCTGTTAATCCACTGATAATGGCCTTCATCACCTCCCAAAATACCACAGAGTCAGTCACAAGACAGGAGCATGCCTTCTGGTATCTCATATCCGAGAGGGGGCACGTGTGCAGGAGACGTAGACTTGAAACCGCTTTGCTGCAGAGCGATACAGCCGCCCAAGAAGGATTCATAAAAATTGAGTTATCAGTTGATGTTGTGGTCTGCAGGCCTTCCTGTGGACTCATGAAAACAATCTTGAGGAAGCCACGAGGAGGGGGCTTGGCGGGCTGCACCAAAACTGCTCTCTCCTTCTTTTGAGGCAGTTGTCCTTGCGTGTGTGTGTGTTTGTGCACAGCCCTGACTGTTGACCTAAGGAACTGCCAGTGCTTTGATGCTGCCCTCGGTGGCCAGTGTCCAAGGAGGAGGGGGGGGCGCTGTCTGCACTGTCCGGTCAACTCCTCACACACACACACACAGGCCGTAGAGTCAACACATGACACAAGAAGACAGAGAATGTCACACTTCACACATAGTTGAAAGGCTGGGTGCGTCTCATTATGCCACCTAGAGCTGCTTTTGTCAGCTGTGGTTTGATGTGTGGAGGGGAAGGGCTGAGAGAGACGCCGTGGCCTGGTATGGGGCCTGCCGCTGCCACGTTTGAAGTCACTGTCGGGACAAGGTCTTTCATATTTACAGAAAAGAGAGGGAAAACTCAAGGGACACTCGTGATTGGCACACTGTTTTGTTAGCGTAATAAATGGCTAGAGCTAATCACCATTTGCACCCGCCCCGTTCATCAACCCTCCTGCAGCCCCAGGAGTTTTAAAAACAGTGCTATGCACGCACTTTTTTGGCTCCTCAAGCATGAAACTTCCTTTAATCTATTCTTCCTCAAAAAGCCATTCAAACATCTTACATAAATTATGCTCTTAGCATTAGAATCAAAGGAGAGCAACTTCTCCCCTCACGCTGTCAGTGAACCTTTTGATGGACAGATAATATCGAGGCTCGCTTTATGGGTAGCATATGCGCATTGTAATTCCAAAAGCGACTTTGAAACTCAAACGCATCCATTGGTTACAGCGAGAAAGAGCCCCTACACCTCCATCACATTTCCCCTGCACTTACTTCATGTCTGACTAAAAGGAAATAGAGAAATTTCTGAAGCTCTCCATGGCAAACTAGGGCACGGCGGATAATGTTCGTTTTATTGTAAGACTTTGGAATAAAATTCATCAGCTCTTTACTGCGTTTTTATTAAATGTGATATTTTTAGGCCTCCACTGTACTTCTTCTCTGTTAGCTCACACTAGAAGAAGAGCACAGTGCAGAAATGAAAATGTTCCCTCGCTCACCTGTATCATTGGTGGAGCTTTTGAGGATGCATCATACAAACTAGTCCACCATACCTGCTTCACTAACATGTAGGCTCTCTGTAAAACACCAATAAATGCTTGTTTTAAACCATCTCTGTTCTGGATTTAACCAACTGAAATACCAAAACAATGCATCAAACTATGTTGTTCCCAAACCTGCCTTTGTTTTGACCAAAACAAGAAGACCCCCAATGGGCTGCACGTCAGGGGTCAGCACTGATTTGTCTGTATGTGTGTCAGTCACTCCTAACATGCAGTTGTTGCTTAGCTAGTCCTGATTATCACACTGACAAGACCTACAGCAAAACATCATGAAGGATAGCTGTTTTACTGACAAGGAAGTTGGCATTTTCCAAGGAGCTCCAGGAGAGTTACAGCTTCCTGCAAAAGCATCAGACACTGGACGTGCTGCAGTGTAAATGCATATTTGCATTTTTGAGGAGGTGTATGTAAAGCTTCATATGAGGTTCCTGCAAAGGTCTAGAGCTATGCAAACCCATCATGTGTACTAAACCGTAGATTTGACAGGATCAGGATTCAAAAGCATCCAGCCATGACTTAAAGGAATATCCCGGCGTAAAATTAATTTAGGGTCGAAAAACACCGAAACACCGAGTTAGACACCCCCTCCAGAGATGAATGTTGCCGACCGCTTACTTCTCTAGTTATACCAACTCTAGTAATGACCACACGATAGCAATACAGAGCAGTCTGAGGAGCCATAAACAAACCTCAACCAAAACGCCACTCTATAGACACAAATAATGCTCAGAACAGCACCTAACTTCATCAACAGGACATATAGGGTCACAGACATAGTACTAGACACCAAACATCTTTTTAACTTTGACTCATTTCTTTAGCGAAGGGACTAAACACAACTCACCTACTCTCTTCCAGCAGCCGCTTGTTTGTAGAGAGACCTCAGGCCAGTCTATTACAGACTACAGCGGGGTGACGCAGCTCAAGGAAGAACATTTATGATCATTTCTTCATGGAAATACAATCAGACCGAGACGCTAAGGCAGAAGAACTACCGCATCTGTAAAATGATTAATATGGTGATTATTCATTTAAGGAAATGATAAAGTGATGATCATAGCTTTCTCGTTACTAAAGTTGGTATCACTAGAGAAGCAAGCGGTTGACAACATTCACCTCTCTAACGGATGTCTAACTCTGTGTTATGGTGTGTTTGACCCTAAATTAATTTTACACCGGAATGTCCCTTTAACAGCCTTGAACAACATCCAAGAGTGGATTGATAGGCGTACTCATACTCAGGTTTCTGGTTAGAGAAATCAGTGATGAGCTGTAAGGTGACTGCCAATGAGATCCTGAGAGTTAGGCATCATATTTCTCAAACAACACAATTTAAACTCACTCATAAAATCCCAGTCAGGCCTTCACCTGAGAATATCTACCTGCAAAATAGCTGTCTATAGATAACACTGTGAAGTCTGCAGCATGCTTCTCCTCAGATGGCTTTCCTCTTTATTCGGGTTTTGTGTGGCACATAAAGGCTGAGATTAATGGCCTCCTCTTCCTGCCTTTCTTTATAGTCCAAGTTAGTTCATTGTGTGTTGCCTGTGATGTTTTACAGGAAGAAAGCCTCCGTATACAACATAAAATATGCTTTGTACTCAAGATAAAAAAGTAAGATCCTGCGTCCTTCCGTTTTGCAGCAAATGAGAGGAAGAAGATGTAGTGTGACTGGTGCAAACTGCTAAGGGAGGTCATGGTCGGGGCCTCGCTTTGTAATAAACACGAGGCTTCTTTCATAAACAAAAGAGAGAGCAAGATAGAGGTTTGTGTGTATGTGGGGGAAGAGAGGGAGGAAAGTATACAGACTCTTTTCTTATCTTTGTTCAAATAGTGTGGAAAGGGAAAGTCAGGAACGACACAAAAGAGAGAAAGGAGAGTGGAAACAAAGGCAGGTACAAGATAATGACAAGGTCAAGTGTGCACTCAATGGCTCAGTTCAGCCGGAGAGAGATAAGGACCGACCTGCTGACAAGGTGTGTGCAGCAGAGGGGAGTGGGAGGTCAGGTAAAGCTCCAGGGATGGCTCTGCCTGACACATTCACACACACACAGAGACCTCAAACTCATGTGGAAGTGTTTGCGTGGGAATACTGGCTCTCTACCACCACCTGCTGGACTAACGTGCAAACACATGTTATTAGGCCACAATATGAATGAGAGCAATTTTGACAAGTTTAAAAGCATCAAGTGGACCGAAACAATTATTATTTTTGTACAAAGACAAGTTTCTTTACAGAATTTTTTAATTGCAAACACATACTTCATCATACAATCCTATGATTTGATTTTTCACGTTTTATACAGATTTTCCACAGTAAGACTGATCTTTTTATTTTCAGATTATTGGAAGTATGCTTGTCATTAAAAAAACATCCATAAAAACTGTAATGAGAGCGACAAAGAACAAGAAATACAGTGATCCCACCATCATTGACAGATAACATTGTATCGCCTCTAAAATTGTTGTTGCTTTAAGGCATATACAAATTTATGATTGAAATAAGTTAAAACATGTAAAGAAAATTCATCTATTGCACACAGTTTTTGTGTGGGCCAGCTTTAATTAAAACGTGTACAGGAAATGTGTTAGAAGATATACAAAATAAAATACTGCATTCCCATTAACCTCCCACCTCTCTACCCTGGATGGCTTTCTTTGCATTTACTTTATTTTCATGTTTCACGTTTAATTTGGAGTTATGTCATTAGTCAGGTATGAGGTATGTCATTATGACATTAGTGCTTTTATTTTGAAAGGTTAACGCTACAGTCGGAAAGTAGTAACACGGCGCAACAAACTTTTGTCTTCAAAAAGCGTAAAAACTCCAAAACTCTCTGCCGGTGAATCATCTGCCGTTGAGGACATAAGGTTTGTTTAATCATTTTTATTAATATAAAGTTACTCTAAAGTGTTATATGGTAGTTTTGTTCAGTTTTAGCATGAGTGTGTTTGAGTCATAGAGCGTTAGCTATGTTAGCTTAGATCCCGGTGATGTGAATTAGCAGTTAGCATTTTAGCAGTTTATTGTGATTTAAACACGAAGACTGAACTGGGGAATGCGTTTTACACTGCCTAAGTCCTTCAGGTGATCTTTTTAGCATAACATACATTTTTAGGCGTTCATCATCTCTGTCCTAACAGATTTGAAATATACTGGCAACAAATTTAGCAGTACATTTACAGTTTCATAAAGAAATAGGGTTTCACAAATTTTATATATATTTTTTCCAATATTTCCGTTTGAATAATTTAAAGTCCCAACTCTTTTGGGATTTCGGTAGTACCTTAAATCAAGTAACTGGTCTGTGGTAACTGCTATCCTGAGCACAAGAGAATGTCTAGGTTGCTAGGCAACAGTTTGGTTGCAGTTAAGTCAGGAATCAGTTAAATTATGAAAAAGTAACCGCTTAATAATAATACTATGCAGCTAACTACTTAGATGAAAAAATTAACAACTTACATAATAATGCCCACCAACAACAATGTGCTATATTAACAAAAAGCAAAACAATGCAATAATCCCATGTGCAATAACAGTTTAGAAAAATGTGCTGAATTTCAGCTCTTGGTGTTTTTCTTTGGCACTCAGCCTGCAGACTCCTGCCTATAACTGACTCAGAGCAGTGCTCATTTTTAGTACCACATCAGAACCTTGAGTGTGATATTGCTCAGTCAAAACGCAGCTTAATTATGCTCCTCTGCAGCCCTCTATTTGACCTGCAAATATCTAGAAGTAAAGAGTGAAATTAATGGATAAAAAGTAATGTGAATTCATTTCTACAGAGTGTCTAAGGAGCTACTGCCAAGAAACTTTTAATCCGTCATTCATGGGACACACTTTAATCTGAAGTCCAGATTGATAATGACAGCAATATGGGAAGTTTTCCGAACTGACCAGCAAGGAAACAATGGCGACTTGAAAGGCACGCCGCCAATGCATTCATCAAGTCTTTCCTGGAGCGACTCCAACAATAACCAACAGCTCGACTGGGAGAATCCTTGTCCCGCTTTGATGTTTGACGCTCTTCTCTTTCTGAGAGGCACATCACTGAGTGAGTGAAATTTAAAAAGGCACAGAGCCCCCCCATCAGACATGGAGCATGACATTAAGTGTGATTTCAAACGACAACAAATAAAGTGCAAAAGGGCTACAGGCTGGCAACTTACTTTCAGGCAGCATAAAGGATAGGATTAGTTGAAGGCTATCTCTGATGTGTCACTCATCTCTCAGAGAGGAGAAGGAGAACACGAGATAAAACGACTTTTGGTGGACCAGCAAAGCCAAAGAGGAGAAAGAGAGATGGAGAGATATGCTTCTGATACAACTGATCCAGACACTGACCCTAATCCTGATCTGGAATTCTGATCTCATGCCTGGATAAAGGGATAAAAAGCCTCTGGGGGGGTTTCAGCTGAAAAAGAGAGGCCTTGGACGGATACTCAGAGGTGGGCCTGGTCAGTGGGACATCAGGCAGCACTTTGACCACACCAAGCCTTGAAGATGTGAGGGGCAAAGGGTCTGTTAAGTCTCATCCAGCACAGCCAGGCTCAGGGTGAACATAGAGGGAAAGCACCAGGAGAGAGGGATTGAAGTGTGCTGCAGGGAGCGGGATGGTTATGCAGTTTGGACTGATAAAGCAGCACTTTGCTCCCCTTCATTTGCCTACTGTTGATAATTTGGATTAGTGTTATGGAAGGAGGGGCTTAAAGAGGGAATAATACTGTGTTATTGACTGTATATTTGAAGAGCAGAGCTAAGCTGATTTAAAGCAGTGATGTCCAAGAAGAGGCACTTGTGCACCATCTGCTCCCGCTAGTTTTTCTGTCTTTTTTTTCTGGAAAACATTTTCAAGCAATCTGATAAATAGAGATCAAAATTGAGTTAAGGAGTAGCTCCACATATCAAGTCAAGTTTAATCAATTGATGGCCCAGCGTACCCACATCATGAATGTACCTCATATGCTTTATGTTCTGTGCAGCATACAAAAAACCTTAATGTATTTACCCAGAGTTCAAGAGAGAAACTTAAAATGAGAGTAAAAATGAGTTTAAAGAACAGGGTGTTCACTTTGAAATGTTAGCTCAAAGTAAAAGCAATATATTATATATAAAAGTCTATATTAAATCAGTATCAACATCATTATTGGCCAAAATGAGTTTGAAGGTATTTGCACATCTGATGTCTGCAAAATTCCAAGTCCTGCACCCCTAAACATTTAAGATGAACCACTCTTTTCCTCTCATGAGCTGATTTACTTCCACTTTGCACATTTGGAAAACTCTTTTTGTTGCCTGCATGAGTTTATCTTAACAGAGCTCTTGAGACGACAGGTTCAGACGGAGGGAAGGAAAAGAGGTTAGAGGAAGCGTCTTTTAGCCCCCTGTGAGGAGGAGAGAAGATAAGCCTGCAGAGTCACTCGGTGACTCGAAAAGTTTATTAAATCCCAATCTCTCAATCAGCTGGTCTTCATTAACTGATAGCTTTTTCATGTCTTTTTTAATTGCCCTGCACTAACGTGATGTGTGTATAAGCACCCTTCTTTGAGGCCCCCTGTACCAACAGAAACCAAAGTACAGACGACACTGAATCCAGTTTGTTGTCATTTAAGCTTTCCACACAGGGAGCCCTGAATCTGTGGTGGTGGAGAGGGTTTAACTCACCCTTAATTTGGACAAAAAACAAATTGATTGGAGCTAATATTGCCATCTAGTGGTGACAGTAATGAGAGTTTCTGCAGGGCCTTGTTAGTGTGGCAGGAAAAGGAGGAAACCGTATAACTTTGTTGGCTTTATATTAAGAAAACATTTAAAAATGTCCAAACTAACAAGAAGCGTCTATGCCAGAATGAACCAGACGACAGCTTGCATCCAGGAGGAGGCAGTCTTAGGTCAGAGACGGAGGCTTACCCAAACACACACACAGAATCCCTGCCAGAGCCTCTTCTCTGTGTGCTGAGGATTAATCGGCCATAGCAGGAGCCCTGATGGAGGGGGAGCCAAGCGTAGAGAACATGGCCGGCCCCCACTCTATCAATCAGACAACTCTTCTTCTACCCAAACCAAATTGACCTGCCGATGCACTGGCCACGTCCAAGCTCTGTGTGGAAATAAATCACATTGGATGAGAGCTGGGTACCTGTCAGCTCCACTGAACGGCGCCTCCCTCCCTCTGCTCTGCCTGGATGGAAAGATGTGTCCGTCTGCACAGCCTCACACGCCGCACACTGAACACTTGATTGAACTCTACATGCAGACAATTATGGAGAGAGCCAGGTTCTTTATGCAGGTTGGCTTTGGCTAGGTCACTTCCATATATTATTTTGAAGCAGAAGTTGGATTGAAGAGTCGTTTTTTTATTGTCTTTAATCCCCTTGAGTCATCCTTTGGCAGTGCATTTAAAGCAGCAGGTTCAGGTTAAGTGAAAAGTTGGTAGTTTTGTCATCAAAAATGCGGCCCCCTCTCCTTGAAGAGGATTAAATATATGAAGATTTTTCTCGCAGGCACTGCTGTAGAGCTGACAAGGCAACTTTCCTGACTCTCATTGTGCTCCATGAAAATAGGGATCTGGAGGCTAATTGTTGTTGGAGGAGGTGCAACAAAGATGAGGTGAACTCCATGATCTTTTTCCCCCTCTATTCCCCAGGCTGTAAAAGTCTCTCCCAGTTGCTCTGAGGTCTAGGAAGCTGCACAACTCAGGCAATGGATGAGCAATGGTGTGGTGGGAGATAATTTAAGAGGGGCGGGCTCTAAATCTCCGTTTTCCCCCTCTCCTCGCAGCCTCGGGTTTACCTGTGTGGCCGGCTGACAGATGAAGCAGTGTGCGGTCCAGGCGGCGTCTCTGTTCCCGGGTCATCCATCGCTCAGGAGTGATAAGTGGCTCTGTCCGGGTGTGGCTCATGCAGCTGTACATGCAGTCGATCACAGAGCCGAGCCACAGTACAACAGCAGCTGCTGCCTGTGGAGGACGCTGGAGCAATAACAAAACTCCAGGTGACGTCTGTATCACCTGAGGTGACAAAAAATGTTCTTCTGTAGGTCTGAAAAATCACTTTCTCTACTTCTGCTTTTTTTCTGTCTTAACTGCTTAAAACAAACCACAAATTTAGAGTTCTGATCATCAGTCTGTGCAGTGATATTAGATTAATTAGATTATATTTGTCATATTCATTAAAAAGTACAAAGTGTATGTTACATTTAAACTTTCCCACCTTGAATCTAACGGCAACAAAAAATTAAAACCAATAAATCAGCGGCAGCATAAGAAACATTCTCATCCATTCTCAGTGTTACTGGTCAGTAACTGGATCACATGAACTCATAATTTCCTGCAACATTAATGTTAGTAGTAACCAGCTGGTATGAATCAACAGTGGGGCGGTTCACTACTGAAAAATATAATCATGTACCAGATAAATTTGGAGGGTGCAGGTGGAGTCACGTGTTTCTTTGTAAACTTCAGGCGACCAATCAAAACTGTTGACTTATTTATAAGTCATCAATAATCCCTGTCGATGTTTAAATTAGTTTGATCTGCATTTCAAGAAAGTAATTAAATTAAAAACTCACTGTCATCTTCTGCATTTGAATTCCACATCATCAACACTCAGAGCGCCCATAAGTGGTGGTATCTGTGATTAAAACTCACGGACTTGGCAAAGACTCATAACTTAACTCCAACTCTCCAGGCAGTGATTACAGGCTACATGTAAAACACCGACTCTGTTTGATTCTGACTTATTAATCCATCTATCTAATATTTAAGAAGATAAAACAGACTTAAAAGTTAAATTCATAATGTGTAGGAGGAGCCAAAATAACCTTTGAGGGCTTGTCGAGTTTCCCTCATTAGAAGAAACATGAAGACAGAAAATCATGTACGACACCACGTCTTAATGAAGCTTATGAAATAACGTTGAAAAACTATCAGCAGCAGGAACATCCTTTGTGATGATAATGACAGTTTTCATGTGCAGTAAATGTATAAAATATGTAATTGCCATGCGTCTCTGGTGTCTGAATCAGGGAGAGTAAAATCAGAAGCTATCTGCCTGCCAAGACAGCTCTCCAGATCAGCCAGAATGTTCATTTAGTCTTATGTATTTCATCATTTGCAGAGTGTTTGAACTCCAAACAATCAGAACAAGTGAAAAAGCAGCGAAACAGAGACACGCTGTGAAGTTGAAAGGACACAGAGCTCGGCAATAACACAGCCAGGACTGTGGCTTTGATTCCCTCTGGGTTCACCCTTTCCAGAGACATGTGCTCTCCTTGCACTTTCTCTGTGTAAAAGCCTGTGCAGAGGCACACTCCCCAGTGACACGCACACACACACACACGCACACACACTCACGCTCACACACACACACACACACACACACACACACACACACACACACACACACACACTCACGCTCACACACACACACACACACACTCACACACACACACACGCACACACACACATGCTTCAGAGGAGATAAATGAAAAGAAAATGAATGCAGTCCAGAGCTGAATTCATTTTACATCCCGCTGCAAGCTCCACCAGCAGCCAGGTGCAGCCTTGCAGCACTAGATGGCAGCACAGCTGCACTGCTGCTCCTCTGATTGAATATTTAGACATTCACAGGTCTCACCTGATGGTTTGTTTGACATAACCTGATTACATACAGTGTCATATCTGTCCATTCACCTGCAGTTTGACTGACATCTTGCCTGCCTTTACACTCCCGCGGTGCTTACCATCATCCCTAGTAAGGGAAAAAAAATCTAATAACATGGCTGACTAACTGCTCAGCCTGCATGTCATGCTGTTGTGAGCTTCCACCAAAAGAAATATACATAAATTAAAGTTGTGCTCTGACATCAACTCATTGGCCTTCTCCCTCGAAGCGCCCTCTGGATGTGTGAGAAAGAAGTCTGACTTTTTTGGACGTGTATATTCCTGTTAATCCTCGAGACCTGATCACAGTTCGTCAGGTAATTCCTGGAACTTGGCACTCTATCAGTGAAAGGAAAATGGGTCTTAAGATGTGGAGCTCCTCTGGTCCTGCAGAGACTCTTTAAAGATGCTGAAGGGAAAAACGGGGATGTTTGATGTTTACAGTTTGCTCCTCCTGCTGCTTTAGTGCTCAGGCCGCTGTTTCTGTACCTGTGCAGGAATTCACTTTAAACTGAAATCCAAAAACTTTTCACATTTCCAGAATCCAGGGTCCATGTCCGAGAAGAGACCGCTATCTGTCCATATTGTGGTTTTGAATGCAGTGTGTGGTGCTGGGTGTATACACACTTATCTGTCTCTGAGATTCCTCCCCGTCATGATTCATTCCATCATGGCTGACTGTGTTCCCCAGAGCGTGAGGGAGAAGCTTATCATCTGTCTCCTCATTTCATGCCCTGTAGCAGGCAGTCCTCGACGATGGAACAAACTCAGGATGTAGCCATCATTGACACACCTTCATTTCTCACAGGAGACATGCAGGAAAGCAGCAGGCAGATTTTTAATCATCATATTCAAAAGGGAGTTTCAGGTGTGATATTCTCCCAAAAACTGTAACCTTTCTGCTGCAGCTTCTTTTTAGGGATAAGGTGAGCCGGCTGCAGCCCTAAAATGTGCTGTAAGCTGAGATAACCTATCCAATATCGGCAACTAATGAGGCAGAAAGAGGAGCCGGAGCAGACAGACACTATCATTTCAGCTCCATACGTTTTCTTCTGCAAGATAAGCTTTGTCAGAGGTCAGATACTGTGTGATAGTTTGACCAATTTCCAGCACTATTTCTGGCGACGCCTGTCGATTTGATGGCGACTTGGATTGCCCGCCGTGGTGAATGAGCAGCTGAGGCGCTTTTGGCTCACAGGGGAAATCTGTTCAGGCCGCCTGGAGTTGAACTGCAGAGCACTTTTACTCCTGGTGAGAAGATTGCTCTCATGTTTTATTGAACGTCGCCCACGGCACCTCTCATCCTTGACAATCTGATTCTACCAAGGTCTGGCTCATGACCTTAATGTTCAGCCAATGGGGTGTTGCAATTCTCTCGCACTGACCCCTCCATCAACCTCATCAGCCTTTAGGTCCTTTGGGTAGCATTTATGGGCCACTCTCCAAGTGGATTAATACCTTTGCTGCCTTCCTGCATTGTACTTAACTGTCCTTGTACTGAAATGACCCGTCATCTTTGCCCTTTGGTTCACTTGTCTGACGACAGACGAGGCTAGACGCTACTTTATCATCCATCACGTCTCTGAGGTGTGCGTCCAACAGCTGCCTCATACTGAGTATGTACATGTCTTCTTGGCAAACGCATTAAATTTGGGTCCAGGCCACTCAGCTTGCCAGCAACTCAAATAACAGTCTGTCTAGTCTCCTTGTCTGACCTCTACATCTGTCAGCCGATCTGTATTGTAGAGATTTAATCCACTATAGCCGTCTTGGGGGCACTGATGCTTCCTCAAAAACAGACCCGGTCCTCCATTATCGGTTTTACCTCTGGTAGGTCGTTGTTATCTGGAAAGAGTTTACAGACTTGAACACAGGAAACTGGAGTCATTCGCTCATTTATACACTGATCTCTCTGAAAGGACTGAGCGCTTGGTTGGTAGATGGCATTGTCTTTATACAGATGTAGTCTCGCAGTTAGGCAAACATTCAAATGTCTTTAACTTGTGTGAACAGTTAAATATTTGCACTCATTTTGATGGCCAGTAGGGGGCGACTCCATTTGTCTCAGGATCAAGCAAGTCTGTGTTTAAGTCAACCAGAAAATGACCCTTATCCTCACGCTTTTCCAGGGAGTTTAGTCTAATCTAGAGGTAGACCTTTTCAGTGTATTTATATTTTACCAATCATTGATAATTGATAATCATTAGTGGGCTGGAGGCTATTCCAAACAACCGTTCATTATTTGCTCTTATCAACAAGTCGGAGAACCCAGAGAGGACGTACGTATGCACAGGGGAGAAAATGCAAACTCTGCACAGAAAGGTCTCTATTCAGCTGGGATTCAAACCAGATGATCCAGATCTTCTTTTTTTATGTGGCCCTAATTCTCTGTCGCAGCACCACCGTGCAGCCCAGTTAAACAGGACTTCCTTACCTTAAAGAGACAAGGTGGATCTGCACTCAGCAGTCTGTCGACAGAAAGGGGACAGAGTCATTCATAATGACCCCATCCCGTAATTATGATCACTTTTGGTACCTTAAATTAAATAACATAGCGTCAACAAACACCACAAATTAGTAGTCCAGAAAAAAATGTTAGATAGTTTGAGCTAACTTTTTTTAGCTTAGATATTCATCCTGTCATTATCTAAATGGTTTATCCTGTTTGGGCCATGTAGGGCTGTTTGGTAAAAGGTAGATACACCCTGGACAGGTGGAGCTAGGACTGGGCGATAAACTGAAAATTTACTAATACCACAATTCACAACAATAACCAACATCATTTTGCCCATATCGGTATATTTATGTCAAAAAAATAAATAACTAAAAGTTGTTTTTGGATGTGTGTAGGTAGGCTATGGTCTCCTGTCTCTTTAAGACGCTGTCCTACATCAGAGACGTGACTCCACCCCATCCAGTCTGTAACAAAGAGGGAAAGACAGGTGAGGAGATGGAGGACGGAGAGAAAGTTGTAGCGGCTGAAGTAGACGAAGTTAATGTGGGAGGGGGTGAGCAGCTTGTGGAGTAGTTATCGTCCATTTATCGTTATTGAGGTGAACTGATCAATATATTGTAATATTGATTTGAGGTTGTATCGCCCAGCCTTAGGTAGCCCACAGTCGTCCAGGCTTATTTAGATTCACCGTGTTAATTTAAGAATCAGTGCAAACTCCATGATAACCTTGATAGTAGGTATTGATTAATTTACGCCTCCTCTGAAGTGTGTTTAACTCAGACATCCACAGCTCATGGGAATGTCATTGACCTGCGTATCCTGTTGTTAAGAGGGATTTGACCTGAGAATGACCCCTGATGTGAAAACGTAATGCCCTTCCGGTTTCCTCCTGAAGGAGACAGAAATGAGTTTGTCTAATTTCACAGCAATCCATTTCATTGTTGTTGAGACATCTCGGTGTCTAAACTTCAGTAAATGATGGATGAATGAGATGGATGAGCGCTCATTACCAGTCCTCTTTCAGACGCGTACGCTTCATTATGGTCTGAGCACGGCGTCACATGTTTAATTTCCTCTCCCACCTTCTGAAGGAATCTAAACTGGAAATTAATGAGGCGATTATTAAAACATGGAGTTTCTGTTTGTACCTAATGATCTCGGTAGAAGACAAACTGACTGTTTGATAACTGCCTGAGATGTATTTTCTCCTCTTTTGACAACAAAAGCAAACAAATCCTCAGATGTCAAGACCTTATAATTCTTTCATGTCGGTTTTGTTAACATATCTCTCGGATAATTGTCAAGACGGCAGCCTCGGGAAAGAATTATTTGTCTCAGTGACATCAAAGCTTCCTCATTAGGCAAAAAGGAAAAATACGAGAGGGAGGAAACGGTTGCACGACAGCGAAGCGGCGAAACATCTGGTTTTTACCCATCTGCTTTCTGCCTTTCCACACAGCTGTGAGTCGGAGCAGGGGGTGATAACAGACTCTGTCTTTAGGAATTTTGCCTCAGCCCGATGATCCTTAAGATCTTACGCTTCCTCGAACATCGATTCAGTCAAGAGGAAAACAGAGTGGAAGTGAGCGCTCTCTTAGGAGGACTTTTCTGCTTGTTCTTTAAATTAGACTCATCTAAAAAAAGAGAAACAGATTGACTTTTTTATCCTGAGACCTTTTCCTAGATTACTTAAAAAGTTGGGGAGAACATAACGCGGTCACGTGCCGCAAGTCTCCGTCACTCACATCCCAGATTGGACTCTCATGTCATGTTTTCCTTTTTCAACTTCTACGCGAGAAGTGACTCAATTTCACTCAAAATGCAAATGACGCTCAGCTGCTTCATGCATTTTAGTTATTTGTCGAGACATGTAAACATCAATTCTGTCGTCAATCAAGCGTGAGAGCCAATTTTCATGTAAAGTGGTTGCTGTGGCTGTGTTTACACTGCCAGCGTATGCTCGTATTAGCCATGCAGAGGGCTGCAGCTCTCCGTCCTGCCTGCCTGACTCGGTGTGTCTGATTTCTCTGTTGTGGTGGTGGGATTACTCGGGGGATTAGCAGGATACTGGCAGCACCCATCGATGGGACAGAGATGACAGTTTCCCATCATGTAGTCTCTCGCTTCAACCCCTCGCGATTCCCCCGGACTTAAAGTGGCACAAACAGCAGATTACATGAGTGCGACAGCAGGGGAACAAGTCACACATCACACTGCAGAGATTAGGCTGAACAAACTCTTTCTCAGCTGCCTGAGGGTATTCAACCCAAACATGGAGAGCTGTCTCTCATGGCCCAGTTTGAACTGGATTAGGAGGCTACAGACAGCATTGCTCTGCTCAAGAGTTTGGAGAAAACAACTATGGCTCTCTGCTATATAAATAAAGGAGTGAGCTAATAATAAGCAAGTTTTCTGTTATAAGCAGCAGTACGTCAGCTCACGGCGCTGGCAGGACTTTCATCCTTGTTTGTGAAGCCATCGCTGCGTGACAGTATATCTGTTCTTCAAAAGACTGTCACATATCAAAACTAATCACTTCACACTGGAAGAGCTTGTGTGGTCAGGGCTGTGCATGTTTCCTCTGAGTCTCGGTGGCGTGAGCGCGGACCTGTGCGCCCGCAGATCCCCGGGGAACAAAGACAGACCTCAGTCCTGGGTGTATTTGAGCTCGTGTTTGCTCAGGTCTCTGCTTTGTACCTTTCAAGTTTCACAGACTTGCTATTAATGTTTGGAGAGCAGCCTGTGTGGGAGTGCAGAGGAGGCGACCACAGGCATGTAATAGAAAAAAAGCCTGCGGTCGCCTCCCTCCTATTAAGGACACAAAAGCCATTTTCTTTGTTGTTTAATAGGAAGAAGCATCCAGCATATCAAAGATTTGTCTTCTGCTGAAGAATATAATGGAAAATGTGCTGTTGTGGGATGAGAAGAGAGACTTTTATTCACTGGAGTTTGAACCATGTACCCTTTGAAGGTTTGTTTGGTGGGAAAGTAAAGACAGAGTTTTCTGCAGGTGGGAACATCCCTGACTGTAATTGTATATGATGATTGACGCAGACTAAGAAGTCACTGTTTGATGTGACGCTGTCGTGGGGGTAGCTGGGATTTCCAGATTGCACTCTTATTTTTGTGTTGCAGCACAGTTTGTTTCTTTGTTTGGCTCATTACCACCCCAGAGCGCTTAAGATCTGCACCAAACGTCACGTCTTTCCTTATCGGCATGCCGACACTTCGCCCCTCAGGGTCTCTTGCTGGAAGTAGCCCAGTTAAACCTGACAAAAGTTGTTTTATTTTTCCTGCACAGTCATACAAGAACTCTATCCTTCATTTGGGAAAAAACTCTGAGGTTCAAAAACCAACATGGCACCAAGGTTTATATGAGTTAATTAAACTCCAGCAACCTTTAGCATTGTTGGCAGAAGGGTTGATGTATTCAGGGAGAAACGGAAACATTTGGTAACTGAAATTGAAAATCGCTGAAACTCATCCATATCGTAGAACCTGCTCCGAACACAAATACCAGACAAGTTACAACCAGGGTTCATAATTATTTCTGCTAATTAAAAGTTAGTCTTCCATGGGGGTGGGACTTTTTAAAAAGTGGGACAGCTTTCCGCCCAGAGCAGTCTTGGTAAAAGTTTGTTATGTCAGCGGTGCTTCACCTCAATCATCGCCTTATAAAATATTTACTGGTGCTTCTGTAATAATCTGATTTAACATTATCTGTTGGAATACCACACTGTGAAATAAAAAAGTACTTTGTCTGGTGGAGATTTGACTTATCTTGCTGTTTAAAGCTCCTGTAAAGAACTTCTGGTTTGTGCGTTTATGGCGCCCCCTGTGGACAAAGTGATACATCTTATCTCTTTTGATAATTACTCTCAGCGATGTCGCCCGCTAATGGACAGATCATGTAACGTCTCCTTTCCAGTTTTAACGATTGCAGAAACTTTTTCTTCAGAGGAGACTCTCTGAGACTTTTTATCCCTTTGGTGACGCAGAATAAACGGCGTGTTCGTGCCAGAAAGGATCAGTCATGACTCGTCTATCACACAACTCAGGAAAGAGACACCGAGACAGAAACACTCTCAAGGTGTTGATTGGACGAGCTCTCGTAACCACAGAGGAGTTTTTTACGAACTTATCAGGACAGTCTCTAAGAACTTGTGTCGTCGTTAGGAGAGCAGAGAATTATTCACTTTTTGAGCTCGTTAGTTTGTGTTTCATCGCTCTCTCCCTTTTTACTTCTGGAGACATGAAAACCAGCTCACTCACGCTGTATCTCACAAAGAAACAATAAGGAATCTCACAGATTATCTCTGCGAATTTCAGTGTTTAAATCAAACATTCAGCCAACATATTATGGCTGTATGCTTGTTTGTTTTTGGCTTTTTAAGTGAAAATATGTGATTCTTGAAAAGACTTTTAGCTCAGGCAGTATATTTGAGGGCTGTGGATCGGATCATTTGTGGTGTGAATTTGCACACCACCCTCTGTCATTGGGTGTTTGTGATGCAGAAAATTTTTAAAAAGTTAGTTTTTTCCCCGTGTGTTGTTGACCACTTTGTCCACCCCACACAGTTTGCTTCGGCGGGTCATATTCAGGCATCAGTGATCATTTCTGTTTGTATCACAAGCCTTCTTTAACTCCTCCTCACAGGACATGACTTTGCAGCTGGCCGATTGACTCAGCAGTTAAAAGTGTCTCCTTGGATACTCAGACTGCAGTCCTTGTAGCAAAGAAAGGGAAGTTTATTTATATTTATATCTTTGACTCCAAAAACAACTAAATCAGTTTAATCTGTTCAGCTGGAGACACTTTTGTCACATCCATATATGGATTTGTTAAAGGTACTTACTCAGGGCTTACATAGGGCCACGGCCACCTGATGACATAGTTATATAAAGTTATATGTGACTATGTGTTGTCTGCGTAGTTATGGTAACTTATTTTGTTTTTAATTCTCTGTAATATTTGCCGGTGGAAGCATGTAGATGTTAAACAGAAGAGGCCCAGAGAAGGAGCCTTGAGGAACCCCACATGTAATTATTTTTGTCCGCTCAGATTTGAAGTCCTTTACAGACACAAAGAAGTCTCTGTCCTTCAGGTGAGATTACAGCAGACACTCTCGACTCTCGACTCTCGACTCCTGGCTTTGACCGTTTCCCGCCCTAATAGTCTCTCTTTGGCTGTCACTTAGACAGATTTAAGCGTAGTTTAAAACTTCTGTTTTTACGCACTTTTAAACTCTTTTTCTCAAAGATACTGAGCAACTTGTTTGGCTTCACAACAAAGAAACCAGCAGCTGTCCTTGAATCTTGGTGGACGGTGTTTCTGAGAGCGCTGGGAAGAGTTTTGAAAACTGGACAATCACATATCTGGGATTTCCACGACATTCGTCACTTATAAAGCAAAAGTCCGGCTGCACAGATACTATTTCATCATGCATGGGCAAAACTCACAAGAAACTAAACGTTACTGTTAATTAAAACTGGAACTCGAATACAAACATTCATTCAGAGCAAGGTTTGCAGACTCTCCATACACAGAAGCCACAGTCCTCACCACAGGGGGGCTGGTTCGACTCTCAGATTTGAACCCTTGATGCATGAAACTCTTCACTCTCTACCCTCCATATTTCTGGTTTCTCTTCAGCTGTCCTGTCAAAAAGAGCAAAAACGTTGAGAAAAAAGTAAAAGTAAAAACGCTCTAAAATCTGATGTGAAGCAGTAGCGACCACCAGGCTAACGAGCAAAGTTTTTCTTGGAGCTGTAAGATATAAAAGAAGGAGAAATTAAGACTGTATTTTTCTAAGGTGATTAAATCTGAACAAGTAACCTGCACAGACTCTGATTTCAAATGGAAACCTGAAAAGTCGTGTAAATGAAAGGATCGCATTCAAGTGGTAAAAAGACAAAGCGTCTCCTTTCTGTGTGGAAATACTGAAATTAAATTACTTCTTTGAGTTAAAAAGAACAAGAGACGAGTCCACAAAGTCGATGATCTAGATTAACGGTTATAAAAGCTCCCTTTGGTCGTGTTCGTGGCTAATGCTAATCAAACTGTGCTGTACAAGCTGCGCTCTCATTGACGTTAGCCAGTTTAGCTCCTCTGACCGTAATAACTTTATTATATGTATGTAGACTCTGAAACTGGACCCCGTGGACTTTTTCAGACACGCCCAAACTCCTGAACTCGAGGTTTTCAGAAAAATCTGACCCAGTACAACAAGAGGAGTAACTGAAGTTGGCTTTGAGTTAATCTATTTTTACGTACTTTGACTTAACATTAAACCATGTGGATTTTATTACCGTTAAAGAGTCTAATCATGCAAAGCAAAGCTCAGTACCCAGCTGCTGAATGTTCTTCATTTTTGTCTTTTTATCCTTTTTGGCAGTTTGTTTCCTCCTTGTTTTGATTGGACAGCCTGAGACAGACGGGAAACTTGGGAAAAGACGGGCAGCAAACAGCCGAGTCCTTTTGGGACCAAACATTCATCCCCGCAACAAAGAGGACTGAAGCCTCTGAACGGCGGACACCTGGTCTGCTTACTGAGCCAAACTGGCGCCCCATGTTACTCCAGTTTCAAGAGACAAATTCAAGAAAGTTAAATTCTTTTTTTGTAGTCTCGCTGAAACCGAGTTTTTAAACAACAGAGCGAACAGCTGGTGTGAGAGTGAAAAACTCATGTGTCTCTATTAAGAGCAGCTGTAATGAAGATATAGTCGAGTGAAATTTAACTTTAAGGATATTTTTCAGGTGGAAGAACAAACAGTCGTCAGACAGACGGGAGCATCTTCCTCTTTAAACACACAGAAACACTCAACCTGTGGCTCCATACTTTCAACCTTCAGCGCTGAATTGCAGCCTTATTGTGGATGTATGTAAATTGCAGTGCACTCACTTGTTCAGATTGCAGCGAAAATAAGAAAAGGGACGTTAGAGCGTGGTGTGTGTCTAAATGCACGCCAGCTGAAGCTACCTCTTTCTGTCAGACAGAAGGATGATGTACATTGAAAACACATTCCCTTCCTCGTGGCGCTCACATCTATCACCAGTTTATGGCCACTCTCTCGCTCTCAGACACATCTCTGCTGTGACATCCATCTATGTCAGCGTCCTGACTTGCATATCCGGAGGCCTGTGTTGTTTCTCCGTCCTTAAAGTGTTCATAACATATTCTTGACAGCCCCCTGCCATATGTTTTCTCTGCAACCGTGAGCTATTGTGGATGTTTTTATGGGGAGTCGCTGGATGAAGGTCACTGTTTTTTTTCTCTCTGCACGGCTTAATGTCAACGGAAATAATAGACATATGTGTGACACTGGTGACAAGCTTTTGTCGCTATGAGAAACGGCAGTTCTCACGCCAGTACGTACCTGAGCAGTTCTCCGATTTAGATGGGAGATTAGTCGAGCATTGAGCTGTCACATCCTCACGCCACAACTGTTTAATTTACAGCAGCGCCGTGTTTACCTTCATGCATCCAGGCCTGGTTAATCTTATGTAACATTTGTATGCATGTATGACAGGCGTTTATGTCCTCAAACAGCCCACAGGTCTCTCTCTCTGTGTGTGTGGTGGGGGTTTTCTACAAACATCTTTTGGGAGTAAATCCGCCCAGCCTTTTCTGAAAGCACAGTGTAGACGCTGTTGGAGTCTATGTGAGGAGCAGGTAAATAGGATGGGATATAAATGATCCTAGAGCGGCACTATACAGCAACTCTGAACACACATGCTGCTGCTGCTTATCAGAGTGCTGCAGTGCTCTGAGGTGCTCGTATACACTCACAGCAGACGCTTGTGGAAACTTCCCCCCTGTCTTTTTACTTTCTCATAAACTGTGTATTGATATGCTGGTGAATCCTCTTTATCAGTCAATAAAGCCCCATTACCTCCATCTCTACAAGTCTCCAGATATAGGTCCACCACAAGTCTGCAGAAACAAGGACAGAAGTAAGTTTGAGTATTTACCTCTTGATACGAACACTTATTTTCTGGATTTTAATGAAGAAATAGTTTGTTTTAATTTTGCACCGCTTTCCCACAGCTTGCCCTCCGCATTAAAAAACACCACCCGGGTATATGCATGAATATAAATTCCCTCATCAGGTTCTCTGTTGACAAAATGAGCTAAAATGAGTTGAAAGCCATGTAATTTCTGATGCAACTAGGCTGCAAGCAAATTCCACTTACTCACCTTTTGCTTCCCTGGCTTGGAGACTCTTTCTAACCATCAGAGGGCACTAAAAACCCACCTGATGCTCTCCGCAGTCCTCAGTGGAGAGGGAGTATCAGTGCAATTAGAAGTGATGCATTTTTCAGACTGCAAGATGTAGAGATGCAGATTTATCCGAGCAGGAGTGGGGGTATTCTGTATTTATGATGCAAGGAGCAGTGTCTGCATTTTTAATGAGCTGTGATAATGGGGTAAATGTGATGCAAATACATCCTAATTAGTCTGAATTTAAAAATTGATCAATGCAATGTGCGCAATTTATAACAGAAAATGACGAAGGTGCTGCAGGTCTGAGATTAGACTTGATTTAGTGAGGGATGAAAAATCTGAGAGTTTGAGTAAAAAATCTGAAATAATCGATGAAGGTGAAAGTTATTTGTGATGGTTTGGAGATACTCTCCAACATAACAAACCTGAAGGATGAGCGTCAGTGTGACACGACCTGAGTCATTTGTTGTATTTTTATTTGAGTTAAAATGAATTTAACTCATTTCCAGGTTAAACAAAAATAATCATTTTAATAATATGCTTTAAAAACTCATGAAAAACACCCCTCTCTTGTGTTTCTACCTGTTCCTCTATCATGTCTCATCAGAAGCCACACATTAAAGTGGTTTTATTCACATCCTTGCGTTTCTTTTACGCTCCAAGTCTGAACCTTCCTCCTCCCCAGTCTGTCCGCTCCGCTCCAAGTTCACTCCGGGTCTCCCTGTAACAGATTCTCAGATCAGAAACCAGCAGACATTAGCCTCGTCACGTCTGATCATGTCTTCTAACATGACATTCAAACCAACGCAGGGTTAATCCTACCAGCTGCGTACATGGACGTGGCTTCCTGAGCAGATGAACAGTGACAGATGATGAGTTTAGTGCCCTGAGGATTGCGCACAAGACAGTCAGTGATCTGCTAACAGGCGTTTAACACCGCAGAGTCCCAGCCGCGCCGGCAGACCGGGAGACCGAGTCATTCCGGGGGATTTGTTGTGATAATTCTGCTTACAAGGGAGATATCGATCCACACGGAACCTTTACCTTCGCATTGTTTCCACTGGAGACTCCCACTCCTTCTGACCGGACACTTCAGTCTTTTGAGGATACATCTCCGGGATCGTTACGCACAACTTTTACGCACAACCTGCCGCTGAATCGATGCGTTGTCAATTTCACCCGCAACACGGACTGAACTCTGATTTCTACTCCCACAGGTGTGATTATGTTCAATGTGCGAACCGCAGGGATGGATGAAACGATCCGCTCGCTGCTGCGCTGAAACGAGACCCAACACGGACACGGGGAAGTTGCCTGGAAGAGCGAGCCGCGCCGGGTGCCAAAATGAGCCTTTACTACCAGAGCTGGAGGGTCTTACACATATTCTTTGCAACAATTGCAGCTGTTCTTACACAAGGTTAGTGAGCTGGAGTTGATTGTTTGTCTGTTGTGATGTATGAAGTCAGTGTAAAGTGTCATTGATGGCACATTAATTCTCTTTCTGCAGCTCTTTAATGATCACAGCTGAACCCCAATCACATAGACTGCCTGTCTTCTTCACATTTGACTAATGAGAGGTGGGCCCCTCTCAGTATTACCGTGCCAGCAGTAAAACAGCCGTCTCCAGAGGTCTAAATAATATATAAATGTCCTCATTTGTGCCAACAACTGTCATCTCACTTCACTGATGCATCGTTATTGCGGCTCTAACATTAGCATATGTGTCTTACTTGAGGCAAAGAGGTGTCACTCCAGTGAGTGGAGTATAAAACATTGAGGATGAAATTCATCTGGGGTAATGCACTTTATTACTACTTACGCCCTGCTTTAGTGCCCGATACTTCGCCTCTGAATGGGATGAATTTTATTCCCTCATGAATGCCCACTGGAAAACAGGGAGACCTGATTTTCACACACTGAGGGGAAATAAGAGGCAGGCAATCTGAACTCCTAACTTTGATCATGAGAAAAAGAGGATCGGTGCATCATAAGGGCATTTACTGTAAGGTCTGTAACTGCTTCATAGATGAGGGCGGGCTGACTGATTTATCAGGATGAAATCATAACGAAAATGGAGAAATTGAGATTTTTTAAAGCTGCTTTAAGAGTCTCATTGGACATAGCAATCCCTACCAATCACTGCACAAGCTTAAGCCTCTCTCTCTCTCTCTCTCTCTCTTTCTCTCTTACTCACTCGCTCTCTCCCTCCCCCTCTCTTACTCTATCTCCCTTATCTCCTCCATCCTCTCTCTGCCCGGCCTGCAGAGTATTACAGACTATATGATAAGCACATCATATCCATATGTTTGTAGAAAACACTTTTAAAGGCATGTTTGTGATACGGTTATGATGCTGTCAAGAGTGCTTAGACGTGACTGTGAGATAGTCTCACCCTGAAACCTGCTCTCTGCGTACAGTACACAGAATTCAAAGGACACGGCGACAACAAATAAGCACAAAAATCACCGACTCATTACTCTGATCTCTTTTGAACATTCTTGATAACATGTTTTTTTTCTCATTCTGCACTTTTTGCCAAGCTAAAATTTGAAAGGAGAAGTTCAGAAAGGATTTCAAAGAAGTCAAAATCCTTTGACTTCCCGTTTAATTGGGACCACACTATCAAATTAGGCCCCTGTATCAGACACTGTGTTGTAGCACTGCACATGTTTCCAACTCAAAAATATTCCTCTGTGGATTTTACAGACTTTATGACCTTTTATAATTAACTGCAATGCTCGGAGATGCTCCTACTCTTTGCAACTCTTGAAAAAAATCCTGTCAGCGTGTCTTTCCTGAGCTGTTATCTGGTTTTCTACCTCTGTGTATAAATATCCCATAAAAGACTGAAACCCCTGTATTGAAGGGCCTAATTATCAGCAAGCTGTTGGACCCTAATGAGACTTCAGGAGCTCCATTTTAACTATCAGAGATGTCATCCAGTCACAAATCAAAACACACACACAGTGTTCAGTTTAGAGACAGAGCACTCTGTCGTCTTCAGGTGTTTGATCAGAGTCATTATAACCACCGGTGTGCCGCTGCATAAAGCTGAAATGATAAACTGTGAAAGAAAGAGCAACAAACAAACTGAGAGTGAAACTTTGAAACACGAGCAGGACTCTGGATCTCTCAATGACGGATTTAAAACGCAGACTTCCATTGTTGTCTCCTCTGATGCCATTGGGAGTCGCCTCACTTCTGCAAGCTGTTTCGCACATATGGTAAAAGTCATTACCGCGCATTAGAATTCAAAGAGGCTGCTCAGGCCATGTGCACTTTAATAGAATAATACTAAGATTGATTACAATTGGAGAAATAACGCTCAAAGACAAGAACGCTGAAAGGAAGTTAGCTGACCTATGAAAGGATTTTTAATTTCCGACCTAAAGACAAACTGCAGGGTAAAATGTAGCTCATTAAAAACAGCAGTGCTATTATTAAAACTGGTAATGGGGAACATTGTTTTGAAATGAATCTTTGGGTCTTAATCCTTAAATAAACTTTGTAGTTTCTTAGATTCACCGCAGAGGAGAACCTCAGATACTGAGCTGCTGCAGTTTTTCATGTAAAGTCAGGCTGCTGGTCATTTTTCGCTTTCATACAGGAGAGTAGACCTCTTACTGACTTCATTTGCTTTGTGCAAGTGGCAAAAATGGAGAAACACACACAACCAAGGGCTGTTGTGCACATGAAAAGCTCTGTTTTTAAATGTCACGCATTCATTCTGGATGAAAAGCCCGACCTGAAACTCATTTTTTGCCATCATTCAAAGTTATAATAGTGTTCGTTTCATATTACGTGTAAAAAAACACGTTTTGAAGCGACTTTAATTCAGACAGCGTTCTCATTTGGATACAAAGAGAAAAGGACAAAAATCTGATTAACTACTCCTGATTCAAACCCGAGCATGAGGAGAAAGTTCTGTTTTTTCCCCCGTCAGAGAGAGCACTTAACCTACATACTGTAGAAAAACGGAATAACGCAATAATGCATGGCATTGTACATGTTCAGGCTGCAGGAGAGCAGCAGTGGAGAGGTGGCTTTTACAATCATCTGCATGGCAACACTGATGCTTTCTGACTCAGCCAAGGAGGAAGAGAAGCTCAGTCTTCAAAATGAGTGATTTTAGAGGCTGGCACAGCTGGTGCAGCGGATTTGCTCTCATGTTTATCAGCGGAGGGCAGGACGCTCATCACGATGAGAGCAGAAAAGAAGAAGAGTTTTGCCGGCATTCATTTCTTGTTATCTGCGAATCTGAAATATTGGCAAAGGAGAAGGATGCACCTCCTGGCCCTCCATGAATCACAAACAAACAAACAGCGCCTGCAAAGTCCGCTATCATGTTCAGAAATGGGTTGCGTGCCGTGTATGCCTCATTTAAACGCTCCCCTTCGGGTTTCATGAAAGGGAAAGCGTGTGAGACAACAAGCACACAGCTGACCCATCACACCCAACAGTAAAGGGACGAGCTTGCATGTGAATTGTTGCTACATTGGCGGTGCTTTCTCCCTCCTGGAGACACCGAGCCAGTTTATATTCACTCCAGCCGGAGCTGCTGCCAGCTCTGGTATTAAACAGCACATCTGTCACTGCGGCCACTGGAAGGCTAAGCCAGGACAGCCTCCGTCCCCTGCACCCAGCGCTCGGTCTCTCAGGCAGAGTGTCGCCCACTCGCTGAACATGACTGACACTCTCGGGTGGAAAAAAAGGCGCTGTTGTCTTCTTCCGAGGGCCGCCGGGTTGACACGATTGTGACACATACAGTATAGTTACTGCTGTGGCAACTGTCACCCATCATGACGGGCTCTCCAAGATAAAAAACAGAGGAAAGAATGATCGGCGGAGCTGTCAGATGGCTGCAACCATAAGGGACATGACCACTGGTGTTAACATAGAGAGGCTGCGAGCTCTCCTCCAAAGATAAATAACAATTAATAATTCAGTGACAGACGCCTCTGTATCTGTCAGCTCTTGTCATAATTTCACACATGCATCTAAGACATGTGCAGAAATCCAGATATCATCTCCTCTGTGAAACATCTTTTTGTTTGGGATGAGGGTTTGTTTAAGTCTAACATGTTTTTCACTTTACTAATGCAGCCTCATCCGTTTTGTCATAATCTGGACAGTAAACACCAGTGTTTTTCGGCCTTAATTCACCAAGTAGGGCAATTAGCTACCAGATCAACAGAGCACGCTCAGGTCAGCTGCTATAATCTTCATAATTCTATCAAAAATGGATGTTTAATGAGGACACACTCAATGGCTGGGTGACCTCTGCCTCTGCTCACTTTTCCGCAGGGGCGAACAGTCCCCATTAAGCTTTTAAACCCGATCAGAGAGCGTTTGTGCTGCTGCTGAACATTTGTTTTCTCCTACTCTTATGGAAAAACTCACTCTGAATTTCAGTGATTTAAACTTGGCCAGTAATCCTTGTTGTCATTGTTTCCTCAACACTATCTGAGATATAAGTGTGAAGCTTAAAAACACACATCTTGTAGGATTGTAGGTTTATTTAGGATAGGGCTGGACGATTAATCAAATTTTTATCATAATTTCGATTTTGGCTAAAAACATAATCGAAGAAAGACGATTAATGCGCCGCATGGTGCAGTGTGTATGTAAGTTCCTGTGCTGGAAAAACACCTTGAATGCACCTCTGTTACCTGCAGCTGCAGCAAGCGTGTGACGTGTGAGGATTGATAACATGAAGCGTGAGCGATTAAAAACATGGCAGGGAGGCCGTTTTTGGTCGAGAAGTAAGGCAGGACAACTCCAGAAACTTTTTTTTTTGTATTTACGTGACTCGAACTCGGACTCAGTATATACGTGCGGACATGGGCGCTGCACTGCACAGCACGAGTGGGTGTTCGAGTTACCTTGGCAGTCAGAAGTCCGAGCTGAAAATAACGTCACACCCAAGTTACCAGCGTTTCAGTTTCCAAGTCAGAAAAAAACAAAATTGGAGGCGAAAACAAGATTTTATCTATTTTAATCTGATTTAATCTATTTAATCTATTTTATCTATTCTATTTTTGCGCTTCCCTTGTCCGAACATAAGACAAGCGCTAAAATAACTTTGGTAGTTGTAGCCATCTTGTTTCAGGCTTGGGAACTGAAACGCTGGAAACTCGAGTGTGATGTCATTTTCAGCTCCGACTTCTGAGTTAACTCGAACGCATCATTAGCATTAGCAAGTTATTGTTGTGTTATTTATCGTGAATCCAATATCAGTCAAAATTGTAATAATTGTGATTATTATTTTTGCCATAATCGTCCAGCCCTAATTTAGGATGAATTTCTTCGTTTGTTAACTCAGCACTTCCATTAGAATTCACCGCACATGCCGATTTGCAGCATTTATTGCTTTTTTCCACGGAGGATCTGCCCTGATGACAATCTGCAAATCCATTTTAATCCCAGTTTTTTGATGTCTGATTTCAATCTTGTTCCAGATGTCTCAGATCGCACCTTTCCTCTCCATACAGTGAAAACAGATCATCTGTCAGAGAGGTGAAAGTGGGGCAGAGCAGGAGGGGATATATGAAGTATAACAACATTAACACCACTATTTCAATCACTTACAAACATTTTAAAGAGGAAAAAATCCACCTGGTAGTTTGAGTGAATTATCTGTATATGAAAGGATTATGAACGAATGAATGAATCAGGGCCTGTACACAAGATCATAAAGGTTAAGGGGTCAGTTGAAGTCAGTCGGGTCTCTGCAGCAGGTTCAAAGTTCTGACGATAGATCAGAAGGTCCATGAAGATTTGAAGGTACATGATGGAGAGCTGTAGGAGGGTGTGGTGGCAGTTTTTTAAAGTCAGGAGTATCAAATATTGGTAACCAGGTCCACGTCAGGACAGGAGTAATCTGCACACATCCCTGAGCAGAGTCACAGAGTTCAGCCACTGTCCTCGGAGGTGTCGCTCCCACAGCGACTCAAACTCTTGTAGTAATTTAGTAGATTTCACTCACTTATTCAGAAATGTGGAGGTTAAGCTCTTGTGGTGTAATACCGTGATGACTCACTCAGTTGATTAGTTGGCCTCGGTTTACCTTCACGCTGGAGTATCGGCTCCTGACATGTTTTTTTTTTTAAGGTGTTTGATCGTCATTAATTCTGGTCGGTCGAGGTTATTTGTCCTGTCAAAGTTGGTGCTATAACTGTGATGAAGTTGCTTGTGTTCCCTTAATATAATCCTGTGGTTATCAGCAGCTTTTTTGTTTTTTTCCCCTCACAGATTTGAGCAGTAAAGAACTGACAGACACGAGGAGCCCAGTGCCTTTCCCTGCCTTCCTGCCGGTCAACTACGAGGTGCGAGATGCGGACTATCTCTTCCTAAAGGAGGCCGGGCAGGACTTCATGAGGAACTCCAGCATGCAGAGTCACACGCAGCCCTTTGTTATCCTCAGAGCCAGCCGCCAGCCGGCTGTCAACGCCAGCTACGGCTCCATGTCCACAGAGCAACTCGTGCCTCTAGACCTGGTCCAGTCTGTGAAGCTCTACAACGCCCCCGAAGTCTTTACCTTCAACTGGAAGATCCAGGCCTTTGTGCTGACGCCTCGTGTTTTCTCCTCCAAGCCCAAAGTGCGGGTGCTCTTCTATGTGGCGGGGAGGGACTGGGGCCGGGGGGAAGGAGCTGTGGATGAGCTACCGTGTGTGACAGTGTATGCTTTCTGGCAGACTCAGGAGGTCAGGGGTTCTTGTGCCATGGGAGGCGAGAGAGGGACCTGCATGGCCGAGCTGGCTCCCCCACTTGGCTGGTTTGCTCCGGGGTCAGAGGGCACCAGCAGGGAGCGGCAGGATCCGACCACAGGGAACCCTGTGGAGCTGTACTACCAGGCGCAGCCCAAAGTCAACGGGAAATGTAATTCTGCGGATGGGAGTCGCTGGGGCGGCTCGCAGCAGCAGGCGGAGTATGTCCCCGTCACTCCCATGCAGAGGATTGGCAGCGTGCGGCTCCTGCAGGTGCCTAAAGGGATGGCGACGCTTTCCCGGCTCAAGCTTGGCAACGCTATAGTCATCCGGACCTCTTCCAAACCACTGAAGAAGACTGACATCGCCACCTTCTACATCCTCATGGCCAGCTCGGCTCAGCTCATTAACTTCACTCTCAGGTAAGTCTTTGGTTTTTTTGTTCCCTCAGCGTTTGCAGGAGTCATTAGAGCCGCTCCTCCAGTGATAAAAGCATCTTAAATGTCCCTTATTCTGCTTAACATGCAGGATTAAGAATCAGCAAGTTACACCCAATACAATATCTTATCAACCCTGAGAAAAGTCTGGATGTTTTACTGGAAATGAGGTCTTTGCTGTGCCAGAACAGTAGCCCACACATAAAGTCCTGCTGCCTTTATAAATATATAATGGCTGTTTCCTACCAAACTTTGTTTAAGTGGTAAAGTGGAGCCGCTCTAAGGTTATTTATCACATTAAAAATAAGCAAAATAGAGCAGTGTACTGGGAGCAGAGGGTGCCAATTTAACTCGAACTGGCAAAAAGTCAGAATTGAGCGAAATCTTAAAGTGGAGAGCCCACCAATAAAACAGCAGCAGCATGTACTTAAAGTATGAATTTAGGTTTAAAAGCTGCGGTTCAGAGTTAAGAGAGCAGGAACACATCTATTAGAGGACACTTATTAACGAATAATTAATTACCTGAGTAGCATTTATATTGGTGACATATAAGCCCTTGTTTACTCTCCATAAAGCTCCTCTTGACTCCTGGTAACTCAGGATTTCCTCTTAATCCTCCTCCTAAATTACTTCTCATTTAAAGCAGGTAATAAAGTTGTTGCACATAAATAACCATCCTTATCTGCAGGTTATAAAAGCTCTGTGAGAGTTTTTTTACAGGTTATGAAACAGGCTGAAATGAATATTAATCTTTCTTTATGACACTCAGAACTCTCAGATCTGTGACCCGGTATGAGGTGAGGTCTTGTTGTGACTAAATCACATGCAGCTGGTGTTGAACATTTTCCGTCATTATTATATCGAGATGTCAAGCAGGATGATAACAAATAGAAATGGACTGATGAGTCGTCAGGCAGATTAATCAGGTTAATATAATCAGCATCAGCCGATATCAAAGCTCATGACGGGGATTAAAAAACAAACTAACAGTGTTTGCAGACACTGCAGGCAGCGCCGTCAGCGCGGCTGCTGTGGAGTGACGTTGATGATGTCCTCTTTAAAGATAACACATTATTCTCATCAGTAATGACAGCAAACCCAACTGCTGCTGACAAGTGTGATGTATTCTGGCAGGGTGTTTAATAATGCCTCAGACAGAAATCAGTCAGAGCTCAGAGAGTTTAAAATTCATCTCAAACACGACCCAGACTCAAGTTATCGTGTCTGGATTAGATTGGAAAGTGCATGGAATAATGGCTGTTAGTAATATTATTAAATTATTAGAGGGGATATCTGAATACACTTTATACTGACCTACTCTGTATTAATAAGTATGTAGATATTAGGGCTGCACGATTAACCGATTTTAAATCCTAATCAGATTATTTGATTATGACGATGTTAAAAACATTAAAATCGTCAAATTGTTTTTTCTCTCTATCGTGTCTCTCACCTCCAGGCCACCGTAGACTCCCCAGTTCCCACACACACCAGTGTAAACAAACATGGCGTTTGCAAAAGAAGGCGATAATTTCGTGGTTAAATAGGACAAGATGAAGTCAGTCGTGTTGAATTGGTACGACTTCACAGTTTCAGATGAAGAGCAAACCACTCCCCGGTATCAACCCGTCACCACGGAAACGAAATCAGGAGAAGAGGTCAAAGTTTTTTGTCGTATCAGCGTTTCATCCACACAGAAACGGTGTTTCAGGTGACTGTAAACGGTACTTTTTGAAAACGGGTCAGAGAGTGAATAAATCTGTAAACGACGACCATTTCATCTCCGTGTGGATGTCTATCTGCATCTCTGGAAATGATCATGTGACACACAGAGTAACTCTTTTATGGCGCCAAAACAACCTTTATACACATGCTCTGTACTCTTCTTCTTACACTAAATACTGACCTACTCTGTATCAGTGTCGGATATTGATCACCGTTAATAAGTATGTAGATATTAGGGCTGAATAAAAACCGAAAAAATCCAGTTTTTAGTGAAAAAAATCTGGATTTAATTTTTGTGCAAAATCCGTGCAGCCCGAGTAGAAATATGTGAGTTTCTGAAATGGTCGGTTCACAAAGGAGACATTTCTGCTCCTGCTGACTTTGTTCCTCCTCTGATTAAAACCCGAGTACCGTAGACTCCCCAGTTCCCACACACACCAGTGTAAACAAACATGGCGTTTGCTAAAGAAGGATAAATATTCTCAGGTGTGAGAATCAGTGTCAGAAAGGAAAAACTAATATTGGAGAATCTCAAGTGGTTATACCTGCTAAAGGATGAATCCGCGTAAAGTCGGATAAACTCGTGTAATCTCTTCAGAGAGCTCCAACAGTTCAACGAGTTCCCATAATTAATGAAGTTATAAGAAGAATTCAGTATTCAGTACAGGAAACTCCTCTCTAACAGCATTAGCCTCTTACTCTATTTTTCTCTCAAATCACGTGCCGTCAAAGATGAGGGAAAATCTGAGGAAATGGGTTTAGCGAGGATTACACAATTTCTCTGAAAATATGATAGAGGTTAAACGTTCCTCTGGGAAGGCTGAGAGATGATTCAAGTTAAAGGAGAAAAACAGGTTTGAGTGAGAACAGCCTGATGACATTAAGAGGAGCGGGTGGTAGATGGGGGACATGGATCAAATGAAATCAGAGCAGGTTGTGACTCATTACTGCGCTGCTCTGAAGGGTGAGCCGCGCATCAGTGTGTTTGCTGTAACGCAGAAATCAGAGGGTGTACGATCAGAAGATCATGAAAGAAAAGCCCAAACTGATTGGAGAGGCTGCTGGTATTGTGTTCATGTTTTACGGCCAACCTTTCCTAATCAATCTGAAGGCCTCCTACATGAAAAACACGCTGATTTTGGGTTCGATTTCCCCCTCTGACAAAAGCCAACAAAGGCCTGATTACTGAGTGGTTCTGAAGATAATCTGGCAGATTATCCTGTTTTATAAGGTGTGTACAGAGCGACGCTTCTTCCCTCTGATCCGGCTGAAGACAAAAATGTTAGATATTGGATATCGAGTTGTTTCACGTGACATGGACCAGTATGCATGTCGGCTGTTTTCTATGATCCCCCCCACACACACATTAACTGGGGCAAACATGGCGAGATAATCCTGCTGATTTTGGGCCGAATTCCCTCTTCCAGTAATAGTGAGGTAATGGTTTTAGAAATGCTGACTCATCCTAACTTTCAGCCAACATATCGTCGATTTCCAATGAAAAACACGTATCTCCACTTTTAGCGAACTGGACTTTTTTTCAATACATGCATGGTCCATAATCTTCTCTAACAACACGTAGCTTTGGGTTTCCAAATGACCGATGGAAAGACATTTTGTAACTTCGTCTCAGTATCAACAAAGCAGGTATCTCCCGCCGTGGCGCTGCGTCATCAGAGACAAAGCTGCTGCTGTTTTCTCTCTCTCACACTTGTTGACTATCGTAGCACTTAGTTGCGTTTCTACTATCTTTTAATTTCTCCACTGGTATTTAAGTGAAATTAGAGCCAGAATTTGATTGAAAACCAATTAATTTAGTAGCATAAGAACTCATAGTACATTTTTCAGTTGGTTTTTCAGTATACCAGCATTGGTCGCGGACACTAGTGCATGTTAAACTGGGAGTTGTGACTAGTGATGCACGATATGAAAAATTTCAACCGATACCGATAACCGATAATTTTCTTCTTCTCATGGCCGATACCGATACCGATAACCGATAAATTCGTATTTTTACATTTATTATAATCTTCATATAATCTGCAGTTTGTGCAGGATGCAGCGATTGAAAACTGATATTTTTGTTGCTCTGGCCTATCTAGAACAACAAACAAAAGTTTTTGGCTCTTCAAATGTGGTCATTTGCTATAAATAACAATAACAGAGCAAAAAGCAGAACTTCATTTGATCCCCTGAACTGTTCAACAGAACTGTAAACTGTAAAGGAGCTATTATGAGCCGTTAGGCTTAGCATGCTGACCGGACTAACATCTGACGTCCATATGTCTGTGGTAAAACTCACGTGTAGTCCGTTCTTGTCGATCAGGTTGTGAATGTATGTGGCGACAATATCATAGAGTGCAGGAAGAGACACATCCGAGAAGAAGCGGCGGCTTGGGAGAGTGTAACGTGGCTCCAAGTGTGCTATGAACTTACGAAAACCCGGGTTCTCAACGACGGAAAAAGGCTGGTCGTCGACCGCTATGAACTCCATCACTTTGTCGTTAATGGCTTTAGCCTTTTCGCTGTCTCTTGAGAAGCTTTTGCAGTTCTTAAACGCCTGCTGAATGGGGACATCGATCCTCCGTAGTGTTGTTGTCTTAGCTTTAGTACCGCTAGCAGCTTCGGCGGCTGTCTCATATTCTTTTACTACCGCTTCGCCGCGATGGCGACCTTTCAGATGAGCTATCAGATTCGCTGTGTTAAAACTTGACGTCTTCATTCCTCCTCTTGGAATCCTCGCTGAACAGGTTTTGCATATAGCAGCTGTTGTCATCTTCTGCCACTGAGAGAAACGACCATGCTGGTGAAGACATTTTATTATCTGTCAGGTAGTGACAGGGTCAGGCTTGGGACCTGCGAGTAAGGCTTGATAGACGACGTGACCAGCGCGTCTCGGACGGGCGGCTACTCCGCCTGCAAACGTTACTCGTAATTTCATTAATATATCGGATCTTTCTATCGGAAAAATGCACCTATCGGACCGATAAAAAATGACGTAATTTCCCCCCATATCGGCCGATATTTTATCGGTCCGATAAATATCGTGCATCCCTAGTTGTGACCCAAAATGGTTGACAACCAATGTGCTATGTGGAAATGTAGGATAGCCCGCTATCAATAGATTATCAACATAGTGGGATATAAAAAAAGATACTTAAAGATTGTAAATAACTGAACGTCATTGGAGCACATTATTAAAAAAACACGTATGTCCACAAATGCAAAGCAGTGAAGCCATGGGAGCCATTTTTTGGCTGAGTGTGTATGTGGCTCGTGGTGCTTCTGCAGACAGCCTCAAGTGGACACTCTTAGAACTGCAATTTTCTTACAGTTTCACTTCGGCCTCAGGTTGCACCTTGGTGTTGAAGAGAAACTGCTCCTTCTGTGGCTAAGCTGTAGTCCGCCATGTTTGTTTACTCTGAAACATAGAGTGTGGACGGTTAAGAGAGTCTTCATGGTGTGCTGCGTTCATATCATCGTTGTACCTCTCACACCAGAAGTACAAAACTGTCTGCCATCATTTGTTTCTACCTGACATATAATTCTTTAGAGGAAATCAAACAGAAAGGAACAAACTGAATCAAAAGGAGCCCGAGTCTGTTCTCAGGGTTTGTTTTCGTCGTGTCGGGGCGTTACTTCACACTTCAAGGTGGGATGACGCAACATGGGAAACTGGCACCTCAAAAACTGGATTAAATGCCTCCTTATTTCTCCCGCAGTTTCCTTGATGGTTTCCATGGTCATCCGCAGCTTGATACCTTTTTATTATCATCGCCCAGGCGGAGATCAAACAGCCATGTTGCAGAGCGGCTGTATTTTTCAGGGTTAGCTGTCAGAGCGGCTGAGTGGAGATTTACGCTAACTTGATTAGAGGCTGATTTTTTATTATTATTCCAGACACTATCTGCTGTACTCCAAGCTGGTGAATAATGGACTGTCAGGAGGTATGATATGCTGCTCCTTGACGTCGTGTCTCAGTGACTCATTGGGCTCTTGTGTGTTCATCTGGATCATGTGTTGTTTGTCACCGAGCTTTTCTTCGTCTGTTGTTGGTTTCAGATAATTAACGGTAACGATGTCGGTGTTTTAATCGGCTCTGAAAAGAAACTCTTGATCTACAAGTGCATTTGAGTTCCAGCCGTCCCCCTAGATTGAACCTCACAGCGCTGCACAATCAATACTTCCTGAGCGATAAATAATTTCTGAGTTACTTCCGCCTTGACTCGTCCATACATGCTCCAGTGGAGGTGAGCAGGTGAGGGGACAGTCATGGATTATTAATCCCTCTTTCAATTGGTCCTGTGCTGCCTCTTTCACTTAGACAGTCACTTACTGAGATCAATGCTGAATGCTGGAAAAGGTAAATATTGATTGAGCGGACAGCCGGGTGAGGTTGCAGAGTTGAGTCTGCAGAAGTCTCTCAGGTGTTTTCGCTTGGAAACAGAAAAGGCCGTAAGTAACACAGAGCTGAATGTGTTTCCTGCTGTGTTTTATGGCTTGTCTGGATTTCTGAGAGCATCTCTGCGTGGTTTAAATGCTTTTTCAGATCCTCAGTGTGTCCATGTGTTTTTAAGGGTTAGAGAACGTGTTTGAATAAATTAACTGCTCTCCTTTTCTTCCTGCGTCTAATTTTTGTTGAAGCAATGAAGATGATCCTTCACCGTTCTGTCACTTCTAATCATCGCCGCCTTAATTCATTTACACGGTCACACGTTTCTGAGCAGAGAACAGACAGGAGGAATTTGACAGAAAAACAGAAAGCTGGAAGGACGCCTCTTCTCCTTTTTTTCCTGTTTTTGTATGATTTTTATTTCCATTTCTCTTTATCTCCCTTTACTCCTCCACTGCTTCCTTATTCCCTTTGTTTATACAGCCCTCTCCTCTGCCCTTGTCCTCCTTACTAAATCCTTTCAGTGGTTCACTCCTCTCTTTATCTCTCTGCTCAATATTTCCTCCATATTCTTTACTCAATCTTCTCCTTTTCTTTCCTTACCTTTCATTTCGCCCCCTTCCTTTCCTCTTTTTTTCAGTTTCCTTTTTTCCTTTCTCATCCCTCTCTCTCCTTTCTTGTGTCAACATTGCTTCCACCTCTTTTCTTTTTCATTTCTTTTCCTTTCTTCTTGTTTTTCCCTTTCTATTCATTTCCTTTCCTCCTCCTTCCTCGTCTGTCTTTTCCTTTTTTTCCTTCTCTTTTTTGCATTTCCTTTTTTCTTTTTCTCCCCCTTTATTTCCCTATGTATCCTTTTCTTTTGTCTCCTTTCTTTTCCTTTCTTTTCCTTTCCGTTTCTTTCCTTTCCTTTCTTTTCCTTTCCTTTTCTTTCCTTTCCATTCCTTTCCTTTCATTTCATTTCCTTTTTTATTTTCTCCTTTCCTTTCCTTTTTTGTTTTCTACTTTCCTTTCCTCTTCTTTCCTTTCCTTTTTCTTCTTTCCTTTCCTTTCCTTTCCTTTTCTGTTTTCTCCTTTCCTTTCTTTCCTTTCCTTTCTTTTCCTTTTTTATTTTCTCCTTTCCTTTCCTTTTTTGTTTTCTCCTTTCCGTTTCTTTCCTTTCCTTTCTTTTCCTTTCCGTTTCTTTCCTTTCCTTTCCTGTTTTTTCCTTTCCTTTCCTTTCCTTTTCTCTTTTCTTCTTTTCTTTCATTTCCTTTTTTTTCTTTCCTTTCCTGTTTTCTACTTTCCTTTCTTTTCTCTTACCTTCTTTCTTTTCCTTTCCTTTCCTTATCTTTCCTCCTTTTCACAATAACTTTCCTCTCTTTTTTTGCCCCCCTCCCTTCTCTTCTGTCCTCTCCTTTTTTCTCGTCCTCGTCCTTCCTTCCTTAATTCTTCCCTTTCCTTGTTTTCTTATCGTCTCTCCTCATCCCTCTGTTTCTGTGTCACTTCTTTCTTTCCCTAACCCTGCTGTTGGCAGTAATATCCCTGATTCCTGCGGTGATTACACATCTGGATAGTTTTTAAAGCATTAGGTCGGTTTCCAAACGCTGACTTTTCCCTCTCTCTCTCTTTTTTTGTGTCGCCCATAAACACGCCGTCACACTCTCACCGTTCTCAAAATTCATATAACCCTGAACCCTCCTCCAGCTTATCAGCACATTAACAAGCCGCGTGCAGCCGCTCATCAACAGCTGTCTGTGCGCTTTATCACTGTCTAAATGTCCCATTAAGCTTTAGTTAATACTCTCTCATCAGCATGATAAACCTGTTATTGATGTCTGTAGCCGCAGTCATGGGACGGACAAATCTGAGGTCGATTGAGGAAAGACAAGCCACACCTGTTCGCTCTGGCAAAATGAGAGCGCGATCCTCAGCCAGAGTCTGATGAAGGTCAAAGATAAAGTGATGTACCGCCATTATCACACATTCAAATAAAAGGTAATAGGCGGCGGCGGTGTGCATGTGACAGGAGTTGGGTCGACACTCGCTGGGAGGCAGACGTGGAGGTGAAGCTTACATTAAAACGCCAAGTGGGTTTGCAGACGCAGTTTTATGTCAGAAATGTTGGATATTTATGATGAATGGCGTCTTTTTTTGAATGTTACTGTACTGATGACAAATCATTAAAATTCTCAACATCTTTGATTCGTGTTCTCTGGAGCTTTTATTAAAAAAAAGACCTGATGATGCGTTTTGTTTTACACTCTGAAGAGAGGGCGTTAAAAACAGTGTTAGTCACAATCACATCAGTATCAGCTGGAGGCGACGTCAAATCATCACCACAGGCAAGAAGGTGACACAGGAGTCTTAAAATGAGGTTTTATTCTGTTGTTTTGTGCCAGAATAGAAGCAGAGTCTTAAACCTGAAGTTTAATTATATACCAGAAAAAAAAAAAACTAAAATAAGTTTGTGAAGATGGACAGGACAGAGCGGATAATCAAAATAATAAAGAGGAGTATCAGATTGCCCTGTAATGGTAGCTTTTTAGTATATGGGCTGATTATAGTTTGGCTAAGAAACCAATTAAGTTAATGAAATGAATGGATGAATTAAACTGACCTGAACACACAAAAGAGGACATGAACAGAGCGCTCAGAGTCACTGCAGGCGACTAAAGAAAAAACAAAGAGAAGAGTAAGAAAAAAGTCCTGGATGTACTTTTTCAGGGTTCGCTGTGAACAATCCCATCTTCACATCCCAAATAAACCGTCACCTCTCCCCCGACAATCAGCCACAGGAATCACAAATACACTCTATAAAAGATATCCATAAAAATATAAAAACTTTTGCTCACATTCCTCTGAATGTAAACTTTTCTGGTGGTGGTGATCCTCTCATCTGTTCGCCACTTTCCATACAGTCAGACCTAGGGCTGGGCGATAAACTGAAAATTTACTGATACCGAATTTTACGACAATAACCAACATGATTTTGTCCATATCGGTATATTCGGTGTTAAAAAAATATATAAATCAAAGTTGGTTTCGGATGTGTGTAGGTAGGCTATGATGAGTCCACCCCATCCAGTCCATAACAAAGAGGGAAAGACAGGTGAGGAGATGGAGGACGGAGAGAAAGTTGGAGCAGCTGAAGTAGACAAAGTTAATGTGGGAGGGGGTGAGCAGCTTGTAGAGAAGTTATCATCCATTTATCGTTATTGAGGTGAACTGATCAATATATCGTGATATTGATTTGAGGTCATATCGCCCAGCCGTAGTCAGATCTCTTTATATGGTGTACCAGTTCTCGTATAAGGTTTCAGGCAGCTCTGCAGGATGGTAAATACCCTTTACAGTGTTCTGTTGAAGGAGTAGTGGCTGATTTAAGACAAACCAGGTTTTCTTTATAATGATGATGTGAAAAAAGAGTTTATGAGATAACTTTGAGATAAATCTGTGTCTCCATTTTCATTTTAACAACAAATTAAGCGTCTTGTTTGCCTCCTGGTTTTTATTCTGGCCTCTACCTTTAGCTCTGAAATGTGAGAATAATCTCTGTTTGATTGTTTTTAAAAAAAATATTATATTATTTATTAAAGGAGGTACTCATCAGTTTTGCTCTCCTCCTGATGACAGCCATGTTGCAGGTTTCGTCAAATGAAACTGATGCATCCTACCATAAGATAATCGCTGTAATGTGTGATTTAATGTTTGTTTTCCTCATAAACCGCGCCGCTCAAGTGGAGTGCAGTATTTCGTTGTGTTCCAGGGGTTTTATTGAAATGCAGTTTTGAGGCCATGAATAAACCGGAGCTCCTGTATCTACAGGACGCCGCCTCAGCCAGCTCTTCACCCAGGGAGTCCAATCATTCAGCTGTGTGACAAATAGGACTTTTACGTTCGTTTTGAGTGCCGGGGTGCCTGCCATCTGGCAGCAGTGTTGGCATGAGCGCGTCCCTGACTCCCCGAACTGCTCCATAAGTACGATGAGCACGTCGCCTATGGCCGGCCGTCAGACCGGCTAAACGGCGGACATTTGCCTGCATAATTAATGATTGCATCTGTTTCTCGCTGCACCGGGGTTCACCAGTGTTACCGTAGTCATGCAGCGATGCCAAAGATAGAAACACAAATTATTTCAAGGAAGTGATTACAGAGGCTGTTTAGCATCTCAATAGCAGCTTTGGTGATGAAACTCTTCTGGGCCAGGGTTAGACTGCATCTTGTACTTCTTTGATCAGACTCACTTCGCTGCGCCGTATTATTTATTCACTCTTTCAAACCGTCTCATTGTTTGTCTGCTTTTTGTCGGCGCCGCCTCTCTGATCTCTCAAATAAGTTTAAAGAAAACAGCGTTCGGCAAATTCATAAGGGAAGGGAGCCGACTGATGAAGTTCAAAAGGGCTGACTCTGTCGCCTTATGAAAGTCAGCGGTGGTGTTTTCATGTGAAAGCACGCGTATGCGCGGGAATGAGCAGTAAGTAAAAGGTGAAACAACAGTGCCACTCACGCCTCGCCTGGTCAGAAGTGAGATGGATGGCAGGTGCGGCACCTGAGAGCTGCTTTTCTCACACACTGTCAGCTTCAGTCTCCACATCCATCCATCTTCTCTGGACGGGTGCCTCCCCCCTGCTTGCCCGCCCGCCTCCTCCAGGCCCACTAACCGCAGCCGTGGACACTGGTGACTACTGCCAGACCCCCAGAAAACCCCTCCTCCAGTCTCAGGAGGATGTTTCATTTCTTCTCCTCCGGGAGGACAAAGCTGCAGATTACTCTCCTTGTTAGTGTCACTTTTTATCAGGTAAACTTGGCTCCACTTTGCTCAAAACACAGAGGTGTTTCATCACAGCGGGGTACCTTATGTAGAAGTCATTACTAGATTAACGCTCCTCCTGGTCTGTCTCATTAATACACTCGGCCAGCCGTCCTGTTTCCCTCATTGATTATGCAGCATTAAAGTTTTTGAAGTAAGTAATCACGCTGCACTTACAACTCTCTACGGACGGTATGATTGTATGATTACAGACGTCGTGACTCTGCGTCAGCGACAGCGAACATTTCCACGGGTGTTTCTCTCGTTTCTTTCCCAGAGATATTCGACACGGTAAACAGAGCTGAAAAAACGCTGATACAACTCGACCTTCGACACAGTCAGAGACAAGTGAGTCCGAACAACAGCCAGACTGAAATAGGACCAAACAGCGCCGGGCTAACGGCTCAGTGGATAGGATTTGGCTCCTCTTGAAATACAAACATCCATCATTGTCCAATAGCAGAAGTCCCCCGTGGGTTTGTGTGTTCCCGCTGTAATACATCGTCTGATTGGTTAGCTCGACTCCAGCAAACATGAAAACCAGATAAGAGAGATTCCTATTTCTGAAGAAAGTTAAAGAAATGAAATGAAAGTTTTCCGACACGAGACTTTAATATCGAGAGAAACTCCGACATCAGCTCGAGAAGTGTTCCTGTACTCGTGTCGTGGTTCTCTTGTATTTTTAACTCTAGCTGAGGAGTTAGTGTTATTCGTCTCTGACCAGCGTGGTGTCTTTTACGTTTGTATCAGTAAAGAGCAAAGCTGTCTGTCTTATATGACTCTATCCTTTCTTTTATAAATGTCTCGGTGGAGTCGTCTGTAAACCATACTGGCTCCTGCTTCTGGTGTTTTCTGAGTAAGCCTGTAATGAGGGTCACCTCTCTCTCTCAGTGTAAGAAAAAAAACTATATTTATTTTTGTTTTTCATTATTTTTCCAGCGTCTCTAACAAACACTGAAATAACGTCCTGACACTCACACTCAGAGCATGCAGCAGGGGCAGAGCCGACACGGACAAACGGGCATCTTTCTCGCGCTCGTATCGATCTGGAAACACAGACTTCAGGATGCAGTAAAAGCTGGTTGCAGCTTCTTTTGACTCGTTGTACACTGTGATAACATTTCCATCGATCCGCGGATCACACGGGGCGTCCAGCTGTGATCCATAACACCGCTGCCAAAAAGTATCGATCGATCAGGTATCAGCAGGCTTCGGTGTGAAAAGCAGAGAGCTGTCGACAGCCGTGACAACAGTTAATTCCCGCGTATAAAGAGAGATCATGTCGGTGCAGGTGTTAGTCCTCAAGATCAAATATAGATCCGTAAATCGGCTCGGAGCTGAGCTGCAGAAACCGATCACTGTCGAGCTCTAGGAGGTTCCTGGGATGAATCAGAAATGATCAATTCATCAAACACCAATACTAAACAAACAGGACGAAGCTGGAGTTTTAATTTTCACCCTTTAATGACTAATTAACGACAATAAAATCTGTTTCTATTTTGGGGAGTCATTTGGCTTTTTACAACTCTGCAGAAACAGAAACGGTTAAGTCTGCTTAGCTCGTGATCTCGGTGCACGGTCGTTTCTGAAGTCATTTAGACTGTAAGTGAAAAAAAAAAGCTCAATACTCTGAAAGGACCACAAAGTTGTGCAGCCTCCGAGTTCATCCACCTTCATTAAAAAGATCTGGAGCCGCTCGCATGTTGTAAACCGTAATCTGAATCACAGGCTGACCCGTGCGGATGTCTCATTTAACCCTCTGCGTGCTCAGCTGCTGCGCCGTTGTCTTTCTTGCCTCCTGGGAACTCTCTGACTGATAACACCAGACTGCTTACTCCCCCTCTGTTCACATCGGATGCAGAGAACCAGAGAGAGAGAGAGAGGCTTTATTTTTTATCCTAACACCCAGAACATGCAACACCTACAGCGTTCGGCCCCTTTTTCAGTCAGAGTTCTTCCCTGTCTGCTGATACACAGTCAGAAAAGTCCGAGCCTTATTATCGATAATATGACGCCAACTCTGCAGCTCTGCAGCCACGAAAAACTGGGTCAGATGACCTGCAGGTTTTGTTTTTTGGTCGCTCTGCTCTCTGGTTGACCCCGTGCCGATCAGAGGAGCTCCTCGATCCTGCTGATGGAAATCCTTCGTGTCGTGATGGCTCAGAAAGAGCTCAGCTCGGTCATCATCGGTGTTTCAATCATGAACCAATCGTTGATCATCTTAAGCAGAAACTCCTCGGCCTCCTGAGACTTCTCTGCAGATTTCATTTTGGACGTGCAGATGTTCGAAACACGGGTTTACCAAACACGCTCGCACGAATACGAAGACAAAACTCCATTAAGAGGTCGTGTTTCACGTTTCCGTGGAGACGTAATGCGTGTTGATGGACTCTTTGTTTCAGGGAGCGCCGCCGCCTCGTTCTTTTGCTCGCTTTTCTCCGTCGAAGCTCCCCTCAGCCCGGAGCAGGAGAAGTGCTCAGATTGCTGTTGCTCATAGATTACACCTCCTCGGAGACTCATAACGTGCTCGACAACTGTTTATCTCAAAGATTCACCGATAAAGCGCACAGCTTCGCATGCAGATGAAATCCCAGGAACCACACGAGGATGTTGTTCCGCAACTATTTAACAACTTGTCATCGCTGAATAATCACAGAGGCCCATTAGAGCTCAGACATATGGATCATTAGCATTGTTACAGCAGAGGTCTGGGTTTCCTCTGCAGCCTGACTTCATGACAACACGTTAAAGAATATCTCATTAACATTTGACCTACAGCAAGCTGCTTACGCCGAGGAAGCCCGGCGGGGTGGTCGACATGTTCTGCTGCATAATGCTTTGCAAATAAGAGGTCGGTGAAACTAATGACCCTGTTCAAATAAAGAGCACGTGTGAAGAGGCAGAAGAGCGATGTTACAGCTGCTGTTTCTCATGTGAACCAGGGTGGAGTGCAGGCGGTGCCGGGTCACTGATTTTTTAATTTTTTGTTTTTATCTGTTTCATTACTGTTGCATCAAATACATGACGTTTCCCTCCAGTTACATGAATCCAGGATTTGTTGCAACAACCTGCACAACCTAGAAAGTGAGAAAAAAGAAGCTAGCGCACAGATTTTTCTCGATTTTTTTCTTCCACTTAAACTTTTGGAGAAATAACACTTCATTGGCAGAAATTCTCTGGTTGTTAATGTGAGACTTTCCCCCCCTTTTACCACACTCTTGACCTTTTCCTTTCTGACTTTTCTCAGAGCGACAGTAAAGAAAGGTGTGACCTTTCGAACAGCGACACCCAGTAACTCTTTATTGTGGGACATCACTCTGGATATGGGCGCGGATGGAGCCATCGCTGTGATCTGTCAGAGGAAGGCCCCCATACCTGGGAAAAGGCAAGTCTGCTCTCATCACATTTCTCTACCTACCTGTGAGTGTGTGTGTGTGTCTGTGTGTGTGTGTGTGTGTGCAGCCGCTCAGAATTCCATCACATATTTAAAAGCCCAAACTGCCGTGTATAAATAACACCCTGAGGATCCAGAGGGAATATTTTATGTCCACTTTGTTTCCCGAGTGTCGAGCTGTTAAAAGTGTCACTATTATAATGCAGGCCCTGCAGAGCGAGGTAGCATCTATCTCTGTACATCTGGAGTAAAAGTCGCTCCATCTGCGCGGGACAAGCCGAAAGAAAACGTCTTAATCCGGAGTGAAAGTGTCGTGACCCGGTGAGACATCTGTAAAACTTTCCAAGCACCGGTCTGCACGTGTTTCCTGACGAGGCGCTCTTGTAAACATCTGTGGCTTTCTCCCGTTATAGCGCACCTCTCTTCTGCCTGAATCATTTATACACATGTACTTGCAGAACACAATTCAGGTCTTGTATGCGACGCTAGCAGTACGGCTGAAAAGAGGCGCGCAGGGAAAGTAGGACGAGCAAAACCGTCATGAGCCATTTAGAAGAGCAGCGCTAAAGCTAATTAGCAGACACCTGCGGGTTTCTCTGATCAAACTCAGTCCTTAACTCGCCCGATAACCCCATTAAACAGGGCAACACCCTTTCCCTAACAAGCAGCTTATCTGAGATGTGCCTCCAAGTTCAAGTGAGTGCAGTGTTTTGTCATTAAATTCGGGTGGGAGGGGAGTACAGCCGCACAAGCGCGGGCCTTGTCTCCTCAGATTAGAGACACCTTGCTTAAAAAGCGAAAGGACGGTCAGCCTTATCAGAGTTGCTTTTATAGCTCTTACACAGTCCCTTTGAGCCTCACCTGCAACAGCTCTGAGATATTATAAAGTTCATGAAGACAGCAGAAAAATAAAGACGTGCAGTCCGCTAAAATTATCGAAACTCTTTTAGTTTGTGTGCAGAACTCGGCTGAATACAGTGAGCGCACAGATTGTTTATCCCTCAGGTGAGGATGGTTTTCAGGGTATGACGTGGCGGCGGTGGTGGAGCTCTGTTTTCTACAAGGTCAGTCCAAAGAGGAAGCTGCTGGATTCACATGCAAAACAAACAAACAAACAGTGACGCGTTCCCTCAAACCTGACCAGAAGAAAACCACGTCTGCGCGGAGGAGACATCATCTATGAGCTCAAATGAAGAAATAAAGGTTCAGATTTGAACACACACCTTAACATGATGCAAACAGCTGTTTAATGTGAAGCAACAGCCAATCACAGCCCTGCCGTCTAAGCCAATCTGAGTGAAATCCCAGGTAATTGGCAGCCCGTCCTGCTGCAGCACAGAGCTATTGTTCTAGATCACCGTCAGACTAAATGTTAAAGTGAATACCACCTGATTGTTGTCGTTTTTTGTGCTTCATTTTTGTGCTCCCCCAAAAAAACGAAACGGCAGGCTGAGATTATGCTGCCTCTAGAGCAGCTCCAAGAAACGCTTGTAAAACTTAAGCTCTAATCTCTGTGTGAATGGATGGCCTAGCTGGAAAAGAGCAAACGTACGCGGCCAACTTTCCCAGGATAAGGAAAGAAAAACTAACAGAAGCTGGTTTAGGGGAAACATTTGTCAGCAAACTTAATTTAGAAGAAGCAAACAGAGTGTTTGGGAAAATCTAAATGAAAATAAACATGTGTGTGACTCTCATGTAGCAGCCAGATTACTGACCTCTTACTGTATATGCCTGTTATTATTGGTTTGACCTCATTAAGTTGTTTTTCCCAGTCGGCATGGATTAGGACATTGTTTATCACAACTTCTCTACGGGTCAACATATTCTTCCTCTCAGTCATCTCTGCTAATCCTCTCTAAAATGTCATGAAACCAGCAGCTCCCCTGCAGAGAGCGAGTCCTGTCACAGCACTGTCGTGGGGATTTCTCCGACGTTTTGTCCGACCGGCTTTAGCGAGCTCTAAAAGTGTTCGCCGCGTCTGTCTGTACATTAAAGCTTTATTATCCTCTGTTGCAGCATCTCAATATTAAAGCGGCGCTCCTCGCAGAAATACGGCGGGCTGTAAACACGGAGGTGTCGAAGCATCATTCTCCTTGAGCTCCGTAAGAATGACTGAGGCCGTAAATAAGCGAGCAGCATCCTCTGTCTCCGATCTGTGTTAATGCAGACTTAAGGGGATATAGGCGTGCTTACGTGAGGCAAGCACATCTTGTTTTGATATTCGAGCGGAATATTAATATTATCTTTTAATCTCAGGTCTCCGAGCAATATGCTAAGATTATTCAATTACACTAAATCTCTGCCTTGTCCCAAATAAGGGCAAATACTATAATGGAGCACGGACTGAGAAGAGGAAACAGAGAGGGGACTTTGTTGAGTTTGGAACTTAGTCGAGGATTAACTAAATATGATTCGCAGTTTCTCCAATTGTTGTCGCTTTAATGCAGCAAAGTCGTCTCGTGTGCGAGCCTTTTGGAGGTCATTTTCACGCAGCAGGCAGGACTTATTGTTCATCTGCTCAGTTCTGACACAGACATTTATAACATGCACACACAGATGCACAAGGTCTGATAACGTCCATGGGGGTACGCGCATGCTTATTACATTTTTTCGCCCGCTAATATATCTTTTCTATAGTTCAACGCGGTGCCAAGAGAGGACGCTAACTCGGGCCATGGAAGAAAATTGAATCCATGGCTGGGACACTCTGTTCTAGCTGGCACCAGTGAGAGGCCATTATAAGTTACAAAGGCTGATGCTGTGTTGTGTATGCAGCAGGATGCTGTCCTTGGACCACCTTTTATTTCAGGAGGAAGGCCAGCACAGAAAAACTCGGCTTTATCAATTCTTTTGTTTCAGTGTGTGAAAACAGCCGCTGATGCAAAGCTCTTTATAAAACGAGAAACTAACGAACTTTTGGAGCTCATCCCTCTACGAAAATCTCTCCACTTTTCCTCCTGCACATCCAAAGCTTCTTATCTCGGTGAAATGTGAGCTGGATGCTGCAAAAATCAAAACTTTGTCTTAATGGAGACGATTTCTTTTGTCTTCTGGCGGCCACAACAACTTTGTAATTATCAATCAATTATCCGTTGGTACAGAGAGCACGGCCTGCAGGTTATTGGGGCCTATTTAATACATATCGACATGGTGTCACACAGTAAGCAAAGTATTATTGACGCATTTGCTGCCAATTTGTCACGGCGGTGATGTGATCAGAGAATATTTGTATGAACACGAGCAGGTACGCACAGGTGCATCAGCTGATTAGAGTATTGATGGAGTAAACCATCCAGGTCCTTCACGACTGACCTGCACAGAGCCAAAATAAATGAATGGATGAAATTATGGGCTCTCTGGATATTTAATAACTGCAAATAAGAAAAACATTATGATTGAACGGCTGTTGAGAGTCCAGATCTGATGGTCGGTCAGGCGGGCGTATAAATAATGACTCTTCCTATCAGGTTTTTGTGACTAATGCATCATAACTGATATAAAACTTTTCTTCCTATTTTAACTGTAACTTTTATTTGTAATAATTTCTTTTATTTCTTTTAAACATGGACAACACTCTCCAGTATAAGCTTGAGAAACCAGTTCATTCAGAAACGTTAAAAAGAAACTTTAACCTGGACACTTTAAGAGTACCTGTTTTGGATCATGAGAGCGCCAAGCTGAGGATGAGGAGTACGCTGTACCCAAGTTAGCAAACATTCACGTTTATCTTTCATTGACGAACTTTGAATTTCTCACTAATATTCATATTAAATGAGACGAGACTATGAAACCATCACTGATTGGTTAGTGACTCTGAAGGATCTGGTGTTGACGGCGGTCTGCTGTTCCCAGCAGCTCCATGTTCGACAGTGACTCTTCTACCTCAGCCCAGAATAATGAGGCTTTTATTTCACTGTCCTCTGGAGAGGAACGCAGTAGGGCTGTAAAGTCGACTGGTCGACTTACTGGTCGATATGTGCTGAGTCGACCAAAATTCTGATTGGTCGACTCGATTTTTTTTCATCAGGAGGAACGTAACAAGTGCTAAAGGGGGTGTTTTAACCTCCAGTTTCCACCGCATCCAGAACAGCTACGAAAAGGCCGTATCTGCTGGACTCTGCAGCTGATCGTACGAGTTCTACTTTTTTTTTCCGTCTCAGCTGCAGATGGACACAGGAAGATTGGAGAGCGTCCACGTTAATCAACGTCTGGTGGTTTGCTGAATATAATATTTGTGTTTAATTACCTTCTTCTGGAGATATCAGTATATTTTCACCCACCGAGCTGCGTCGGACTCCCCCATTAGCTGGTTTTAGTCACGGTTTAGAAGTTCTTTAGTTGATCACAGTCCTAAAACGCAGTATTGTAGATTTGTTTTTATGATTTATTCTGCCACAACAGCGTTTGTTCATCTGATCTGTTCGGTTCTTTTTAGATCTGGTTTTATTGTCACAGCAGGAAGTGATGTTTGACTGCAGACATGTTCAACCATCAGAAACAGAAGAATTATTATTGTGGATGTAGAAACACATGAGCAGGATGTAACCCTGTGTGTGTTTGCTCTAATTCATTACCTTCCTACCTGTTCATCAGAAGCCGCCTCAGGTTTTCTGACTCTTTATTAAACGACACGCTGAAATCATCTGTAGTGTTTTATTTTTCCACTGAAGCTCATTTGAAACCGTTTCCTCTGGGCTCAGCTCCCTGATAGAGATTGTGATCCGCACCGACTCGTCCTCCTGTACTGAGAACAAAGAGCTACAGGCGGAGGAGCCGGACACACTGTGCCGTAATCACTGCACCTTTATTCAGACCTGATTATCTCGACAGGATTTAATGTGTGGAGGGAGAGCTGCAAACCCCACTGGTGTCATAATCACGTTAAGTGTCTGTGGCTGTGATGGAAAATTTCTATATTTGAGGTGCTGAATTCCATTATGGAGGCATTAGGTCCCTCATGGTTGTGTCACTTTTACTCTACAATATAATAAAAATGACATAATTCAGCAGTATCAGGCTGCAGCAGTAGACTCTCCAAAAACCGTCTAATTAGTGGAGTTGGAGTCGTTTAATGAATGCATGGATTGGTGTGTCTTTCTAATTTCAGGTTGGAGAGCAGCCTGCTGGAGGTGCTTCAGATGGATTTCGAGGTGGAGGAGCTGAGCAGCCCTCTCGACAGTCAGGTGATCATATGGAAACTGGAACTCCCATCTGACTCCAAAAACGTGGCCAAGACCGAAGGAGCCATGAGGATCTACACGACGCAGAGAGACTTCGTGGGCCTGGCTCCTCTCGTCATGGTGAGAGATAATCGTTATAGAAACCATCATTGACGCCGCTGACAGCAGAGTTTCCGATAATTGCAACACTTGGACCGAATCCTTTGAGCGTTGGTGCATGAATTTATCATAAAACGCACTTTGCCGGATCCATCCCCTGTCTGGTTTGCGTACGCAGAAGGCTGGATCTGCTCGGGGTTTGTTAGTAGGCTAAATGGGTTCTATTTTGAGCAGAGTGTGACCTTGTGTTGTTGACTGTCAGCTAGCTGATGTCTCTCTTCTGTGTTGTTCCGCTCTGTTCTGGCGTGCAATATGTGGTCATCCGTTCTTCCCAACAGCTGCTTCATGCGCTGCTAATTTCGGTGCTGCTGGCCTCTTTATCATGCTACCTCCATAATTAATCCATGATATAATCTGCCATACCAAATATACGGAACATTGCACAAGAGTTTACAACACTGAGTTTCCATATTGACTCTGAGTTATGTGTCAGCGGAGGGTCATCGGCGCAGCGGCACTCTGTTGTGTAGGGGAGTCATGTGAACGATAACAGACACTCAGGCTGATGTTTTTTGGCTCTTTGGCCGCATCAAATGGATGAAACATGTAATTTATGTGATTAAAAGTTAAGAAGTATCAGACTCAGGCTTGTACTTCTGAGCATAAGGTTAATTTTATTCTGCAGAGCGCTCTCGCAGCAGGGCTGTATTTCCATCATGACGGTGCCAGGGTGCTTGAAGTTATGAGGATATGCCACAGTGTTCTGATTTGTGAATTTGACATGGTTCATCTCTCTTGTGGATTAGACGGCGACCTCAGGCAAAGGGCCAAACATGAGGAGATTTGATGGCTGGCTAGAGGGGACATTAACGCTGACTGATCACTCTCAGACTTGCTCTATGAACTCCAGCAAGTGCTGCAGCTCAATACTTCTCTATAAGGGGAGACGCCTCACTGACACAGGCCTCAGATCAGTGTTTTTAACACGACCATAACGACAATTAAAAGAAGAGATGCTGAGTTATTTCAGGTTCGTTTGGAGAGGGGCTCTTCTTCTCCATCTGCTTCCTTTCAGGACTTGGAGTGACCAAATGTCAGAGTAAATCTAAATCAGGAGACTTGACCTGACAGCGCTCCACTGCCTTCACTCTGATTTAGACACACGGTGCTCAATTATTTCAACTTCATTTACATCAGTGTGTGTGTGTGTGTGTGTGTGTGCTGTGGACACATATCCATCTGCTTCATGCTCATGCTTTGATTATCCATGCAGGCACGTGAACGCATGTCTGTACAAAAGCAGAGTGAACACATCACTGAGTCACTTCAGCCTTTTATATTTACACATGTAAACAGAAAAGAAAGAATAAAACTCGGTGTATGAACTGCATCTATAATCGGTTTACCATGTGGAACAACTTTGTCGTCCTTTTGCTCACAGCCACATCCAACAGAAACCCGCCGCCGTGCGAGTCTCCGCCTGACTCCCCTGAGCTGCTGGGTCTCTTTGTCTGTCTCCAGATCACTATGACCTTAAAGTTCAGAGGCCCAGGGTTCGGACAAACAATAGAAAACTCATCTGCTCCATCCTAATAACACAATGATCCACAAAGAACAGGATGTACTACTTTATATGACGCTCAGGGAGATTATTCTGACCACGTTTTGAACCGCTGTGACCCGAGGCGCTGTGGTCATGTTCAAAAGAACTCCTGCAACAAAATAATTTGTTTTTTTTTCGACTTTGGTTAATTTTTCTGACCTTTCTGCAGGACACAGAGATCCTGAACACAGCTGTTCTGACGGGGAAGAAGGTGGTGATGCCTGTGAGGACGGTGGCTGTGGAGGAGGACGGATTAGTCACCGATGTGTCTGACTACACCGACTGTGGCACCACCGACGAAGACGTACTCAAGGTGAGGTCAACTCCTTCCTCCTTCCTCTTCTTCTTCGTCTGTTCACAACTTTTCGATCTGCACATACCAAACGTGATGAATCCTCGCTGTCAGTCGCTCCTCTGACTTTTTTTAAAACAGAGAAAATGAAAAGGTGAAGGGTGGAAACACAGTTATTTTTCCGATATTTCACCGCCAATTTAGTTCAATCTAAGTCATTTTTTTTCTGCTGACGTTTTGAGCAGAAAATTCCTCCATGACAAAAATGGGTTTGGCAGCAGTACATGAAAGGATGTTGGATTTCTGTGTCGAGTCGCGTTGATGTGCTGCTCTGGAGTGGCTGTCAAGGACAGACTTCATAGGCAGTGTTGGCAAAACGCAGCACTACTCACTTCACATCGGAGGAAGTCAAACAGACATGTTACCCTCAAGAGAAATGAAGTTTAACCGCTTTGAGCTTCTTAAAAAATCATCTCAAACTACTTTGTAAAAAACACTTTGATGCCGTTAAAATTAGAGAAGCAAACTCTATAAAATGGATTAATAACATCAAAAAATTATGCAAATGCTCAGGAAACCTGTTGCACAAATTTAACGTTCTGGTGCAAATACACCGATCAAAGTTTGCAGCTCTGTGCAGTTTGCTCCTGTTTTGCAGGATGAGCTGTCAGCATCTCAGCATCCACATGTAGATAAGAAACTGAATAAGGAGGAGAAGTCTGTTTCTTCTCATAACTGTTATAGGTAGATATGTCCGAAATATGAAATAGTCTAGTTGCATGCAGCACAAGCAGTTTTTGCAGGACGGTTTTTTTGCATGAAAACAGGATAAAAGTTGAACAGCTGATTTAAATTTGCACAAACAGCCGCAGAACGCAGACATGACAGTCATCCAGCTGCACAATATTTCACCCTTTTTGTTAGAGCTGGGCGATATGGCCTCAAATCAATATCACGATATATTGATCAGTTCACCTCAATAACGATAAATGGACGATAACTACTCCACAAGCTGCTCACCCCCTCCCACATTAACTTCGTCTACTTCAGCCACTCCAACTTTTGAACCGTCCTCCATCTCCTCTCCTGTCTTTACCTCTTTGTTACGGACTGGATGGGGTGGAGTCACGTCTCTGATGTAGGACAGCGTCTTAAAGGGACATGAGACCATAGCCTACCTACACACATCCAAAACCAACTTTGATTTATTTATTTTTTGACACCCAATATATTGACATGGGCAGAATGACGTTGGTTATTGTCATAAACTTCAGTATTAGTAAATTTTCGATTTATCGCCCAGCCCTACTTTTTGTGCTTTATGAATGACTGTTTTTTTTGCAGTCAAGCTCAGATATTTTGCTTTTAACAAACAGGATTAAAAACCAGCTGTAAACCATCAAATAAGCTAGAAAGGTCTGATCTGGATGTCTGTTAAATGATGAGATAATTTCCCACTTAGTGCATTTAAGTTCAGCTGAAAATTTCCAACTGATATTAAAAAAGAAATGCTTTACTCAATGATTTTGAGAAACGATCGAAATAGAGCACAGACTACAACAAGAACGTGGATAAATAACATTGTATTTGGGTTTCACTCTTTCTTTCTTTACAGTTTCAGTGGTTTATTAGAAGAGACTTAGGAGTTAAAAGATATTTAAAATATATGTATACATGAGTGTCATTTACAGCTGTTTCATACATGTTGATAAATAGTTTAATTCCATCAGGTAATGAGTAGTTTCAGAGTCATGTCTGCTCTCTGCCTCTCTCCCACATGGTAAAACAAACCGTCAGCTGATCTCTGACAACAGAGCGGAGCTGAGTCACCGAGCTTAAACACTCCTCAGCGTCCACCGCCGTGCCCCCGTCCTCTGACTCGTCTCTCTTATCCTGAGAAAGTGAGCACGGCTGACTGCCAAAAGCCGGCTTTGTTTACTAATGAAATTGTTCGTCAGCCTCCTGACCCCGGCGGTCAGAGGCTGCGATCGTATTTACTCAAGGGTAAAGAGGAACCGTAAACAAAGGATAAAGACATTTGTTCAATTTCAGCTTTTTTTTTTTCTTGGTTGAATATGTCCCAGAGCACGTCCGGCAGACAAACACATGTCTGAGTTCATATTTTCTGACTGACAGTCCAGGACACATACAGTAAAAGCTCTGGTATTAAGTGCAGATGGGTGTTGGTTGTAAGGAAAGCAGGATTACACGAGGATATCAAGAGGCTTGATGCGGCCTAAATCATTCTTCCCAACCTTGTAATGTAGCCGTCGTTACTGTTGTCCCAGGCTTACTGTAGCTCTCTCTGCGTGTATTTGCTGACCGGAGAGCAGCTTCGCTCACATCTATTCCATTTAATCTTCTTAGTCTAACAGACGGCTTGACTCAGATATCTTTTCTCTTCTCGTGTGCCTGAAGAGTATCAAATCTGCAAGTGATACATGTGTAAAGAAGGATTTATCCGGCATGGATCGCTCATGTGACAAAAACAAAAGCAAAAACAAATATTAATCTGCAGAGATGGAGAGCTTTTCCAGACGTGGACCGGTGATGGAGGGACCGAAAATGCGCCGGGGCGATTTCTTTAGCGGGTCAGGATCGACAGTCGGACATTTCAGGGACGTATTATCCACTGAAGGGGGCTGTTGTATCTTGGCGTAGCGGTTCGGACTGATTTGCATCAAGCCTGAACTCGGTGTAACGCTCGAATTAGATTTGCCCTTCGCCATAGATTTATTATTCAAGCCGACTCATTAAAAATATTGAACTTTTATTGTTTGCAGAGAGAAACTACAGTTAGAGTCGGGTTAGGGAAGCATGCATTTGTGCATTTTTAATTCCCGCCTGCCTGTAATGCTGCTGCTCCCATTTTAAATCCATATCTATTTTGACACCAAAATCACTGAGGGATATTCTTGGCTGCAGGGCGAGATTGCGCAGAGGATGAGTGGGCCGATGACACATTAAAATGGCATTCCCTTTCAACTCCAGCTACAGTGTATTATTTAGACACGGCTGATGGAGGTTCAGTGGTTTTCTTGGAAGTGTCTCGGATCACAGATGAGCGCTCGGCTGCCTTCAAACCGAATCGAAAAACGCTGAAACTCTCCAAGACTTTCATAGAAATAAATCCGCCCTCGTCTATTGTTCAGAGCATTACAGCTGGATGGGAGATTTTCTCTAACAAGTGCTTAATGGCTCCAGTGACACATTAAAGATGTGATGTGTGGATACACGGTAAATCAGGCATGTGATTATCGGCTGTGATGAGGTCAAGGCATCTCGGCAGGCGGCGGGGGATGACACACGGTGACGCAGTCCTTCCAAAGTTTAAGCTGAAGTCACGGGTGCGGGGTGACTGACTCTCATGACAGCGCATCTCCTCGCTAACGGCCGGGTTCACACGAATCAGAGCAGGATTGTGTTTGCTCTTCGTCGTCCTCCTAAGGCTATCTGTCAGAGTCGGTGTTTTTTCCCTGCACTCCCCCGCACACTTCAGGGGCTGGTGACTGAATTTCAATGCTGCGTTAATTATCCAATTTGTTTAAAGCAGTAGCTGCTGAGAGGACCAAGGAGAACCTCCTGAGTCGTGTCTCTAAACGTCCATGAGAATTTTCGAGCAGTCGCCCCAAACTCGCCAAGGTCACCTTTGAAATGACTGCGTAATGAATGCGGCGCTCCGTGAAGGACTGATGCTCGGCGCCGCTGCCGCACCACATGATACGTTGATTTACATAAAACTGCAATGCTGCCTCTTCCTACAGCTTCGGACCGGTGATCATCACAGTAGTTTATTACAGCGGGCTGACATTACTATGGTAACACATGCAGTGCAAACTGCCGCAAGGCCATTTGTTGTTGTAGGAATGGCCTATTTGTTAATACAGTGACTTTTATGAGGATGTTTGATCATTTTTTGTTGTTGGGTCGATGACGAGCAGCCTCCTCATCGACGGCAGCCTCGCTCCAAGTTTGATGAAGATCGTTAGCACAGGCGTACTTACTTAGACGAACTTCTCCACATTATCAGAGGGATTCAAACCATACGAACTCTATTCTCTGATTAACTTTAGATTTATCCTCCTCCGCAGGTGTCCGACAGGTGCGACTATGTGTTTGTGAACGGCAAAGAGACGAAGGGCAAAGTGAAGATGCTGGTGAACTTCACCTACAGCTACCTGAGCGCCCAGCTGGAGCTGAACGTCTGGATGCCTCGGCTCCCCCTCCAGATTGAAGTGTCGGACACGGAGCTGAGCCAGATCAAGAGCTGGAGGGTTCCCATACTTACCTCGAAAAGGTGGGCCGCACACACACGACCGCTTGTTCTCCATCAAAGCTGCCCTTATTTGGTGTCCAAATGGGATTTCTAGATGTTCTCCAGCCCGTTTAAATCCAAATCACATCTCTCTGAGGGTTTAAGGTTTAATTCCATTACATCATGTATTGTAATATCTCGCCGAATCCAATCAAGTAAAGAGACGGCGTTGAGTGATTGGAGAACAGCAGGTCAGACTGTTTGTTGTGGGGCAGGTGTGACAGGTGTTCGTGCACGTGTTCGTTTATTTCAGAGCCGGATGGAACAGTGACGAGGACGACAGGAAGGGGAAGGGCTGCATGCTGCAGTTTCAGCACGCCCTGGTCCGAGTGTTGACGCACTTTACGGCGGAGCAGGCCGACCCCCGGGACCCGAAGGCTTTTTTCCTGGGCTCTGATTGGCAGGTGGACGTTACCAGGCTGGTCAGGTACTTCATGAAGGTGGAGGACCCTCGAGTGGCGAGGCTGCAGGCGGGAAGGGTGCTGTCTGGAAGAGACCCCGGGACCACCAGCGTGCAGGTAATAAACTGAACCGCAGCACTGATTAATGAACGCCGAAGAGTGTCCTTGACCAATCAGGATTCTTTGTGGGTTTAGAGACCTCAAGAGGCAGAATATCAACCATAAAGCAATTCCAGGACCCATCTGCTGTCTTGTGATGACAATTTTCCATTTTATTTACTTGGATGAACAAACATCTGCATCAAACCACATCGAACAGTCCAGTCATTGTTGTTGCATCGACTGCCTGAACTCAGTTTTGCCCCTAAAGCTGCTCTCTGGACGAGAAACAGCGACCGGAAAAAAAGAAATTCTTGGCCTGAAAATCCTCCGTTCAGTCAGGCAGCAAAGCCGTACAGTTTCCCGAGTCTGTACTCCAATCAGATGTTAAGAAATAGATCTAGAATAGACAAGGAAGCTTCTAGAATAATGCTTGATGGTTTTTTTACGGTGCAGTTATCCACATTAGTCCGGTTAGCTGCACACTGAGCTTAAACTTGAAGCTCTTTAGTGGTAATTGAATTCTGTTCGACACGGCGTGCTTTTCACTCATGACCTGTGAACTGAACTTGGTGTCTTTGTTTTCCACGGGCAGCAGGAGCGAAGCCTCGTTAAGGTGAACCCAATAAAAACAAACAAATCAGATTAATTGGAAACCTTAATTGCATCATGGTTAATGTGTTAGTGTGGATGACCCTGGTAAAAGGCTTAACTACCTTGAGACGAAGGCCAGAGGATGCTGGGATTGCAAACGCTTCTGCTGCTTTTCATCGGACTTTGGTGAACGACAGAATTCAGGTTACAAACAGGAACATTAAACCTGTCCTGGGCTTCAAAGTCCTGTGTGCACAGACTCTGTCAATAGAGATTTCTTAGAATCTAACGAACTTCACCGTCCTTAACAAGGAGACGCATCGTTGGTAATCGATGGTAACTGATGTCGTTCTGTTTCAGGTGTTTTCTCCGCTCTCAGACACCATCTTAGCGAAGACGACCATCAGAGTCCTGGATGACAAAGTGACCATCTCAGAGTTGGGGGTCCAGCTGGTCACAGGCCTCGCCATGACTTTACAACTCAGTCCTGGGAGCAACAGAGCCATCCTGGCTACCACGACCACCCAGGAGATCCTACGGACCCCCAAACAGGTACCAATCTAAACCCACTCAGAAGGCGCTAACGCCGACAGTAGACACTCTGACCACTTCCTGTTTCTCTTCTTTCAGGAAGCGCTGGTGAGCGCCTGGGTGCAGTTCAGCGACGGCAACCAGACGCCTCTCGACATCTACGATCCCGCTTTCTACCGGATGACGGTGACGTCCCTGGATGAAGGGGTGGTGTCTGTGCGGGGGACACCTCCCACTGTGGTGGCAGAGGGCGAAGGTGAGGGGGTGCTGGTCCGAGTGGAGATGTCCATCTGTGAGGTCTGCCAGAAGTCCAAGCGGAAGAGCACCGTGGCCGTGGGAAGCGGAAGCCTCAAGGTGAAGTTTCGGGTGAGCAGCAGGCGCTCAGAGGGGAACGCCAGCAGCAGCGCTGTCGGCGGCAAGGACGGCGGCAGTGACTACGGCAGCGATGGAGGCGATGTGGACAGAGACAGGAGGCAGAGGAAGCCGTCTCAGGATCCTCCGGCGGGGGGCGTGAACTCGGACAGAGAGGAGGGTGCCATGCAGAAGATCACGACCACGATCAAATCGACGGAGCGGACCTTAATAACCAGCGGCAGCCTCGGAGGAGTCGGTAAGACCGGTAACACAGGAAACGCTGGAGGTCCCACCAGTGTGGTGAACCCGAGCATGATGAGCAGCCCCAGTGACGGCAGCAGAGGCTTCGGCGCGGACAACATGATAGCGGAGGACATGAGCAGCGTCAGCTTCACCAGCACCGTCAAGGCTCCCGGGAACCTGGTCAACTCCTACAACTTCCCCCCGAAGGCGGACGGACCCGGACAGAAACCCACAGAGGTGGAGATCGGCGGGGAGGAGTTGTTGGCCAACAGGCCGCTCACAGATCTGGAGATCGGCATGTACGCTCTGTTGGGAGTCTTCTGCCTCGCCATCCTGGTGTTCCTGGTCAACTGCATCTCCTACGTGATCAAGTTCAGGCACAAGAAGCCGCCGTCTCACGGCCAGGAGCCCACGGGGCACAGGCACGACTGGGTGTGGCTCGGCACGGACGCCGAGCTGGTGATGAGCGTGCCGGGAAGTCCTGTCCAGCAGGACTCCCAGACCACAACCACCGTCATAGACATCGGGCCCGACAAGACCGCATCTCTGTCCAGGCGGCCCAGTTGCCTGGCCTCTGTGACGGACTCTCCCATCAGCTGCGTGGGCTCCATCAGGAACAAACCTATGCACAGCGAGTCCATCCACTCGCCCACCAGCAAGAGGAAGCGAGTCCAGTTCACCACCTTCTCCACTCTGGAGCGCCAGCATTCGCCGCACGTCCCGCCCAGGGAGAACGGCCACGGCATCCACTGGGTGGGGAAACAGGACAGCTGCGAAGAAGAACCCCAAGTGCCCATCGCAGAGCCCGGGGACCAGTTATAATATTATCAGACCTGATCAGACCTCACATGTACAGTAGATGTGGCTTTGATCACCTCAATGCCTTTGTGACTCCAACAACCGTCTAGACGAGTACCTGATTTTGGACTTCTGCCCCCTCCCACATTTCATTACCTACCAAGGCCTTTGACATGTACATGTACTGTATATTACTGTGAATATCAGAGCGAGGATGGTAACGACGGCTGAGCTGACGGCGGACTCGTATTTACACCATGTTTAAAAGCCACCAAATGTTGATGCTGCATGTGGATATCCAAGTCTGAACCTTTTGCACTCACATGCTGGTATAGACAAAGACACACCCAGAAGTATCTTAAGGAACAAATACCATATATTGATTACCCAACATAACTGAGGAACTCTGTGACAGATTAGAGTTTCACCAACAACGTGGCTTTGATTTATCATCAACTTTAAGTGAAATCTTTGTTTTCTATTATGCAATATCCAAAACCTTTTTCTTTGTAATCTTAAGTTGAATTAATTTTCACTAGATTTTTTTTTTTTTCATTAAAACACTTTGAACTCTGAGTTTTGACAGTCGCTTGATTTTCTCTCAAGTTATTTGGTTGTATTTAGTGTGATGTCGCAGTAACGGTCCGGCTGGAGAAACTGATAGTTTTGGAAGCAGCACATGCTCAGGTGTGTTGCAAAAAGAAAAAAAAAACAACCTTTGTAACTGCAAATTACAAGAACCTTTAGTGACCCCCTGCCCTTTAAACAAATTGAGTTTCTGCCGGGCCTTTGGAAGTGAGCAACCCGAGCGTTGCACTTTATTAAAAATGAATGTGGAGGCATACAGACCAGGAGGGGAAGGGAATATCTGAGCTGTTGCACCGCATGTGGGGAGAAGACACGGTTTAACAACACTCAAAGGTGCTTCAGGTGCTGCTGGGTCTGGATTCATCACATCCAGGATCCTCACAGTCGGCTCTGTTAGTAAAAATCTAACCTGCAGCTGTCCAGCCAAAAAACAGACAAAATCATCTTTCCAATAATGATCACCAATCTTTAATTTTTCTCTTTTCATGTTAAACATAAATAACAGTACTTCATTGATTTCACTTACATTCAGATTATTACCAGATCAGACCGATGAAAGTGCTCTGCAGCGTAGTTTCAGTAAGGCAATGCAGTAAAACAGGCTGTTTCTCAAAGGCACCTTTGCAACCTGATATCTGGAGTAAACTGGGACTGAAGACGACTTCGATAATTACACTTCTGCAGGATAAATACAGTCGACTGGAGGGGAAGTTTGGGGATTTGGAAGTGTGGCTGTATGAGGTACTTGTCATTAGAGAGTCGGTCCCTTTATTCAGAAACCAGAGGGTCAATTCTACCAGGTCGTTCAGCTCCTCTTAAGACACTCAGACGCACTGATGTTACTGCAGGTGGACGTTATATTTGTAAACTTCTCACTGCTTCAGACACGTTTCCTTCACCTGCAGCAAACCGGTCAGTTATTCACGTCTACGATGATGATGAGGTTGTAAAGTTTAATATTTTTACATCTCAGTTTTGACATAATCTTAAGTTTCTGTTTATACTTGCAGACCCGAACAGCTGATGAGTGCGCTGCAGGTGGATGAACCTTTTGCATCATTTATGCACGAGCTCTCTGATGCATTTAGACTGACTCCAGTTTTTTTGGGGGGTTGGAGTTCCTCAGAAATGAGCCGCTGACCCGTCTGCAGCGGCTCCTGTTCCAGTTCTCTGGCTGGTTTCTCATTAAAGCAGCTGCACCTGGATTACCTGAAGGTACGACACTCACTACTGACACGCATCTCATGCAACCCCACTCCAAAAAGCTGGCTGTAATGCCCTGTGCTGCTGGTGAAGTGAAGTTCCTGAGAGTGAAGATGAATCCCCGTGACCTTCAGCTCAGAGCAAAGAGTCCACCAGCTGTTGGTAGGTTTCTCTCTCCTGCTTCAGGCTGTGATGTTCTTCCACGTAGAGTTTCCCGTTCCTCACCACTCTCTCTCTCAGCGCCTGATCTGACAGGAGCCTCTGAGACTGATGTACAAATTCCTGGCAGAGACAAAGACAAAATCAGTTCTTATTTTCTGCCAAATGCCACTTAAAGCTCGCCACTGAAGACGCCTGAAGGTATGTTTTTTCTTCTTTTCCTTCTTTTTAAACATAAAAGATCGTCTAAGACACAAGAACAGGATTCAGATAAAAGCCGGAGCTCTGATTAGGGAAAAGACGTAGCCAAAGGATGGAGATATTTATGGCTGAAGATCTGAGAACAACTGTCCGACAGACCTTGTCAGTCTCTCCTAATAGCTGCCACCTCTCATCTGCTTCAGAGGAAAGGTGGAAACAAACACCGTGACAGCTCCAGTAAAATACAGTAATAACGGCTGTCACGGCGGCGCGGGACGGCGAGGATAAAACTGATGACTAAAGAGGTGCTGTAATCAAATGGCATCCTGAGTCCTTGTTGCTCATCCGCTGGCCCAGAGGAGCGACTGGAGCCTCCAACAAAACAAAGTGAAGTGCCTGAAAGGGATCCTGCAACATGGCAGCCAACATTTACTGCAGCAGAGAGCCAGTGGGCATACAAAGTTTCAGCTGCTGCCAGTCAGCAGGCCAATTCACTCCACTTCACTTCACTCAAGTGATGTGATTATGTCTGGAGAGGCTCTTGGTAGCAAACTGCTGCTCTGTATGGCCATATGAGAGCTATAAATCCTCCTCAACAGGATTAAAGCTCAACTTATGAGCAGCACGCTTATAATCACTTTACTTTTAGTGCAAATTACAGAGGCAGACAGGAGGTGCCATTTTTGTCTTTAAAGCTTTCAAGCGCTTGTTTGTTTTTTTAGACACTTTTCTTGAAACCTATACGGCTGGTGTAATTACTCCGAAGACTTCAACACCCGACAGCGGCGTCATTCAATCAAAAATAAGCCGTCGGGAGGGGGAGGGGTTTGAAAGTGTGCAGAAAAAGGAGGGAAAACTCTGGAGTGAGGAAAGTTCTGGCTGGAGGAGCGGTGCTTGTTGCCTGTCAGTTCTGGCTGAGGTCATGGTTTATCCAGCCCAAGATGCTGTGACCATCTGTGAGAGCTTCTTCCTGGCAGCTCAGCCGAGCGCACGTGACCCCGCCCCCCCCTTCTCCCCCAGGAGGGACTTAACTCGACGGCTACAACAACATCACGCTAGAGCATGCTGGTTGTCATGACAGCACGGCGGTCAAGCTCTTTGTCACCTGACCTTTATACCTTTGTTATTCGGCATGCCCCGCTGACTCTGCCTCAGCGCGTTTCTCAGAGAACTTAAAGCTCCACTCGGGAGTTTTTATCTGACGATGAAACTCCATATATGGAGCACGGAGACTGATTATTCTCATGTGGTTATTTTTAACGCCTGGAGCACCTGCTGTGTGAGAGGTGTCAGACAAATTCATTAACAACAGGCTGCAGAAACAGATTGTTTTTTTTTGCGTTTTCTGGAATCTGATGAGCGAAGGATAAAAAAGAAAAAGGAAAGAAGGAAAATTTTAACTGCAAGAATAATTCAAGAGCTACACCTGCACCCCGACCTCCATCTGTTTGACAAAGAAAAGTTTCACACTGAAAGAAAGTTTAAGAGCGCTCTCTGGTTACCATAGTAACAACTACTTGTTGCCAGCCTGTGGGCAGCAGCGTTATGTGCAAATGAGCTGCGAAATAACTCGACTAAACAGGTCAGTTTTCCACTCATGAATGAATGTGTCCGTGTTAGACTTCTCATTATAAAGGTTAAAGGTTAAAGGTGCGGTTTGGCGAGTTTAGGTCGTGTTCAGGACAGATTCAGACCCGATAAAATGATTCTGGAGGTGCAGCGTTTAAGAGCTGAGATTAGTTCACTTTTTGTGTTTGCGCCCTTGGAGCTTCTTTACTCATAGAGCTTTCATTGAAGGGGACATAAAAGACTTAAACAAAGCAGATCTTTGTGGTTCAGAGTTAAAATCGGGACCTCTGATCATATATTCAGCAAACTAATTAGGAGCTTTTGTGTTTTTAAGGTTTCAAAGCCGCAGAAAGTGAATCAGTTCATTTTAAACTGTGTGAAGTAGGGCTGAACGAGAATGGACAAAAATAAAATCCTCGATTTTTGATTTTTTATTCAGTGACAGTTTTACCAAACTTCACTTTAATAAAAGTTTTTCTATCATATATATAAAAGTTGTTTTGGCGCCATAAAAGAGTTACTCTGTGTGTCACATGATCGTTTCCAGAGATGCAGATAGACATCCACACGGAGATGAAATGGTCGTCGTTTACAGATTTATTCACTCTCTGACCCGTTTTTAAAAAGTACTGTTTACAGTCACCTGAAACGCCATTTCCGTGAGGATGAAACGCCGATACGGCAAAAAACTTTGGCGTTTCCTCCTGAATTTGTTTCCGTGGTGACAGGTTGATACCGCCTTCAGACAGACGTTACAGCGGGGAGTGGTTTACTCTTCATCTGAAACTGTGAAGTCGTACCAATTCAACACGACTGACTTCATCTTGTCCTATTTAACCACGAAATTATCGCCTTCTTTTGCAAACGCCATGTTTGTTTACACTGGTGTGTGTGGGAACTGGGGAGCCTACGGTGGCCTGGAGGCACGGTACATGATCGAGAGGAAAATTGATTTGAGGATTTACATTTTTTAACCGTCATAATCGAAGATCGTGAAATGTCCGAACACCTGCTGCTAGGAAACTTTGGTACGTTACCAGCACAGAGAAGGAAGCCAAAAATCAAACCCTCAGTGATATCGACGAACACATGGACTGACCCCAGAGGTGAGGACTGAAACTTGAGGCCTACGGCTGTGACTCTTATATTCACAGCTGCACCAAAGTCCCCGTGAGGTTTTTATCAGAGCTGGACTCGACAAACTGAACCTAACCAAATCTGAAAACTGGACCAATCTGGAAGAATCTCACTCCTGATCGATCGGACACGTCACACAGGTTCAGGGCAAAATCAGCAAAGAGCGAATGAGACGCCAAAATCAACACAAACCCGAAGTTTTTGCACATTTAGTGACTCCAATAATCTTCAGTTTCAAACAACTTCTGATCAATAAAAACACGATCAAACGGAGCTTAACATGAAAAGAAAAAGTGAGGGTGTGAGGAAACGGGTTAAAGACGGACCGACAGACAGAGCTGCAGGAAAACTCTGATCAGACCTCATTAACTATCAGACTGAGGAGCTCTCGGGGGAACTCGCCGCTCGGCCCTTTCCTGCTGATGCCATGAGTTGCATCACCGTGTGCTGCTGCAGCTTCGCTCTGTCCCTGAAATCCATTAAAAACCAGAACCATGAGTTTAACATCTGAGTTTCTCAGACAGACACATGCATATGTCTTCAGAGGGCCTCCCCGGTCAGCTGAGGTTAAAGGCGTCTCTGTTGGCTGCGGTGATAAAGCACTTTATCCTCTCTATCTTCAGAATTAAAGCTTAACCGAGCTTAGCATCTGTAGTGACCTGGACGTTGGTGTTTTTGCGCCCGTATACCTGAGGAGTGGAGTACAGCAGGCCGGTGAACTCGTGTTGAACTACAGCTGCGTTTCCAGGAATGTCCCGGGCCAACACCGGCACCCCGAGGTCCATGGCCTGTGGAGGGCGGAGAGAGAGAGGAGAGGAGTGAGCGCTCAGAGAGTTACGGCGTCCTGATCAAGACTTCCTCACCCTGACTCAGAGAAACACCTCGACAGTTGTTCAGAGAGACGACTCTGCTCATCAGTCCATTAGTTCACTCACAGAATTAATCTGTATCAGCTTATACCTTCAGCAGGTTGTTGAGTGAAACATGCTAACAGACTAATCAGACTCTGAGCCTACTGTGGATTGTCTTAATCGACTGAGTTTAAAAGAGATTAAGTGGATTTGCAGGTTTTGCTCACTCAGGAATAGGAAGATTGGAGTCAAGCAATTAATTTGGGTAATTGTCCCTGAAGTGGTCTGATAACATTGTAGCTGAGAGAGGAATAACAAGATAAGAGCTGCTGTAAATATTCACACTCCGGCTCGCTCGGCTGATTCTCAGCAAAGACTTTGATTAAACAAACTCTCATGACCAAAATATTCTTCTGCGCCACAATAACTCCTGTTATAAAACCAGCCGAGTCCGCCTGCAGATGTTTACCTCCAAGATGGCGGCTGACATGCCCTCTGAAACAGAGCTGTTGACCACGGCGAAGCACCTTTTCACGGCAGCGTGGAGCTCCTGCTGGCTTCTCTCCTGGGCCAAGAAGACCCCCGCTGTTCTGCAGGAGCAGAGGCAGAGCTGAGTTCTGCGTGACTCGAGGCTCACAGAGGCGTGAATGATGCTAAAGGGCAGTGACAAGCTAGGGGCCGCAGTACGGGTGACATGCACGGCGAGTCCAGGTAAAGTCCTAACCGGAGAGGGCAGCTTCCTGCCGCAAACATCTCTGTGGTGCTGAAGGCCTTTGGCAAAGACAAAACTGAGAGATCGAGACTTGAGAGTAGGAGGACAGATAAAAAACAGAGGATTACGGCGCTCCCCAAAGATTTTTATTCTGTTTACATAATGTCAAGATAAATGTAAGCTGCGTTTACTGAGAGACTCTCTTGTGCTGCGTGGGACGAGTGGAAGGATAAGCTGTGTTTCGATTTCTCACAGGAGGAAAAAGTCTCTGCAATTAAACTGTCAGATCTCAAGTTTTGTCTTTCATGAGATGTGTAAGCGAACAAGAGGAGCAACAAAAACAAGATTTACCTCTGAGTAACGGCCTCCACCTCCACCGTGAGCGCCGGATCAATCTGAGGGAGACAGACAAACAAACAAACAGACGTGTCAAAAAAAGAAGGAGAATCTGTGTTTTCATCAAGGATTCAAGCAATGACTTAATCAGGAGGATGAAATCAACAATGACACAATTAATAATCATTTCTATCATGGGCAAATGATTCTCTGTAAATCCTCTATTTTCAGAGATTGGGGTCAGGGTGGGGTGGGTGGCCAATCTGATTAATTGCAGTGTGGGATTTGCGTGCATTAGCCAGCCCACAGAAAAGTCAAAGCATCGCAATTTAGGTCAAAGATGTTGCCAAGCAAGCTGCTACTTTTTTTTTTACCCTCTTTTCATTTTATGACATTTCTGAGAGGAGCGGACCGGAAGGCGCGTCGTCCTGCATCAGTTCAAAGAATCTGAACGCAGAGGAGGAGAGTTCTGGTGTGTCCTGGTCTAATCTGGGGGATTTAGCCCCACATTGTAAAAGCAGTGTGCGGATGTATCAGGATAAAGGATGTATTAACAAACAACTGATTTAAGCACTGTACTGATCCTGCTGCACTGTAACTCGGTGAATCGACAGAAATGACAGGAAAGGAGGAGCAGTCATCATCATGGTCTCTTTTTTGTGCTTCATTCTCTGAACTGCAAATATTTGCTGCAGAAGCGTGCAAACATGACCAAACAAAACGTTTTATTTTTAGGGTAATCCTTCTTAACTTTCTGCAGTGATGGCAGAGAATATGCTGCGTTATTACTGCAGAGGGACATGTGTCATCGCTGACAAAGTGACCTGAATTCTCCTCTTAATGACAGATGCCGTGCAGCCAGAGCGCTTATTACTCCTTTAAAAGTGCACATGATGGTCTCCTTTCTGTTTCTTAGTCCCGTCTCTCGCTCCGCTGACTCTCTGATAATGTTTAATCAAAAGTGGAGTCCTGTAATTATCGAGGAGGAGGAGGAGGGAAGGGATGTGGCCTTCACACCAACACATGTTTATCATAATAATAGTCGGTGGCTTTTTCATTTCTCGGGCAAACAAACCGCCGTGTTCCCGCTCTGATTCAGGAGTGTCGACATGAATCACACGTCTCTGCTTCCACTGAACCATTTCATCAAACAACAACAAAGCGGCGAGGAGCTGCGGCGCTGGGACCGTGTGTGCGAGCCCCCTGGTCGTGTCTAATTGAGTTGTTTTTGGGGGCGAGAAAAAGAAACCTAAAGCCGAACATACCTCTGCCTGAACAGGCGATAAAATACTGTACAGAGATGTCGTATCAAAGCGAGGAGATGAAGAGAGAAATCAATGAGGGGGAGATTGGAGAGGAGGGGGGAGGCTGAAGCTGCTGGTTGGTGGATGTGACTTCTATCTATCTGTCTATCTGTCTGTCTGTCTGTCTGTCTTTCCATCTGCAGCATCGAGTCGACATAAAAGTGCAATCAGAGAAAAAAACACACTTTTACAGTAAATGTATAAAAACGCCCTCCTCTGATTTGATTGTGCGCCCTGACTTATGAATCATCATAAATCATGACGGGCCTTATTGCTTTTTTCCAATTATTCGACTCGGCGTGTGTGTACGTGTGCGTGTACGTGCGCTATACAGCATGTCCTGAGGACTAACACACATGACAGTAACACGGCGGTGCGTTTGTGCTTCAGGAGAAACAAAGCTGCACATGTGAGTCTAATAAAATGAGGTTCCTGTAAACAGGTCACTGGTCAAATCCCAGAGCTAATCTGGAGCAGAGGACACATTAGTGAAGAAAACAGTTAGAGACACAAAAGTTAAACAGGACCACTGCTGCTGCTGTTGACCTTTGCCATGTTTGCAGAAGATTGCCGTTTCCTCCCATCATGGCCTTTAATTCCAGCTAAAGAGTTAAGCCAGTATCTGTGCTACATCCAATTAGAGGCCGCCTGGACACCCGGAGACGGAGGCGCCTATTGTGGGTTTCTTTTACAGTCGAGAGCATCAGTTTGTGGAGGGGGAGAGTCGGTGTAATGACTGTTGGCTCACCTTTGGCCCGATGATGACTAAGACATTCAGCGGATCTTCACAATGCCACTCTGAAAAACAAGACATTCAGTTAATCCTCGTTTTAGACTAGAAATGTAAAACTGGAAATATAGAAAAATGGAGTAAAGATTCTTCTGTGTTTAAATCCAAGAGCTGAAATTTACTTTACGACTACATTTACGATTTAGAATTTGATACTCTGCAAACCACTAAATTTAATGGAAAATAAAGCAAAGACAAGAAATGAAAGGATTCCAGCTGCTCGACAGTTCAGGGTAGGGCTGCACGATTAATCGGTTTTAAATCATAATCGAATTATTTGATCATGACGATGTTAAAGAAATTAAAAATCGTCAAATCGATTTTCCTCTCTATCATGTCTCCTGCCTCCAGGCCACCATAGGCTCCCCCTTCCTGCAGGAGGCGGAATTTTTTTTGGAGGATGGTAGGGGAAGGTCCCGCCCTTATTCGCCTCTGACTGGCTAGAAGTGCTGGGCTCCGACTGGTTATTCCTTATGGCTGTGAAACACAAAGTCTGTCTGAAGGCGGTATCAACCCGTCACCACGGAAACGAATTCAGGAGTGAACGCTCAAGTTTTTTGTCGTATCGGCGTTTCATCCACACAGAAACGGCGTTTCAGGTGACTGTAAACAGTACTTTTTAAAAACGGGTCAGAGAGCGAATAAATCTGTTAACGACGACCATTCCATCTCCGTGTGGATGTCTATCTGCATCTCTGGAAACGATCGTGTGACACACAGAGTAACTCTTTTATGGCGCCAAATAACCTTTATACACACGCTCTGTACTCTTCTTCTGTCTTTTGCACATTTCCTGTGCAGCGTTACAGCGCCACTTACTGGCTCGGCATATGCACAACATTGTTTTAAGTGGTTTTTGTTTTGAGAGATAATAGAAAAAACTTTTTATTATTAAAGTGAAATTCAGTGAAGAAAAAATCAAAATAAAAAAAAAGTTTTCAGAGAAATCGTGCAGCCCTAGATCGGGGTCTGATGATCCTCAGACCTGCAGGGATGCTGAGAACAAGCCGGGGTGGACCTTCTACTCTTTTAAAACTGAGGACGCAGCATCTATGATTCCTAAATCTTCGTTGAAAGGTCAACTGGACTTACTTGAGACGTTTTGAAACGTCTCAAGTAAGTCCAGTTGACCTTTCCATGCAGTGATTTCCACTTCAGAGTTCTATTTGTTTTGCTGAAATATAAAGGTCTTCCTTTCGGTAACAAGTCCACCGTTTATATATAATTCCCTCTTTTTATGGATCAAAACTGTCTTGTCTTGTGATTTTGCTCCATGCAGTGATTCCCAGTACAGAGTGAAAGATCACAGCCAGTTTTCAGCCTTTATCATCTTCCCACAGAGTTTCCTCCAGATTCTCTTCATCTTATAACGACACTTCGCTCTTCTGAAACCGTTAAGTCCTCGCTCACTCGGTCTCTCACAGAGACGTGTTTCTAAGTGGTTGCACATTAATCTTAGATGTTCCTCTAGGTGTTTTTTTTCTCCTCCATCCTTAAACAACTTTTCAATGTTTTGCTGCTCAAACTCAAACTCAACCCATAAAAAATAAGTTTATATGCTTCCTTAAACAAAAACATTTATTTGATTTGTTGCTTCAAATGATTTAAAAAGCATAAAACCCCCCACACTTTTAGAGTAGGGTGTAGTATTTGAGAGCACAATCTAAAAACAGTCCACACACCTGCTTCTCTCATCTGGATGAAACTTTCCAACACAGTTTGACGCCCTCTAGTGCTGCCTTATTACCATAACTGTTGCCACGTTTAATAAAAGAGAATATAAAAAAGGATCTGTGAGATTTCAAAGATATACTCTAGGTATAAACTCCGAGAAACACCATAAAAGAAAGATATAGTCCCTTTGTAGGGCCAACAGGAGCTGTCAGAAGAATCTTGTTGCACTTTCACATAAATTTTCAATTAAGTGAAACTCAGCCGCAGAGATCGAGCTCGATTCTTAATTTATGAGGACGCCACCGCCGCCGCTGCCTCCACCGCAGACAGAAAAACAAGCAGGTCGTGTTTGTTTTTGAGGGTTTACCTGATATGAAGGTTCAAACCTAAGAGCCAGAAACACCCAGACCCTCCTTAAGCTGCTCTGTCATGACTTCTTAATGTGTGTTTTCCATGTCTCATCACCGGTACAGGCATAAAAAGGACGGCAAACATGATTATTGCATGATCTACCTGAAAAAACCTCCACCAGATAGAGGGGGTCCTTGACTCTCCTGAGGCCGCAGACCAGCAGGAAAACACGCAGCTCGTCCCCACGCTGGCTGCTTACACCTGGAGAGGAGCCAGACACAGAGGAAGACAGCAGCACAATATCAAAACACTGCATAATGAACATCCCAAGTACATCGGCAGATAATGAAAGCAATACATCACCCAAGGTCATGAGGAAAATAAGACAGCGGTGACTAATGTGCTCCCGCAATTCTCTGATCGGAGTTGTAACACTCAGCAGGGAAATCTTCTGCCGCAAGCATTCGAAGGTTGAAGCCCAATCAGTGTGTAATACGGCATCACAACTACAGAGCCTCCAGAGTGCCGGGGTGACTCCTCGCACACTGAACGGACCCAGATGAAGACGGGCAAACTAAACATCAGGCTAATGACTCCAAACATTATGGAAACCTGGAATGAACTCAGTTTCAGATCCGTCCAGATGTTCAGGTGTAAAAAAGGAGGACGACGTGACAGCTCCTCAAAAGTGATTTTAGGTGAGGTCAGGTGAGTCCATGGACTGAATATACCCTGGACAACTTGGCTCCGCCTTCTGTCATTAAACAAATTTATAATAATAATAATAAATTTGATATATAACATGCTTTTACAGGTGCTCAAAGACACTTTACAGAGAAAAAAACATTAAAATACAGAAATTTTTAAGAATTAAAACCATCAATGTAAAAGGTTAAAAAAGACACAATATGAAAAGACAATAACAGAACAGTTCACAGGTTAAAAGCCAATTTAAAAAGGTGTCTTTTTAGGAGTGTTTTGAAACTATGGGGGTCTGTACAGTCTCTGGGTTTAGGGAGTGAATTTCAGAGGTCGGGGGTCACTGTGATGACGCTCGGCTCAAACAGCGTATCCCCCGGGTGAGCTACGCAATCTCTGTACGCCAATAGGCTGTATCAGGTGTCAATCAAAGAAAACATGAACCCCCGAATAACTTTTAAAAATGGAGCTGTACAGAAAAAAGAGGACAAACCAGTCTGACTGTAACTTCATGTCAACATCAGAAAATTTATATTCTGTTTAATAAATTTCTGAAGTTTGTCCACAGCTCCATAGGGATTTCTGGAGGAGGCGGGACTTATGACCTATACTGCAGCCCGTCACCAGAGGGTGCTGTTCTCACGGTGAGGAGCGAGGAGGTAGATGACGTCCATTCTATACACAGTCTATGGGTGAGTCATTTACTGAGAATATTAAAGTGGAAAAATGAAATAACAACATTAGGATTACTATTGGATATTATTATTATTATTATATTATCACCATATTGGAATTGATTAGTGGATGACCAATTAATATTGATAATGATTATTTCAGGAGAGCGACGGACAAAATTTGCAACCAATATTCTTTCTGTCAACATCACAAAGACGTGAGACACTTAGCCAATCAGCTGATGTTGTGGGCGGGGCTTAAAGTGCTGAAGGTAAACATGATTGAGATCAACCTGCATTTCCAACCATGAAGCTCATTTTCTTCATGTGTTTTTTTAATAATAAACTAATATTTAATTCTGGACTTATCTGGCAGCAGTAATACTGTGTAACACGCACCATTATCAAAGTTTTGTCGTTGTTCTCGTCATTTAGTGTTTGCAGGTACTTTCCCAAAGGCCAGATTAGGGAGGAAACCCTCACCCCCTGGGATTAAGAGTATCGAGATCACTAAAATTAAACAAAGATCTGAGAGGTCATGAACGTCTTAATAAAAAACCCAAATATTTAATACCTTATTGGTCTCCTGAAGGATCAGCTTAAGTATCATTTCAGTCATAAGGATTTATTGTCTGGAGACTTTAAACTCTGAACCAAATCTTGTGCTAATCTGTCAAAAGATGTTGAGATTTGAGCGAATATCTGACCCGAGGATGACCCTGAGGAGAAAGTGAGAAGATCTCTGTCTGATGTTTGATTTCTGTGAAATCTTAAATCCTTTCTACAGTTACGCAGATTTCTAAATTTGGGTTAAGAGTGTGGACATTAAATTATCTTCAGAGGCAGTTTGCTCAGCTGTTTTGATCTTAGAGTGAGTTGGTTTAAAAGCCGTATTCAACATTTAAAGCCTCTGACTCTTGGTTTGTCATTTTCCTTATGCTTCTGCAAACATGAAGAAGATGAAATCCAGATCTCCAAGAACCTTAAAGATCTAAAAACCTGTAAAAACAACTTCCTACTAAAAAAAAATGTTTGAAAGTTTCAGAAAAAACAGCTCAAGAACAAGAACCAACAGTGAGGGAGTCATCCGAGAAACCGTTCATCAAAGCTGCAGAGGATTCAGAGCGCTCAGTGAAAAGACCCAAACTAAAAGAGTGTTGGTGACAAAACTGAGAAAACAACGTTTCAGCGGTAAAACCACAAACAGATACGAGCACGTGCTCCTGACAGTCCAGTGAAATCCCCTGCTGCCAGATAAGTCCAGATCAGGAGGCTGAAGCAGCTTTTTAATGCTATTAAAGAGAATCTTAAAATGACAGCGTGGAGTCTGGGCACTGACCCTGATCCTCGGAGCCGATTGTCAAAAAAGCTCTAAATCTGAGGGGGGCGTATCGAAAGTTACTCGTATTGATTCACAGGGTGAGAGACGGCGTGGTGTCAGCGAAGGAAACAAACAAACAAGACCTCGACTCAGAGGAAGGTGGAGGAGAATCATGGAGGAGTTTGGAGCTCAGATTTAAAGACATGAAAAAACTGTTCATCTGAGAACTTCAGGGGACAAAAACAGAGCAGTCATGTGCTGTTTCCTCTTTGTCTTTTGATGGTGCCGTTAGTTTTATATTTGACACGTTTTTGCAGGTTTCCCTTTGATTTCAGACGGGCACCTCGAACCATGGCCTCATGTTTTCATCAATATGTGTGAGTGAGTGTTTGAAGCAGGAGAACTAGTCTTTCTCAGGATATATTTCAATGTTTTTGAGTATCTTTGTGATCATTATACATCATTTCTACTATAAAACTGACTCTAAGAGTGAACCATACAAAGTCCGGTGTATCTGCAGACAGGGGCGTGTCCAGAGGAAGGACCAGGGGTGTCCTGGCCCCCCTTGAAATATGATTGGCCACCACAAAATCATAAACTATGACTGGATTTTACTGCCTCAGATGCAGATTCATCTTCAATGGAGAATTTGGATGGATTGCATTTATATGTTTCATACTTTCTTTTCCTGATCATTTACAGTAAAGAGAAAAACCGACCTCCATAATACATGAGACAGGTGAGCAGGAGAGGAGCTCCACCTGAGATAAGGCGTAAATGTTGGTGGACAAATTCATGCATTTTCTAAATCAGACTATAACTGTCTCCACACACCAAGCGAGTAAAATCATTCGCGCGAGTGAATTACATGTTAAGTCAATGCAAAGACGCGATTAGACGCTCCTACTACGAATGATGGGAATTGGGCATGAGCTAAAGTGTCTCAACTTGAGTGGATACACCAGTCGCGAAAACCAATCAGCATGAAGGTTGCCGACTGAAATGAAGGACAAACTGATTGTGGCGGTGTGGCGGTGCCCCGAATTACATGATACCTTTTCTTTTAATCACCGAAACCGGAATAAAAAAGAGTTCACCTGGAAGAAAGTGAGTGAGGAGGTTGGATTGCCTGGTAAATTGTTAAAAATCCTTTGTCTATCACTTGATCCCGCTGGTTGAATTTGCAGAGATAACCGTTGAAATTACCGTACGCTCAATTGAAGCGAGTAAATACTTTTCATTCACAGGTCTAGATTTGCATGAATAAAGCGAGTGTATGCTTGTTCTTGCACTTCGTGTGAGCGCCCCATAAGAAGTTGGCCTGTAACTGTTGCAGTAACTTGTGGTAAAATTGGGACAATAGGAAAAAGTTTTAAGTGTGTTCAGCAATGAGCAACTCTGATGCAAATGTGTAGCTCTCTCTTTCTTGCTCAGTTGTCGATGTCGGCCTTTGTTGGCATTAAACGTTGAGAGGTACAGACAGACCTTCAAATGCATGAGTTTGACCTAATGAGCGAGAAAAGCGTTGGAAAGTTGCACCGGTAGACTGTCTGATAGTCGGCCTCGCTTTGTTCCCAGCATGCTTTGCATAACAAAGCAGCCGCTCGCTCCTCGGACCACTGTCGGCTGGGAGGAATATTGAATCATAATAGAGTCTCTCCTCTCTTGATTATACGCTGGTTTCTCCGTAGGATGTTCCTCACAAGAGATTTAAATATCGCCTCTCTATTGTGTTTCTCTGTGATGTTGGATAATTATCCATGAAATTCTAGAAACTTTGTGATTGTTCAGAGTTTACAGTCAAAGTGGTCAGTCGTCAGCCCCTGGTATCACTCTCCTGAGAGGCCGTGGGAGGTGAGAAGAGAAAACCGTGACATGAACCTCATTTTTTTAGGCGTTTGTCACGAGAAATCAGAAAAGGAAACAAATTATTTCCACCTCTGCTCATCAGAGCTTCACGCACAGATTAGTCAGATATCAAAACAACATTTTGTTCAGCCAAAATGACTGAATGAATTACATGAAATCCTATAACATGGGGCTTTATACTCTCCTTCTCCAAAGACACATTAAGGTGAGGCAGTATGAAAAAGGAAACACGTGGAGTATCTTAAACACTGTATTTAATCCATGCAGAAACAGGCTGACCTCGAACCGTTAACTTTGTTGTTGTCGTTGTTTCATAAGGAGGTAAAATCAGGAGAAGTTTTGACGGTGACAGAGTATGAGCCCATTTGTAATCACGGCATGTCCTTCTCTGCACTAACGCCTCTCCTGATCCTGTTCCCACAGTTTAATATCATAACAGGTGCTGCACTCAGCATTTACCATTTATGAAGAGACTCGGATGAAAGTGACCAGCATAATTTAATCAATAATCGTTCCATGAAAACCGAGCAGCTGGACAGGATAAACAACAGACCCCCCTGCACGCCTGTCGTGTTGTTCTGTGAATCAAAGCGCCTCTGCTCCCTCCGCCGTGTTGTTTGACGGATCTTTTTAGCGCACACCCTCATGAGGCTCACAGCAGGGGTTCACCAACATTCGACACCGAGAGGCTTCACGCTCTGACAGCTCCGAGTGATTCACCTCTTTCTTTACACTCCTCTATACTGTGACACTGCAAACCCTGGCCCACATTAAAAACCCAACTCCCACGCAGAATATCTGTCCTCTTTAGCTCGGAGCTGCAGCAGGAGTCGCTCTGTCGTGTTTGTGTTAAAGTGAAACGTCAGAAAAGTTACTGAGCGTGATCACTTCTGACGGAGCAGGTCACTGAAGTTCAAAACAGGCAGAAACAGGCAGAAAGCCAAGAGCACAGCCTGATTTCATTCACATGAATATAATCAGAGTTTCAGTCGTCTTGTTGTTCACAGGAGGAATTTCCCAAAAATTAAGTATTGATTAGATCCTCTGAAAACGATGCAGAGAAGAGAACTGTATATCGACAGACAGGACTGCAGACTCTTTAAATAGTCGGCCCACAGTTCCTTCATCACACCTGAGGAAAAGCACAACACTATTGTCTTCTTTTTCATGTACAACAAACGGAGGAGTGACTGCAGGCAATTAGTATTTCCCGCACCGGCTGTGAAGCGTTGTGACAAATGGCCCCGCGCTGTGGAGCCATTAATCAATCGCCGCGCTCTGTACTCATCGGTGCGCTCTGTGAGCACTAATGCACCTGGGATGGACATTATCCTACAGTGACCGGGCTGTTGGTGGGGATGGAGATGTTTACAGAGCTGTTCAAATGAGAGTTTTGAGGACTGGAGGGGACAGTGGGAAAGACTTTATATTCTGGTCCTGGTCCTCATGGGTCTGTCTTTAACAGCACGTGTCTTTTCTGATTGGCTCTCTTTGAATGATTCCATATCCTGCACACAGAGGCGGCTCTTTATGTACGGCCTTTAGTTCATACAGAAGGTGGAAACGGGTCAATGCAGAGTCCAATATAGTGTCCTTTAAGTCCTTTGTGATGTGCATTTACTGGACTTACTGTGGGAGCAATAAACAGAAGAATACAGCTAATACTTTTCTATTTACTAAGCTAACTACTGAACTCAAGGTGAGAAAAACTCATAAAGTGTAAACTTTCTAATACAACCAAACTCCTATTACATTAAATACTAATATTTATATATAAACGCTGGATCTAATATGTTCTCATTGGAAGTGGAAAATTGCATTCTTCATTTAGAGAAGATAACAGTGATATTGGCCCCGTGAGTGATGATACCGACATTATGACGATTATTTCAGGATGTCATTAACTGGCCTAAACGATAAGATGAGATGAGATAAATAAATAGGTAAATAGATAGGATAAAATATGATGAGATGATGTGAGATGAGAAGAGGTGAAGTGAGATGAGATGAAATAAGATAAAATAAGATGACAAGAACTTTATTTATCCATGAGGGGAAATTGGATTAATTAAATTAATTGGTCTATCTCTGTTTTAAAGGTCTGTCTCATATAAAAGCTCAAAGTAGTTTCCGTACCTGAGCTCTTCAAGAATTCAGTCCAGCAGAATTGTTCAGCTGCTTCTGTTTGGATTCCTGAAAATAAACAGGAAGTAAACAGATAAATTACAAACAGTGTTTTAGTTAAACTTTGATTGTATCTCATTAGCGTCACACCAAACCATGACTGTTACAGAAAATGCACAAATACAGTTTTCCGTGATCTTAAACTTTGTTCCTTCAGTGACTTCTGCTTCATGTAAGACGACACACATGTCCTCACATAACTCAGTAAGACTGTGATTCATTTTTCCAACATAGACACACTGAAGCCGAACATTTCCACCTAGTTTGGCCGGGTTGCAAAGCCTTTCCTCTGAAGGTACGATTAAACACGTGTAGTTCAAAAACATGATTTTGTGTGGTCCATGTAGATGCACTCCAGATCATTATCTGTCAACAGGAATAAAAAATAAGCTTCCACTGGTCCGGGCTCAGCCATGCAGCCAGCCAAGGGCTCTTCTCTAATCTATGAAGGGACACTATTTGCCAAACACGGCTACTGGTGGGAAGCAACATGGAAGAGTGATTTGGGCTGTCCTACATGGCACGGCGGCCAATGGCAAGAGCAAACACAACTCTGTGCTGCAGACAGCATGATAATGGAGGAAAAAATGTCAGAGCTGATTAATGCAACACTTCAGCGGCGAGTCGGAGTCGCACAGCGGGAGGCGAGGATGTTCATCCTGCAGAGCTTACCTTGAGGCTGGACATAGATCTTACTGCTCTGGGACAGCTTTAGAGGGAAAAAAAGAGGAAACTGTGGTTAAAACAAGAGCCAGGAGAGTTTTAAATCAATCAGTAATTACTGCTTGTGTTTGTTTATACAAAAAAACCCCAATTTGCTTATTTCTACCTGTGTGTGTCAGTCAATAGACCGAGTCAATAAAGCACTTTGAGCTGCGCACATATTCAGTCAAATTCAAACTTCTGAAGTGAGTCCGGACAGCGGTAACAGAGATAATGGTCGTGCTGCAGAATAAATCAGGGGGATGGAGGGGAAATTGACTGGATGTTATCACAGTGGATCCATCCCCTATGTGTGTTTTCTGTCACAATAAAAAGTGTGGCGATGCCTCTCAGAGCCTGTCCTGCCTGCCCGCCTGCTGTCAGCACTAAACGGTGGAGATAAAGCATGCCACTCGCCTCAATCTGCAGCCCACGGGTGAAACCTAATCTGAAAATAAAACACGGTAATATTGTTTTAATGCCAAACTATTACGGGACAGGGCAGAGTGTTGTGTTTGTATAGTAAAATCCCTGCTGCTCCACTTTATTGAAGCTGTCAGGCTGCCGCTCTCTGCTCATGTGCCATAAAGTGCAAAGGAGAAACTTTGGCCCTCACTTCTTGATTAGGTTAATGTTTTGCTGATGTTTAATATCAATTACAATGCTCTCTCAGTCGCTGTGTTGATGTTGGGATTAAGTGTCAGGGGGCTGCAGTCACACACATACTGATGAACCTGCAGTCAGATACTTGGAGGAACATTCTTATAAAACTGAAACGAGCTGAGCTGCTATTAAACATGTTTCGCCACATTGGGCGCAGACTTGCACATAAAGTTACTGATGTGTATTTGACATAAATTACCACTAATGGAAACGAGCAAATAAAATTCAAAAGAGTAAAATCATACCAGAAAGAGCTCTGCCTCTTCTTTCAGTTTGTCAGTAAAGGCAACAGCAAACCTGATTCAAAAGAAAAACACTTTATTATCATCGCTGTGACGCCAATTCAGTCCAAAAATGTTCATTGCTGACAGTTAAGTTTAAGTCGACGATTAGGACAATAACAGAGCGAAAAGCAGCTGTAACGACAGTAAAACAGGGAAGTCTCCGGGCTGAGACTGAGTGCGTGAGAGCAGAAAAACTGCCCGTGGTTTGAAGGCAAAGGATTTCAGGATGAACGCACGGAGAATGCAAAGAGGAAGACAAAGAAAATGTGGAGCAAAAACCAGTGGGGATGTATTCATTTGAGCATGTGTGAGCATGTGTGTGTGTGCGTGCAGTTACAAATGGGCCAGCAGGCTCAAAGTGGTGACGGAATATCATGATCAAGGTTTGTGTGAGAAGGCGCTAACAGCAGGAGGTGTGAGGACTGAGATATGTTTGAAGTTATGAGACCTGCAATTCCCCCCTTCTCCCTGAAGGCAATTATCCCCTTAGACTTACTTAGCTGAATACCCCCTAGTACATCTAGAAGTTTTTTTTTTTTACTGTAATATTAACGGAAACATCAGGGTCTGATTGGAGGGCATAAGGCAGAGTGTTGGTATGCATACATGAATTTTTAAACTGGGGTTAAAGGGAAGACACAACCTGTTTGTATTCAGTGTTACTCTTACTTACAGCAGACATGACTGAAACTTACTTAGAATTAATATCAGCAACAATAACACAAGGATGAATATTGAAATAAGTCACTTTGGCACATGCAGCGACTTTTGTTAGTACGCAATTTATCTCCACGGGTAGGATGATAGTTTTTCATTATTACTTTACAAAGTTATATCAGATTGAACTGTTAGTATTTTCAACACCAGTGATCACAAAACGATTTAAATTCAGGGTTGATTTCAGGTAAACAAACAGTAAAAGGTCACGTTTACTCTCTGCTCACACTTCAGGGTGGGGACATCTGCATCAAACCTCTATGAGAGACAGTTAGTACAACATGCAACATGTTATTATCACAGTTGGACTGATAATGCATGAAGTGACTATGACTAATATGTTCACTAGACAATCTCTAACAGCAGACATGAGACAGGCAAAGGTGTAACTAAGAGTAATGTAAGTCTTATTAAAGGTGGTGTAGGCAGGAATCTGTTAAAGAAGCTTCTTTATTTGTGGCGTATTTACACAAAATCTTTTAATATCAGTCAATAGTTATTAGTTATTGATGACATTTGGTAATATATCGATATCTCTGTGTTCTCTTATGTCTGTGTCGTCAACATTTGAACATTTTTGAGCGGTCCGCTCTTTCTGACTGTAAACAAAGACGTTCTCCACCTCCTCTAACCTGATTGGTTGTGAGGCAGACGCTGCTCCCCCGTGTCGTTCAGGAGCCCAAACAAAGTTAGCGTGCTACAATATCGGACAGTAGAAACCAACCAGAAAGTTCGGAAAATTGTCTGAATCCTCCTTTGGCCACGACTGCCGACACAAGCAAGAAAACAAAGTAAATACCGGAGACTCTGGAGGAATATCGGGCGCTTAAAACGGAGGTAGACCAGACAAGAGCTAAAAAGCCGGGTCAACATAAACGATGGGGGACGCTTGGGGATCTTGGTGACCCTGTAACCTTTCTGCTGGACAGGTAAACCGCTTTAACAAAGTAAGACAAGTGTCTGTAACAGAAGTGTTTCTTGTCAAACGGACCTGCTGTAGCGTGTTGTAGCGCCATCGCTAAACTGTCCTCCCTCGGGTCCTGGACTATGTCACTTTATCCTCGTTGTAGAAGTCCTGCAAACATTGTGTTTGCTGGTAGTCTGTTGGCATCTACAGTAGCACCAATGCTTTTGACTTTCACCTTGACTGGGCCCCATTTGAAATGATCTGAAGTATTTATCTGCATTATATCTGAATTTAATTGGAACGATACGAGCGAGCAGGAGCGTCTGTTTGTGGGCGGGGCTTGAGGGGAGGAGCTGAGGGGAAAACTGGTTGGGAGGGGTAGAGTTTACATTCAAGATTTCTCTCCAAAAACTGAAACTTCATCAGATCCTGACTACCCCACCTTTAAGGTCCTGTAAAGTGTCACAGCTAAATTCACTTCAGGTTTTAGTTACACCTGTGATTGTCCTCAAAACTGTCCTGTGAGTCATTTTTGGATCATATGAAGAGTTATGAACATAGAAAATGTACTTGTCTTCATGCATGTTTTAACATTATAGTTCTCCACCTATAATACTACTAATTATAATATGATAATAATATAATATGTGTTCAGAAACAATGAAGAGAGTGTCATCTGCAGCAACATCACCTGGCTTTCAGCAGCACCTGCTCCATAACCACACGCTTCTGCTCCACTTTCATATCTTCATTTATGTCTGTTCCTCCAAAGATAACACCAAAAGGCGCTGCCATGTCTAGACATAAAAGAAAGGGTGCTTCTGACATTTGTGGATGAGGTGGTAGTTTACAGGTACGTGTACAGGTACTGTAGAAACACAGGAGGGTAAATAGATCATATGACAGAGAGGATGTTTACCTAAGAGGAACCTGCCTGCTTTATACAGGTGGATGGCCAGAGCAGCGTCAAATGGAGGATTACGTGATACCAGGTTTGTCACCTGAGCAGGAGTCTGAAAGTCTGCTGCATCTCTGAGCTCACAGGTGTGTCCTGCTGCTTCAATGTGGGACCTTCAATAAAGGAAACATGAAGTATTTCTGATCACACAGGTGCTGATTTACTGCAGTCATTAAACATAAACAGACATGTTCTGAGAAAGCTCTGCTCTTCTACTACCAAGAACTCAGACTTATCTACAGAGTCATTACCTTATCCTCTCAGCTGTGGTGTGGTTCCCAGTTTTAGGGCTCAGAGGGGCTAAAAAGAGGATTTTCATCTCTTCAGGAAGAGCTGAAATGTCAAACTGACCGGAAATAACCTGAATATCGTGAAAAAGTCCAGCCTGAGGTGTTTCCTAGACTTCTTTAACTCAGCTGCTCTGACATTTCCTGGACCCATGCCTGACAGTCACACGCAGAGCAAAGCTGCAGACGTGAGCAGCTCAACCCACGCGTGTAATGTTTACAAGTCCGTGTCTTAAGTGTTCCCATGGAAACAAAAACACGCCCGCACTTGTGTTCCACATAAATAAAGTGTTACGGGACAATTTCCAGGACAATATAAATGTAAATATTCAGTAAAATATGCTTTGACTGAGTGTTTGTGTGTTTAAACTGAGAAATTAAGCGGTTATGAAAATAAAAGCGAACAACCCGCAGGATCACTTCCTCTTTTCGGCGGTTCAACGTCAGTTTCAACGTAACAAACACACAATCCATGAGGATGGGCTAAACTGCGCATGTGCGGACGCAGCGGATGACTTATAGATCAGCGGAAGAGTGACGGAAGCCGGAGAGTTTGTTGACTGAGCGGAGAGTCACGCGATAGTACTGTGACCGTGTTTTTCTGTTGACTTCAGTTCATAAAAGTGTTGATTTAAGTCGAGTCTAAGTCAACAGCAGAGCGGACACTAATACTGAAGTTAATGGAGATATTCGGAGAGCGTTTGGACGTGTTAAAGTGACTGAAGGTGAAGTTAAACTCAACTCTAACCGAGCTCTGTCATGCTAATGTTAGCTCACTGACTGTTTGTTGAGGTTTTTGAGTTCACTCTGTTCCTCTCCCTGTTTGACTTTCTCTCACTTTTTCACCTTTTCCTTTCAGGTTTGAGTTCTCATTAAAGAAGTAAAAACATTAAAGTCTGAGGAGGATGTCTAACCACAGGGATGTGAGTGAGAGCAGCCCCCTCCTGGACTCTGGTTCTGTCCACAGACCCTCAGCTCCTTCAGTGTTTCAGGGGAGAAGACTGGCGTGTGCTGCCATCCTGCTGGCTGAGTCTCTGGAGAGGATTGCTTTCTACGGCATCACCTCCAATCTGGTTCTGTTTCTCAATGGGAGCCCCTTTTACTGGGAGGGGACCCATGCCAGTCAGGCCCCTCTGATGTTCATGGGGATCACCTACCTGATCTCTCCATTTGGAGGCTGGTTTGCAGATGCATACCTGGGAAAGTTCTGGACAATTGCTTCAAGTTTGATTCTTTATTTTATTGGGATGTTATTCTTCCCTTTTATTGCTAATGATGACACCCGGATCCACCTGTGTGGGGAAGAGTTGGCCTTTCCTGTGCAGCCTGCTGAGTGTCTGTCTACGAACGGGACCATCCCCAACAATGTCACCTGTCCTGTCCGGAGCGCATACTGTGGTCCTGTGGTCTACAGTGGACTGTTTCTGGTTGCATTAGGTGTGGGAACCGTAAAGTCCAACATCACTCCTTTTGGGGCGGATCAGGTAGAGTATGAGAAACACTGTTTTGAAATCCCAGAGTCTAAATTAAAAGAATAATTCTGCACGCAGACTTTCAGCTTATTCTAATCTACAATATCGCTGAATGAGATTAGTTTCCAGAAACACGGCTGTGTAATATCGAGTATGCGGTGTGACATCATGGAGAGCAGACATGTGACCAGATTTCTGTCAAACCATGAGAGTTCACTTAGCAACGCATGCCTTCAATCATCACGGCCATTTGTTGGTACTTCCTTTACAGAATTAAGTAAAGAGTTTTTGTATTTCCTTCACTCACACAGACACAAAGAGCAAAACCTTTAACAGTGCTCCAGCATGAGAAGTGCACTTGTTGTTTCAGCAGAAGTGAAACTCAGTTGTCGGGCTTCATGATGTCGGATTATCTTGAAACTGTGAGGAAACAGAAGTCTTAGCGTTCAAGCTTTCATCAATGGGACCCTTTATTTTTGAGAAACCTTAACATGAACCTGTTCAAGATAACTGCAGCAGAGGATATGACAGGAATCTGACACCTTCAGGTTCACAAATATTCAATCCACTTTATTTCTATAGCACATTTTAAAAAACATCCAAGTTTACCAAAATGAAAAGAACAGACACTGCAGAAAACATCAAGAGGGAATAGATAAAAGCAGGTAAAAAACATTTAAAATGAAATAAAAACACAGAAGCATAAAAGAAATAAAAGTGATAAAAGGACAGAGATCACACAACTCTCATGCTGAGCTAAAAGTTAGGAATAAAAATGAGTTTTAAGACGTGATTTTAAAGTAGAAAGAGTTGGGGATGTTTTAATCTCCCGCTCTTTAACATCCGTGGGAAAAAGCAAAACTTCATCCCACCATGGATGGATAATAAATATATGGGACAAATCAACTATCAAACAGTTATCATGATACCAAACAAAACCTGATCTGCTGATTTATAGTATTGACTTCATGACTCAAGGTAAAGTTATCAAACTTTCTCTCCTGCTCAGAGTCTCAAAAGTGAACATGCTGTTTCTCTAAGGAATAACTGCACCCTTTGCAGAGCAGCTATGACCATAATTGATATTTTTAAGATTAATTTACACCGTAAGTGTTGTACTCAAAAGAGCTCAAATTTAACACCAAACACTAAAGCATGTTAGGACAGAGGAGAAAGTCATGTGAGATCTGTCAGCGTGTGATCAATCGGTTTTTGATTTGAGTGTTAACAAAGAAACAGGATTATGAATTTCCTCCTTGTCTTGTCCTGAGATGACCGAAGTCTGAAGGGACCAAACCCACTCCTGTCAGGAATCACACTCACAGTTGGCGCTCCCTTGCTCTGTCCGTGTATGCATTATTCAGCTCTGTTCTAGTGCTTTTCTTGCTAACACATGGCAATCAAGAGGGAAGTGTGAGGGGGAGGATTTATTTTTTAACTGCATCGCTCTGCTGCAGGGAGGAACCTCGGAAAGATTTATGCTCGGCACCGGCCTGTGAATGCCGTGACATTATCTCCCCAATAGTTAATTGTAGCTGTACTGCTGCATCCTTTGTGCTCATACATAAAAGACATATCCACTTTATCACGCATTGATAAAATCTTATCCTCCACAGAGATAACGGTGTCTGGAGAGGATCACCGGCATTATGAGAGTAAAATTATTTGTTTGCATGAACATTTAAGTGAATTTATTAAAGTTTGGTGAGTTAACGGCTTCTGCTGGATTTCTGGGAGGAAACTAAAAGCCGCACCAAACAGACAAAGAATAAATGAATAGTTTAAATTTAGTTTGACATCCCTTCACTGAGTCGGACAAAAATCCCCTTTTGTTGCTTTATTCTCACTTTTTACTCGTTTTATTTTTATCTGTTTTGGTTTCAGCTTGTGATCTTTGTTCCTCTTTGTTGAATCTCGTTTTGAGCTGCTGTCAGGACTTTTAAAGCTCACTCTCATATAATATAGTTTTGATGACTTAAATAAATGTTAGGCTTGATGTAATCTTCATCCTGTGGCTTCACAAAGGTCACGTCAAAGTGCTGATGACCACATTTCTTTTATAGACTGATAGATGACTGTCACACACCGTGAGTATGACGCATAAATGTTTCTACGTCGTCTCTGAATGTGTGACCCACTCAACGCTGACTGTGTTATTTGTGTTTTTAGGTCAAAGACCGAGGCCCAGAGGCAACACGAAGATTCTTCAACTGGTTCTACTGGTGCATCAACTTAGGAGCCATCCTGTCTCTGGGAGGCGTGGCCTACATCCAGCAGAACGTGAGTTTTACCGTCGGGTACATCATCCCGACCGTGTGCCTCGGGGTCTCCTTCGTGGTCTTCCTCCTGGGCAGCACTGTCTTCATCACCAAGCCGGCTGATGGCAGCGCCTTCACAGATATGTTCAAGATCCTGGGCTTCGCCTGCTGTTACAAGAGGACGAAGGAGTCCAACCATCGCCGGTGAGGACGGCGTCTCACCTCTTTTTGTAGTTAATGGGAAAATAAACGTTAAAATAGTTCACAATGAAACCATGCTGTAAATAACAACCCTCACTGTTGTGTAGAGAGCATTCATCAGTCTAACTCTAAAACAGTCAGGTGATGTTGGTCGGACTTTACGTTAAAGCTCCTCTGATCCCTCGGTGTAATTCCTCTCCTCAGCGGTTCATGTATTCATCTCCGATCCCTGCGGTGAAAAGTTCCTCTGAAGTGCTGCTCCTCCACTTTGACTTACATACGTTCAGAAACTTGACATTGAATATTTTAAGTTGGCCTTTCAAGAATTCCTTATTAAGACATTTTCTCCTGAGATGGGGATTATAGGCTTTACTCCAAACTTTTCTCCTATCTCTAGAAGTGCAGCTATTTAAGGCGAAGACGGCTGCCTGAGTGACATTTCAAGAGTTTAGTTCAGCCTCAGTTTATTGATTCATGTTCTAACTTTGTCCCGTCATTAGCTGTTTTGTAAAGCGGTGTTTTAATTGTGATTTTCTCTTTATTTCCATGAAGGAACAGACCGACCTTACTAGACAACGCCAAAGTGACCTACGGAGGGAAATTTCCAGAAGAAAAAGTGGAGGAGGTGAAAGCTCTGCTGAAAATCCTCCCAGTCTTCTTGGCCCTGATTCCGTACTGGACTGTGTACTTTCAGGTGAGGGGGAACGCATTTGTGGATGCACATGTGCACCTGTTGAATTGAAGGAGCGATCGTTTTAGTTCTGCACATGATCTTTTCAGACTCTTGTTTCCTGCTTGTGTTACAGATGCAAACGACGTACGTCCTGCAGAGCCTCCACCTGAGACTCCCTAATAGTGCCTCAAACATCACTGCTGACTCCCCAAAGGTAATAATAATAATAATAATAGATTTTATTTGTAACGCACTTTACATTTGAAAACGAATCTCAAAGTGCACAACGAAAACAGAAAAAAAAGACAACAATAACAGTAAAATCAAGCAACAGGGCAAAACAATAAAAACAGTCAGCAGATAAAATCAGATCAAATTAGTCCAGGTAGGATTTCAGAAAAAGGAAGGTTCCACCGACTGTGGAGCCCTGAGGTGGTCGGGGAGGGCGTTCCAGGATTGGTGTGATGTGCTCATGTTCACGCACTCTCATCAGGACCCGGGCGGCGCTGTTTTGGACATGTTGGAGCCTTTGTAAGCTCTTGCCCGGGATCCCGATGAGGAGCGCGTTATAGTAGTCCAACCTGGAGGAGACAAAGGCATGGACGAGTCTCTCTGCTGCAGGACGAGAGAGAAATGACCGGAGTTTGGCGATATTACAGAGGTGAAAGAAGGAAGTCTTGCAGATATGGTTGATGTGATGGTCAAAGCTAAGATGGGGGTCAAAGGTAAACTCAGGTGGAGACTGGGTGGAACTAGGCCACTGCTGGACCCTGTGTGTTCTGTATTCAGCTCTTTCTCAGCCTTTAACTTTGACTCAATCTCAGCTCAACTTAAACAAAAGGAGAGGTTAAGGTTGGACCTGTCAGGTAAATAATAATAATCCCTTTCGTGAAGGAGAGTTGAGCCCACAGCGCTGTAAATTCATCTCTCACTCACTCTCCCCCTCAGTCAGTCTGTCAGTCAGGGACAGAGTTTCCAGTTTATAGGTCTGGCCCCGAGCTTCGCTGCGGCTGATCCAAAAATAACATCACTGCGGTGACATCTGCGCCTCGGCTCTGTGATTTGTTGTCTACAACAAATTTTCAGAAACTTCCCTATAATTCCATTGAGTCGGGCGCTCAAACATGTCTGCGCTTAAGTCGTCTGAACTAGATTTGTCGACGCTGAAAACAAAGTAGTCAGTAGGTCACTGACACACAATGGTAAGCAACAGCTGGAGGCAGCAGCGAGGGTTGGTAAAGCCGAAGGGATTAAGTCTCAACTTCACAGACTATCTCATAGATTAGCAACCTGGCTGGAGCTGCACCTCTCCGCAGCGCCTCCAACCGAGTCCACCTGGCCCGGTTTAGCTGCGGAGCTGCATGCGGGCTGTGGGCCGTGTTGTGAATAATGCAAAACGACACGTGAGGGAGGACTTCGCAAGAATCAAAGTTTGGAAACAGGAAGTGTCGGTCGTACTGTAAGTCTGTTTTTTCTCAAAGAAGGAAGCTTGAGGTGTGAGGGTGATGAGCGCCGACTTCATGGAAATATGAAGTGAAACCTTTGCCTCCAAACTTCACGATCTCACCTCCACACATACTGTATGGAAATATCCTCCCTTTCACAATAAGAGAACTCTGAACTTATGCAACACTTTGAAAGCCTCTGCTTTAGCTTTGTTTCTCATGTTCAGCTGTCTTTAACTAACTTTAAGACTCCTGCCTGAGTTTTTTTCTCTCCCTTCACACACTATTTATCTGGTATCTGAAAAAAACAGAACTAAGCCTTTTCTGCTTCCAGCTTCGACACTTCTCCACATCAAAAGAGAAGTGAGATTAGATGCCTCTGTGAGTGCTCCCTCACCTCACCTGACATATTTCCAAGGCTTAACCGAACAAACACCGTCTCTTCAAGGAAACTCAGCCCATACACTCATATTCATAAGTGGAGACTTGGAGCAGGAGAGGCTGTGCTGGAACTGATTAGGTCCTGAGATTACTCAATTATGGTTCTGACCCGTTATTGAAGTCTTCAGTTTAGTATTTGCATAATTTATAGTTAGAGTAATTGTTTTAAAAGCATTGTGAGAATTATTTCCTTTTTGAATTTGCTGCTAGTTCAGATTTTATTTTAATTCAGAAGCTTTTTGGAGATTTTTAACTCCTAACAAAGTAAAATCCAAAGAAAACACGTTCATGTTTCTGATCAGAGATGTTTTTGTCTCACTTAGAGATGCATCAATCAAGATATCGGTTTAGTATCAGCTGATACCGATCCAGTTCCGATACAGAAAAGCCACGCTGAATCACCTTTTGTTGTACCCTGAAGTTTTGACCCCGCCCCTCAGAACGTTTACTGCGCAGGTATTACAAGTCGCTGTCGAGCTTTTAGGCTGAGGTATTGTGATAAAGTTCAAGATAGCAGACCCCTTTTCTCTCTCCATTTTGAAAACAATGTGGACGTCCGCTCACTTGTGGATCCCTTCACGGTGCATAGCATAGATGTAGACTGAATAGATTGGCCCCTATGCATCGCACCTATTGTCACGATACCTCATCTAGAATTTTCTTCAGTATCAAGTATCGGATCAGTGCATCCCTAGTCTCACTTTATCAAAGTTTACATATATTTTGATGCCTAATATTACTGTTTCTTCATAATGAAGTAAAATCCTTAAACCCTGTAACCCTCCTCGTTCACATTTAGCAAATATTTGTTTTCTTTTTTTTTCATTTTCTGTCTTGTTTATCGTCTCCTCAGCCCCCAGCCTAAGAACCAGGATTTAGAAAATAAAGCACACAGCACACACTGAGTTTATTTTGTCTGTTTGGAAAATTAAAAGTATCTTAACACGCTGCCCACTGCAGACCCGGGCCTGCAGGGACACCTCCCGCGTTCTCGCCAGACTCAAGGCTTGCAAAGACTCTCACTTTGGGTTTCCTCTCACTTTGAATATGATTATTCACAAACATAACAGGAAACGCTCTCTAAGGAGCTGCATATAGATTACCAGCAGTTACTCCGAGAAATGGAAATGCAGTTTGAGAGTAAATGATGCTATCAGGAGTGTTAAAGCAGACACACATCAGGAACTCGGATGGCATTTTGAATCTGAATTGCTGAAAACACTCGCAGCAGTTACAGTCTGTCTTCGCTCACCGCCTGAATGTAAAGACACTTTTCACACTCAAATGAATTTTCTGTCCTATTGATCCGCCTTCTGGTCCGTTCGCTCAGAGTAATTATTCCTTTCATAGATAATGCTTTTTGCTGATGCATTTCAATTTGAACTGAGAACTTCTATTTTTGGATTCAGCGCTGCTCTTTACTTGTGTATCTTTCACATACTTAACAGGGACTGCAGCACTAATGTGGCTCATTATAGAAAAAACAACACATCACTCATTTAAATTCTAATTATTTATTGATTTGGCTGCAAGCTTTCTGCACTATGAATTAAATGCATACACACTCCTCATTATATCATGTTTCTCTTTGACCACCAGGGGGTGCCAAAGCAGTACCAAGTCCCAAGTACACACACTTGTCCCTGAATTGCACACAAACATTTGGTGAACTGTGCAGGAATGGACTGACATCCTCTGTAGTTTTCATGCTTTGTTGCTTTTGGCTCGGCGTTATTTCATCTTCCTCCTCCTGTTCCTCTTTTTTAGATGACGTTCCGCTTCCCGGCGGCCTGGCTCACCATGTTCGACGCCGTGCTCATCCTTATGCTGATTCCCCTTAAGGACAAAGTGGTGGACCCCATCCTGAAACGGCGCGGCCTGCTGCCTTCTCCCCTGAAGAGGATCGCAGTGGGGATGTTCTTTGTCATGTGGTCGGCTGTGGCGGCAGGTGGGTGGGCAAACACACGTGCCGTCTGTGCCGTCACACGAGCAGGCCAAACAAAAATCGACAACAACAAAGTAAAATCTGAGGGTTAAAGCAGCATAAACACGTCATTCAGCTGAAACTTTAAATACAGTTTCTAGAGGAGCTTCAAACAAAGCTGGAGAACTGTACGGGCTTTGTTGCTGTGGCGTCTTTTGTTCTTGGCAAATCCTTCTTTTAAAATCACTGTTTGCCTTCACTGTGCTGCTCTGTATTGGCTGCACAGATGGTCTGTCACAGATGTATTAATTGGCCCCTTATCAAACATCACTTTCCACCTGATGAGGGAAAAAAAGAAAAACCGCCGCAGAGGTTTTTCCCTCCTTTTTTTTTCGCCCTGTAGAGCACAGGGGGAGCTGTGGCATCTCTGCTTTTGGGAGTGAGTGACTGCACCCGCATGCGGCAGCGCTGCTCAGTCCTATTCACCTCCAGCCCGTGGATTATTTTGGAAATAAAGTCCCAGCCAGGCCTGTCAGCGGGTGCTGCTGCACTGATACATTCAGGCAAGAGTGTTTTGAGGGAGACAAGCCCGGAGGCAGGAAGAAAGCAAATCAGTTACACTCCTGAGAATCAATGCACATTATATTTTCCACAGCCAATGCCCTTTCTCCTCTCTCAGATGCACAATACATTCAGCACATGGAATATGAAGAATATATTCTGTCATTAGTGACCTTTCTCATATTGACCGGTGGGCTTCAACCTGATTTGCCCGCTGACTGTTAAACATTGAGTGGAGAACAATAGGCAGACGGGGGTGATTGAGTGTTTTTGTGAGTTCATTAAATACGTCGTTCGAAGATAAATAGGTGATTGTTTCTAAAGATTTAATTTGAGTCAAAAACAAACATTTATTTCCTTAAAGGTCTTCAGACATCATTTATTACCTGAATCCAAACAGTCATTAGTCGCTGTCAGATCAGATTAAAGCTACTGTACGTGTCAATTTCTCACCTTCGTTATTGACGTAATGATTAAACCCTTTATTTGACAGCTGTAAAGGCCAAACAGACTCATTGATACAGAAATATCTATTGAATTTGTCTTAGAGTCGAAAATATCTTAATGAATCCTCGTCACCTTTACTCGACAGTTATATTTGAGGAAAGCCGAACAAGAAACGCTCCAAACTACGACTGTAAGAGTCGAGTTTGAAGTCTGCCGAAGTTTCCATCTGAACATCTGTGCACTGGACTGAACTTTATCCCTGTGCTGCTGTACTTTAAATGGACACGCTGAGGGAGAAATGAGAAAGTTTGTTGAGAGAGGAGTTCTTGGATGTTCCGGTCTGAGAGTTATTTAAGCCCGACTTAGTCCATCAGAAACCTCCTTTTCAATCAGCAGCAGGAAGTGGTAAAAGGTCTATTTACCAAATCAAATGTGTCTAATGTGCTCGGTTTATAGCAACATTTTCTTTTCAGAGGACATGAGCGATCCTGGAAGGAAAGGTGCTCCAACATGTTCATTTCTGAGCTTCAATAGCTATTCAGGTCTTTACTTTCCCATTTGGCTCCTTGAAAGAAAGTGCAATCCTTGCATTTAAATTGAGGCAAAATAAACTCTGAATATTTCAGGGAGCAATTTTGGGTCCAGGCAGTGGAGGGAAAGAGTTTAGGATGGAGCAGGGGGTGTAGGAGTGAGGAAGATCTGACCTGAATCTGAAGAAATCAGACAGATGGATCGAATCACCTGATGAATCAGTCAGATAGTGTTTATTTCACGGGAAAGCTTTCACGCTTCACATCGATTCCCTTCACCATACACTCCTGTCACATTTACAATTACATTTCCCCTCATCTGGTTTTCTATGTGTCCTCAGTGCTTCACCACATCTGTCCGCTGGCGGAGACTGCGTTACGCTCGCAGACTGACAGATGGACACTCGTGAAAGACCGAGTGTGGCACTTCTCGCCCTCGTACAGCCAGTCCAACACATCGCATTGTCAGCCTGCCACTCTGCCTCCATAACAGCGGCCCGGCGTCTGCTGTGGAGAGTTAAAATCACTTTCATCTCCACGTGCACGACATGTCATGATGACATTTGCGCGGCGATATTTCACAGGGTTTCGTCGTGGCACGCGGACGGCTGGACCTCCCATGCAGTGCAAAGGGGACAGCAGAAGACACGCTGTCAAGCGGACTGTGGGCTGTTTCTGATCCTTTTTTTTGTTTGTGTGCCACAGTCCCAGACCTCAGCCACATACTGAGACCAGCTTTGAAAGCCGCTCTGACACGGCTTTTGAAGAGATGTTTTTGAGCATGTTTCATCACGTTCTCCTAACTTTATGGACTAATCTGCTTTGGTTAAATCTCGATGGCTTGTCAGTGTCCAAAACTATCCCCCTCTCTCTCAAATAAAAGCCGGGGAGAAGTTGTGAGGGATCACGCTGGGCGGTGTGATGTGTGATGGTTGTTAGAGGAGGGGAAAAAGCAGGGATGTGTGTTTATAGTGTGAGTCTCGCTCTGGGCGGCCCAGTGGCCTGAGATGGACGCCTGGTATTATAGGATAGCCGGATTACAAGGCTACAACTCCTCTCGAACACAGCATTAAGTGTAGTTATGATAGGAGGCTGTCTCTGGGTGTTATCTGGAAATAGCCGCTGGTTACATGATAATAGCTATCGAATAAAGCTTTTAGAAGGCAGCGGCGCTTGATGACAACTTCTTGCTTCTATTATTGAAGCGTCTGCACTGATCCATTACCAACCGCCATAATACGGGAGCGTGCAGATGTGATCTTAATGAAGTGGTGGGGTAGACCTAAAAGTAGCTCGATACTTAATGACCTGTCACTGAATCCTCCGACTCTGCCGGAGCGTGACTGTTTGTTGGTGTCATAACTCTCAACGAGCAGCCGAGATATTTATGCCGTTGGATTTGCTCTATTTGCATTCATCCTCACTTACATGTTTCAGGGTCAAAGCCGATAAGTGTAAAAGTGCTTCAGGAGCTTTCTTTCTTCTGCTGCATGTTCTAATTTACATGTTTCATCATCTCCCTCAGGTATCCTGGAGACCAAACGTCTGGAAATCGTCAAATCAAACGGCACCATCGACCAGGTGCTTGGCAACGTTATCTACTACGCAGCGGATTTACCCATATGGTGGCAAGTGCCTCAGTACGTGCTGATCGGAATCAGCGAAATCTTTGCCAGCATTGCAGGTACGATTATTTGACGTCTCCTTTATGGGGTGCCGTTTGTAAAGCAGCCCATTATAAAAAACAACAGGAAGATTTGGTCACATTTAGCTTCGAACAGCATTTAAAAAAGTGATGTGAATTTTTGGCAGTCATTTTTTTGCACATTTACAACAACATTTAAATACTAAAACTAAATGTTAAATGTTAAATCTAAATGCTAAATATAAATGTTAAATATATATGTTTAATCTAAATGTTAAATCTAAATATAAATGTTCAATATAAATGTAAATGTTAAATGTTAAACCTAAATGTGTTGGGCGAAACTAAATATTTAGCTAATATGCAAATTAGCGGTCGGAAACCGGAAGTGCCAAAATAAAAGCTCCAGAAGGTCATATTGATGATTCTTGTGTCGAAGAAAACGAATTAAAACCAATTTAAGGGGGGAACAAATACTTGGGGTGACGTTTCGTGTTAATAACTACCTACAATAGCAACAGCAACAACAAAAACTTTATTAGAAAGACTCGAGTTTTCAATGTCGCTGTAAGGTCAAGCTTCTACAAGCCTGAATTGGAGATAAAATGTCCGGGGATTATGCGCTCGTGGAGAACATTGGGAGAGCTGTATAAGCAGCCATTAGAAGTCTTCCTCCCTCTGCAACTTCATCGGTGGCTGTGGCAGCGTCCGCCACAAAGGTACAGTATCATGAGTGCACCTGCATGTGTGTGTGGGTGTGTTCGTACAGTGTCCGAGCCACAGGAGAAACGACACTGAAAAATTTGAGTCTTTCTAATAACGTTTTTGTTGTTGCTGTTGCTATTGTAGGTAGTTATTAACACCAAACGTCACCCCAAGTAATTTTTCCCCCCTTGAATTGGTTTTAATTCGTTTTCTTCGACACAAGAATCATTAATATGACCTTCTGAAACTTTTATTTTGGCACTTCCGGTTTCCGACCGTGAATTTGCATATGAGCTAAATATTTAGTTTCGCCCAACACATTTAGATTTAACATTTAACATTTTGATTGATATTTAACATTTATATTTAGATTTAACATTTAGTTTTAGTATTTAAATGTTGTTGTAAATGTGCAAAAAAATTCACATCACTTTTTTAAATGCTGTTCGAAGCTAAATGTGACCAAATCTTGCTGTTGTTTTCATAATGGGCTGCTTTACAAACGGCACCCCATACTCCTGTGTCTGGTTTTAGAAGGTCCGTTGAAGCCTCGCTCCGGAAACTCCGAGGAGCTGTTGGCTAAATCACCGAAGCAGCCATTTCTCATAGTTTGATGCGATGAAGACTAATATGCAAACCTCCTTTGTACAGTTTGTTTGATTCATTGCCAGGCTGCTGCAGCTTAATGTGTTTGTGGGTTGTGTTCCAGAGTAAATAGCACAATAGGTCGATCAATAATTGATTATCCTGATCCTCTCACACAGCTGCGAGACATTGTTCTGTAATGGGACATTTTATAAATAAGGTGTGGATAAAGTAACCTTTTAAAATTGAAATTATGATGAAAGCCTGAGCCTGAGCCTGCGAGCTGCCTCATATTAGCGCTCTTCCTCTGCCGATTTGTCCAAACAGCTACAGAGGCCAGCTAATGAGACGGATAAATACACTTAGACTGTACCATGAGTCCCTGAGGGCTTAGTCACAGTTGGCAACAATACAATTAACAACACAACTTCAACTTTTCACCCCTCTGATCCTCACCTGGTGTGCTAACAATTACCAGTATGAACTTTGATATATCCGTGCATACAAAGCAGCCATCACAGCGCGCACGGACCTCCACACAGCATCAGGAGATAACACAGATTGCACTGACATGCTCTGTATTGCAAGTTCAGCTCCTAATTATCCAATTAGCATGCTGACACACTGTTCATAGGGACATAATACACTTGAATAGACAGGAAATGATGGTGTGTTTAATTATCAGTGTGGCTCAATGAGGGTGCTGACAGTTACATTAGCATGTAGACCAAAGAGGCAGAAAATGAATTTCAAAGATCCTTAAAAGAAAGCTTTGCACCGACTCCCACTCTGAGGGCCACTTTCCAGCTCTCTAATGATCACAGGAACAAAGTCCGAGTCTTTGGCTTTTACTGCAACAGTTTCTTATTGATTCGCTGAGTTGCACAAAGAAGACGATGTCCAGAAAAGAGACAGGGCAGCCGGGAAGAAATACAAGCTGTTTTTATCAGCAGAACAATTATGAGGTGTTACAGTAAGAAGAAAAACTGTAATAGTTGGTGAATTAACTCTTAATTTAAAAACCTAAAAAGATTTCCAAGAGACTGAATCCTTTTTTTTAACAAGCTGCATTTACAGTAGAGCTGTAATCAACCAAAGAAAGTCTTGGTCGACGAAAACCCTGAAATTTTCGACCAAATATCGACTAATGGGAGGGGCTTAAAATGAATATAAATATTCAGCAAACCAGCGAATGTTGATTAACGTTGACGCCCTTCAATCTTCCTGTAAAGTGACGCGGAAAATTATTGAGTCGACTTGGCACATATCGACCAATACGTCGGCCAGTCGATTAGGACTTTACAGCCCTACTGTTTATATCACCAGAGCACGAATAAGGTGTTGCAGTAGGAATAAAAACTGTAATAGTTGGTGAATAAAATCTTAATTTGAAACCTAAAAAGATTTCCAAGAGACTGAATCCTTTTTTTTAACAAGCTGCATTTACAAAAAGGTTGTTATCAACCATAGAAATTCTTGGTCGACTAAAGCCCTGAAATTTTCGACCGAATATCGACTAATGGAGTGGGTGGGGGTTATGATTCTCATGGCAACCTTTCTGCAGGGGACGATGCGGCCCGGCGAAGTGAAAATTTACTGATATCAGCATAAGAAAGAAATTTAACACGATAAAAGTTTAAACAATCAAAATAAAAATAAATATTCAGCAAACCACTGGATGTTGATTAACGTTGACGCCCTTCGATCTTCCTGTCTCCAGCTGGTCTCTAGTGGGTTGAGCGAATCCAAAATGGTGAAAAAAAGGGGCGTGTTCTGAGATGGGCTGTCACCTGTGAAACAGGGGTGGTCTGAAAACACCCCCATTAGCACTTGGTACATTCCTCCTGATGACATCAACCATAGACTGTAAATTAAACTCGTAAAAAAATCGAGTCGACTAATCAGAATTTTGACCCACTCAGCACGTATCGACCATAGACTGTATATAGGATGGACGTCGTCTGCCTCCTCGCTCGATGAACAGCACCCTCTGGTGACGGGCTGCAGTATAGGTCATAAATCCCGCCTCCTCCAGCAAAGCTTATGAAGCTGTGGACAAACTTTAGAAATATATTACACAAAATGTAAATTTTTCTCCCCCCGTTTGCGATGTTGAGATGTAGTTACTGTCAGACTGGTTTGTGCTCAAGTCCTTTTTTTTCTGTACAGCTCCATTTTTAAAAGTTATTAGGGGGTTCATGTTTTCTATGATTGACACCTGATACAGCCTATGGGCGTATGAAGCGACTCTCCCGCCGAATGCGCACATTGTTACTGCGCAGGTGGTGGAGTGTATATGTTTCAGGAAATAGAGAGAAAACGTGGAATTACAGAGAGCTTTTTGGCATCAAATCCGTATACTGGCAGAAGGTAGAACCAAGTTGTCCAGAGTATATACAGTCTGTGGTGTCAACCAATAAGTCGACCAGTCTACTAGGACTTTACAGCCCTACTGTTTATATCACCAGAGCAATTATGAGGTGTTGCAGTAGGAATAAAAACTGTTATAGTTGGTGAATTAAATCTTTATTTAAAAGCTTAAAAGCTCTCCAAGAGACGGAGTCCTTTTTTTTTTTAACAAGCTGCATTTACAACATTTAATAAGTGACACAACAGAGTCAGGAATTTCACAGTTTCAGAGCTGGATCCAGCTCCTTATACCGGGAAGTTCATGAACGTGGCCCCGGGTCTGATTTAAATTCAAAGATGTAATACTGTTGCAGCAGAGGCATCTCAGTCCAACACACTCGGATCAACGTGAGACCAATCCTAACCCTCCACTGGAAATATTAGCCGTGTTTGCTAAAATTCCCTATTCTTGAGGGGGAAACGATTGAGCTTCGTATCAAAGCGGGTCAAAAAAGTTTATGCCAAAACTGACAGTTGAAAACATCTTTTGGTTTTTGCTGAAAAGCTGCCAGTCCTCTCTCTCTCTCTCTCTCTCTTCTCTCTCTCTCTCTTCTTTTTGGCACAGCCTGACCTAAACGAGAAATCCCATTTTATTAAGAGCTAGCAGAAGTAGGGCAGTATTTCTGAGGCAGAGCAGCGAGAAGAGCTCGAATGTTTTATCGGATTGCAGTGCCAAATTTTCAAAATGTAAATAAGATTTTTTTTTTTTTTAATATTAAAAAGGAGACTGTGTGTCTGAGAGAAAAGCTCTTAATGTTAGAGGGAGCGTTGCAGTGAAGCAGCTGTGGCCCATTTTTCTCCCAAACTCTGCTGAGCTGAAATCTGCCCTGTAAGTGTTTATTTCTGCTCTGTGTCTGTTTAGCTGTGTGTACTTTTGTCTTTATTTATGTCTTTGCCTCTGCACTCGCAGCCCGGGGCCTCAATTATCTTACAGATTTGAGTTTGTTAAGGCCTCCGGCTAAGACTGAGTCATCCTCCAATTACTACAGGTCCTGTTGCTGTGGGCTCTTCCGTGTAGCACTCGCTTTGTGTCTGTATCAAGAATGAGGATTGAACCGTTAATATGTAGGACTTGTTTTTTTTTTTTCCTCAGTGCAGTGGAAGGATTATCGAGCTGATCCACTCACAGAATGAACATGTCATCTTTACGTTCAGAATCTATGGTTACTGAGATTTCTTTAATAAGCTCTGGTATTAAACAGCTCTTGGATTTCATGTGAGGCTATCAGAGTCCCATGAAAGGCAAATCCAGACATAACAAAGCTATAGGGATCCTTAAAATAAACTTCCCCACTCCCCCCCACTTCGTGCCATCCCACAGGGCTTACCTCCAGGAAAATTGGCTGACAGAATTGTGACATATGTCTGGTTAGGAGGAATATTTCCCCTTAGTCTCCTTCTGTTTGAATAAATCTGTTTAAAACCTCCGGTGCCATCAGACTCCCTCGCCGCGGTCCTCAGTCTTGTAGGACGAGGGTAATTCTGTGCTGAAGTATGTCTGCTCCCCGGCTCTGAGAAACTGTAAAAACGCTGCTCAATGATTCCCTACAGGATTCTTAATTATGTATTGCACTTTTGAAAATGTTAAAGGCCCGTGTTATTTTTAAGAAAAGGAAAAACCGCCCCTCACAGCGAGAGGAAATGTATGCACATCTCAGACTCTCTGCCTTTTGATCACGAAAGGTCAGACCTGGTGAAGTCCGGGGATGTCACTGTTATTACACACGGACGACAGCCGGATTTTACATCATGTAATGTTATTTCTGAGCAGAGCCATATCTCTGCACAGCTATTGACCAGAGTTTGTCGCTACCAAAAGGTTAGCTTCGGGAATAAACAAAAAAATAGTGGTGAACCTCGACAAAGGTCATTCATGTTTTCCTCTGAGTAATAACCTGCTGTTTGAAAAAAGCATCTTTTCCTGAACAGGACTGACGCAGGTATCTGTAAAGAAACTGTTCGTCACATTAATTTGTTCAATGTCCCCCTCGGAGGAAAAGTCTGAAACTGCAAAGGTATTTAACTGCAGCTCTGTAATCTCCTCTGACAGATGTAGCTATAGGGCCTCATTTGAAAAATCACATGTTTGAGGTGCCATGAAATTATCAATGTCAGCTCGCAGGCAGACGGATCTCTGGGCAAAAAAAAAAAAAAAAAAATCTCATATTTGATGTTTTTTTTTCCCCCAACTGATCTCTCTTTCTCTCAGGTCCCTTGCCCGTTTTCTCTCTCCTTTTATTTTCTTCAAGACACAGTAAACACTCAGTGATGTGTCTTCCAGAAATAAGCGTTTTTTTGGGAACCGGTGCCAAGCAGAGTAGATTCCCGACGGTGACACCGCAGACCAGAGTCACCTCGGAAAATTAGCTGTCAGGAGCAGCTGCTGAGGAAGCTTTTCCGTCTCACTGATGATCCACTGAAAGGAAAACAGACACACTAAACATAGACAATTATGTCACACTGATACTGCAGACAGATATTAGACACAGGTACACGTCGTCAGCTTGTTTCCTCCACTAGCAGAGACATCTACTTGACCGTATGAGTACAAGTAAAGCGTTATTACCCTCTCACTGTGAAGTTTAATGTGCTCATCCCACTTTAACCTTGTTACAGCCCACTCACTCAACCAAAATTCCCATTGCAGGTCTGGAGTTCGCCTACTCTGCGGCCCCCAAATCCATGCAGAGCGCCATCATGGGACTCTTCTTCTTCTTCTCCGGGATCGGCTCGTTCGTCGGTTCCGGGTTACTCGCAATCGTGTCCCTCAAGGCCATCGGCTGGATGTCATCTCACAAAGACTTTGGTGAGAGAAAAGAAGCTCTTCTACATTCTTAACACTTCACTGTAGAAAACGTCGAGTGTCTTTAATTAAGGACCAAAAGGCTGTTTTTATTTTCTTTTTACGCGCACCTGTCGTCTTGTCCTTGCTGCGCCTCTTAGCTTCTTTCAGCTCATTGTTTGAGTTTTCAGGTCTGCAGCTAGTTCAGTCTCTCTGCTCTCTCAGAGCTTCATTGTTGTTTTTGTTGCTGAAGCTGTAAAAATTCCTCTGATCAACATTTAGTGAGCACCAAAGTTATCAAGCTATTAAAGCGGCCGGAGAAACCTCCAAAATGCAAGATGTGTCCGCTAAGATGTGCAACAACTTCACTCCATCTTCCTTTAAAGATTGTGATAATTTTTCTGCTTCACAAAAAAAAAACTAAAATTCAATATGACTCAGTTTGACCCCCATAATAATCTCATATATCATTTTTCAGAGTATCTATGGAGTAGGGCTGGGTGTAAAGATCAATACAGCATAGTATTGCACTATTTTGTCTGGTGATATATCGTATCGTCTCATTGAACAAGTATCAATTTTTTCAAATTAATTGCTAATATGAAGTCAAATCTATGATAATGGAAAGATAAAATCAACTGTTAGTCCAGTGAGGTTGGCAGAGGTGACGTCGTAGAGCAGGGGAAAGTTAGTACAACTAATACGTATATAAGGTTTGCAAGATGTGCGACATGAAAATAAAATACAGCATAAATAAGACGAACATAAAGGAAAGACAAATGCTAAATTAGCTAAACAGTTGAAAAACTGTATAAATCACAATATACTGTATCAGAACATGTTAAAAATCACACTAATATCGTATCGTGGCGTCACTGGTGATCCCACTCCTACGATGGAGGCAGCGGTGTCCTGTGCAGGTTTGCATGTTGTTCTCCTGTGACACACAGATGCAGACCCCACATGCACAGCAGTCACTTCCTTGTTTTTTCTTTTTGTGTGATCAAAGTTTTTCCATTTCCTTCAAGCAGATCAACAAATAAACAAAGATATAATGAAAATACACAACAGGACAAAAACAAAACAAACATAAACATACAAGAAATATTAAAAGAAGAAAAAAACACTAAAAATTAACAACAAAAAAATTATGATAAGAAAAGTATCAAAACCAAACATACATTCAGTAGATACAGACATCCAAATATATAATCCCCTCACCCTCCCCCCTATTCAATTTAAACTGCAGCGATTGGGTTTACATTTACTGTATTTACTACAGACAGTCACTTCCTTGTTTTTGAGCGAGCGTCATGTCAGACAGGCTGTTGTTGGAGACCTCTGATGGAGTCCAACAGTCATACTGTGTACCTGATCCGCCCTGGATGTGACAGTTACATGAGCAGAGACTTCGCTCTATCGTTCGGTCGCAGCTTTACACATAGAAACAATTGACCTAACTGGTTCGATTCCAGCGCGTGTTATTGACCCTCAGACCATTTGGCTTTCACACACGTAGACTCCAGACTCGGTTCTCCTCGCAGAGATGACTTTGTACTGAGCTTGAAGAATGACGCTGCACCCTTCAAATATGTTCAGCACAGAGGTGATGGATCTCGACTCAAAGAGTTTTCTTGTGCTCGTCCATAATCCTCCAGAATTGAACGTTTCAGCCGTCTGCCCTGCAGTTTGGTGCATACAGGGAGCAGTATTGACCCGACACATCGACTGCACGTATGGTGTTTTAGAAATAAAATTGTTGGTATCGATTCAGGTGCAGAAATGCATTTTCCAGGACATAGCTTAAAGAGTTTTTATAGCTGGTGCTGATTTAAAATCCACTTAAAGGGTTTGTAGATTAGGTGTGGGTGGTGTGGGAGGGGGCAGCTCTTGTTTTAAGAGTGTTCCACATAATAAATAGACATGTCAGACTAACGACAAAAGGTTTGTGTAAATCTGTCCATGGGGTAGAACGAATAGTGTGGTGATGGCAGCAGATGGATGGGCTCCCCAGCGAGAGGAGGCTCCCAGCCCAGATGCACTTTTCCCTGAGCATGCTGTAAATAAGCCAACACTGTAAATTGTTTACCCACAAACACCTAATAGCTCATTAATACAGTGTGCCGACAGGTAGAGAGGTACTTTTGATGATGTTAGCACTCGAAGATGCTTGGCACGCTTCATAAATCCATCCTTTGCTCGGCTCTGCTTTTCTTGAGGGCCAGTTAAAGCGGAGCCGGATTGCCTGTAAGACTTCTCTTTGCTTTGCAAAACAAGTCATTTAAAAGGTGAGCTGCAGAAATGGAACAAAACATCCCCCTGGCCGCTGATAAAAGACACATGGCACAAAGCTTGGGCATTAACTACAGTCAGGAATCATGCAGTTTGTTTTTGCGGCTGTTTTTTTTTTCCACAGTTTGTTGGATGTTAGCTTCTTTCACATCTCATGGCTCTCTAGGTGGAAGGGATTCAGCTTATTTCCATGGCTGCAGGCGAAACGGTGTGCAGTAAACAGCGTCCTGGGTGAGCTGTGCTAAGTTGAACCGAGCTGTACGAGCCTGAAGACAGATGAGCAACATTAATCACTGGCCGGGGGTCTGATTACATAGGCCGACTTCTCTTAAGTAAAGCTGTCCCTGCAGCGGTACATGGAGATGGCACTGCATGTCTGGCACCACACTGGTGGATGTGAGGCTCTCCTGTCAGGCTGTACTTCCACCTCTCCCTGCTCTGCACGCCCTCATCTGATGTGAGGCGGCCTCTGCGGAGAGTCAGAGTCCAGGGAGGGAGAGTCTTTTGTAAGATCTCCCAGTTTGGTTCAAAAAGGTGAAGCTAGTTTGGTGTAGAAACAGCTCAACCGAACAGGCAGATCATATCTCAACATCCTGTATCTATAAGTAGCTGGAGCTTTTATTTAAGTTCAGGCGAGATGCCAACGGTCTTTGGAGGACAGGGATGCAGCGGTATCTTCAAAAGAACCGGATCTGTGATCTTCAAGAGGAACAGTTCAGTAGGAAAGGGAACTTCAAAGACCATCATCCTTTGCTCTCTGCTTACTTCATCAGATAGAAGTGGACATCAGGTGAGGGACAGAGAGACTTACACAGCTGTAGAAGCTCCAGAGGCTTTTAAATCAGTCATGTGATGCTTTGTGGTCACAGGAAACCACCTGATTAAGGACCCGATTCCACATGATTAAAACCCGAGAAGTTCATCAACTCGTCTTCTGAGTCCAGTGACATTATATCAACTTTAAATCAAATCAGCGTCCACCAAGAGATCCATTATTTAAAAAGGAACACAAAGTTTCTGAATAATCTTTAAATTTTGTGTTTTACTGAGAATATAAATCAGATTATAGATATAAAGATATGTATGAGATAGATGTTCGATGTTGTGTTGTTAGATTTTGATGTCACATCTCTAGAAAGTTCCTGTTGGTGCGGCTACGATGATCATGAATCTACTCTTAATAAGATAAAGCAAATGACTGATTGTCCATTTAATCCATTAAAATGTGAACTAAGCCTTTAATAGTTACTCTATGAGGAATGTGGACTAAATGAGCAAAACGATCTTTTTATCACTGAGGATAAAAACCCAAATTTGAGCAGAAATACTTCAGAAATCTCACCAGATTCATCCTGTAACATCTGAATATCTGCTGCTTTAATTAGCCATAAATTCAACCCGACGTCGCTGTTGACAAGAAGGTTTGACCACTTAAGAGTCTGACAGAGCGATCCATCATGAGAAAAGTGTGTGGTTGAAGATAATGCAGAGTTTGTAATCGAGCCAGCCTTTTAACGACTCGATGAAAAAATCAGCTGATCGTGTTTTTATTCTGTTCTTATCGAGACAAAAACACCAGAGTTATATAAAGTCTGTGCAGTCCTCTCTCTCCTGGAGTTTGGAGTCTCTCCCTGTGAATCTATTTCACATTAATCTCCTCTGATTGAAAGACCACATGTGTGACTGAGTCCTGGAGGGGCTGATGAAGATGGTTTTACAGTTTTTCAGCCACATCTGCTCCGACGCTTAAATCACGGCGAGCTTATGTGCTGAGACGATTGATCCCTAAAATCCCACGCCACATCGTTCCCCCTTGTGGTTACATCTGGTGGAGTGGTCATCCATCAAGCGCTTTTATTTGGTATTTTTATTGGCTCGGTACAACGCCATCTCATCCGTTCCTGTCAGGGAGCGAGCGTGGGCGTTTGAACCTCATCAGCTGAGTCAATTAAAGATCAACCTTTACTTTCTTTATCGGCGTTTTCCCCCGCACACAAGAAAGCCTTTTGTTTCTCTTCTTGCATTTCATTAGTTCCACCTTTCACGGCTGTGATTCGCTCAGAACGAGTAGATGGGTTTTCGTGGTCACATGGCAGGAAGTGGCCTCTTTGGCCGTTTCTTTGGCCCGTATTCAAGCGCTGGCCGATCTTATGTCAGATGTCTGGGACGTGTTCAGACATTCGGAGCGAGCTGACATTCGCACATCCTGCTCATGAAGTGTTGGATCACACTTGGTGAAATGTCAATGTTTTAATAGAAGCCTTTAATGTCAGATCTGGCAAATTTAACACCAGCCTCTATTCTGTCTGAAAACTCTCCTTTTGGGTTCTCCGGGTTTTCGTGGGTCCATCATCAGACGTGTCGGAGGCTGCAGGCGGCGAATAAAAGCGGTTAGCATGTTCGGGCTGTTTGTGAATCTCCTGCATCAGCGATAAAGTTTGAGAGCCGCAGAAATGAAGTATATTTATCGCAGAAACAAACATGCATCGATTCCCTCTCTGATTTCATTCTGAGGCGGAGGATGGCATTGAACGCGCTGAAGCATCCAAACGTCGGGTCATTGCTCTGGAGGTCTGGATCAATTGATCTATTTTCAAATGTTAAATTGATATTGACCCGTTCCATCTGCTCAGACCCACTCGCAGGTGAAGTGTCCTACAACTTCATATCCCTGGGCCGAGATGAGACTGACCCCTTCTGTTCTGGTGTTCGCTCTCATTACGATGCTGTTATTTATAAAATAAGGACCTCTGAGCTCACATGAGGAAACCCGAGGGACAAACCAACACCAACAGAGCTCGTTCCAGATGTTCCAGTCTGATTGGTTTTGCTCTTTTCCATCCCTTGATAAGAATTTGCCTTTAAAATATCTGTCAAATATTTATGGGCTTCATTAATGTGTTTTACAGCGAGTCCTTGTTAAGTCTTTTGCTGCTGTAATTAGCCCTCCATATTTCTGAAACTGCTAAGCAGCCAAATGGGCCCTGGAGGGCGGAGGCTGAAAGGAGGAGGCAGAACCTGACTTTATGTATAATGAAATCAGAGCAAGAACTGCTGCAAAACTCAGACCTCGCATTAATTTTCACGCCTCGGAAAAATTACATGTTTGCTCTTTAGCCGGTCCCTTATTTTACTCCTTAGGTCCTCATCAGGCCGGCGTTTTGAAATCCGGAACAAAGGTTGCGATCCGCTCGTCTGTCAGAATTATTGTAGAGCCGCGGGGACAACATTTTCTCCAGCGAAGACGGAGTAAAAAGGTCCTAAAATCAGGATTCGTTACATGCCTCATGCTGACATTCAGACTGTGGAATATGTTGCTGCAAACCCTGAACAGAGCGCTCTCTCTCTCTCTCTCTGTATATCACAGCTTTCTGCCAGGGTACGCATCTTCCCTCTCCATAATTTGTGCGGTTGTATTCTTTGCTTTTTGTTTGCCAAACTGCTCTGTTAATTAAGACTGCAGAGGCAGACTCTTTAGCTGAATTATCGATTGAAAATACAAGCGCTCTCCCTGCAAATGCACTTCCTTTTTTACTCCCATGCTCTCCTGTCAAGCACGTTGTTTTGCACTCGATGAATTATTCAAACCCCGCTTTGCTTTTTGATATATTTCTCACAATGGAAACTCTTGACCGGATAAGATGACAACAAAACAAGCAGAAACTGAGGCTGTGGTCAAAGTGTGGGGCTTTTCATTTGCCACTCATTTGGTTAATGCTCTGGCAGAACTTCACAGTCATCAGTCAGCAGCTCTCTGTTCTTGGATCAAAGGTTCGGGGGCTGCAGAGATTGCCCGGCGCATAGAGCATTAACAAAGAGTCACTCCTGTGTGAAGCGTCCCATCATCACGCCACTTCTTTATTCCCCCGGATTTCTAATTATCCAGGAGAGCACGTGCACAACAAAGAGTGGAAATGGAATTATTTATACACACACAGAGCTGACATTACGGCGTGTGATCCGCTCCACTGATGCTAAGTGATCACACAAAGCAATGAGATTACTTGTTTCAAATGAGTTAATGCTGCTCTTTGATCAGCGGGACGTCCCGCTAAATTATGGAGCAGAACATGAAGGATTCTGTGTGAGAGCAGGATAGGATGTGACGCAGCTGCTGCGCCTCAGACACTGAAGGAGATGTTGAACAGGCCTTTGGTGAGAAACACTGGCATGTTTAATCACTGATGCTGACATCATGCTTTCTGGGTTAATGGAATTAATAGATAGTCTTTAAGCGGATTAATGAGCCTCATCTTCTCTGACACGTCTGTCTCTTTACTCTTAGCTTTTGTTTATCCTTATATTTCATCTGATAGACTTTGACATTTCTTACCTTTTCAAAAAAGTCTAATTTTACAGCAAAAACAATCCCGGTGACTAAGGCTGCACGATATTGGAAAAAACTAACATTGCGATTTTTTTCAACCCTGCGATATATATTGCGATATTAAAAATACAGGAATTTTCACCAGATGACCTGAATAACATTTAATGTTATGCTGCACTGCTGAAATCTTGAGGACAGTTAATCTGCTCTGATCTTACCTCTTTTTGTGAATGTTAGTAGAATGGCTTCTGTCTGTCTTAGAGATATTTTTAGCTTTTATTGTGCTGGGACGTTATTGTGGCGACAGATGAACACAGAACACGTGTTTTAGTCGACATCATCCTTCTTTTAACCGAAATAATTCCAGATAACTGACTTTCCTTTTCTTTTTGGCAACAAGTCTTCATCTTCTGTGGTTTTCGCTTGTTCGTTGCTCATTTTGCGATCGTTGTTGTTGTTGTTAGCGGTGTTGTGCTGAGAAACGCATGTCCTCCGAGAATTGCATGCACCTCGCAAAACGCACACCGCTTATAGTAGAGTGGTCCACGGAAATGTACAATTTAAAACCCATACAGTTCTTATTTGTTGGGCTTAACAGTCATGAGTAAAGTTCCGAAAGTAATTCTCAGCGGACACGCGTCTCCCTCCATGTGCAGAACATGTGCAGGGGTGGGTTTCCTCCTCTCTGATTTTGATTGACAGCTGGCAGGGTAGTCTGATTGGCAACTGAGAACTGAGTCTGATTGGCAACTGAGTTAAGGACAAAGGTGATTGGTTGATCGCTGCACAGCACATGCAGAGTCACATGCAGTGTATCGCAGTCAGTTACCCTTGAAATTAAATGAGTTCATTCACCTTCAATATCGCAGGCTCTGCGATGTGACTATCGCATACACGTACATCGCGATGACGATGTTCAAACGATATATCGTGCAGGCCTACCGGTGACTCTAGTGTGGATAGTTTAACTTCAGTCAGCACCTCTGAGGATGTTGAGGTTACAGGTTTGGCATATTTAAGAGGGAAAGCTGACTTGACAGACAGGTGGACGCCTTAGTTTATAGTGAGGAGGATAAAGACTCGCCTCATCCCCAGCTCCTCAGCTTATTTCTTAAATTCTGTGATTTGTAAAAAGATTTATCTCTAATATTCGGCAACTTTTACTAACCGTTGACATTTCTCTGAGTGAATTCAGTGATTTCATGAAAAAGTGAATAACTGAATAACAACTCTGAGTAGAGCTGCACAATTTCAGCCAAAAATAAAATCCATATTTTTTTATTCAGTGACAACTTCACCAAACTTCACTTTAATAAAAGTTTTTCTATCATCTCTCTAAATGAAACCACTGAAAATGATGTAGTTCATACGCCAAGCCAGTATGAGGTGATGTAATGTTGCCGAGGTAAGCGCAAAAGACAGAAGAAGAGTACAGAGCATGTTTATAAAGGTTGTTTTGGCGCCATAAAAGAGTTACTCTGTGTGTCACATGATCGTTTCAAAAAACTTTAGCGTTTCCTCCTGAATTAGTTTCCATGGTGACTGGTTGATACCGCCTTCAGACAGACTTCACAGCAGGGAGTGGTTTACTCTTCATCTGAAACTGTGAAGTCGTACCAATTCAACACGACTGACTCGCTCTTGTCCTATTTAACCACGAAATTATGTTTGTTTACACTGGTGTGTGTGGGAACTGGGGAGCACTCCCGCAGGAAGGGGGAGGAGCCTATGGTGAGAGGAAAATCGATTTGACGATTTTAATTTTTTTAACATCGTCATAACTAAATAACCCGATTACTGTTTAAAATCGATTAATCGTGCAGCCCTAGCGAGGAAGATAAAGACTCCCCTCATCTTTAACTCCTTACCTTATTTCTTAAACTCTGTGATTTGTAAACAGATTTATCTCTAATATTTGTCTCTTTTCTCTGAGTGAAGTCGTTTTTTTTTAGTGATTTCATGAAAAAGTCTAAACTGTAGAAGGACTCTGAATAACACGTTTACTCTGTAACTTGGTCAGATTTTTAAATCTTATTAAACCTGTCACATCACAGCCTCGTTTCTAACCCATTAAAAAAAAATCACACACTCATACTTTAAATAAATCACAAACAGACACTCCTCTTATATCTAAAGACACGTTTGAACTTCTTACAGTATAAATATTGTGAAATTCCCTTTTAATAGTCGTACCACTTTAACCTTAATCTCCAAACGTTCTGTTTTCATTAATTTTATATTGACTTCTTTCAACATTTCTCTAATTAACTGTTAATTAATCCACACCATCTGCCTCAGGCTGCAGTCTTGTGTTGTTGTGCGTTCACTTCCTCCGCCCGGCGCTCTCACTGTCACCGCCGCTGTATGATTTCCTGGAGGATCGTCTCTCTGCTGGTTGAGCCGTTGATGTCATGCTTGACTGTGATTGGCAAAGCTGTGTGTGAGCGATAAGCGCCGCGATGTGACTGGCTGAGAGTGTTTTTATTAATCACCACACCCTCTGATCTATATCCAGCCTCAGCCGCTCTTTCTGCACTTTGCACGACTGCACACACACACACACACACACACACACACACACACACACGCACACATGAAACTAGGAAGATAGAAAGAAGGGAGTCTTTGTGAAGCCCACACCGTTTGCTCACAGTGGACCAACTGTCGGGCTTTTAGAGATGAGCTTCAGCAATTAAAATATGACTCTAACTTTAGAGAAATCCTGCTCATTTGTAATCACATTATTCCAGGACTGACTGAAGCGAGCTTCACTGATGCTCGGCCACGTCTTCAGGATTTCTTTAACTGTTTTTTTTTTATTATTGAGGAAAGTCTAATAATAAGAAAATGATTTGAACTTTCTTTCCTTCATTCTTTGTAAAAGTTGAACTGCGATGGACTGAACATTCAGTGAAATAATGAACTTTCTGTTAACTTTGTTTTTTGTGAATACATTAATGTCTGCCGTGCATCCTCACAAGTTAATGGGGTGCAGATGTAAGGTGCAGCGTGCGCTGGAACAGCAGGGGTGGAGTGGAGCCGGAGGGGAGAGTTGACACAGCAGTTGGGACAAAACCTTAGTGGAAAGTTTTAACAGTTCCTTTTTGCTCTCAGCTGAGTGAAACAACCTCCGAATATTTGAGAACAAACAATAATATTTTCTAAATCATAAGGAGCCTCATTGCTGAGTTTATTATCTCTCAGCATTAGATCCACTGACTGGACCATCCTTTACCCAAACAGAGGAGGAAAAAATGACCCAGAATTCTCAACATGACGTCTTACTTCACCTTTAAAAGCTTTTATTAGAACTTAAAATCCAATAATCTCCAATAAATGATTCAATAATTCTAAAAGTAATTGTTTCCTTAATTTCCTGTGATCAAAATTAGTGCAGATAAGATTTAACCGCGGCTGAGATTAGAAGTAATTTCAGGTGTTTGATGGCGTTAATGAGGCTGACGTGAAACATGATCGTTTTTCTCAGCCGAGTTTAGATGAATGAGTTAATGTTTGTGAAGGTGGAGCGTTTTTGTTTACTGTTAACAGAGGCTGAACTGTTGATCGTCAGACTACAGTAATAGAGCAGATCTAACAGACAGTTTTAATCTTGTACTAAAAGAAACCAGGAGACCAATTATTTCATCAAAAATCGCCCCTACGGTTAAATAAGATTCTTATTTAGAGATTATATGAACCTCTAACCCTGTGACGTTAAAAAGCCATATCTCATGTTTACATATCATAAATCTAGGAGTTGTTTGTCTGCCACCTTAGAGCTCCTCCTACTAACTAGCTCCAGTACAGGGCTTTAGCTCCGCCCCCTCCATGTAAACAGGTGGTGTTAGTTTATGTGATTTTCATAAGTTCTCATCATTAACATTAAATATTAATTAGTAGTCATAGTAGTTTGAAGATCTTGTTTGAAGATCTTCCTCTTAAAATGGAGTTCATGATGTGACTGACAGCTCTGTTGACAAATGGGGCTCCTGCTGGTTCAAGGAGGCGGGGCAAAGAAAACTTAAACTCTAATATTAAATGGTTTTAGTCTCCTGAGGAGTTTTATTAATGAGTTAAATTTAAGGTTAGAGGAGAGGACAGGCCTGTAGGAGATGGTATAACCCAGATGTCTCTTTCTTCTTCATATATAAACTATCTGCAGCGTAAAATCAAACACACACTTTGTTGTTAACAGGCAAATGTGTAATTGATGAGCGCCCTCTTTATTCAATTAAAATCAGCCCTACTTTACCTCCTCTGACTCCTGATTCGCTGTGACAGCCTCATGAAGAAGGTAATTGGAGCTTTGTAGGAAAAGTCCTCCAGGGCTTCGCTCGAACTCAGTTGACGGTAATATAGGACGCTCGCTGTAGGTATCTCTGTGCCCTGCATGGAGGCATGATCTTCAATGTTAAAGGGAAGTATGAAACGCGCTCATAAGTCAGTCGCTCTGCCGGACCTCGTGGTCAAGAGCACAAAAGCGGCTCTGAAGCCAATCCAATCGTCTCCTCGCTCCAACAGCGTGGAGACCGGCGCTCTGTCGTTGGATTTGCCCTTCATGTAAAACCCGAGCGAGAGGCAAACAGGATTTGTTTGGAGCTTTTTCCTCTCGAGCTTTATTGCTGAATGAGGACAAACACTTCAATCAACAGAGCAGCAAATGTTAAGAGAGTCGGAGTTTAGAGGCTGCTGCTTTAATTCTCCAAACCCTGTCGAGAAAAATGTCATTTCTTATTTTCCTAATGCTTGAACGCAGCGTTTTGTCTGTCAGTCTCTTCACAGTCTGTTTGTCTTCCTCTCCCTCTTGTACACAAGTCGTGGAGCAGATCACAGCGGAAACATCACTTTATTTTTCACTCCTTTTTATTACATGGCGTTCCCACGAGGAAACAAAGCGTGCTTTAGTACCGATGAAAGACTCCCTGGCTCGTAGCGCAGCTGAGGGCCCGTACTGCTGAGTTATTTCAAATACTCCAGTCCCTCATCATCAACACCGTCTTTCTTGCTGTTTTTGTCGGAGCTGCAGAGGAGAAGAGGTCAACCATCCTTTCTTTTTTTCCCTCTAAGGTTGTCACTCACAGCCCCTCAGCTGAATTCTCCCTCCTGACAGACTCCTGTTTCCTCGCTGCTCTTTTCAAGCTTTCGTTTCATGTGAACAGAGACGCCGCGACCCGCCGCTCTGGCGAGCTTGTGGCCGTTTACCTTTGCCTTTGGTTTTCTCTTAACATGCAGCAGCACTCGGTGATAAAAGTCCCCCCTCTGAATTTAGTTTGACTGACTCTTTTGTTCTGCAAATTTCCATACTTGTCATTTTGACATGCAGCTCGCTGTGTTTTTCTGACTAATCTGAACGCCGGTCTTGTTTCTCAGCTCTCTCTGTTTTCAAAGCTGAGGTGTTTTATATTCGCCTCTAATAAAGTCCTTGATTTTGTCTCCCCTCTGCAGGTAATATCAACGACTGCTCCCTGCACTACTACTTCTTCCTCCTGGCGGGGATCCAGGGCATCACCTTGCTGGTTTTCCTCATCGTATCCGTCAAATACGACAAACAGAAGGTCAAAACAGGAAGCCCGAGGCAGAGACAGATCTCCTCCTGACCCCCTTATCCTCCCTTCACCGTACCTGCCTTTTTCCAGTCTTTCACTCAGTGCCCAAAGACCCTCTCCGGTAGGAACTGTCTGACAGAAGTCTGGTTTACCTCTTTTAGAGAAGGAAGCCCCACATGACCCCGTCATGTCTTTATAGTTCTTATTTAAGTGTATTTTAGCCTCTCAGTGGGGACTCTTTGAAACAGAAGGAGCATGTTTCTGCCCGCGTTGCCTTTCTTTGATTATTTGCACTTGACTTGAGGAGTGGTGCCATAAAAACCTAACTGGATATCTTCTAATCACGAAGAGCGCTCAGATGTTTTATCGTAAAGTTTTAACTCTCTCTTATCTAACTGGATCTTCTAACACTTTTACTGACCGCGTGTGTGTGTGTGTGTGTGTGTGTGTGTGTGTGCGTGTGTGTGTGTGTGTGATCCAAAAGTGTTCAAACTGACTGTTAAAATGGTCTCTATATTCCTGTAGTCTGGAACGGGAGCTTTAAGTGTACTTGAATGTTAGCATTACTTCTTTATGATGATAATAACCACTTCTAGAGAGCCTCAGAAACCTATGCAGTAACAGAGTTTAATGTGAAATTCACTTTAACATACATGGTACTGTTATGACACGAACTTCCTCTCTGACTAATCTAATATTTATCGAATATTGAGTGTAAATCTGCTTCCTCCGCCTGTGATCACATAAAGTAAATCCACATAAATCCTCCTGTGAATCTGCCATAAACCCCCCCCCACAGCTCCATACATTCATCCAGATAACTCGTCATGTTTAAGGCGGTGAGTGACTCACTCAGCTCTTCTTTCTGGTGAAGCTGCAGATCTGCATGTCGGCAATACAAACGCTTCATTCAGAAGTAACCTTAAGCTTAAAATAACCACGATTTCATCGCTCTGATCACGATGAAAACTCGTGCGAGACTTAATTTATGCAAATAAGAATGAACCTCATGTAAATGTTTTATAATTCATTAAAAATCCAGAGTTTTACGGCGTTTGTCGACAGTTTTTTTTACAGTGTTATCATGACTTTGCAGCTTTGCCAGAAAATATTTTGTTGTTGTATTTATTAGACTGTGATGCAGTTTTTTTTCTTCTTTTTTTTTAGCTTTATATCGCTGAGAAAACTGCTTGTGTGTGTGTTTCTTCAGCTCACAGAATGGGCATAGCACAAAGTAATGAATTTTATTAAAGCAAGGAAACTCAGGGCTCGAGGAACGGTGTCGAGTGACATAACTCTCCAGGAAATGTAAAACTGCCTTTGGGAGCTCGCAGTGGTGTTTACCCTGTGGTGTACATAAAGTGACATTTGTAACAGCACATAAAAGCAGAGAGCTCTCTCTTTCTCCCTCTCTCTCTCTCTCTGACGGTCTGTGATGCCTGTTTTTGGTGATTTTACTCGTGTTTAATTGGGCGGATAAATGGATGTTTCATGTTTTATTGCATATTTTATATATTGTGTATTTGCTTTGCCGTCTGAGTCCTCTTTTAAAAGAGTCTATTACGGTTTTATTTTGGAGTAATCTTCTGTTTTCTTAATGCTACAGAACTGGAATATTCTTTGTGGCCAATAAAGTATATTAAATTAAACATTTGATGTGTTTTTTTGAGCAGACAGAACTTGGAGGTTTATATAGCACTTTCCATGCAAGAGCAAATGCAGCACAAAGTGCTTTACATGTTAAAAACAGTTTCCCTGGAGATGGTTTGACACAGTCATCAAAGCAAGAGCTGTAGCCGCAGTGGAAGCAGCAGAGGCCCCAGAAAATGTAGAAGCTACGTCCGTAAAGGAAGATACAACAGGGGCTGTGTCCTCCAACTCAGCACTGACAGAAGCTGGTGCCGCGCCCAGGATGATTGTATCCAGGTTCTTCTCCGCATCCTGGACCTTGTAGAGTGTAGAGATTATTTGTTCTAACTCACAGATTTTCCTTTTAGAAATCAGCCAGGCAGGTAGGCGATAAGGTGAGTGGAGCCATGGCCCCTTTAGCAGTCAGGAGGTTTTCAAACCATGAAAAAAATCATTTTAGCATGAAGAAGTCATTGTAAAGTATAATAAAAATGTCAAAGAATAGTATGTTTAGAATTTCATAATTTTGTATGAAAAAAAATGACAGTGTAGTATGGTAAATATATGAATATAATAATATAAATATAATATGGTATGTTAAAAATTTCATATTTTTGTATGCGAAAAAAAAGTCATAGTATAGTATGTCAAAAATTTTATACCTTTTTATTGATAGAAATTGCCATACTATAGTATGGTAAAAATTAAAATTTTAGTTAAAAAAAATAAAATGGAATAGTATGTTAAAAATGTCATAGTGTAGTATATCAAATATTTCATATTTTTGTAAGGTTAAAATAAAAAATTTAGTTTGTTAAAAAAAATTCATAGTGTGACATAAAAAAATCTAACTTTAGTTGGAAAAATAGTCATATCATGTCATTTGTCATAGTATAGTATGATAAAAAAATTCATAATTTTTCTTTAAAAATTTGTCATAGTACAATTTGTTTAAAATTTTACAAAAAAATTCCAAATTTAGTTTAAAAAGAGTCAAAGAATAGTACATTAAAAAAAATGTCATAGTATAGTATGATAAAAATTTCATGATTTTAGTTTAAAAAAAGTCCTACTTTAGTATGTCATAGAATAGTATGATAAAGAATTCCATAGTATAGTGTGATAAAATTTCAAATTTTAGTCAGAATAGTATCTTAAAAATGTCAGACGAGAGCATGATTAAAATTTCATAATTTTTCTTTGAAAAAATGTCATAGTATAGTATGATTAAAAATGTCTTGGTATAGTATGTTAAAAAATGTCATAGTATAGTATGATGAAAAAAAGTCATAGTATAGTGTGATAAAAAATGTAATAGTATAGTTTGATTAAAAAATGTCATAGTATAGTGTGTTAAAAAATGTCATTGTATAGTATGATAAAAATGTCATAGTATAGTGTGACAAAAATTTCATGATTTTAGTTTGAAAAAATGTCATAGTATAGTATGTTAAAAATTTTACAAAAAAATCAAAATCTAGTTTGAAAAGAGTTAAGGAATAGTACATTAAAAAAAATGTTATAGTATAGTGTGATAAAAATTTCATGATTTTAGTTTAAAAAAGTCCTACTATAGTATGTTATAGAATAGTATGATGAAGAATTCCATATTATTGTGTGATAATATTTCAAATTTTAGTTTGTAAAAAAAGTCATAGAAGAGTATCTTAAAAATGTTAGACGAGAGTATGATTAAAATTTCATAATTTTTCTTTGGAAAAATGTCATAGTATAGTATGATTAAAAATGTCATAATATAGTATGATGAAAAATGTCATAGTATAGTATGTTAAAAAATGTCATAGTATAGTATGTTAAAAAAAGTCATAGTATAGTATAATAAAAAAGTCATAGTATAGTATGATAAAAAAGTCATAGTATAGTATGATAAAAAATGTCATAATATAGTACGATGAAAAATGTCATAGTATAGTATGTTCAAAAATGTCATAGTACAGTATGATAAAAATTGAGTGTGAAAATAAAATATAGTATATTTGATTAGTATTGTAATAGGTAGTATATTGTCATAGTATAATGCAATATAAAAAAAATCAAAATTTTGTTTAAAAAAGGGTCATAGTATAGTATGTCTGAAAATTTCATAGTAAAGTATGATAAAATTTCATGATTTTAGTTTGAAAAAATGTCATAGTATAGTATGTAAAAAATTTCATTGTAAAGTATGAAAAAAAATGTCATAGTATAGTATGACAAAAATTTCATGATTTTAGTTTGAAAAAATGTCATAGTATAATATGATAAAAAATGTCATAGTATAGTGTGATAAAAAAAGTCATAGTACAGTATGTCAAAAAATGTCATAGTATAGTATGATAAAAATTTAATGATTTTAGTTTGAAAAAATGTCATGGTAAAGTATGATAAAAAATATCACAGTATAGTATGAAAAAAAGGCATAGTATAGTACATCAAAAAATGTCATAGTATAGTATGACAAAAATTTCATGATTTTAGTTTGAAAAACTGTCATAGTATAGTATGATAAAAAATGTCATAGTATAGTATGATAAAAATGTCATAGTATAGTATGATAAAAAATGTCATAGTATAGTGTGATAAAAAATGTTATAGTATAGTATGTCAAAAAATGTCATAGTATAGTATGATATAAAATGTCATGGTATAGTATGTCAAAAATTTAATGATTTTAGTTAAAAAAAGTCATAATATAGGATGTTAAAAATGTCATAGTATAGTATGATAAAAAATTTCATGATTTTAGTTTAAAAAAATGCCATAGTATAGTATGACAAAAATTTCATGATTTTAGTTTAAAAAAATGTCATGGTATAGTATGATAAAAAATGTCATAGTATAGTATGATAAAAAATGTCATAGTATAGTATGTCAAAAAATGTCATAGTATAGTATGATATAAAATGTCATAGTATAGTATGACAAAAATTTCATGATTTTAGTTTAAAAAAAAAGTCATAATATAGTATGTTAAAAATGTCATAGTATAGTATGATAAAAATGTCGTAGTATAGTATGACAAAAATTTAACGATTTTAGTTAAAAAAAGTCATAATATAGTATGTTAAAAATGTCATAGTATTTCATGATTTTAGTTTGAAAAAATGTCATAGTATAGTATGATAAAAAATATCATAGTATAGTATGATAAAAAATATCATAGTAAAGTATGACAAAAAATTCATAGTATAGTATGATAAAAATTGAGTGTGAAAATAAAATTGTGTCATAATCCAAAAATAAGATGGTAAAAAAAATAAATGATATAAATGATAAAAAAATAAATGTTATGTGGCTAATATGTTATGAAGGCTCTTACCAGCTGCTTGCAGCTCGGGCCCTCATGATAAGATGTCACTGCTTTTTTTTTTTAGATTGAGTCAGTCAGTCAGGTGACCCTGCTGTTTACCTGTGAATCACTGATTGTGCCTCCATGTCAGGATGCTTTCATGATTAGGGTTGTGGTTTGTCAATCCTGAGGGAAACTCAAAGTAGAGTGCTTAAATTATTTATATTACAAAAAACACACCCCATGGCAGGCTGTTTGGAAAAAAAGGCTGCGAACACTAAGATGCAGCACCGCGTTCTGCATTCCCACCGGGTAAGAGAGCATGTTTCTTCTTAGTTTCATCAGACACAGATTGAAATCAAAACGTCATCGCAGATCATTTTTTAATGCTAAGCCCTCCCAGCCTGCAGGCTCGGAGAGGGCCAATTCCTGTTTAATTTGGTCCGAGAGCCCACATAGCCGTGACTTAGCAGACAGCTTGATGTTTGAAACCAACAGAACGCCTCCGGGTCATAATTCCAGTGTGGCGGCTTGTTTCTCATGTTGAGAGGAGCTTCTGACACATTGAAGTGGTTACGGGGGCAGAATTGCAAGGTAATAACACGGAGATATATAGTTTTGGAGCAGGCCTCCCAATATTTTAAGTTAATTTATTGGCCTGGATTTGAGGAAACAGCAGAGCCGCAGAGAAAAGCTGCATACATTTACACCCGCTCCTGCTTTGAATTGTTTTTTCCTCTCTGAGCCAGCCGGGGCTTCCTTTGAAGTTCACTCTTCAAAATGTGATTTTATATATTTTTAAACCCAGCTCACTGCACCATAACTCAGGTGGGTTAATGTCAGTCAGTTCACCTCTCTTTACTCTCTCAAACACTTTAAATCTCTGTAAATGTTACACACTTCTGCATGGTTCCCAGAGGATGAACCACTGCAGTGATAGGACCACCTTCAGTTTTTACATCCTTCACAACACACATTCATGGTTCCCTGTGGATGAATACTAAGGATGTTACATCGCTGTCATACAGGTGCACTCAAGGTAACCCTAATCCTAGCGTCCTGTTGGTAAGCACACAGATTTAATTCAACAACAGGAAGAGGTGAAGAAGAAGTGGAAGACTGCTTTCAAGTTAGCTGTAGTACAATCCTCAAGGGAACAAGGCAGAGATCTGGGACCAAGAGCAAACCACCCTATTTCAAGTACCCCAAATTCACTGGTTATTTAATGCTACTGTATGAATTTAAAGGTAATCATGGTATAACCTCACATCACTTCACTCTACACTTAATACCAAAGTCAGGTGAGTAAGTTAAAGCAGCATTTTAATATCTATTAGTATTCAATCTGAGTTTAACAGTCGGGTCATATTCTGACTATTTTTAATCGAAGCAGGTGAACAATCCAAAGTTTGAAGACGGAGGTTTAAAGACATAGAAACTGGAATCATTAACCGAATTACAGTTGAGTAAAGCTAAATGTCTGACAAATATCCTTAAAGCTACCCCATAAATTTCAGGTTAGATGTGGTTATAAAATACACACCTGATGCAATTGTCATCCATATTTAAAGCTCCAGTGAGAAACTTTCAGTTTGAGTCGAGTTTGGCGCCCCCTGTGGCCAACGCAGTCTTTGCTTCAGGGAGGTTTCAGGCATGAAAAATTACAATAAACAATCTTTAATCTAGTTTCTAATATTCTTTATGTATCATTTAAGATATTAGAGTGAATTTCA